CTGATACCAATAAAATACTATATCTAATTGTCAGTACATCTACTCCCCCAGTCTCTATCTCTTGTTACTATTACAGACTCATGCTGTGCACATGCACCAGTTATAGTGATCCATTGAAGCAATGATTACTGTAAATTCTTCTCTCATACATGTTATACAGGTACAAGTACACTCTCATACATGTTATACAGGTACAAGTACACTCTTGCATATGCAGTGAATAGGCCATCACAGTTATTCTAGGAAGCTCTAAGTGCATTGATGCTGCCACAACTTGTAAAATTGAACTTTAATAATGGACTAGCTTATATTAGGACTGCTACTTCAATTTTGATGAATTAAAGATTACATATTAACTAGTAGGTACATGTATGCTTGATGTGGTCCTTACCTGACATAAAGTGTCTTCACATCTTGGTCTGGTCTGATGTTCATCTTTCGATAAAATTCCTCAAATTCTAAAAAAAAAAAAAAAACGATAATAATGACTGTAAAATTCTTGGGTAATTTATAAAAATTGAAACGAAGATCCATTAAAATTACATAACCTACCGTCTGGTTTGTAAACTACTTTGAGAGTGACAGTCTCTCCAGCTGTCTTCAGAGCTTGGGCTGCCGTCTCGTGTGACCAGGTCTCCAAATTCTGCCCGTTAACCTGTCGTCATGGAAACCATAAAACCAGCCCTACCCACTACAATTAAACCTCACCTCCAGGATCATGTCTCCGACTCGTAACTGACCGTTATCAGCAGCCACGCCTTCTTTTGAGATCACGCTAATGAAAATACCGACTTCCTCTTCTCCTCCGATAATGTTGAACCCAAGCCCCACCCCCTCTGGTCTGCTGAGGGTGATGATGCGAGGTTTATCAATAAGTTCTTTGTCAGCTGGAGCCTGGAGAAGGAGAGAAAGGACTTTAGCCTGAAACAAATAGAAAGAACAGCTGGTAGTAGGTGCACGTGTATGTATATGTACAGTATATGAACACACACACCAACATTGCTGGATACATTCTCCCTCCCCCTCTCTCTCTCTCACCTTTCCCTCGTCAGAGGTGACAGTTATGTCCTGAGGCAGTGAATTCTTCTCTATCTTCAGCGTCACTTCTTGTCCTGTTGCTTTCAAAATGGCCACAGCGTCCTCATGGTCAATCTCCACCATGTTCTGTCCGTTCACTTCTAGGACTCTGTCCCCAACCTCAAGCTGTCCGTCCTGATCGGCCACACCTCCTTTGGTTATCTTTGTAACAAATATTCCGTTATCGTCAAGAACATGTTGATTCCCTGTGTAAGGAAAATGAACAACATAGAATTATAAAAATGGCTACCATTTACATCTACTATCCTCCATAAGGAGCTATTATAATAATAATTATGTTATTGGCGTAAGATTAATATTACTAGCAGGCGCTTGCCAATTTAATATTTATTTAGTAAAATCAAAATAATAATAATATTTAAAGGATGCTTATATAAAATGACCTCCACATAAAGGACACCTCTGGTATAACAGAGCAGCTTTCTTGTACCAAAGTGTCCATTATAAAGAGGCTAGTCTGTACATGTACATCAGTAGCAGCTGCTCACCTTTCCCTCCAGCTATACTGAACCCGAGACTAGTCCCTCCATTCTTGTTGAGAGTAATAACTGTGGTGGGACTGTCACCGCCTGTGAACTGGGCGGGGGGAGGGGGAGGGGAAGAAGTGTGCTCCTTTATCATGACAGGAGGATCATCCAAATCATCAACACTAGCAGGACTCCAGACACGATCTAGGAACCGCCTGATACGCTGGAAGAGGAAGAGAGAGAGAGAGAGAGGAAGGGAAGCAGTCAAAAGAATATGTACACAAACCTAACATACATTTACATTCAACACACATACAGTACAGTATGTACATGTACATACACTTGTAATACACATACAGTGTATGTACATGTACATGTAACACAGATATGTACATGTACATGCATATATCATGTACATGTACACGTTCTTTAATCTAAAGCATTAGTTCAATTGTACAAGTAGACACTACATCATTAATAGATTGGAGCGGTCATTATAACTTAAAACAACAGAGGAGTAGGCGGAAAATAAACTGATAAAAGAAGGTCAGCAAGACAGCATAAGAAGAGAGAGGGAGAGGGTGAGTGAGAAGAGAGAGAGAGGGTGAGGGTGAGTGAGAAGAGAGAGAGAGGGGGGGGGTAGGATAATAAAGGCTATACCAAAGTGACGGTGAGTCCAGCGTTTCTAAGAGCATCAACAGCATCATTATGAACAACATCAACGAGAGGAACATTATTAACTGAGAGCAGCTGGTCTCCAAGCCTAATAATAATAAATGATCAATTATAAATACATACACAGTCACACGCATGTACATGTACATGAGTACATAATGAACTAATACAATACAGTACAATACAATACAATACTATACAATACAATACAATACAATACAATACAATACAATACAATACAATATAATACAATACAATACAATACAATACAATACAATACTATACAATACAATACAATACAATACAATACAATACAGGTACTCCTATTGTGAGTGGGTTACACCTATACTTACTGTAGTAGTCCGGAACGTTCTGCCGGTGAGCCAGGTGTAAGACGAGTTATGAATATACCAGTCTCTCCAACTGCATGAGGGTTGTCTGTTCCACCTGCTACACTTAACCCAAGACCTCTTCCTTCCTCCTAAGATGTATTGGAATCCATTGAGTAATGTAATGTACACTTACCTTCTGAATGACAACTGTGTCCTCTCTGATACTCTATAGGAAGGAGAGGGAAGAGGGAGAGAGAGAGAGGGGGGAGAGAGAGAGGGAGAGAGGGAGAGAGAGAGAGAGGGAGAGAGGGAGAGAGAGAGTGAGAGAGATAGAGAGTGGGAGAGATATGGATTAAATTACAAGTATAATAATAAGTTAACTACTACAACCACAAATAATTAGCTCACTTGTGAAGAGGGTTGGAGTAACTCTTCAGTTGCTGGTGACTAAAAAAGGAAAGAGAGAGAAGCCATTAATGATGATAATAATAGGTACAACAAAAAGACTGTAACACATTCCTTGCATGCACATGTACTTAATCAATTAAAGCAATCACTACAAGATCTGTATGTGTGTGTGTGTGTGTGTCCAAGTTTTATACACATGTAGGAGTGACTGCCAATTGTTTATACTTCCAAGGAGAAGGCTGTAGGTGTATTTTTAAACGAAATATTCTCTCAATAATAATATGATAATGATGATAATAAATGAATCAACCATTGAACATAGTTATGATTATATGGATTTAGAGGAAAGAGAGGGGGAGGGGGAGAAAAAGATAAAATAATAAAGAAAAAAAAAACCTAAAAAATATCACTCCATCTCACTTAAACAGCACACACACATACACACACACTCTCTCCCTCTCTTTAAATCAGACCACTAATTCTCCATTCTCATATGACATAATCACATAGCAACTGACAACTGATCAGTGTAATATGATTATGACACAAGAGGAAGAAGAGAAGTGAGTGAGTGAGAGAGAGAGAGAGGGTGGGTGGAATAGAGAGAGACTGTCTATTAATCAAAAGGTCGCTTCACCTGGCTTTTAGATTGTTCCTTCTTTTTATCGGCCTATGAGAGAAGAGAGAGAAAGAGAGAGGTAGTAGGAGAGGTCACACCACATTACACTCGAAACAACAGCAGTACAAATTACTGATCACTATAATGCTGACAGAGTGAGTGGGGGAACAATAATGGGCACAATACTTAACAGTATTCAAGAGAGACAGGGCAGACTACATGTACCAGGAATGCATGCAACTAGCCAGTAAAAGGAAGAGTATGTACATGAATGCTTACATGGACACTGGGGGCAATGGTATGCTGGGCAAGACGACGGACGTTGACTGGTATGGGTGGGTTTGAGTCCTCCCACTTTTCAGCAAGTTTGCGTGTCTCCTCGGTTTTAACGTCGACTGGTTTAGCAGCATTCTCAAGAGTGACTTCGTAAAACTCTTGAATATCTGTAGACAAAAGAAATCATATCATAAACAATTTTAAATGTAATTACCCCTCCTCCTTACCAAGAAGTGCTTGGAAAAGTCGGGACCTGATGGCGACTATAGCTTTCCTTAATGTCTCCTGGAGTTCTTCAGAGCCGGGTTGTCTCTCTAGGTTGGTGCAGTATTGCTCCAACAGCTCCAGTGCGCGGTATGCCTCTAGAGAAAGATGAGGTGAGATCGAGGGGTCAAATTCGAGCCGGCCTTCTTCTTACCTTGTTTCGAAGGCATCTTTAGAGATCGGTCCTTCTTTACTGCAGCAGATAAAAGAAACAGTGATAAGGGAGTCCCCTCCTCTCTTCCTTTCAAAAAGACAGGGACAGAGCAGCAGAATCAACGGGAAAGACAACAGAAAAGAAGTGTTACCTTTTCTTTCCACCTACCCCGCAATGAGAATCACGTGATCACACCTTGACGCGTCATAAGATTAGCTATGACTCACTATGACGTAGGCTTATCTAATTAGCCCCACCTTCCTTTTGCTAGAAGCATTGCTGTTTTGAAATAATACCATTCAGCAGTTATTTGCTGTGGGGAAACAAGACAAAGATCATGGGACAACTCCTCTGTGGACTTAAAGACTATCTATTCACTAAAAAATCAGTCAGACTCCTAATGATAGGTAAAAAATAGAGAGAAATGGGTCTTTGAACCCTTTATCATCTTTTGTAGGATTAGATGCAACAGGAAAGACAAGTATTCTCTACCAATTGACGCTGGGGGAACTGGTAACGACTATACCGACAGTTGGTAAGTGGCTGAACTTAAAATTATAGCAAGATTCAGTTGGTTTAGTTGTGCAGCACGGGAAAAATTATACTTGACTTGTTGTGTGGGTATAAAATTAAGTTGTTTTTGCTCCAGGCACTTTCAGTTTCATTATGCAAAAGAAATTGCTCATTGCATTATTTACCAGTTTTTTTTTAATTTTTGTCAAAAGGTTTTAATGTAGAAACAATCCAGTACCAGAATGTGAATTTCACAACGTGGGATGTTGGATCTCGCAGTAAAATAGTACGTAATAATGTTGAATTAAAATGTATTCCAATATTCTTATTTTCTCCAGCGTCCATTGTGGGCACATTATTTTCAAAACCTTGATGCTCTGATGTTTGTTATCGACAGCAAAGATGTTGAACGCATCGAGGAAGCAAAGGATGAGCTATGGAGAGTGATAAGATCAGCTCAGCTACCTTTGTCAACTGTGATACTCATCATGGCTAATAAGCAGGACTTGCCTGATGCACTATCAGTGGATGAAATAACAAAGAGACTCGACTTGGAGAATATTAGGAGTAGAAGTTGGCGTAAGCAGCTGCACATGTTTCTCTAGTTATTTATCTTCTTTTTTTCTTAGACATAACTGGATGTAGTGCAGTGACTGGTGAAGGGCTGTATGAGGGACTGGATTGGCTTCATTTCAAACTGACTGGGAAAGCAACAGAAGAATATATTAAAAAGCCAATGAAAGAGGCAACTAATGCACTTTTCTCAAATCAGAACTAATGATTATAAAAATCTTGTATATTACTTCTTTTGTAAATCATGTTTTATTTTATCGTTTTATCAATTTATTCAATCATGAAAATGACAAACACCTTTCTAACAGTTAGTAATGAGTGTACTGGTATAAAAACAATGAAAATACTGCTTCATATCACTAATCAGGATTTGGAGTACTATTTACAACTGAGCTGAATTCTCTGACCCTTATAGGCTCAGCCTGGAATGTTTATTGCATTCATAGTAATGCTTCTTTGGTCATGTTCTATTTTTAGAACACAATTTAATTACCACGTGTACATCCTGCAGACACGTAGCAGAAATCTACTCATCAGAAGTGACAGCATAAACAGATTTTCTTATATAAATAACTGATGCTATCTTTACTACAATAGTATCACTTGCAATCTTCAAATAAGTTTAATAAGAATGGGGAACTCTTTGATGAGAAAATGGTTTGGACAGAAAGAAGTCAGACTGCTCATAGTAGGTTTAGATGCTGCTGGAAAAACAACTATGCTGTATAAGCTTAAATTAGGTGAAGTCGTAACCGTTATACCAACCATTGGTAAGTCAGTGTCACTATTATAACTGAATGAGCTATCACTGTTGATATATATTTACTGTTGATATATGGATCATGTTTTTAGGTTTCAATGTTGAGACAGTCAATTATAAGAGTATCAACTTCACTGCTTGGGACGTTGGCGGAAGAGATAAAATAGTAAATTATGATCACTCACAGAATTAAATATTTCATTCCTGATCTTTTTTGCAGCGTCCATTATACAGACACTACTATCAGAATACTGATGCATTCATTTATGTGATTGACAGCAATGATAGAGAAAGGTTGGACGATTGTCGCGAGGAACTTCAAAAAATGCTAGCAGAGGAAGAACTCAAAGATGCTCCATTTCTGATACTAGCAAACAAACAAGACCTACCGAATGCAATGAGCACTCAAGATATCACAGAGAAACTTGAACTCCACCAAATCAGAGACAGAAAATGGTGTAAGTTTATTATGTCCATGTATGGATATTGGTATTTTTAGACACAATGATATTAATTTACATTCTGCTACAGATATACAGGGAGCGAGTGCAATAAAAGGGGATGGTCTGTATGAAGGACTTGACTGGTTGACTTCAATTCTAACGGGAAAGGCAACAGTTGATGCAGTTAAAAAACCTGTTGCCGAAACAGGAAAGAGCTTTCTCTCGTCAATCTACTCGAGTTTTTCAGAACTCTTTAGCAAATCATAACATAAAAATCATACCGTAATATATGATGTTTTTTATTGTGTCAAAGTAAAATAAAACTACGTGCAATTTTGTTCAGTTCCAATTATTATTATTATTATTTTGAATGAGGCGTGAGAACTAAAAACCTTAAAATATCGGAGAGAGATAAGACCCCAATAGCATGACGATCAGTATTAACAATCACAAGACGATGAACCTGTGGAAGAAAAAGAAAGAAAACAAAAATCTTACAATCAATCTGCTCATAACTCAAAAATTCATAGTCGGAATCAGCTCAAACTCTCTACACAGCATAAAGACATCAATATGTATCAGAAAATGTAATAAAAATTGGGGGTGATTTCGGAGCCATTTTTCAGAAAAAAGCATGGGCTATAGTACAAGGAAATTTTCAGATTTTGGCTCATTTTTAAAAATGGCCGTAACTTGAAAAGTTTTTGTCGGAATCAGCTCAAACTTTCTACACAGCATAAGGACATCAATATGTATCAGAAAATGTAATAAAAATTGGGGGTCATTTTTTAGCCATTTTTTGGAAAAAACCATGGGCTATAGTACAGGGTATTGTATACAATGTATTATGTAGATACTTTTGATTCAACAATCTTCTTAATAATGACTCCTAATTTATCACTCGGTAGGCAAGTAAGGACACCCTCAAATCCCTAAAAAACAAGACACAAAATAATTCAAAAAATCCAACAATAAACAGGCTCTACCTGAGCCCTGTGCTTCAAAGCATCCCTCAATGACACATCAAGGTTATTGTAAGTTCTCTCTGCAGCTAAATTCTACAAAGAAGGCACACAAAATGAACCAGATACAAGTAATGGAGGACAGTATACTACAAGGAATGAACTTACAATGACATCAAACTTGGCATAAATGTCAGTTACTTTCCCTAAAAACAATTGAAGATAATATTATTCATAATGTGTACACACACATGTACATGTATATAGGATTGACTGAATGCAGTAAAACGCATACAGTTGTTCATAGTAACACACAAATATAAACAGAATCACAATAAAATAGAGTAAATATCATGAGCAAATACTACACTTTAAATTCATTATTTATACAAATTGAAGCATTATCAATCTTTCAATTAGATTTTATCAGTTGCATTACCAAAGCTATCGACTATTGGCAGGGCTGATACTCTTCGCTCTGTAAATTTGTTTAAAGCTGTAATTATTGGTGTATCTGATGTGACCTGAATAATAATAAAATATAAGTTAAATTAATTTAAAATATATCTTCTCTCACTGTGGCTATATCTTTATAACTACCGATCCCTAACTCCTCCAATGACTGACTCATATAAGATGGCTGCTTCTCATGAAGTAACTAAAAAACACATTAAAAGGATAAATAATAATAATAATAACAATAATAATAACAATAATAATAACAAAATAATAGTGAATATAATAATAATATAATAACTCATATACATTACTCCTGGTGGATGTGCAGCAGCTTACATTAAAGTACATGAAGTGAAGGATGCGTTTGTGTGTGGCTATGAACAGAGAGTTTCCAGAACGTTGATCGATGATTGGCAAACGATGAATTTTATTTTCCACTAAGATCTTGACAGCTTCATAAAGACTAAGAGAGAGAGAGAGAAAAAGAGAAAGAGGGGGAGAGAGAAGAAAGGAGATACACATAATTATAAGATTTGTCACTCTAAACCATCTTACCTTTCCATTGGATCAATCTGCACTAGTGTAGATGTCACTTTAGCTATCGTCGCTTCTGATACTAAAAATAGACACGGTTATAAATAGTAACATGGACTCATACCTCTCCAGGTCTGAATGGTCTGCTCTTCCAGTTCATCCATTCCAACCTACGGGTGGAGAGGTCATGTGACAATCATGTGATATGTAGACTTACAATTGGCGACTTGTAATACGTCTTCAATATGTTAATAAAGTCAGTAATGGTAAGCATTCCTGTTAAAAAAGAAGAGCTTTAAACTTACACCCAACACTCTCTCTCCCCCTCCCCCTCTCTCTCTTCCTTACCAACAAACTTGTTATTGTTACTGTCCCAAAGTGGAGCTGACCTAACACCTGTGAGGGGTGTGTTAATTGTATGTATAAATGCAATGAAATTCAATGCTATGCTATGAATGTGACAATAACAGGCCCTGAACAATAAGAAACACATGTATTGCATGTGCCTCATCTGCCCTGGGCCATTGTTATTCTAATCTATGAACTTTTGTCCTTCAATAACATCATTACTGTAACATGTCTCCATACAAGTAACAGTACAAATGGCCGGCCCAAAAAAGGCAGTGTGTGTGCGTGATAATACTATCATTAATAGTCTTACCATTTATCACCAGAGCATAAAACGCCTTCTTTACCTACATATACACATACAATATTAAAAGATGTGTTAATGGGAGGGTGAGGTTGGAGTCAATTACTTTTAGTTTTGTATCAAAGACGACAACTTTAGTGCTCTCTGGAATCAGGTCATAGCAGGTATGAGATTTAAGGAATTTAGAGTATAACTCCTCCGAAGCTAACGTGTTAAAATACAATTGTTAATTATTGCACACACACAAAGAATGAATTATTGTGTGTGTTGTGTGTGATAATAGAATGAGGACAGTGTGTGTGCTTACATGGCTTCTCAGTTTCAGTCTCACGAAACTAAAGGGAGAGAAGGAGAAAGGGAAAGAGGGGGAAAGGGAGAGAGGGGAGATGAGCATTGACAGTCATAAACACAAAGTTCAAGTGTAACTCAATTCTTACCACATCTTTCATATCAAATGACAGTGACCTTGGTTTGGACTCTATGACACTCCATCCTCCTTCCCCGTCTTCATCTCTGAGGTACATAGTCTCTCCATTGCTGGTGGAAGCAGGTACATAATCACGAAAAGAAGGTAACCCGAGACAAAAACTGGATCCGTTTAACTCTGAAGGCTTTGTGTGACCATCATAGTCAAGAGATTTAGACCTCTCTCCTCCTCCTCTCCCTTTTCCCTCCCCACGGCCCGGGGGAGCATAATGGCGTCTTGCTTTATCAAGCTCCTCTATTGAGACAGGTTTAGAGCCAGGGGAACGTGGGTGTGGCTTCGGTGGAGACGTAATGACGTTGGCAGTGCCTGGAAGAGTGGAGGGGTCTGTAGTTTCGAGAGAAGGACTTCGCTGAGGAGCGTTAAAACCAACTTGGACATTATAAGGTCTCACAGTGACTATCTCTGGCTCACCCCCGGGTTTGACTAGAGGGGAATACCCTCCCGAAGCTCCGCCCACTCTCGTTTTATTAGACCCAACGTGTTTCGGAACCGGTGGACTTTGACTCATTTTTGTTAATTTCGGGAGGAGAGAGTTCTGTAGGTCGGAATAAGGGCGGGGCTGATCAGAGGAAATGGGAGTGACTGGAGTATCACGTCCTTCGGAATTTACTTCGGTGAAAGTATCAGATTCTTTAGGTTCTGGGGAACTAGGAGCAGTAGAATAACTGCTCTCACCTAAAAATAAATAAAAAAGAAATTGTGCCGTTACTATAGGTGTGAAAAATTAACGATAATTTGTAATTAATATCTATTAGTCATGCTTTTTATCCATTGTTTCATGAGGTTTAGACTCAGCAGTGATTACATTTGAACAGTGAGTGAGTGCGTGACGCTAGTAGCTACCATATTGTGTTTACTCCATTACCTGTAGCATCAATTCCTTCATCAGAACTGGCCTAATGTGAGCAAAAAGAGGAACAGTTTGTTACGTAGGCACAAAAGCAAACCACTCTACCTTGTCTGGATCCTCTCTAATGGTGACAGCTCCCTCCATAGTCCTAAGAGTGAGAGAGAGAAAGCTGGGAACAGAGAATAATCACAAGATGATAAGAGTTTAAAGGGCAATGAGAAGGTGTGTCGAGAAAGTGGGTGGGGTCTTTAATTAATTAATTAAAATAGGCGTGGTTAACTTTAAATTGCGTGGGTGTTTAATGAACTGATTGCTAAGGTTTGGAGTGGGTGCATATGCACACTCAACAGTATGTGTAATGGGGATTTCTGAGGGGGTAACCCTAAGACTCATTTCTGCTGATCCTGCACTTGCATTGCTGTTATATTGCAACCTCACTCAGTAACGGTCTGTCACTCTGAGCTTTGAAAGCCTCAAGGAGCTCTGGGAGCTGCAGGAAGATCCTAACGACCCAAATGCAACTGGAAACCTCTTCATTGTCATGAACCTAATGGATTACCCTACATCAGAGTACTGTGGGATGTACTATGATTGATTTTGAAGCAGAGTTGATTATCATTTTGGAGGAAATTATGATTACTGAGTAAAGATAAATAAATGATGTGTTTTTTCATCACATTTCATAACTACATGGAGCTCTTATCTAAAACAACTCTAAAAAGGTGAGGGAAAATATTCATCAAGCCAGTTATCATAACTATACCCTCAAAATAACCTTCATTTTCAATAAGGAGGTAACCAGTACTATGCAACACTCCCTTTCCTAGTAGTGTACTATGCTAATTCTGTGTATATATGCATGAGATACAGTCCTTCCCCTTTTTTCGTCATTGATTATTGCATGATGTCATCATAAATTACAGTTTAACACTCATACCCTACATGGAATGAATGCACATAATTATACATAATACTAAATAACTCATAATAACTGCATTACCTGCACATGCATGGATTTACTATAGTTAGTCCGCATGAAGCCCATTGCTTCAAGGGAGATATAATTTCAACTGAAGTGAGCTTTGAAGTGTTTTGACACTTTGTGTAAATTAAGACTGAGCCATGACTCCACTAATTCTAAGTGTCTCTTACCTGCTGGGTGGGTCAGTCTCTGTCTGCATAACTTATTAGCCTGCACTTAACTTGTCATGCTCATGCACAACCTTTCAACATTGAAAGGCTTTATTCTCACCATACTCTCCAATACTAAACAGTGTATAGGCAAATGCTAATAATATATAAGCTGGCTATAGGTTACTTGCTGTATATAGGTGTGTCTTCAAGTAATGGGTATGTAAACTAATGGGCTAGTGCAATTACCACTGAATATCATTAAAAATCCCTTTTATCGACCTTTGGTTGGCATGAGGGATTCAGTATCAGTCTATGGTCACTCCTTTCAGTTTTGATAGCACTGCAGGGTTTTCTTAGAACTATGGTTCTTATCAGTTGCCTGAGCAATGTTTGACACCTATGGGTAGTCCCTGCTTCCTTCTGGGAGGTGGGCCCATGCCTCCTGGGAGGGAATTAACATTAGCTGGCTCACATATAGCTTATAAACAAAGTGCCAGCTGCAGTCTACCCTTAAGCTTGATTGTTTTGCATTAAATGTATACATAAGGATGTAATATGACTTCCCAGCTAACTCGATTATGGATATATGTATCATATTATTGTCTGGTAATAGTTCTAGTACCAGAGGGCCATGGGATATGTACCGTGAATGACATGATGCATATGTATTTTAATTGTTTTGCAGACACTACACTGAACTTAAACAGCTGCAGACGTACACAGAACTTTGTTATATCCTGTGATAGTATTATAATATGTAAATATATTATGTAGGAGTTACGGTACAAGTTCTTCCTAATGGACAAAATTCCCTTTTTAGCATTAATTGGTAGCAGGAACTCCAATGAAGCTTATCATCAAAACTGTTTGATACACTACCCACAAATCCTGCTGAATGACAAAAGGTACTAGCCCTTTTGTCATTGTGAGGATTTGTATGTTTACAATAACAGCTCTAATGTAATATACTACTGGTAGTATTGTGAAAAGCACCACAAGAACATCATAACTGAGGGAATTTTAACTCTGTCATAAAGTTATAATGATATTCATGGAAGATTAGCTGGTGGGCAGTAAAGTTATAAAAAGGGTTCCATAAATTGGAATATACATAGCTGAATTTCTTAAAAGAAAAACAAAGAATCGAATACCAAGAGATTCTCTCTTTTGCTTCTCTTTGCAACGGTATCTCTACTTCTCCTTTCCTTCAATTTTACAAGAACAAAAATGGACTCTGAGAAAGGTCTGACTCCAGCACCTTCAAAGGCTAGTCGTAGCAATTGTTGCCGAAACGTTCTTCTTGCAATTGCAATCACGACTGGGACTATTGCTCTAGCTTTATCTGCTTGCACTCTGGCACTGCAGATCACTAGCCATCAAGAACTTAGGAATGGTCACTTGCCACAATACACTGAGAAGCAAGAGCAAAGGATACTGCACCAGGTTAGCTTGCAACTTTGAGCAAGACATCCAAACTGCATGCACATTATGTATATATACCTTTTATTAAGTCATCCATCTCTTTCTTGTTTCTTATGCAGGTTGCCCAGTACTTGCATGATTCAGAATACAATGAAACAGCTAACAGAGTAGCCAGAAGTACCAGCTGCTCTTCTTCTCATGATTCAACTTTGGTGAGTTCAGACTATCAACAAATGACATCATTCATAAAATGTTTGCTTACTCTGCAGACTGTCAAACCATCAGCTCATATTGCAGGGAAAAGCTTTGGAGCCTCTAATATTCATCTTATTAGTAAATGTCCATGAGTCAGTAGATGCTTTATTGTATGCATATCTTTTAGAAACCTTCTTTGAGACCAGGATACCAATACTCTCTGCTGGCTGGAGTTGTGATAAAGGAAGGAATGGCCATGTTCTTGGAGGAATGAAGTACAACTCCAAGAACGGGTTTCTTAGAGTCCCAGTGGAAGGGATCTACTTCTTGTACAGTCAAATCCTTCTCAACATCACTTCACATGATGGCCCATCAACCAAACTAGGTCACATGACAGTCAGATGTGAATGTAAAGATGAGTCTAACGACTGCTACTGCTATAGCATGGAGAAGAACCTAGCATACACTAATCCTGGTAATGATATGGACGGGGACTTTATGCGCAGCTACACCACATGGAACAAAGGCTCGGCAGGTGGAAGCAAGTATCAAGGTGGTCTATTCCATTTGACAGCAGGCGATTATATTGCTGTTGTACCAGTGACACAAGATAATCCTGACAATGATCCAAACCTGAGTATCATTGCAAGGGATGTTGACTCTTTCTTTGGTGCATACTATGTGACTGGACTGAAAGCACCAGTTGCAACACCCACACCCTCACCATCTTTATAATTGCATTCCTTTTCTTAAGTTGTGTTTATTTAGTTTACTATAGTTTGTCTCTCTCTCTGTATTGTGTGTTTGTTAATGATTCATTCATTGTTATTTTTAGAAAAAAATATTTAAAAAATTGACACAAAAATGAAATCTATAGTCTAACAGGCATACACAAATTATACTAGTCAGTGAAGCATGTATAAAATAATGTTTAAAATTCAAAAATTCAAACATTGCTTGAAGCTGCTCTATCATTAATCCTTGGATTAAAACCGCCATTGAATGTGGCATTAATACGAATCTGCCGAAAGATGCGAGCATGTACATCAGCAAGTGGAGTCAAAAATGCCTTCATTGGCTCCACAACAGCTGGAATAGTTGCCCCACTAACGAACAGCGCGGATCTCATTATAGGCCACCACACCCAGGTTGTGACAAAAGCTAAAATGCTTGCAAGAAAGGCCCACACGAGAGTAATAAATATGCCAAATATCAAGACCAGGCCATTGTAGACTATCGCCTTTGTAAAGTGGAAGACCTTATTGTAGATAGCATAAACTTGAGGTATAGTTGGAGTGCTTTGGTGCTCATAAAAGACTGTCTTGAAATCCAACTGCAATAAAAAAACCAGTTATAGCTAAATGGCAATATACACTTGAATGTACATATAAACACAAAATGGAAGCTTACATCAAGGAGGGTTTCAAATGGCTCTGGTTCAATATTTTCACCATTATTCCGTGGCTGATTTTCTAGCCTGGTACTATTTCCAGGGTTTAGAAAGCTTAAGTTGTTATCATTGTACACAGATCTTTGGTAGCTTGGAGGAGAAGTGGGAGCAGCCATTCTTAAGTCATATGATGAAGTCGAGGATGAAGTGGGTGTAACTTTCTCAAACCTCAATGCTATGATAGTAGATGCCATAAATACCATAGTTTTACTGTCTGTTTATACTTTTAAAATATTTCATAAAAATAAAGAAAATGTCACACATTACTTGCAGCAATTCTATCTAAATTAAAACTCCCTCCAAGTGAAGCGTTAATCCGAATCTGTCGAAAAACCCGAGCCTGTACATCTTTTAATAGAGACAAAACTATCTTCAGTGGCTCAAGAAAAACTGGAAGGACTGCCCCCACGACAAAAAGGCCAAGTCGTATGCTAGGCTGCAATATCCAAGTCACCACAAAAGCCATCACACCTGCAAGAATAGCAAACAAGACAAGAAACCATGGGCCGATTATGAGGACAGCAACATTATAAGGTAGAGACTTGTGGCGAAAGAAGATGGTTGGGCAGATAGCTCGAACCTGAGGAATAGTAGCAGTGCTTTTGTGTTCATGGAAGACTTTATCAAAATGTAACTACAGGGAAATGCAAAAATCATTTTATAACAGAGCATGATTTTAACACCCACATCAGTCAGTGGTTCAGTAGGATCACTCTCTTGGTAGGCGAGTGGACCAAAGAGTCTGCTCCACTCGTACCAGAATACGCCTCTGGGGCCCATAGGCCTGGGAGGAGCCCTTCTTCCTAGATCCTCCAGGCGGGCAGCCATAACTATCATGAGAAGGAGTGGCTGTATTAACAGATGGGCGTGATCAGAGTTTTTGCCCACGTGCAAACACGTGGGATTGTGCTTGAACTTATAGGCGTGGTTTCTGTGCAAATAACATAATGGCTGAAGGTTCTGTGATCATAAAAGAGTTACTGAAGATAGATACTGGAGAGGAGGACGTGTTCTGTATCTGCCCATACACTCCTCAAGAAGGTATAGCCTCGGGTCACAGTTCAAAGATCAAAGTATGGAACAAGGACTCCTCATTGTATTATGAAGTATTACCACCAGTTCAAGGTGACGTCACTTGCATTCTGACCACGCCCACACACCTATTCATATCAGTCGACTCATCGCTGATCCTTTATGATCATCATGACCTGGCCACACCCACAGAAACCTGTCGGTACAATTCGGAGGAGATAAACCAAATGTCAATCAACACCTCTTGTAGTTACTTGCTCTGTGCTGATGATTCCGGTGACATATCTGTCATTGACATTAGCGCCATTGCTGCTGGTGGAAAATCTAAACTATACAAGAAATGCAAGCGCCATCATACCAACATATGCTCCAGCGTCACCTTGCACCCGTCGAAACACTGGGAGATGGTCTCCGGCGGACTGGACTGTCAACTGGTACTATGGGATTTTTCTCGTGGGCGGAGACTAGCCTCATTAAATATGCAAGAAGAGGGTGGGGCTGGGTATATGGTTAACCCTCCAATGGTACACTCAGTGTGTGGTTTAGGAGGGAACAGACCAGTAATAGCAGCTGGACTAGGTAATGGATCAGTGTGTATATGTCACGTAAGTGGATCTGATATTAACCTCACATCAACAGTGCAGGCTCATTCAAACAGTGTTGCTAGTGTAGTCTGTATCAGCAACAGAGAAGAACCTTTTAAATTGGATTCACACGCCAAAGGTGACAAAGCCAGTAGAGATGAAGAGATGTGCACTGATCTTGTTATATCTGGAGGGAATGACGGTAAAGTTATCTGCTCTCCTGTTTGGAAGACAGCACCTAAAGCAGCCACACCTTCCAAGTCTACTGGCAGTCATAGATCAAAAGGAAGCTCTCATAAGGTCCCACCTACTTACAGGATATCGGAGGAGCCATTAACCGTACATGAACATGGGTCAAAGGTCAACTGGTTGGCGGAACTGCCAGACTGGTCACCTGGTAAACATGTGGTAGGTGTGGCTGATCAGACATCTAATATCACATTGTATTTTATTGAATTATAAGAAATGAATTATTTTAAATTAATTAAGAGGTAAACGATTTAGGGAGAGAAGGAGAAGAAGGGACCAGCGGAGCAGGGAGAGCAGACAGCAACAGTGTCACCTGAAAAAGGAACAAAAACAAACTATTATAGATATACATGTACATATACATCCAATGTTCTATTTGTTATTCTATTTATAGTAACATACAGTATACCTAAACTATGATTACATAAACCCTCAAAGCTTTCAATATCACTCAGTAAAGAGACAAAATCTACTTCAAGAAAGCATAAGCAATGGCTGTATCTTTAGGAAAGGCTGAGGAGTTGATTGTGTGTCAAGATCGAGTAGAACTAGTACAGGAAGAAGTGATTGCAGACCCTGATTCTGGTATAGTAATGAATGTGAAGAAGACAAAAGTTGCTAAGGATGTAGGAGGTGGTAGGATTGCTGTTCAAGAGAAAATTGAACTCGAAGGAATTAAAGTTGACACTGGAAAGGTAAGACATGTTACAACACAGTGTAGCCTCTATATAATGGACAGACACTCTGGGAAGTCCTTTATGTGGAGGTTATTTTATACAGTAAGGAATGTAATTGGTACACTAGGTGCTGTCTGTTAAATGGAGGTGTACGCTATAAAGAGTGTCCATTAAGAGAGGCTACACTGTACAAGTAGCATGTGTTTTAAAAAGCTCTTAATTGACTTATTATTTTTCTGGTTAGAGTCAGAGCAACAGTTCAAAAGCTATTACAAATAGACAGGCTCAAAGCAGAAGAGCAGCACCTGTTCCTCCAACAATCGTCATCATTGATGCCTCGCCTACAAGAAATCCGCCAAAAAAACCAGCAGCCATTACATCAAGACCAAGTGCAACGAAGAACAACAACCAGTTGACCAGTGGATCGACCAGTAGCCTCACCAGTCGTCCAAAAACTAGTCCACAGTCAAATCCGTCTTCAACAACCGTCAATCAGAGATATTCTCAGCCAGCAACTAACATGCTCATCAAAAATAATATAAATGACAGCGATGAGGCCTCTCATTCCAATAAACAAAAGAATAAAAGTAAGCATGGATGCAGTACAAAAATATACTGACTGGCCCAGTAAAATTAAGCAATGCAAGGCCAGTGAGCGTAACTTTTAGCCATCATCCAGTAAAAATAAAAAGGTCTGTATATAGGCAATCAGGCATGTTGTTTTTGAAAGACGCTGCAGCTAAAAGATAAACAATAAACAAAAAATAACAAAAACTGTTATTAAAATACATGTACATGTACATGTACATGTACATCACACATCTACATGTACATGTATCTGAATCATAACAGCAAATAATTTGTATAGTCAATAATAATAATTTTTTTCTTTTATTACGTTTAGGTAAACAACAGTCTTGCACTGTGATGTAAAGACAATCATGGATTCATGGTCATGTTGTTTTATCAATGTTTAATGATCTAATATCTAAATGACTAATGTCCACTGTTTTATCAATGATAATAATATAAATAATAATAATGATAATGATAATAAGGCAATTCCTTACTTCATGTTGTGTGAGTGCTGATATGATCTGCTGGTCCTCTTCATTGAAATAGTTCTGAGATATGCTTCTCATTGACTGGTACACACTCAATACATTGTCCTAGTAGAATAAAATTAAAAAAATACTTGATTCCAATCAAAATTCATTTTTAAATAAATTTTTTAAAGTTGTTCCAAAATTGGGCCAAAGTCTCTGTACTATAGTACATGGTGTCTGACCAAATTTTGCCAAAAATGAAAAGGAGAGAATTCTCCATTTTATCTTCCCTCACCATCACTGGTTTGAACAGTATCTTCTCAGTCTCAGGGTTGGAGAGGTAGAGAGATAGGGACCTCTTCACAAGGGGAACTTCAGATCTTAGCAACTTATTAGTCTGTGATACAATAGCGTGGATCTCCTCTGAAATAATAAACAAACAAATAAACAAGTCACTAATTTTTCATAGTCTTTACTTGAGTCAGCAAATGGCTGCCTTGATATAAATTGAGCTGCTTCTTTCTTTTCTTTGCTGGCCAATTCAATGACAACATCAAATTTACTGAGCAAAGACTTCAGTGGATGAACAAGACTAGCAGTTGCATGCAGTATGAAGAGCTCACAGGCTTGCTTCAGCTGTAGGTCAACCTCCTGTACATGTACATCTTTTTATTATAAACATATTTTATAATAATGTGTACCTTTTTTGAGTCCAGTTGTGTTTCTATCAATTCAGGGACTCCTTCAAACAGAAACTCGAGGAAAGCATTGTTGCTGTTCAAAGAGAAGAACCTTGACCTTTTCTTGAGCAAATTAAAAGCAGCAGCTGCCAAAAACAGCATTTAGAAACAATGCTCTCTCTCTCTCTCTCTTTCAGCCATTACCTTTAGTCTTAGTGAAGTCAAGGGAGACTTCTTTCACAGAAAAGTTAACATTAAAGGCAGCAATCTGCTCCCTCAGTATCAGTAAATGTTTAATAAGAAACAGTTCAGAGTTTATGTCACCCTATCATCAACCATTAATGAATCCATTACTGATAATCCATACCTTCTTAGGCTGTATGGCATTTGCTGCTACATGTAATGAAGAGACACACTCACTAACCGCCTCTTGGGCTAAACCTTCAAATACTTTTCTCTACACAATAAAACAGAAGAAGATACTTAGAGTCACGTGTACCTGTACCATACAATACATGAACTGATGTTGATTTGTGTGCTAAAATACCCAAGGCTATAGCCCATGGTTTTTCCAAAAAATGGCTCCAAAATCACCCCCAATTTTTATTACATTTTTTGATACATATTGATGTCCTTATGCTGTGTAGAAAGTTTGAGCTAATTCCGACTTAAATTTTTTGAGTTACAGCCATTTTAAAAATGAGCAAATTTCTGAAAATTTCCCTGTACTATAGCCCATGGTTTTTTCCAAAAAATGGCGCAGAAATCACCCCCAATTTTTATTACATTTTTTAATGCATATTGACGTCCTTATGCTGTGTAGAAAGTTTGAGCTGATTCCGGCTTAAATTTTTCAAGTTACGACCATTTTAAAATGAGCAAATTTCTGAAAATTTCCCTGTACTATAGCCCATGGTTTTTTCCGAAAAATGGCTCCAAAATCACTCCCAATTTTTATTACATTTTTTGATACATGTTGATGTCCTTATGCTGTGTAGAAAGTTTGAGCTAATTCCGACTTAAATTTTTCGAGTTACAGCCATTTTAAAAATGAGCAAATTTCTGAAAATTTCCCTGTACTATAGCCCATGGTTTTTTCCAAAAAATGGCGCAGAAATCACCCCCAATTTTTATTACATTTTCTGATGCATATTGATGTCCTTATGCTGTGTAGAAAGTTTGAGCCGATTCCGACTTAAATTTTTCAAGTTATGGTTATTTAAAAACTTTAAATTTGTTAAAAACTACAGTTCAAGTTCTCTCATATACATTTGCATGTACAAGTTGATGGAGTACTCACCTCAAGGCACCTGTACAGTTTTGAAAGGAACATGAGTGTCCTCCTGACAGTGGGATACCACATAGCATGGAGATCAGTGATAGCTTGACCTCTGCCATATTTCTTCTTCTTACTGCCACTGGCACTGGATACACGAGACAAAGGAAAGGAAGAATTGTGAGGATCAACAGGAGTACTGGCTTCACTCTGTGAGGGAGGGAGGGAGGGAGAGGGTGAAGGAGGAAGAGAGAGGGTGAGGGAGGGAGGAGGGTAGCTAATGGCCTCTTACATCAGTGTCAAAGACTGAATCTGCATCTGAGAAGGTTTCGTTTTGGCGGCTCAAAGCAGCTGCTGCAGCCTGAGCCTCAGCCTGTTCAATAGAGGGAGTAATGTACACTGTACCAGCCACTAACCAGGACTATGAGTTTATCAGGGTAAGAGAGGTCACCTGGTGCTGGCCTGTATCTTTTAATATCAGTTTGAATATACCTCTGGGGGGAGGAGGAGGGGGCGGAGGAGTTAATAATGTTATATCAGTACAAATACCTGAGCTCTGAAGACAAGTCTCTGTTGTATGTCTCCTAAAAGTCCTTTGATTATTAAACCAAATCTCTCCAGCTGCTCTCCTTCATAGAAACATTAAAAAACTACTACACTACATGAACTTACCTTTTGGTTCAACAACCTCTTCAACCATTTCAACCTTAATAATATAAATAAATAAATAAATAAATAAATAAATAAATAAATAAATAAATAAACACCTTAAGTATAGTGCACAGATCTGTTAGAGTTTCCAAGTGGTTTATGTGAATGATGATCGGGCGGAGACTGTCGTACATTTGATAACAAAAACCTTCCAAGAGATCACTAAAGAGAGAGAGAACGAGTCACAATGGTTCAAAAGGTCTTATTCGAGTAACCATTAAGAGCATGTCGACACTTACTTGAGTTGTTGACTGTGTCTAGAGAAGAAGTGATAATACAACTGGTACTCATCCATACAAACCCTGGACACTAAATTACAGGCTTCTCTGATCTAAAATGAAGGAGGAGGAGGAGGAGAATAGTCTCTAATAAAGTGACCATGTACCAGTGAGCTGTATTCTGTTTGTTTGTGTTTAGTTAGTTCAAGAAGAGTAGCTGTCACTGATGGTGATAGCAAGAGACGTCTTTGAGATATGTAACACTGCAAGCAATCCTGTAACAGTGTGGTATAGCTGAAATAAAGAGAGAGGGAGGGAGGGAAGGAGAGAGGGTGACACAGCTGCTACTGCTGCTGTTATTAATGTACTAACTCTGAGGATTTCTCTGCTCTTAGTTCAACTTCACTCATCAAACTCTATCAAGAATAGAGCGTCACCATATGTAGTGACAGTGACAGCCGATCATACAGTACATTGTATAGGACATACTTTAAGTTTAGGAGCTGATCCTCTGAATTTACCATAAAACTGAGAATAACTGGTCTCAGGCATGCCCACTGACTGATGCTGCTGCTATAAAAATTAAATAAAAATAAATAAAATAAAATAAAATAAAATAAAATAAAAAGATGTAGATGTACCTGCAGAACTGATTGTGTGGTTGATCTGATAGTGTGAATGAACTGTTGCTTAATGGAGGAGAGAGCTTTAGACAGCTGCTGCTTATAACGAGCCAAATAAACTGAAGACTCTTTAAAATGAGGCTACAATAAGAGGAGGAGGAGGAGGAATGAGATATACTGTACATGTATGTAATGATGACTAAAGAAGTGTACATTTCAACTAACGAAATAATGATTGTATTAGTGGGCCCTATGTTACACAAAACTTAAAAATTAATTCACAGAAATACAAACTTTATATGGGTCACTCATAAATTAATTTTAATAGATAATAGAGATAAATTATAAAGAAAATCATTAAAATGTTCTGAATAGTCTTACATGTGACTCAATGAAGGCAATACACTCATCAAGACGGTTCAATAGGACTGGGAAGTGATCAGACGATGGAGAAAATGAGGGAGCATTTAACTTCTGTCCCAGCTGTTCCAGCTCCGTAAAATAGGAGAGTTTACTGGTGATAGCTTCGGCAAAGCCTGATAACTGATTCTATGGAGAATAAAAAACTATTTATGCATGTATACATGGGGTATAGGGTATTTCATGAAAAATAGCAAAAAGAGTTTTTTCCATTTAAAAAATTCTTCCTGATACATGTACATATACATGTTCTTATGTCGTATTTCAATTTTGAGTAGATTCCAATCACATTTGAATTTTTTTACAAATTTTTAAAGTTGCTCCAAAATTAGGCCAAAGTCCCTGTACTATAGTATAGGGACTTTGGCCAAAATTCACCGAAAATGAAAAGTAGAGAATTCTCCACTTTTATAATTTTTTCTGATACATATACATATTCTTATGTTGTGTTTAAAGTTTAAGCTGATTCCGATCACATTTAAATTTTTAATGAATTTTTAAAGTTGCTCAAAAACATGGCGGACACTTACTTGTTCTTGCACAAGTTGTTCACATGCTTCATGAAGAGCTTGCGTCTTCTCCGAGACAAGCTGATGCTTCCTATTCATATCATGGAGCGACTCAAGAGCAGCTGACAACTGATCCAACATACCACCACACTCAATACTGTACTGCTTCAAATGGGAACAATAATCCCTGAGGAGGGAGGGAGGGAGGGAGGAAGGGAGGGAGGGAGGAAGGGAGGGAGGGAGAGGGGGAGGGAGGGAGGGAGGGAGGGGAAGGGAGGGAGGGAGGGGCATAAAGCCAAACATGGTTTCTTCTCCCTAACCTATAGACACTGTCCTTATTTGTGACAACATCAGCATCCATTTCATCAAACCACGCCAGCAACTAACAATTAATAAAATAATGATTATTATTATTGATTAATTAATAATATCATGTACAAGTACCACACCTCTTGCATTGTCTGCACATTTTTCAATTTTTCTTCAATTTCAATTATCGTCTCATCTTTCTTGATCCTAGTAGGTATGATATCTCTACTGGATGATAACTAAAATTAATTTTAAAAATAAATAAATATATTATACTAATTAATGGTATCAAGCCTCACATTCCGAGGTAGTGGTCTATTCCCTGCTGTTGTACTTAGTTTCATGAATTCTTCTCTTGATGTCTCGTCCAGTGGAGCCAGTGACGACTCCCATTGACTTAAACGATCTCTAACTGACTTACCACTACCTCCTGCCATTTTGAAATGAGATCTAGTAGTTAAATAAACTGCTTAAGCTTTAACCCTTTGCACACTTAATTTATTAATATTTTGTTTGATTTTTAGGTTTTCTCTTCAGAAGTTCTTAATTCACAGCCCTGCTCATCATGAAGTATGTACTGTACCTTATTAAGTTTGTTTAATTAAATGGGAAGAGGTTAAAAACTAATCAAGCATTAATAATAATAATTCATTTCTAGTAACATGAAATCAGTCCGAGACATTACCCTGAGGGAGTTAGAGCTAGGTATTGAAGGTGGAGCTTCATGGCATCAGCAATACGCAACTAGTGCTTATATATTCATAGGTATCTTACAATATGTCACATAATCCTCAATTGACTTGTTATTAATTAGGTGGGTTGGACTATGATCTGACTGAAGGTGATGTTTTGTCTGTCTTTTCTCAGTAAGTAATAGCACTGGCGTCTAGTGTACACTTTAAAGTTTACACATTATTATTAATTTCCTGAGCATGGAGCATGTTTCTGGCCTTTGTCATACTAATCATCACTAATTAACTACCACATACTGTCAAATATTCCATAAGGACTGTGTGGCGTTCAAATTGAATGAAATATGTACTAGTAATCATCACTGTTTGAAAACATGCACTGCATATTGAAAATTAGTAATAATATAATTATACTGCTTATTTCAATGTTGTACTGATGTTACAGGTATGGGGAGATTGTGAACATTAATCTAGTGAGGGACAAGAAAACTGGAAAGTCGAAAGGTTTTTGTTTCATCGGATATGAGGATCAGCGAAGTACCATACTGGCAGTTGATAATTTCAATGGCATAAAAGTATTGGAATTAAAACAGTTGAAAGAAATACTTAATTTTAATTTTATATAATACATGCATCAGATGATATATTCTATTACAACAGCAGCTTATACTAAGCTATTGCTTATATTTTCATTTTAGCTTTGTGGGAGATCAATACGTGTTGATCATGTGCAGAATTACCGAAGACCAAAAGACGAACACGGGAATGAAATCATTGAAAAAGGTTGCGCACCAAAACCATTTTCACCTGAACCAAAGAAAAAGAAGAAGGCAAAGAAAGAAAAGAAAAGTAAAAAGAAAAAGAAGCAGAAGCTTGGAACTTCTAGTGACAGTGAAGGAATGAGCGATGATAGTGAAGAGAATAAAAAAGAAGCTACTGGAGAAAAGACTAGCCCAGAACAAAGAGAAGAAGTATCTGTAGAAAGAAGACGAAGTCCACATGAAAGAAAGGAGTTTAGGAGAAGAGAAAGAAGTCCAAGTTCAGGACGAGAGATGAGTCCTGTTGCAAGAAAGAGAAGTCCAATGGAAAAGAAAGCAGGAAGAAGTCGTTCTAGGAGTCCGGCTAAAAGAAGGAGAGAAAGAAGTCCAGCTGAAAGAAGGCAGAGGGAAAGAAGTCCAAGATGGATGAGTCCTCATATTGAGAGGAGGAGGAGTCCAATTGAACGGAGACCAAGAAGAGAGAGAACTCCCGAGAGAAGGAGAGAGAAAAGTCCAACTGAAAGAGGAAGAAGACATCATTGAAATTATTAATCTTATTGCATGCTACGAGTTAATTATATTTATTAATTATACATTTGGCAGAATAGCCTGCAGCAGTCAAACTTTGAAGATGGGCAGTCTTGGTGGACATGTAATTCCAGCTATCTTTTTCCTGGTCTATGGCATCTGGTGGATCATTGGCACCTTCTGGCTCTATTTGAGTCAAAAGTACAACTTGAAGATCAAACAGAAAGGATTCTTTGACATTGAGAACATAGCAAAGAAGTCTTACATACCAATATGTCTCCTTCCATTGTGGCCAATTGAACCAGTTTTGAAGATACTCTTTCCTTCAATGGGTATCATAATGGAAGTGTTCTTTAGAGTGAGGTCTAGTAATGACACAAACCACTATGAGACTGGAGTTTGGTCCATGTACCAGAGTGATGGCTCCTTTGGCATACAAGTCAAACTGCACCACATTACTATGCACCTTTGCTTCATAGTCTCTGGTATTGTTGATCTCCTCTCTCTTTGCAGTCGTTATCCCAAACACACCTCAAAGCTCTTCCTGGCTCTTGCTTTCTTTGTTGAAATGTTCCTCTTCTACTTCCACATTCAAGGTGATAAAGATCGGAGTCAATTGGAGGTTCTGATGCATGAGCTCCTCATATTCAGTATTGGGGTTTGTGTGGTGTTTGCTGCTCTAAGGATGGTGAGATCTTCTAACATACTAATCAATGGAGGATTAGCTGTAGGGATAACACTCCAAGGTACTTGGCTCATTGAGATTGGAGTTGTTATATTTAGTTCTGTCAAGTGGAAAGATGTCCATAACAACAACATGTTCATTGTGGCTTGTTTTGTCTGGCACTGTATGTGCATTATAGTTGGCATGTTCATACTCTTCACTGCAATGGAGTATGGAGTACAGCGATACACTAAAAAGAAACAAGTGTACCAGCTTTTGGATAAAGACTTGGAGGAAACACAAACATAACTTAAATTCTTTAAAGTGATAAATTACTTTATTATTTTTATTATAACTTTTTTGTAAGTTCCTTATCATGCAGCACAGGAAAATAATGGCTACTAATGCTCATGCATCAACTTTAACTCTAACTCTATAAGCTCCTTTTGCATCAAAAATGCAGAATTTTTCATTAAACTTGGCTCATGCATGGTATGATGGCTATAATGTTTATATTTCTCAGTAATAATGCAAGTAGCCTAGCTCAGTCATCCCTGCTGCATGTATACTTATAGTCTGGTTTATTTCCTGGGCAGTAACGCATGTTTTGTGGTTTCTATTTACACAGTAATGTCATTTTACTACAAGGGCTGCATGTGGAGAACTGTAGTCATAGCTTGCATACTATCATTTCATTAACATTAATTAGTGAAATACCTAATTAACTTAAAGAGTAAAGATGGCCAGAAGTGGAGAAGGGGGCAGTCTGGGTGGACACATAGTTCCAGCTATCTTTTTCCTGGTCTATGGCATCTGGTGGATCATTGCCACCTTCTGGCTCTATTTGAGTCAAAAGTACAACTTGAAGATCAAGCAGAAAGGATTCTTTGACATTGAGAACATAGCAAAGAAGTCTTACATACCAATATGTCTCCTTCCATTGTGGCCAATTGAACCAGTTCTGAAGATACTCTTTCCTTCAATGGGTATCATAATGGAGGCTTTCTTTAGAGTGAGGCCCAATGACACTGAGCATGACCAGCACTATGAGACTGGAGTTTGGTCCATGTACAACAGTGATGGCTCCTTTGCTATGCTTGTCAAACTACACCATATCACTATGCACCTTTGCTTCATAGTCTCTGGTATTGTTGATCTCCTCTCTCTTTGCAGTCGTTATCCCAAACACACCTCAAAGCTCTTCCTGGCTCTTGCTTTCTTTGTTGAAACGTTCCTGTTCTACTTCCACATTCAAGATGATAAAGACCGGAGTCAATTGGAGGTTCTGATGCACGAGCTCCTCATATTCAGTATTGGGGTTTGTGTGGTGTTTGCTGCCCTAAGGATGGTGAGATCTTCTAACATACTAATCAATGGAGGATTAGCTGTAGGGATAACACTGCAAGGTACTTGGCTCATTGAGATTGGAGTTGTTATATTTGGTCCAGTGGAGTGGAAAGATGTACATAACAACAACATGTTCATTGTGGCTTGTTATGTCTGGCACTGTATGTGCATTATAGTTGGCATGTTCATACTCTTCACTGCAATGGAGTATGGAGTGCAGCGATACACTAGAAAGAAACAAGTGTACCAGCTTTTGGATAAAGAGTGGGAGGAAACTCAAACATAAATTAATTAATTAACCTCAGCAACATCAGTTTTTACATGTTTATTTTGCTACGCTAATTATGGACACTCCCCCGGCTAAGATGGCTAGGCTCATACACATTATGAATAAATTATTTGATGCAGCATTGCTCATAAATGTCATGGTTATTATTCTTCAAAAAAATAATAATGTTTATGAAAAATTTTTTGAATTATTCTAAATACCGGTGCGCATGCGCAGTGCAAACACTCCCTCCCAAGATGGCGGATCATACAGCTAAGGATAGTAAACCAAAGTTTGATATGTCCCATTGGTATTATTGCTCTTTATGGTGGAGAAATTATCTGTATTGGCAATCACATCTTGCTAATTCACCTCAAGCTACTACTCAGCCTGTCTATACCCCGCCATTTCATCCTTTTCAACCACCTCCAGTACAAGTGGTAGGAGGAGCTAGAGGACCTTCATTTACTGTCCATATAAGATTGACTACTGGTAAGGTATCCTCAATACAGTGTCTTTAATTAGAACTGTGTTTAAATAGCTGTGCCAACCCACCTTGATTGGTTGATTACTCAATGTTGTTATAGACTTCTTCAGGTGAGATTGACGGTGGCCTATGAATATCATTACTGTTTATTACGGTATCCACCTACGGTGATAAGTGGCCGCCATTTTGGACGGCAAGATTCAATGGAGGATGAATGAAGAAAAGGCAAAACTGATTCTTTTCGTTGGCATGGAGCTTTTTCAAGTTACAAAAGCTGGTTGGAGGAAAGAATGGTCGCTGCTAAGCATCTCCTAAAAGGGATTTGGTGCAATATGAAGCATATTCTTTATTACATCTTGCTTTCTGCATTAGCCCATTCATACTCCATAGAAAGTTGCCGTCCATGAAAATTATTTCAGAGTCAGCCAGGCTCAGTCACGCCCCTTGCCGTATATCATTCTTTGACGTAATTCATTCTCACCCAAAGAGGTCTATTGTTATTATTATTATCACTTTGTTTACAGTTATTATTGTTATCATTATACATATACGTTAGGTTTTGAAACATACTTTGCTCCACTGTGGCGTCGTGCTGTTGCTGAAGCTATAGATACATTACTTGTGATGCTATTACTAAAATGGATACTACCATTGCTTGACTTTCGGTTAGACAAAGAGCTTGCATTGTGTGGGAAAAACTTTCTGGAATTTACATGCTCTTGCAGAAGTATTGTAATTTCATATTGTTGTGTTTTGTAGTATTCCTGAGGTTCTGTTTCTTGGTACTGATGAGATAATGGGAATGGATGATGAATCCATTGAAGAAGTAGCTTGGACTATGATTGTATTCTTCATCTCTGTCATTCTAGAGAGAACAGTTCACATATTAATGGAGGCAAGTATCATCAAGAGTATTGCATGGTGATTTTACTTATTTACACACATTATTACTGTTTACATTAATGGTATAAGAAGAGCAAAGCTCAATTAGGTTAGAAGCACATGATTAGGTACAATGTAATGTGTAATCAAAACATTTCATTGAATATGGTATCCCATTAGTCTAAACACTACGCTCATTCTTTTATTTACTATACTTCTGTTCTTGTTCCTCTTAATTTAGTTATTGTGTTGTCATAAGTTTGGCTGTACACCAGGAAAATGGCTGCTGGGTTTACGTGTGTTCAACTGTACCTCATTGCATTATACACAAACTGATCCATTCAGAACTGTGAAGATTGAACCAGGAAATAAACTAGGACTCTGGCAGTAAGTGTATGTAGTATACTGCCTCTAATCTCTCTCCCCTCTCTCTCCATATTAGGTCAACATTAAGAGCTGTCTTTAAATCAGTAGTCAGTTTGTTCTGTCCTCTTGTTATATTCTTTATTGTTATGGACAGAGGAAGACCTCAATATGATAGAGCTTTTCGTACTGCAGTTGTACATTATAAATATTTGTACAGACCAATTTAATTATTTACGGCTTTCACATCTTTAGAATTTTAAGTCACTAATGGCAGTTTAATTTACTGCAATCAGTGCAATGCAGCTTTGTATGAACACAACCAAAGTGGATTCATTATTATTATTATTCAGCATTCTATCTGGATCAAAAGTGGCTTACTAGTTACAATTGCTACGAATAATCATTGATTTTAACTACTCTATTTAGATCTATGAGAATAATCAAACAAATTTAATTAACCGAGGGCGTATCCCGAGGTTAATTAATGTTTCCAAGGTAATCTAAACCACGTAGAAACCGAAAATGCGTTGTCTGGGTTCTTTAGATTATAGTCAGGTAATGTTAGGCAGTGGGCTCGTTACCAACAAGGATGATGCTGTTGCTAACCAGTCTTTTCCATGTTCTGAAAAGTTATTGGTCAGTGATTTTACCTTGGGAGACGCCGTAGCGACAGCACAAGACAGTTTCAAATCAAAACTAGCTAGGTCCGACAAAGATATCACTCGGCAATGTCTTCTACAATACTAGCCTCAGTAGCCTGTCCTGTTAGAGCTCTGCAGCAAACAGCACAAGGACAAAGATACGCTATCCCAAACCAGCAAGGAGTGCTGGCATCCGTAACCGGCGAAAAAACGAGGGTAGAAACAATTATTGGTGCATAAACCAATGGAATACTTGGTGTAGGTGCATGGAAGCTACAACTTGATGAAACTCCGTCTATGATGTCTCTCAGTTGCGAAGGCCGGCTAGCAAAATCTATGGAAAGGTTTGTCCTGGAAGTGAGGAAAAAGACGGCACTGAACTTATGTTCCTTAGTTCCTAATACTCTATACCACATGGTGTGTGGTATCTAGCTGAACAAAACTACCAGCAACAAAACAACAAAACAATGATGACAAAAACAATGTTTGAAATGGGAGGAATAAAAGGAGTCAAAACTAATCATTCTTTACAAGCAACTGCAGCGACCCGTTTATACAAAGAAGGTGTTGACGAACAACTGATAATGGAACGCATTGGTCACCATAGCATCGATGGAGTGAGAAGCTACAAGAGGACATCACAGCTGAACAAATGATTGAGATATCAGATATTTTAGTGAACACTCAAAATACTCAACAAACAAAAAACAAACAAACAAAAAAAATTCTTTCAGTAACTGCACAAATTAATTTTGAGCTCCGCCCCGTTGTCCATTTGGCACTTTTTATTTTTGCTTAGTCACGCTGTTGATTCCGAGGAGTGCCGAGGTTGGATGACCTCGGATGAATCCAATGATGAATGACTTGACTCTTCTTTTATCAATTAGATCTTTATAATCTACAGTACTGTATAACAATTTTTATAGACCAGTTGTACTTTCTAACCGCATGCGCTGATTCGCGCCACGGTGATTTTGATTTGAAATTATGATACTGATTTGCGGTTTTTTTCCTTCATTCGGCGGTAGCTATAATAGTCATGGCAGGGTTTGTTCCTCGTGCTGATAAAGTCTGCCTTCAATAAGCAAGGCATACTTTTGTGAACTTATTTCTTTGTCCACCCACTCCAGTATAGTTTTAAACTGGTGAGTTTCGCATACACAGTCACTTATAGCATCAAACAGGACTAAATTCAGGAAAAGCTAGCTAAGCATGACTCAGCTTTTTTTTAGTGGGCTGAGTTATGCCAGTTTATTTGTAGTATTTTTATTTTTGAGCTCAAAAGGCTATAAAAGAAAGCTACATGGTCTATGTTGCACTTCCAATAAAGACTTTGGTGCTATTGTATGTATAAATAAATAAATACCTAGTCTGGCTGGTAGTTTGTTTTTAATGGGTGTGGCAAGGGATTTTTGAAAAAAAGCCAAGACAACTGAATCATGGTTGATCCAAATTTTGTATACACATTTCCTTTATAGAATTCAACATGGCCTCTCATTCACTTGTATTGACAAAAAAAGCTTATTCGATTTTAGAAATTTCTGATGCGCAGCAAAAGCAACAAGCAAAACGGTCAGACACAGAAACAAGAGCCATGGAGAATCAATTTGCTTGTTTCGTTGCGACTCGATTAGGAGTAAAATTTTTGTACTGTGAATCAAGGTTGGGTGCCATTTATGGAAGTATTAAAGGAGATCGAAGAGAAATCCTCCACTCAGTTGTTGAGAGACTTGGCTTTCTTAAGACACAAGGCCTTAACCCAAGTGAAGTTGATCTATCAAATGCTTTGTTACAACATGGTATATCTTCTTTAAGTATCTCACACAAACCTCCTGATCAACTTGATTCACTTGAAAACATTTTTAAAATGGCACATGACCTCAGGCTCGTTGATATGAGAACTATACACGATGAACCATACTCTGATCATCTGATTCAAAAGTTCTCAGCAGCTGTATATCTTAGTCGGGAGCCACTGATGACTCTTATTGAATTCATTAAACAAAATATAATCAGTCAAAACAACAAATTAACGATACGAGTAGAAGATGAACATGAAGTAAAAGTGGGAAAGGATTGCAGTGAAGTCCTTACGTACGTATTTGGACTAGCAAAAAGTGGGTTAAACGATAGTTTATCTGACGCCTTGCCTTCAATCATTCAGTTTATGTGTCAGACAATCGTCACTACTGAGCCTATTGTTGATGACAGAATAGCTCTTGTTATTTTAGCATGTCTTCGACAAGCACAAGATTTTACACTGTGTAGAAAGGTTCACCATGAACATTTTAAAAGACAAATCTTCTCATACCAATTTAGTTTTTTAGATTTGACGGATTTAGCCTATTACTTGTCCTGTACTACTTCAGAACAACAATCATGGACAATATATTATAATGACAAAGTTACTGGAAATGCTGTTTCTTCTTTCGTGAGCCATATCAACAAACAATACAAAATAACTGTGCATTCTAAATTGCAGCCTGACATCACAATGAAAGAACAAGGAAGAATTATCATTAGCAATAGAAATCTCGATCACTTGAAGAGTGTTCTACTGTCATCAGTAGCTTCTATCCAGTCTGACATGTCAATGGTACTAGGAATGGAGGCTATGCAAGAAGGAATATCACCAACTCCTCGTTTACCTTCTGATCCCCCCAGTACACTGGCTTTTTCAGTTTCTCCTCTACCATATAAGTTTGGTTATATTTCAAAAGTGAAGTATGAAGCAATGCAAACTGCAGAAAACGTCACGTATTTTAACATGGTCAAAGATGTCATGGCTACCTCGCTCCAGTCTTATTCAAGACAACCGCTAGAGTGCCAGTATCGTAAAGCTGATCACATTTGGATCACTGGCAGTCAGTCCTTGAGACATCATTTCTATAAAAATGTCCTCATTGCACCTTATGTCCCCATGCACTGGGTCAAGGTATGAATGAAATACACTTATCATACACTCTGTAGTCTGTACAATGCACTTAATACTTGTTGTGATGAGAGGGTCACTCTATTTATTAATTCATAGAATATGTATGTGTCTTTGATCTGTGAGTGGGCCAATGAGCATCAGTTTAATGAATGTGCTTATAATTCTATTTGTAGTCTCCTTGGGAATGTGGTGTAACTAAACATACTATGAAACATCACCTGTCAAAGCTGTGGCTTATTTATAGTACATGTACATGTACACGTATCTAGTATTGGGTTTCCTGATAAAGTTTTCTCCCCTTTTTCTTTCTCATTTGTATGCCCATGTACATGTATAGGTCAAGCAACCTGATGGAAGTGCAGAGTTGGAAGCCAAATATGAAGGAAGAGCCAACGCTGAAATGCAATCAGACATAGTCTCACCTGAGACCTCAGAAATAGTTCTTCTTAATTCTCATCGCTACACTCAAATATCAATCACCACTTTAACGGGTGAACAATCAGTCATTTCTTTATATAATAATTCAGAAGAGGCTGAGCCCCCTGGTTTTATTGGCTGCGATTATCTAGCACCTGCTCATGAGGTGAAAAGAAAAGTACTTTGGAAGGAAATGAAACCGTTTGATATTGTGAAAGACGAGAGAGTTGGGAGAGAGTTACCACTTCCCTCGAAGAGAGGGACTGAGTCTGGGGATATGACAGCAACTACTGCATCTAAAGCTTTGGACGATGATCCTGACAGATTCAAACCATCTACTCGGTAAAAGATAATAAATAATATAATAATAAATATTAATGATAATAATAATATCTTGTCTTTCATAGACCAACCAGTTCAGTTTATGATACGACTAAGAGCACAGCTGGTGGTATCCGTCCACTAGGTGTGACTACCGCCAACGAGCAACAGATTAAGAGACAAGCTTTAGAGGCTTTTGATACTGCTGGTCAATGCTTTTATGTAAGGAGATACTGTAACTGGATGTGTATATCATATTTATTTATTTTAGGGTGATAATATTAAATTCTTCAGTGGAAAGGTTTATACACAACCTAATGCATTACCAGGAGCAAGAGTGTTGAGGGAAGGAGGAAATGGACTTATATTAGAGGTAAGGAGTGGATATACATGTACATGTACATTTAGTTCACTTATAAAAGCATGTTTTTAATTGTGAGAAACCTTGTATACATGTAATTGTGTTTTCTTTCCAAAATGTCAATCCCTGTGTGTCTACATGTATAGATATATTATGAAGGGACACCATATGCTGTAAAGAGAACTGCCTTCAGATGGAGAGAGATCCTGATCATGCCTAAACTACACCATGAGAATATTCTACAGCTAACGGCCATGTTGATGGGCCCTCCCATTGAAGGGTATCCAAGGAGACGATATGTTTATCATTATTATCCTCGAATGACAAGTACTAGAGACTAATGGAGAGAGACTGTTGGTCACTGTCTCTTTCTTTTCTTTTTAGATGATCTCGGCCGACTGATTGGTTCTTACGAGAAATATTGTTTAAGGACTTTAAAAGATAAATTTAAGAATGAAAAATTACTACTAAATAAAATATTGAGCAATTTTAGGTAAGCAGCATCATTAGTTTATAATACCATTAACATACTGTACATTCCTCAATTAATTATCCTACGTTAGGTTTGTTGCTAGGGAATTACTCAAAGGATTAGATTATCTCCATACTCTACCAAACCCGATCGTCCATCGGGACATTAAACCGTCCAACATATTAGTATTAACTGATTGTGACTGCCCCAACCCTCTGGCCTGTGTCTGCAGGAAAAGGCCAAGAATTGTTAGAAGAAAACTTCACATGAACATATTATGGTCTGTTTCTGTAGGTTTTATCTGATTTTGATGCGAGTCTTGAGCTCGCTACAGATGGTACTCTCCACCCTGATCCTCCTCGCTCTCTCATGACTCAAGGGTTCTACATATCCTCCGAGAGAACCTACCACATTTCCCCTGTCGGTACAATTGGGTTTAAGTCTCCTGAAGGTTTCATTCACATGATTGGTAACAGTGCTGATGTGATGCCTGTACTAACCACTAAAGCTGACATATTTAGTTTTGGTCTTGTGATGCTATTAATAGTACTAGCTGAAGAAGGGCCTAGGAGTATGTCTAAAGTTAGTAACCGCCCGCTCACAATCAACACCACTCACTCCAATTAACAATAATTGTTTATTGTTGTTTTTAGATGGGTGTGTTGCTATTGTCTCTTAATACTTCAAAAATGAAAGTTGATTGTACTCCAAAGTCTCCAATGGGCACTGTAACTATCACTGATAAAGATATCAATAAAATATTACCAGTGAGTTTGAAATATGCACCATAGTGACCATACACCTGGTAATTTGACATTTTACCAAAATAAAAGTGGTTATGCATGCTGAATGGTACATGAACACAAATTTGAACTTGCCAATCACCAAAAATTGCTTAATTGTGATATTATTTATTTCTTTCTCTACAGTTTCACAGATTAAAGTCAGAATTTACTGCTAGTCTTCCAGCTGTTGTTGAATTCATCACTAATTCCTTAGAAATTGATCCAGAGCATAGGCCAACAGCTAAAGACCTCTTACGTCATCCGTTTCTTGATGAAACAGGGAAATACTGATTACTAAGTGCTGTCATACCTTAAAGAAAATAAGCTTTAGGGTTCAACTTAAATTTTAGATGTGCAATGTCTGCATGTACTTGTGAAACTGCAGTAGTATTTTAATCATGAGTATTTTGCAATTCACTCTATGTAGCTATAACGTGATCCCTAATAACATTGTTCATAACACTTCTCCCTTTTTTTCTCCAATGTAATTAAAATAATGATCATTAACAATTATTTAAGCCACACCCCCTGGTAACACAAATGATAAATAAATCCCAGATTTCCCCCAGTTCTGTCTCTGTGTTTGATAGACTGAGGTCCAGAGTATGAAGGCAGCTATCCATATCAGTGCACCCAACCATGAGAACAAGACGTAGCGCCTTATCCTGGTCGTCACTTCACTTTTAACAAAGAATCCTTCCCTAATGAACCAGAGACCGTTCACTAGCCACACAAACGGAAGACCAAAGCAGCCAATGATGAAATACCTCCTGCATATCAACAGCTTCTCCTCTGAAGACACTGACTCGCTGTTTAGATTCATTTTTATAAATTTTTTTGTACAGAAGTGAAGAGAAGAAAAACAATCAATACACCACACCCAGAATTAGCCACGCCCACTTTGGTCTAGTATTGACCACGCCCACTATAATTTGGCGGTGCAGTGTGCACACGTGTCGTGTACCTGACGTTTTCGTCTTCTCTCTGAGTCCTCTCTCTCTTTAAAGTTATGGAAGGAGACCTTTATGATGAGTTTGGTAATTATATAGGCCCAGAGCTGGAGAGTGATGAGAGCGAAGAGGAGGAGGACAGAGAAGAAGAGGACGAGGAACAAACAAATGAAGACATGACACTACCAGAAGTGAGAGAGGGAGGGAGGGAGGGGTTGATTATTATTAATATTATTACAGGACGATGAAGGTGAGGATGACATGGAGACTGGTACAGTGGCGCTGGTCGCTCCAGAGACACAGGCCGTGGTGTTGCATGAAGACAAGAAATACTATCCAACGGCAGAAGAAGTTTATGGACCTGAAGTAGAGGTATGTTTAATGTGGGTGGAGCTAGAATGGAGTGGGAGGGGCTGGTGTTGCAATAAGTTTTTTGTACATGTAGTATGTACCTTTATTTAATTAAGTGTGTAGGTGTTGTATTAGGAAAATTTGCACCTTATCATTTTTGGCAAAATTTCTATAGGGACTTTGGCTCAATTTTAGAATAACTTTAAAAATTCATAAAAAATCCAAATTTGATTGGAATCAGCTCAAACTTTCTACACAACATAAGAACATGTATATGCATCAGGAAATGTTATAAAAATGAAGAATTCTCTACTTTTCATTTTTGGCAAAATTTGGCATGAAACCCTGTACTTTAGTACAGGGACTTTGACCCAATTTTGGAGCAACTTAAAAAATTCATAAAAATGCCGTTTGATTGGAATTAGCTTAAAGTTTAGTAGATGTATATTATTATTAATTAATTAATTAATTAATTAATTATTATTATTATGTAGACTATCATACAAGAAGAGGATACTCAACCATTGACAGGTGAGGGGGTGGGGTCAAGGGTGTGACCTGTTGGGCTTTATTTAGAACCAATTATTGCACCTGTGAAAAAGAAGAAATTTACGATACAAGAAAAGGGACTGCCCCGCACTAACTATAAGATTGAGTATGTAAACCACTGGTATTTGGAGTATTTGATTGTTCGTCACTTCTGAAGGTTTTTAGCCGACCTCATGGATAGTCCTCAACTGATTCGTAATGTGGCTATAGTCGGGCACCTCCACCATGGAAAAGTATTTAATTTGTTTGTTTGTTTGTTTATGATGTTGTTGTTGTTTAGACGTCATTTGTTGACAATTTAGTCGAGCAGACTCATCCTGATATCTATGTTGGAGAAACTAAAAATGTAAGAAATGGTTAAAAATGTAACAGAAACTTATTTCTTCTCTCCCTCTCCCTCAGTTAAGGTATACTGATACTTTATTTACTGAACAAGAGGTATGTTTGTTGTTTGTTGTTTGTTGTTATTGTTTATTGTTGTTGTTGTTGTTTATCAATAGCGTGGTGTTAGTATCAAGAGCACTCCATTGACACTAGTACTACCTGACACAAAGGATAAATCATTTTTAATGAATCTCTATGATACACCAGGTAATTGGTGGGTGTGGTCACAGCACAACACCATCGATCAGCACTGCTGTGTGTGTTTGATCTTAATAACTTGTGCTAATATTAATATAATTATTGATTAATTAGCATTGCAGTATCTGCTCTATTGCTGCTAGTGTCAGTCATTGATATACATCACGTGATGTCATGTGACCTCATCTTTGGTCATGTGACCTAATCTGTCTCTATTAGGTCATGTTAATTTTTCTGACGAGGTGACAGCTGCTTTTCGTTTGTGTGATGGAGTAATGATTGTAGTGGATGTATCAGAAGGAGTAAGAGCATTATTATTATTATTATTATTATTATTCTTTTTATTGTTGTTAGGTTATGATGAATACTGAACGACTCATTAAACACGCTTTACAAGAAAAACTCGCCATCACAATTTGCATGAACAAGGTATCCTAATTTAACTGTTGACCACGCCCACTATTAATTAATTAATTAGATTGATAGGTTGATATTAGAACTAAAGCTACCGCCACAAGACGCTTATTATAAACTGAAACACACTTTGGATGAGATTAATAGTTTATTGAGGTATAACTGAATTTATTATTATTATTATTATTATTATATTTAGTTTATATTCTGAGTCGACGGAGGGTGTGGTCGTCTCTCCGTTGCTAGGCAACGTCTGTTTCAGCTCCAGTCAATATGGCTTCTCCTTCACTCTAGAGTCTTTCGCTCAATTGTACAGTGACCTTTATGGTAATGGCCACCTTCCTTATATGCTAATGTTATTATTATTAATTTGCAGGTGGAGGGTTTTCTCCTAAAGAATTTGCTAAAAGACTTTGGGGAGACATTTACTTTAACAAGACAAAGTGAGAGAGAGAGAGTTTTATTTTATTTTCTTTTTCTCCAGGAGGACATTCACTAAAAAGATTCCATCAACCGACAGTCAAAGAACTTTCATCGAATTCATTTTAGAGCCACTGTGAGTCAATCCTGTTGCCACGGTAATGTAGCCCCACCCCTCGTTACAGGTACAAGATATTTGCACAGACAGTAGGCGACGTTGATACAACCCTACCATCAGTTCTTAAAGAATTAGGTACTACTTAAATAATTTATAAAATAATAATCAATATATTATTGTATTTCTGTTAATATCTTTAAAGGCGTGTTTTTGAGTAAAAGTGAACTAAAGTTAAACATCAGACCTTTACTGAGGCTGGTCTGTCAGCGGTTCTTTGGAGAGGCGAGAGGTAAGTGAAGTATCAGATATCACTTGTACTTGTACTTGCACAGGGTTTGTTGATATGTGTGTGAAGCATATACCATCTCCTGTGGAGGCTGCTCGAACTAAAGTTAGAATAGACATCTTTATATTCTATTTGATGCTCCTTTTGTGAACAGATAGAACACACGTACACTGGTATACTGGACGATGACGAATGGACGCAGAGCCTAATGACGTGTGACTCGGACGGGCCACTAATGGTTCACGTTACTAAACTGTATCCAACTCAAGATGCCACACAATTCCATGCATTTGGACGAGTGATCAGTGGAACATGTAATATGAACTTTAATATCTTATTATTATTATTATTTATTTATTTTATTATTATTGTTGTTGATAGTATACAGTGGGGAGCAGGTGAGGGTTCTTGGTGAGAGTTTTACGCTAGAGGATGAGGAAGATTCTAAAGTTTGTCAAGTTGGTAGACTATGGGTGGCAGAGGCAAGGTTAGGAGTGTGGTCACTAGTTATTAATAGTTATTAATGGTTATTAACAGATACACTATTGAAATAAACAGAAGTCCAGCTGGTACCTTTGTACTCATTGAAGGAATTGATTCCACAATAACCAAGACAGCAACTGTCACTCAATTGAGCGGAAGTGAAGACGTAATATAAAAATAATTAATAATTATGATAACACTCTAAAACTCTCTCTATTTTTTAGGCTCAGATATTTCGTCCATTAAAGTTCAACACTCAGTCTGTGATAAAGATTGCAGTTGAGCCTGTCAATCCTTCAGAGCTGCCAAAGATGTTGGACGGACTACGGAAAGTTAACATGAGCTATCCTCTTCTTGTCACTAAAGTAAAACTGTTCATTATAATGAATGATAGAGCTTCACTATAATGGCTCTTCTTCTTGCCCCAGGTGGAGGAGAGTGGGGAGCACGTGGTGTTGGGCACTGGCGAGTTGTACCTGGACTGTGTCATGCATGATCTCAGGAAGATGTACTCTGAAATTGGTGAGAGGATATCTATGATAATTATGTTATATGCATGTAACTTTTAAAACCGACTGCTCTTCTCTCTCTCTTTTAGATATCAAGGTAGCTGATCCAGTGGTTGCTTTCTGTGAGACAGTAGTTGAAACCTCATCATTAAAGTGTTTTGCAATGACTCCTAACAAAAGGTGCATATGTTATGCTGTTATAGTCTCCAGCAAAGACCAGTTTATACAAGTACAAGAGTGTTAACCACATTATGAGACAACCCACGAGACCTTTTACAATTAATTGAGTATAAAATCAACAATCCTTGTCAGTAGCTGCATGCCTTGCACTGTTACGGTTTATTACAAAATTTTTGGAAGGGTTATTAAGACCCTGAAATGTAATTCTACTTTGTATTATTTTTGACCTCCCAAATGGGTCCCAATTTTATTAAATTTTCTGTTGTATAATTTGACTTTTTATATACATTTCCTTTACCAAATAAGGAACAAGTTGACAATGATAGCTGAGCCTCTTGAGAAAGGATTAGCCGAAGACATTGAAAATGAAGTGGTACAGATGACCTGGCCAAAGTGAGCTCTCCATTAGCCACACCTACTTACTCCTCCCACTTAGGAAGAAACTCGCTGAGTTTTTTCAGACCAAGTACGAGTGGGACTTACTGGCTGCTCGTTCCATATGGTCGTTTGGCCCTGAAATGACTGGACCCAATATACTGGTGGATGACACACTGCCTACTGAAGTATGGGATCATGTGACTGTCATGTGACTCTTAGTGTGTATAGGTTGATAAGACCCTCCTCCACTCTGTGAGGGACAGTATTGTACGTGGGTTCCAATGGGGAGCCAGAGAAGGACCTCTTTGTGAAGAACGTACGTGAGATTTTAAATAATGTACTGTCAATGTTCAAAAATGGGGTCAAAGTCCATAGTACAGGGATTTTGGCCGAAATTCACCAAAAATAAAAAGGAGAGAATTCTTTATTTTTATAACTTTTCCTGATACATATACATGTTTTTATTTTGTAGAAAGTTTGAGCCGATTCCGATCACATTTGGATTTTTTACGAATTTTTAAAGTTGCTCCAAAATCAGGCCAAAGTCCCTGTACTATAGTACAGGGACTTTGGCCAAATTTTGCCAAAAATGATAAGGAGAGAATTCTTTATTTTTATAACTTTTCCTGATACATATACATGTTCTTATATTTTGTAGAAAGTTTTAGCTGATTTTGATCACTTTTGGATTTTTTTACAAATTTTTAAAGATGCTTTAAAGCCATTATTTAATGTACATGTGCTATTGCAGTGCTTGTCAGCCCACATGCTTCGTGTAGTAGTATCAATTTAATTTTTTTCTAGCGATTAGAAATGTTAAGTTCAAGGTACTTGATGCAAAGATATCGGAAGACCCTTTACAAAGAGGAGGTGGTCAGTTCATCCCTACTGCCCGTCGTGTGGCCTTCTCTGCCTTTGTAATGGTACGTACACCCCACCCTCTCACATGATAGTCACCTGACATTAGGCCACGCCCCGTTTAATGGAACCCTACTATCTAGTGGAGGTACAAGCACCTGCTGATTGTGTATCGGCTGTGTATTCAGTCCTTGGGAAGAGACGGTGAGTCTATCGGTGGTCATGTGACTGTCATGTGATTGTATTGCAGTGGTCATGTGACTCAAGATGCTCCTGAGCCTGGGTCTCCTCTTTATATCATAAAAGCTTTCATTCCCGCCATCGACTCCTTTGGTTTTGAGTCAGACCTTCGTACCCACACTCAGGGACAAGCCTTCTGTCTATCAGTGTTCCACCACTGGCAGGTAGGCGTGGCTTATACTGACCACACCTCTTTAATTAATTACTAATAGATAGTTCCGGGAGATCCTTTGGATAAGACTATCCCGATAAGACCATTGGAGCCACAACCTGCTCCTCATTTAGCCAGGGAGTTTATGGTGAAGACTAGAAGGAGAAAGGTTAGGCATTTTAAATGGCAGATCTATGTCAATAAATCACAAACTGGTCATATACCAGCATAAGACATTACATGTTCTCTGCCCCCAAAGGGTTTACCTGAAGATGCTTCCATAAATAAGTTTTTCGATGAGCCGATGTTACTGGAACTGGCTAGGCAGGACATTATGCTCAGCTATCAGATGTGAAGAGAGGAAGGAGGAGACATCATGTGTCATGATTATTTTAATTTTAATTTCTTATTTTGAAATTGAAAAGGAACTTTAACGTTATACACAAAACAACAATAATAATAATAATACCGTTATTAAGAAAACACAACACCAGAAACAAATAATAATAATAACAAATACATGTACACGGTACATAGTGTCTACAATAAAGAAGAGATAACTTTATATATAAATTAATAGAAAGACTTGATAACCTACCACTAACTAATAATAATAATTTTGTTTTATTGATCAAATCTGACTGGGTGAATGAGAGTACTGACCATTTGGGGTGACTGCTTGTAAATTCTTTTCTTTCTTGTACCATCAGAACCCTTTTCGTACCTCTCATAGACATACTCTTCATTTGTCGCTACCTCACAGTGAGCCAGCTGGACCATTGAGATAAGATCCAGTTCCTTGTAATGTTCCTTGAGAGATTTAGTGAGCTCTATGATGTACCAGGATCCAATGTCAGTGAAACGACAAGCTTTGGTCTTTGGAGTGGTTGCGTAACCGAAAAAGACGTCGCTCTCATCCGGTATGAGAATCCGATTGGACGATGTGTCACCATCAAATTGCACAGCATGGGCTTCAGGGAGGTGGATACCACGACAAGCTTGGACGATGAATATCTTGGGTTTTCCTAGGAGAGAAGGAATACCGACAATCTCTGCTTTTATGTCATCCAAGTACACTGGCTTGTTGTCGCTGCCAAAGATTTTACCGGAGTCGCCATGAGAGAGGAGGCAGCAGACAAAACTGTTGTAATGGGTGTGGTCAGTCTTTATTATGCCGTCAATGAGAGCCAGAATCTCATCAGCTGTTTGGTTCCGATGGTGCGAGCAGATGTACCCAAGCAACTGAAATGTTTTGACGAGATTATCGTCGTCATTCTCAGCTCCAACACGTTTCTCATGTCCAGCAATATCGATATTATTAATTATGAGGGCGTGGCCATGATGACCATTGTACTTTTGCATTGGGTAAGGTTTGATTACTTTAGTTGTGGGCGGGGCTGGCTGTGTGGGTGGAGCCTCTTTTTGAGTAGACGTAGCTGGAGTAGGCATGGGAGGGTGTTCCTTCTTTCTACCCACGTGTAAAATCCCATCGAGTAACCCTTTACCATCGGTCTGTGAAACCCTGTCTTGTCCAGGATCTGGTTCTGGATGTTCCGAAGTTTTGTACTGAGTAGGAGGGGCAATAATGGGCGGAGTCTGATGATGCATGACAGGTGGGTGAGGAAGACAAGCTCCACCCCCTACCCCGCCCCTTGAGGCCATTGAAGAATGAATTGAGGCCCCGTCACTGACCTGCTGACTAGGAGCTGTGCTAACTGAAAATAAAAATAAAATAAAATAATAATCAATTAGCACTCACGGTTGCTTGATTGAACAGAGTCTCCTTCCTCTTGTCTGTTCTCCTCCCGACCACTTGAATAATAGCTGCCGGTAGTGGGCGTGGTAGCACAATAAGTGGGTTTGGTCCCACTAGTGCTACTGGACTCCTCAGTTTCAGCAACACTAAATGGTCCAATGGTGCTATTGGTCAACGGTCCAATGGTGCTATTGGTTGATCTACTGGTACTCGTGGGGTCGAGGGACAATCGGTCAAGGGACGGTGGGTCATTGGAGCTAGAGATTGAGCCAAAGGATGTTGTGGAGGTATTCCGAGAGAACTGTGGATCATAGGTCTCTTGACGAGGCTCCATAGCATTTGAGATACTCTGGGAACGACTGGGAATAGCTGCACTGCCAACTAGCGGAATAAGAAGAGATGGAGTTACATGTACATTTGTACTGTACCATACAGCTGGTGATTGTGGAGGGATATATTGGGCAATTTGGTATTTTGAGCCATTCGCCAAAATTACACTGACTATTTGATCATTTACAATGCGCATGCTCAATGGCACATGGCTACTAATTCACTAAATTAAAACTCCAAAAATTCAACAAATTTTCCCTCCAAAAGTATTTTCTTACTTGGATGCTTCTTGGCGAGACGCTGAGCCAGTGCCACATTAGCTCCGCCCACATCACTAGCTATCTTTGATATGAGCAGGCGCCAGGAGGGAGGTCCCTGTGACGTTACATTGTACTGACGATTGAGCCATGCCTTCATAACGTCTTTCAGTTTAGGACGCTCAGGTAGGACATCTCGTATACGCAGTGCCAAGGCCAGGTCCTCTGCCCTGTGTCTGACTGGATTCATCTCCTCCAGGATAACAGCAAGAGTTTCCTTAAGGATGTCATCATATTGCTGACTGGAACAATCCTCTGAAAGTAATAATAATTACAGAGTTGTGATTTGTATATTTACCAGGACAGTTTGGCAATGGCGTGTTATCTACGCTGCTCCAATCCATTTTATTACAAAGAGAGAGAGAGAAGCTTCTGCCCTGTTCTGATTGTAAGGATAGGCGGGGCTATAATAGGCGGGGTCAAACATTAATTAATTAGGTCTATGAATAAAACAATAATAATTTAAAAGATGCTAATATTCAATCAATGCAGTGTTGCTGTGTCTAGTAACGCGATATTCTCTTGTCTCTCTAGTAGTTTGTAATGGTCTTAGACCTTTTCCTCACACCACTCATTCTCTTTCCTAATCTGTTCCTCTTCTTCTGGAGTAAAATCATTCTTTATGTTAAATGTCTTCCTAATTTCCTCCGGAGTTTTCCCTTTTATCATGTTAGCGACAGTTTTACACGTCACATCAAGAAGTCCCTTGATGTCCAGATAGTTAGCCGCCAGTATCAGTTCAAAGAGAGTTCCCTGATCAACCTTAAGAAACTCTTGGTCCCAAGGTTCTATATCGTCAGTTCTTTTCTCTCTATTTTCTTCATCTTCTGGAGGAGGCGGGTCATCCTTATGATGTGTTGCCCATTCTATTACCTAATATGGAGATGGGTGGAGTCATGTGGTCACATGACTGAGTACCTTTTTCATGATTGGTCCGTTAACGTTTGGTAGTGGTACGGGTTCATCATCGTCCTCATCCAATCCAAGGTCCTCAATCATTGTCTTTATCGTGTTTGAGGCTTTGGCTATGTCTACTTCTACCTGAAAAGGCGGGATTATCAAGCTAGGCTCATCTATGTGTTATCCTTACCTCAAATATTTCACCATCGGAACTCTGCAACTTGATTGAAGGCATTTCAGCTTCAGTTTTGTACCTTCTCTTGAGAGATGAACACCTTTCTAGCTATCTTCTTCTTCTTATAATTTATAGCCTCCTCTTTTGAGGAGAGTACCACCTTAGTGGAAGAAAAGATAGAGCAATTTAAATCACGTGAGCTATTAATTAATGAGCCCCGCCCAATCAAGCATGGTACCGGTACGCGATACGTACAACATGAAAACCGTTTTAAGCTGCAGCTCTTTAGTTTGTCTGTTCCACAAGCAAGTCCTTATAGCGTCGGGTATTGACATCAGAAAATGGAGGCTGATAGAGGTACAGCTTCAGAGACTACCAGAGAGTCTCGCGCCTCTCCTCCAGCTGCTCCGCCTGGAGCAGAACCTCTCAAAGAAGAAGCAAGCCCGAGCCAGCAGCCAGCCCCTCCGCCTCCCTCACCAAACGGTGCAGCTAAGTCAGGCTCCTGCCCTACTAATGGAGATGCAACCCTAGGACTCTACAAGAAAGGCTACATTCTTCAGACCACCATTGGCAATGGAGCTTATGCTAAAGTAAAGCTTGCGCACTCCGTCTCTATGAACAAGAAGGTTGCTATAAAGATAGTTGACAAGAAGAAAGCTCCACACGACGTCTTGACAAAGTTTCTACCAAGAGAAATCGATGCACTTCAGGCAATGAGAGGCCATGATAACATCATATATCTTCATGAGGTAATACACACCAATGACAAGATCTTCATGGTAATGGACCTAGCTGACAATGGAGACCTCCTCGACTACATAAACTCAAAGAAAAGACTCAGTGAGAGAACCGCCAGATCATTCTTCCGTGACATGGTCTCGGCAATTACCGCAACTCATCGGAAAGACATCGTCCATAGAGATATAAAGTGTGAAAACCTTCTCTTAGATGCCAACTATCGTCTCAAAATATCCGACTTTGGTTTTGCACGTTCAGTACAAGAAGGTTCACTGCTGGAGACTTACTGTGGATCATTTGCTTATGCAGCTCCGGAAATAATAAGAGGAGAACCGTACTCTGGCAAGAAATCAGACGTGTGGAGTATGGGAGTTGTCCTGTATGCCATGGTCTGTGGTAAGCTCCCGTTCAAAGATGGCGACTTTAAGAGCTTGCTAAGACAGATTACAGCAGGTGTTTCATTTCACAGTGATGTTAGTGAAACCTGTAGGGATCTGATATTAAAGATCCTGGTTCTATCGCCTACTGAGAGACTCTCAACAAGCAGCATACTCTCACACGCCTGGATGAGAGCTGATCCTGAAACTCGATAACTTTTAACGTTTTCTACTCAATTTTTTACATGTTAACAAATGATCTTTTAGCTTTATTAGTTTTATTCTGCTTTTAAATTATTTTTGTGTTCACTTACAGATGTAACTATTGTTTAATTCATGTCAGTTTGGATCGAAAATCAAAATTGAATTACATGTACTTATTTTGTGTAGAAAGTTTGAGCTGTTTCTAATCACAATTGGATTTTTTACAAATTTTTGAAGTTACTCCAAATCAGGTCAAAATCCCTGTACAGTCTCAGGCCAAATTTCATCAAAAATGAAAAGTAGAGGATTTTTCACTTTTATAATTTTTCCTGATACATAATACATTTACTTATGTTATGTAGAAAGTTTGAGCTAATCGCGATCAAGTCTGGAATTTTTATGAATTTAAAAAGATGTTTAAAATCTGGCCAAAGTACAAAAATAATTTTCATAGGAACCAGTGACAGAATAATAATACATGTACATGTAAAACAGTCTTTAAAAACAATAATAATACAAAATGGTGCTATTTTTACAGTCTTTTATCTTTTTATTACAAATTCTCCTCCCACTCGTCCTCGTCAGCAACATCTGTTAAATTAAATAATATTAATTTTTTATTAATTCTATTTATACATCTTACTGTCAGCTTCGATAGATGTAGATAAATGCAGTCTCCTTCCTTCAATTGCTTTGCTAATGGCTACTGTAACATCATCTGTGTCTGATCTAACTTCACCATCATCATCGGGTACCTGTCAATAACAACATCTCTTGAATCATTTTTCAAAAAAACCATGGACTATAGCCTTGGGTATTTTTCAGAATTTTGATATTTTCTTAAAATCAAAAACTGCATACATGTATGTATAATGAAATTAAGGTATTTTTGAAGCCACTTTTGAATAAAAAATTTAAAAAGACCTCCCTTTCTTTCTTACTTTATTCAAAACTTCGTCTGGTTTTGTGTATCTAACTTGCTCCATTAGATTATCAAACTGCCCCTCCCTCTCTCCTAATGCCACGGACCGTCTATCAGCCTCAGACACTTTACGTTCCCTCTGTACCACACCTTCCGACCCAGTACCAGTGGGCGGAGCCACTGATCCAATAGTGGGTGGAGCCACTGATCCAATAGTGGGCGGAGCCACTGATTCAATATTGATGGGTGGAGTCACTGACGGTACAGGTTGTGTTACAGGTGCTCCTGCAGCATAAGATTGAGGAGGAGGAGGAGGAGGTACTGCAGTGTATGGTTGTGCATAATATGAGGGTACAGGGGGGTAACCCCCTAGAGGATACTGAGGTGTTGCCGGCAGCAATTGACCACTCCCACCAGCTAATAAAGACTGCATTAATAGCGGATTAAACTGGGCCCCTCCCCCTCCTCCTCCTCCTGCTAGCAGCTGTTGCTGTAATTGTTGAAACTGACTCTGTAGCGCCATCATTTGCTGCTGGAGCATTTGCTGTTGTAACATACTCAACTGGGCCTGCATATCATTAGCCCCTCCTCCAGCCCCACCCCCTAATAACTGACCACTATCACTAATTTTCCGAATGTTTTCTTCACTTTCCACTGGTCCGCTACCAGCTCCTGTTACTGGTCCACTACCAGCAGCTGCTCCTGTTACTGGTCCAGTTGTTACTGATGATTCACCAGCTGCCATTGTCTCTGTCTCTTGTATTTTTGCTTGTCTCTTCATTAACTTTTCCTTTAACTCGTCCATACCATCACCATTCCCACTAGTTTGTACTTCCTTTGGTTTTGGTTTTGGTTTCACGATTGGTGGCGGTGGACGTTTCTTAACTCCAAGACCAGGAGGAGGGGGAGGGGCAGGAGGAGCAACATTATTAGTGGGTGGAGCCTCATTGGTGTGAGTAGGCGGAGCTTCAGTCTCTGATCCACTTATCTCACAAGTATCGGCTATCAATGAACGAAGTGATGCCACCATGTTGTCGAGTTCTTTAAGATCAGTACTGTTAGCTCCACCCACTCTCTTTCTCTCAGGAACTGGGTCCTCATTAATATTCATGAGTTTGTGAACAGCTTCATTAATAACAGGATCTGAAGAGGAGAAATCAAGAGAGGGAGGGGCAGCAGGCAGAGCAAGAGGAGGATATGGTGGGCCATCATCTATAACACTTTTCTTGTGAGCAATTAAAACAATCTCTCCATCATTATCTTCATCATCATCATCATCATCATCATCATTGCTGCTACTGTCACTACTCTCTCCCTCCTCCTCTCTCTCTTTCCCTTCCTCCTCCTCCTCCTCCTCCTCCTCTTTCTCCTGCTGGTATTGTTGCCAGTTCAATGGCTCCTTTGTTTCATTTTCACTATCAGAATCAGAAGAAGATGATGATGTCTGCTCATCCTTCTCCTGTACATCGTAGCCCATGGCAACAGAAGAGTCATCAGATTCATCAGAGGAATCCTCATCACTCTCACTCTCTTCTCTCTCTCTCTTCATGTCTTCAATACTCCTCCTCTCATCTTTCCCCTTATCCTCCATCATTGGTTTAGCTACTTCAGTTGTCTCTGATGGTTTCTTCCTTGGCGGAGGTGGAGGGATTTTAAAAATAACAGGAGCATTATTGATAGGGGCCGGTCTGACTTGTGTTGGGGGGTCTGGAGCAGGTTTATTAGGTACTGGTTCTGGTGCAGGTTTTAAGCTGGTGCCCTCAGGAGGTTTGGCAGGAGCTTTACGAATTGGCTTCCTAGAAACAGTAGGAGATGAGCCAGTAACAGGAACAGTGGACGGAGGGAGAGAAGATAAAGGAGGAGAAGGTCTCTTTTCTTTGGATTGCCTCCTACCAACCGAAGGTGATATTGATATTCCTTTTCCTCCATTGCCATTCTTCTTTACCATACTTGGTAAAGGTATCCCATGATGTTTATAACCAGTTTTAATAACACCATCAACCTCCTCTCTCCCCAAAGGAGGTGTGGCCTTGTTGTGTATCAATACAGGTGATGTTTGTATAGTGGGTGTGGTCTCCTTACCAGGAGGAGGAGGGGGAGGGGCTACTCTTTTTTTAGTATCATAAGTTGCCGAACGTTTTATTGCAAGAGGACTTAAACTCATATTGGTGGGTGTGGCTTTGCCGACAGCTTGCTGAGTCAGCATTGTGGAAATTGCATCATTAATCTCTTTAGAGGACGGACTAGAACCGGTACTGGAACGATGTCTCAAGTGAGCTTGAATGACGGGGGAACGAGCTTTAGTTGGGGGCGTGGCTACTGTAGCACGTCTAGCAGAAGGAGAAGGAGGAGGCGGAGGCCTCTTTATATTAGAATACTAAAAATAAATAAATAAATAAATAAATAACAAATTAAAATACCTTTTGATGTCCACCGCCATCAGTTGATTCTGTTGTCATGGTCACCTCTGGTACATCTATACAATAAATAATAATAATAATAATTGTTGTTGTTGTTGTTGTTACCTTTCTTTATAATTGTTAATTGACTTAATCTCAACTGCTGCAGTTTTATTTTAGAAATATTTTGAATCGGCAGATCAAATTCATGCACATCAGGACTGAGTCCTTGGTCAGTGCAGGCCAGCAAGAGAAGGTCTGGTATCAGTATTGATGGTGGGACAGTAAAGGACTTTACAGCACTGGAAGGAAATGTAACCTTGACAGTAGCACCTGGAGTCTGCAGGAGGGGAACAGAAAACATGATGACATTGAAACCAAGGCTCATCTTACTTCAGTAGCAGCTGCAGTTTTAGGTTTTTCAATGGTAGGCTTTGCCGGTTCAGTTTTCTTTCTTCGTCTCAATACAAGGACTGAGGATGGCTCAAGGTCCTTCACAAGACTGGAAGGTTTTAAAGACTGCGAGGACCCGTCAGAAGACATTGCAAGAGACAGAGCGTACATAGATGAGTCAAACTGTTTAACTGTTGCAAGTTGCTTTACTACTTGGAGCATTGACAGGCTAAAGGAGAGAAGCAAAGTCATAAACACATCCTCAAATAAAAGCATTTTAACTCACTCCATTTTACAATTGATTGATACATATTCTTCATCAGACATCTTGATCCTCAGTGCTCTTTCATTCACTGATCCAACTGTCTTTGAAGCAGCTGCTCTATTCAGCTCCTCATTCAACTATCAGAAGTGCAAGTATCACTAAATGTGCATAAGTACTACATCATACCTTCACAGCTTGAGCTAGTTCCTTCATTCTAACTCCATACATTACTTTGGTGGTACCATCTCTCAGTACAGTCCAGTTCACAAAGTTATCTCTAATTTTAATCTTCATTTTATCATTGATTGGCTCCTCCAATACCTAAAGGCAAGTATATAAAGGACACACTCCCATTATCTTGTACCTTTTCAGTGTCCCTGTAGATGGCCAATGTCCATGATCCAGTGTTTGGTTCGATGGTTAGGTCAACTGGCTGAGCTGAGATTTGGTCCCAGGCCTTAGCCGAAGGATTACCTTTAAACAGGAGTCCAGTGTATGTGTTGTTACTAGAGGAGAGAGAGGGAGAGTGTGGAGGGTAAGGGAAAGAGAACAAGCTTACATCTGTCCGGACTGCATTTTGCAAAGTTATGGGTGTAGCTCAAAGAAGGCGGGGCTGAAAATACTCACGCAAACTATGAATATCATTAGTATTGTGCGCATGCTCTGTACAAATACTCAATGAATAATTCATAAGTCTACTATTCTCTGATTTCTCCCTGAAAATCTCTTCAGAGAGACTGAACATTATTATAACAATAAAATAAACTATCTGCCACTTACCACAACAGTGTGACTGGCTGATGATGTAGTGACTGTTGGTAGACATTTTAACGGTGGGTGTGGTAGATTTCAATTAACAATGAATAAATTAATACAATTCAGAATTAATAAAAAGTGAGTGTCTTCACAATAATACAAACACCAACCATCACCAGCAAGACAGAGAGGAGGAAGACACTTGATTTAAGAATGGATAGTATCAGCAAAATAAATAATGAAGGGAGATAACGAAATCCTGTTATACTGTGATGTAGCAGTCTGGCGGTTCATTTACACCTGCACAGCAAAAAGAGAAAAATAATTACATCACTAAACTAATGAATCACTGATAGTGTTACAGTACACCATGGGGACACACTTTAACACCAAACAACACAGTCCTACTACAACCCAGCATTAAGAGATAATACATAGATATACTTGTCTTGAACATGATCACTGAATAACACGGACTACTTGTACGTGTAAACATCCAATCTACATACATGTAGCTATGCTCAAGGAAGTATGCAGTCTTTGTTTGAAACCAGAGGCCACCAGCATGGAGGCTGTCTGTAATAACATGCAGCTGGCTTTACTGATTATCATAAAAGCTAAAGCTTATTACACCAGCTGTGCAGAGTGCAGTTCAGAAGTGAAATGTGAATTAAATTCCTCACCACATCATAACAAGACAAAAAAGAAATGGACATTGTTTGAGTGTGTGCATGAAATTGTGATCAGCGAGTGAGAAGTGTTGCTCTAGACTGACCACACTGAGTTATATTATTATCAATTATCAACAAACTGATTCAAATTCAGTCCTTGTCCTTATCATAAAGCTGTGCAGCTGCCTTCTCCTCCAAACCTTTGTTTGACTGGTTACCATAATCAAAGGACTGGGTAGGTCTACCAGTTATACTGGCCACCATTGGTACCTCCCCTCTCCCTCCTCTTCCTTTCCCAAGGGTCTGGGTTATCTCCTCAATAAGGCTACGCTGAGCCTTAGCAATTACCTGTTTCAAATGGAGTCTTTCATCAGTAGAGCCAGGAGCTGGTACAGACCCACCATCAGCCAATGAACTGTTCAGTGATTCTAATATACTAGTCGTGGATAATGGTGCAGGTGGAAGTGGTACTGAAAGACTATGTGGTGGACCTAGAGAATGATGCTGCCTAGAAACATTTTGATGGACCCCATCAGGTCTATCACATGAACTATTGTACTGATGATCAGTGGATTCATTTCTGTATGAAGAGGAGGAGGAGCTTTGATGGTTGCTAGGAGAAACAGATGCCACACCTCCTTTTGGCGGGTTATGAAGGTTTGGTTTTTCAGCCGGAGGTCCTTCGGTTACTTTACCTTCCTTCTTCTTCTTCTTCTTCGACCACATCTCATGACAATCCTGATGTGATGGCAAACTAAAACAAGAACAAAAAATTATGATGCTATTACATTTTCTGATACACATTGATGTCCTTATGCTATGCAGAAAGTTTGAGCTGATTTCAACTTCAAATTTTCAAGTTACAGCCATTTTAAGAAAATGCTAAAATTCTGAAGATTACCCAAGGCTATAGCCCATGGTTTTTTCCAAAAAATGGCTCCGAAATCACCCCCAATTTTTATTACATTTTCTGATACATATTGATGTCCTTATGCTATATAGAAAGTTTGAGCTGATTCCGACTTAAACTTTTCCAGTTATGACCATTTTTAAAAATGAGCCAAAATCTGAAAGTTTCCCTGTACTATAGCCCATGGTTTTTTCCAAAAAATGGCTCCGAAATCACCCCCAATTTTTATTACATTTTCTGATACATATTGATGTCCTTATGCTATATAGAAAGTTTGAGCTGATTCCGACTTAAACTTTTCCAGTTATGACCATTTTTAAAAATGAGCCAAAATCTGAAAGTTTCCCTGTACTATAGCCCATGGTTTTTTCCAAAAAATGGCTCTGAAATCACCCCCAATTTTTATTACATTTTCTGATACATATTGATGTCCTTATGCTATGTACATGTAGAAAGTTTGAGCTGATTATGACTTCAAATTTTCAAGTTACAGCCATTTTAAGAAAATGCTAAAATTCTAAAAAATACCCAAGGCTATAGCACATGGTTTTTGCTAAAAAATGGCTAAAAATTACCCCAAATTTTTATTAGATTTTCTGATGCATATTGATTTCCTTATGCTATGTAAAAATAGCTCTAATGAAACATATTGTTACTATATATAGTAACAGACTATAGTGATGTGCTATATATAGTAACAGACTATATAAAGTAATGTGCTATATATAGTAACAGTGGGCTTACAGTGGAGGTGGTATGGAGTCTTTAGTTGCATTGATAAGGAATGGATGATTCAGTGCTTCTTCTGAGCTGATCCTCTTTGAAGGATCTATTGATATCAATTTATCCAATAAATCCAAAGGAACTTCAGGAATTATACTAGAGGAGATAAGGGGGAGGTGATTGACATTAATTAATTAATAAATTAATTATTAATCAATGATTATTAACTCCACATTACTTTGAATATTCTTCTTTTACTCTCCGCCTGTATAACTTTTTGAATTTAAAAGTTTGAAATAAAGGGAGCTTAATGACTTCTGGCCAATTAGCAGGAGTGGGTGTGCCACAGACTCGGCTGAAGGGGAAGATACCAACAGGTTATAAAGAGAGAGTGTTACCTGATAGCGTCCAGCTGCTCCATCTCAATGCTTCCATGAAAAAGAGGCTTCTTTGTAAAGAGCTCGCCGAGGATACAACTGTCACATGAATATCACATGACAATTAATAATGACATTAATATAATAATAATAATAATAATAATAATGATAATAATTGGGCAATGATATAATTGCATGAGCATTAATTAGAAACTTACCCACATGACCAAATATCCACAGCTGGTCCGTAGTGTTCGGCACCTAACAGTAACTCAGGTGGGCGGTACCACAGGGTAATAACATGATTAGTGTAGAGACGACTGAAGTAACAAAAAACAAAATAAGTAAATAAAATGGAGGCATATGCTATAGAGAGTGTCCATTAAGAGAGGCTATACACTACTAGTAACATGTAAAAGTACATGTACTTACCTGTGGTCATCAGCGAAGTAGTACCTGGCAAGACCCCAATCCCCCAGTTTAAGCTGCCCCCTATCAAGACAGGTACAGGTAGATCATTACAAGTATTTACTGGATTGCTACTTACTTGTTATTAATCAAGATATTAGAACACTTCAAGTCCCTGTGTAAGAAGTTCTTGCTGTGACAGTAGCAGAGTGCCTCCATGAGTTGTCTCATCAGCGACTGGATGTGTGACTCACTGAACACAACCATTCCACTGTCAATTAGTCCCATCAGGTCGTGGGCACAATATTCAAACACAAGATAAAATGAAGAAGCTACAGGAAATAATAATAATAATAATAATAGATTATTGGAGGTAGGGCCATACTTACATTTATCATGCTTAAGGCTAGCAGCCTGAGGAGTGTCTGATATTATTTCTTTCAACGTAACTATATTCTCGTGTCGCAGCTGTCTCAATATCTTGATCTCCCTAACAGCAGTAATAGGAAACCCTTCTCTCTCGCTGTCCGTTCGTATCAGAACCTTCTTAAGAGCTATCACTTCTCCTGTCTTCAGATCCTTTGCCTTGTAAACTTTACCGAAAGTACCTTCACCGATTTGTGAGAGGATCTCAAAAGAGCTAACACAGCGATGAGACAACTGAAGTGCCGCTAGTTCCGGGGGAGTGGGGATAGCCTTGCTCTTAACTGGTCTATGGGATAAGTCATTAATTAAAGGAGGGGGTGGGAGCTTCGGCTCTGACTGACCAATCAGAGTAGGGGGAAGAGGAATAGGAGGGAGGGGTGGCTTCTCTTCTTCAGGAGGTGGAGGAGGCGGAGCTTCAGCTGGTAACGGAGGCAACTCATCAACAGGTGGAGGAGGCTTTGATGGTGAAGAGGGTGTGGTCTCAGAAGGTGTGGTCATGGGCGGAGTCTTAGGACCAGATTTTGATGTACATTTTTCAACGAGTGCATCTCCATTAGGAGAGAGTTCTTTACTTGGCAGGTCTTCATGAACTTCTCCATGATCAATGCTTGACCTTTTAGAGTTGACCTTTTTAACGTGTCTATAAACAGGCGAGCGGTGCTGCCGATGTAAAGGAGGCGTGGTCAGTGGACTCCTTGATCTATGGACGACACGACGGGCAGGAGAGAAGGGAGGGGGAGAAGGAGAGCGAGGAGTATAGGAACGTCTTCTTGGACTGCGACTCCTTCGGGTGAAATAATGAGGACTTGATCTGCGATGAGTGGCTTTAGGAGAGCCACGCCTTTTAAAGGAAGGAGTATGGCCCCGCCTCACCGGAGAATACCTCCGCTTGTGAACAGGAGAGTAGCCACGCCTTGATGGGGTGTGCCCTCTCCGAGGGGAAGGGGAGTGTCCCCTCCGAGGTGAGTAATGGCCCCTTGGAGAGTAACCACGTCTGGGGGTGTGGCTTCTTCTCGGTGAATAACGAGGTGAATAGTCTCTGCTCCTAGGGGAGTAGCCCCGCCTACCAGGAGAGTAATGAGAAGGGGTGTGGCTGTTTCTTGGTGAATAAGGTGAACGTCCTCTCTTATAAATAGGGGTGTGGCCACGTCTTGGAGAGGGAGAGTGGTGTCTCCGCCCATATGGTGACCCAGGAGGGGAGATCATATCGTACATCGGGTAGGCATGGTCATTATCAGAAGAAGACAACCTCCTTCGCCCAGTTTCTATATAATGCCCACCACCAGAGATCCTCCTCTTCTTCCTCCTCTTTGAGTCCTTCTTGTGTTTGTCGCTAGGTGACTTGTAGACTCCGCCCACTTCACCTTCCCCTGATGTCTTCCGTCTCTTTTGTTTTGATGTCTTTCCTCCACTGGTGCTGGTGTGATGGTGAGTGCTACTCTTCCTTGTTTTACTTCTTTTCTTCTTCTTAGGAGCATCCTCTGGGGAGAGTTCCCCTGGACTTACCAACTCATCATTGTGTGGCCTGCCAGTAGCTTCTGAGCTCATTTCTAGTGAAAGAGAGAGAGAGAGGAGGGAAGTGGTGTCAATAATAAATGTTTGATTATAGATTACTGTTTGATGAGGTTTCTCTCAGAGAAGGAGTACATGCAGTAGTTGAGTGACTGTGTCTCTCTCACTCTCTCTCCCTCCTATCAATGGATTCAAAAGGATAATATACACATAATGGCCGCCATTGCTACCTTACCTTATAATAAAAGTAAAACAATTTCCTCAATTCCAATTAAAAGGATGGGAAATAATTTTGAAATACCATAAAGATGGCTTCCAACGAAGAGGAGGATCGTTTTATTGCCTCAAATGACTTTAATCTAATGACAAGCAAACACCAGAAAGTACAGGCGAGCAATAGCTAAGTTACAATGTCTGCTCTCAGCTGGGATATAGAGAAGGTGCCGCTGAAGGAATTAATAAATACAGTGGACAAGGATATGTGAGTGGATTTCAAGATGGAGTCAAAGCTTCAATGAAGAGAGGAGAAGAAAAAGGAGAGAAATAGTAAATAATAATAATAATAATAAAATAATAATAATAATAATAATAATAATAATAATAAAATAATATTTAATGAATATTCTGTAGTGCATATAAGAGATACCACGAGTCATCAAAATAAGAATAAAGAAAACAGAAAAATGCATTTCAGAGCTATGGGACTATTATTATTATTATTTATGTTTATAAAAATACTATTTATGTATATATATGTATGTTAAAGTGTTGATTCAAAATGGCCTCCACAAATAGGACAGATTGTAAATGTCTTCAAAACGTGTCCTAGCCAGCCACCTCCTAATGTACACTAGTTATAAATATTAAAATTAATTAACTAACTGGTTATATTAACTAGTTTGTTACAGATCGAACAACTCATGGACTCAGCAAATTGAGACACAATACACTGAGTTAGGACACACCTCTCTATTAATAATAATAATAATAATAATAATAATAATAAATTGATTAATTAATAATTTAATTACCCCAGCAATGATTATTGGAGCATGACCCTGAAAGTGGGTTGCAATACAGTATGACTATAAACAAGTTATTAATAGTTATTAATAGTTATTAATAGTTATCAAGCTTACTTTCGCTACAAATAGGACACTTCTCAACTTGTGCCAAATTATTGACCACGAATGATAAACACTTAATAAATAATAATAATAATAATTACTTATTTATTTCTTATTATTAATTACATTTTCGGCTATTGAAAAATCAAACTCATTTTGTGCATGTCGTTTCAGTAAAGCAGCAGTGTTACCAATGGAAACTGATGATAATAACAATAACAGCAAGGATTTTAAAGAATTATTTTACTTATCGACTTGTCTCCATTTTGAATTTCATTGTCTTCTGTCCATTTCATGAACTCACTCAAGTAACGTCTGCAATGCTGACTCAGCAGTTCTCCATCAATCTGAAACATCAGCTCTTGCTAAGAAAAAAAAGAATTGAAAATTATTTAAAGCTTGAAGTACATATACATGTTCCTAGTTGTGTAGAAAGTTTGAACTGATTCCAATCACATTTGGATTTTTTTACAAATTTTAAAAGTTGCTAAAAGACCCAGTACACTATAGTAGATGTATATCTTACATCATGAGAGAGTGCAGCTGCATGTCTCCTCATGGCTAGTGGTAATGATTCAATCCTTGTCTCTCCCTCCTCGTAAATAAGTGATAAATTACTCCTCAAGGACTCATAAAGATCCCAAGATGACGAGCCTGAGGTAATTAAGACGATTAAACAGCTTTAAAACAGGAGGAGAAGTTAACATACGCTGCCATATCAGACTGACATCCTCTGGCAGTATGAGAGGGAGGATTAGGAGCTGGGTTGAAACCTTGTCGACAGTTTTAACACTACAAGAAGATTGAGAGTAATTAATGTATCAATAATCACATACTGTATGATAGTGTAAAGGTCATTTTTAGACGAGTCCATTCCAAAACAGGATCCAGCTGTAATCTTCCCTCCAAGACTAACTGGACTCCATTCCTCCTTACCATTAATAACTGTATCACTGGCTGAAGCCCCAACCGTTACACCTTCCATATTTGGTAAAGGACGAGAGGTAATAGTTCCATCAGTTGAACACGTTATGACATCATTATTGTGTAATGAGGTGATTCCAGAGACGGGATGGGTGTGGTTTGATGAGAGAAGATAAGGATCTGATGTCATTAGCTCGTTATTCATATATTTAATTAAAACAGCAAAAGTATAACAACCTTTGGAATATATTAACCATTTCACATCCTATTAAATATCAATAACTACTAATAACTATTAATAACTACCTCAGAACAGCTCCAGGTCATGTGACCAACTGGTACCTCATCATTGCAACTCCATATATGGTATACCATAGGTTCCTCATAAGGAAAGGCAGACTCCACCCACTCTAATAAGAGGACATGCCCACTGGCTGACCCGACACTTAATAAATAATCTGAAGAGAATTAAGATGATGCTATCATAGATACTGCAGACTCACTTTTATTAATGATTGTCCACTCTACAGTTGTAACTGAACTGATCCCAGCTGGTAAATGAATCACGTTCAGTAAGGACGGAGGCACTAGCCTGAGGAGGAGCAGTTACAAAATGTGACATAAAAGTATATGCACCTGTCTACTGGTACAGCCATTGACCATAGAACCAAGTGACCACTTCTCATAGCTATAGCAAGTAAGACCACACCCTCTGAAAGGAAGACCGGTAACCATGACATTGCCACGGATACAAAGAAATCACGCCGTCTCTGATATTCAGATTGAGAAATCTAAGAACCAATAAATAAATAAATAAATAAATTTAATTACATTAGTTTTTGTAGTAGGAGGAGGTGATTGTTCTGATGTTGCTGGTAAGAGTTTGACATCAAAATCAACAGAGACTAATACTCTATAATAAATATCAGTAAAATCAAACACCTACAGCATACAAGAGAAGGAGGCTGACCAAGATACATTAATATTATTACCAAGTCCCATTGTCCCCTCGTTGTCTCATCATAAACTAATACACTACTGGAGTTAGTCAGACCTGCCAAAATACACCTAATGAACAACAAAAGATACATGTACACTAAACCAGGTTTAATAACCTGTTTGACCAGTTTGATCTGATCGGCGACCACTTTGCTGATAAGAAACGACCTTTAGAGCCACACCCACTAACCAAAGGATCAAATAAAACACCAAACACACCATCAACCAAAGGTCCCTCGTTAAAGGGGGAGTGTCCCTCATTAGAGGGGGTGTGTTCTCCATAAATACATTTACTAATGTCTAGTGATAGATTAAGAGAAAGAGGAAAGGACATGGGAGGAGCTTCAATAATGGCAACTGATATCGGAACTAAGGACTTGGTATTTTGAGGCAGAAAACCTTTAAGAGTCTAGCAAAAATTAAGAAAAACAAAAATAAATTTAAAATAAATTTAAAATTTGAAAGGATACAATAACGTAAATGACATCACTGCAGACTAGAGATATTCTGTCATCAGTAGACCAGGAGAGAGAGCCGGTGGGGAAGAAGGAGGGAGGGAAGGAGGGAACGGCTTCCTTTCTACAGCATTCAAGGAGCAGTTTGGCTGCCATGTGGATGTAGGAATCTTCCGGATACTCCCGGTAATCTCAACTTACCCACGTGGCTAAATATTCAAAATGGCGGACGATGAAGACCATGAAGAAGAGTTGGTTGACATTGATATAACAGAATGGAAGAAATTCAAAGTACAGGAAGGAGGGGAATGTAATAATTATAATAATAATCACCAGGTGGCAGAGCTTAGACAGAGAATGGGTAGCATAGGATTAGACACCAAGGGGACCAAAGCTGAACTGATCGCTAGAGTAGAAAAATACCTGAATGAACAAGGTTAGCATTTAATAACGTATTGAATACATCATTTTAATGTACGTATGTATAGAAGCAGATGATTTATTGGAAGAGGAAGAGGAGGAGGGGGAAGGTGGAGACCAAGACGGATTACAAGAGGAAAGTGGCGGCATAAAAGAGGTAGAGTAGTTGTTATAATTTTATTGTCATTTTTATTTCATTATTAGAATGCAGCAAATCCTGTTGAAACAACTGGTAATGCAAAAAAACAGAACCAGTAAGACATAATGTACATGGTTTATTAAATGAGTGTATATGTACACGTGGTTTATTAAATGGGTGTATATGTACACGTGGTTTATTAAATGGGTGTATATGTACACATGGTTTATTAAATGGGTATATATGTACACGTGGTTTATTAAATGGGTGTATATGTACACATGGTTTATTAAATGGGTGTATATGTACACGTGGTTTATTAAATGGGTATGAGTGATGTCACTGGTTTAATATGACTGGGTATGTTATGATTTTAGGTCACAGGCCAGTTCAACTGAAAATAAAGTAATCAATATTGAGTATCAGTTACCTCCTCCTGGCCAACCGGTTCCCGTGGTAACGGAGACTCCTCCCACAACTGCTAAATTATCTGACAATGATGTAAGAGTATTGATAACTGATCATGAATTGATGGGCATTAATTAGAGATTAAAGAAGAGGGGTGAGCGGTTTGGAGTGACAGATAATGCGATGGCCAAGAAACTAAAAAGAGCAGAGAGGTGTGGCTCCCTTTCTCTCTCTCTCTGTTAACTTCTTTCTTCCTTTTTAAAGGTTTGGTACAGTTTTAGGAAAAAGAGGCGGAGCTCAACTGCCGGTAATCATCACACAACATGTCGCATGATTTCTCGTATTATTGACAGGCTGAAGACGTTGAGAAAATGAAAAAAAGAGCTCAGAGATTTGGCAGTGCTGGAGGATCACCAATCATTAACCAGGTTAATATATCAGTGTTAGAATCAGTGTTGATATATCAGTGTTAGAATCAGTGTTAACACAATGTGTCTTTATAGTTGGAAGATAATGAGAAGAAGAAATCACGGGCGGCTCGTTTCAACCTGTCAGCGACAGACCTAGCAACTGAAGTAATGGAACTGACACTTTGTTAATGAATGTCATCTCTTCTTTTTTTAGGATAGGAAGGCTAATCGTGCCGAACGTTTTGGAACAATAATTTAAAACAATACAGACCCACTCTTACATGCATGCATTCACATCTTTGACTATTGAATATAATAATCCTTTAAAATGGCCATAACTCAAAAATTTTCAATTGGTATCAGCTCAAACTTTCTACACAGCATAAGGACATCAATATATATCAGAAAATGTAATAAAAATTGGGGGGTGATTTTTTAGCCATTTTTCAGAAAAAACCATGGGCTATAGTACAGGGAAATTTTCAGATTTTGGCTCATTTTTTAAAATGGCCATAAGTCAAAAAATTCAAGTTGGAATCAACTTAAACTTTCTACACAGCATAAGGACATCAATATGTATCAGAAAATGTAATAAAAATTGGGGGTGATTTTGGAGCCACTTTTTGGAAAAAATCATGGGCTATGGTACAGGGAAATTTTTCAGAAATTGGCTCATTTAAAACAGCCATAATTCAAAAACTGTCAATTGGAACCATGGACTATCATATAGTCAGTGGTAATTTCCATCATTTTATTATTCTTTAATAACATAAAATATTTATAACAAGTTGATAAAAGAGGGAGAAGTTGATATATGGAGCTGGCCAGTTAACTAGTGGGTCCAGGTGAACCAGAATGACCAGGAACAGCAGGAGCTTTCTTCGGCTGAAGATAAAGATCCTCAATGATTGTAATAACATCAGGTCTGTCTTCCTTGCGATACGTTAAGCAGCGCTTTATGAAATTCTAAAATTAAAATTAATAATAACAGATATATGATTATTATTTTTGGCGTACTTTTGCCTCATTTGAAACAGGCGGTTTTGAAGGAAACTCAACTTCAGTTGCTTTTAGCATAACATTCTCCTCTAAGATGGAGGCTTGACTTTGGTTGTGACCAAATGGCTAATAATAATAATAATAATTATTATTATTATGGTTATAATGATGATGATAATAATAATGATATTGATGTTAATAATAATCATTAATGTGTTCACTTTTTTTCCATACAGACACTGAAAGAATATGATACCAACTGACCATACATCCACCTGGTGGAGTATAGAATTTAAATTTCAAAATTCAAACAATACACACACAGCACCTTTGACGAGATCTTTGGAGGTTCCTTGCCAATTACAAAACATTCCGGAGGCAAATACCTTTAAAAGAAGAACAGGAGCTACAGACAAACAAAAGATGGTTCTAACCAGTAAGTGCCGGCTCCTTGTGAAGTTAGTTCTACCATTCCATCAGTTCCCTCTTGCTCCACAATCTTACTCAAACCAAAGTCAGTTATCTTAGCTTCATAACTGTATATTCCAGAACCAAGCAATATATTACCTAAATACATGTGACGATCATGTGACAGCACATGTGATGTCATACCTGGTTTCAAATCAAAGTGAATGATGGGTGGACGTATTTCATTTAAATACTTCAAAGCGGTGAGAGTTTGGACAACAACACTCCTAGCCTGAGGGGAGAAAGGGTTAATAATTATAAATGGTATTCTTACCTCTTTCTCTGGTAAAGTTTTGTTTTGCTTCAGTAGAAAATCTAAATCATTACCGCTCACAAACTCAAGGACAGTGCAGAAACTGAGGGAGAGCTAGAACCTTTATTATAACAAGAGGAACAACTTACGAATCGGCATCAATTTCAAAAACATCGTACAGCTGAACTATATGCTGCAATTAATAATAATAATAATAAATATAATATTAATGTTATTAACCGGATGGTCAAGTTTTTTGTGAATGTTGTATTCTCTTAAGGCGTGTCTAAAAATACAGTGACCATGGCAACAAGACCATACCCACCACTCACTTGATATAATTAGCTTTTTTATCTTCTTTCCAGTCTGGATTCAACTGATGAATCTTACATGCGACATACCTTTGCTCATGTAAATCGTAGCTCTGATATTAACAGCAGTAATTAATTATGGGTGTGGTCGGACACGCCTACCTTGTGTACTTCACTGAAACCTCCTTTGCCAATCAAGTGAAGCAACAAGTAGCGATTGTGAAGAACAGGATGATCATTAAACCTAATTAATAATAATAATTATTATTATTATTTATTTATTAATATTACCTTGAGTTATCTTCAGCTGCAATTCTCTTCAATTCCCTGATGTGAAGGTTTCTTTCCCGCTCTAGTTTCTCCCTCAACTGGAGAATGTTCAAATCTTCCTAGTAACAGGGATCATTATTAATGACTGCCTTTAACTGTTATTATCATTATTATTTAACAGCTGGTTTTTATTACTTTCTTTAGAGCAGCTCCTCTGAGCTTCAGTATTTCATCTTTTTCAAGAAACTCTGACATACTTATACTGAGAGAGAAAGAGAAGAAATCAATCATCATCATTATTATTACCTACCCTGGAGCCTGTGGTTTAGTGAATCCGTCGGAATCAAGAGTTGGGGAAGATTTGCCAGCCCTCTCTATGAACAATAAAAAAGGATAAAGTCAGCATAAGTCCTCACTGCTTCCAGAAGATGACACAATCTTTTTCTTTGCTGCTAATAATTTTTTCTGTTTCTCTATCTCCTCCTTCTGGACTGATATGTCATTCTGTTCTTGTGAAAGTTCTTGAAATGCAAACCCGTCAATCCAGGTATCGACGAAATGAGCTCCCTGTCTGAAGGAGGTGTGGCAGTGGGTGTGGTTAATGATAGAATCACCTCTGAGCTGAGAATCGTCCAAGTCTTAGTTGATTCCTAACACTTTCTTCTCTTTGTTCTTTCTTTGTAGCGGTGCTCTGTGTGGTCAGAAGGTCACATGACAGTCATGTGATCAATAGGTTACCTTTTCAATCAATAATTGTTTAATAACTTCAACACACTGTGGGGGCGGGAGTAAGGTTGCTATGGTTACTAATGTACATTACCTTTGATATTTTTCCAGTCAGTAATTCAATTTTATCACTTGAGTTACTTAAAATAGCCTCAAGTTGTGTCACACGCTATAAATAGATTGTTACTAAATATAGACACACATGCAGGGACACACCTCTTGAAGGAGCTCTTTATCTTCCTCGTACTGACTGGTGCTTTTCTCTAGTTTTTTCAATCTTTCCAAATTAATATCGGTCTGAACAGAAGCATAATAATAATAATAATAATAATAATAATAATAATAATAATTATTATTATTATTATTAATTACTTGTGTTTGTGCGGTATTACTTGATGTAAAGACCAGTCTAGTCTGGGAGCAGCTGCTATTGGTCCCACTGGTCCCTTTACTTGGGAAGTATTCGCTTATCTTCTTTGATGGATCCATTTTCGGACTCTTTCCTAGTCACGTGACCTCCCAGAACATGTCGTGTGATCATATTTACCTGTTTTTGATGAGGGACCGTTCTCTTCTGATAATTGTCGCTTCCTTGCACGAGGCGGTTTGGGTTTTTCAGGCTGTGAGGTCTGAGGCTCAGAATCATGTTCACTTGAACCAGCGCTAATGTTTGAATCAGTGTTAATCTGTAGTGGGCGGAGCTTAAGGGCACATGGTAATTATGTGCTTACTGTCATTGGTAGCGACCGGCCCATGAACCTCGCCTCAAGGAGCTCGCGTTTCTGAGGATCCAAAGTTTCCAGCTCAAACGATGCACTATTGTCATCTATAATGTGGTCATGTGATGCATCACGTGATCTCCTCACTTACTGAGTGTAAAATTAAGGCCTGTGCCACTACCTTGACTGCTTCTAAAGGGAGTGTCCTCTATCAGTTCATCTGTTGCCTCCATTTTGAAATGGATTCCTAATAAATTAATAATAAAATTCCACCACTTCACTCTCCATGCATTACCTTCTCAAGGGGTGTGTCGGATACACGTGGGGAGGCGGGGCTTATTAGTTTTTTTTGTGGTGCTTGATTTTGCGCATGCGCTCAAATAATAGTTAATTTTTTGGCGGGACAATTTAAAAATCATCAATTTGAATAATAATTTGTCTTTTTGAGTACTTCTTCTATAAAAATCTAATGCAAAAAGATAAACAATGAGTACATTATAAGCACTACTAGTTACCTGTAACTGGCTGTATGTAGTTTTATGATTATTAGTAGCAGGAGAAGGGGCATTAGGACACTGAACTAGAGCAGCTTCAAGAAGGTGTGGCAATGAAGGCAAGAGGGAAACCTCTTGATTTATACCTGTTGCTAGCTAAGCATTAGAACAAATTGACAAATCAAATATTGATGCTGATGGGTCACCTACCCTCCATAGTTCATTCTTTAATTCTTTAGCATTAAAACTAGCGATACTGCTCAGGAGTCCCCTGGTATATCTTGATACTATGATGTATGGTGGACTGGAACTGTGTTCAAATTTAGCAATAGGGGAGAGCTAGGAAGAGAAAGAGTGAGAGAGAGACAGAGAGAGGAAAGACACATGTCAGATTGTGTATGACAACTAATTATAAAGTTAAATTTACAATGTTCTCTGTAGGCCTGGTCCATCATGACCCTTACAAAAATTGACCAGATAAAGCAAAAATGGAAGCATGCACTTTTGAAGACACACAATCATCAACAAGTACTTTTATACTCAACTAATAGTAAAAGTCTCTCGTGGGTCGTCTCATAATGTAATTACTTGTATAAACTGTAACAATACAGGGTAACATACTTGATTAATGTACAGGACTTTACACATCATTAGGAGAACATCAGAGACTGGGTCTGATATCTCACGCAAACTGAGTGGAGATACAGTAATTACAGTAGAACCTATTTTAAATTTGTATTTTACACTTTGAGTTGACTTACTTACCTGATCTAGTGCTCCTTGACCTCCTGACAGTCGGAGCAGGGGAAAGGGAGAAAGACCTCTGGCGTGATACAACTAATAATTATCATTATTAATTGATCATTATTAATTGATTATTATTAATTGATTATTATTAATTGATTATTATTAATTGATTATTATTAATTAATTATTATTACTTGGCTCAGATGATAAGGTGTCCTGTTTATTAGGAGTAGTTGCAGCTGTCAGAAGAGGTGACGTTTCCCTCTTCCAGGCATTCCCTTTAACAGGAGGATTGTTATTATAAGAAGATACATCTTGTACTGATCCTCCAGTAACATCCAATGGCTCACAGTCACTGGCAGTACTGCTGAATGACAGCTTCCTTCTTGACATTAATGCATTCCTTTCACTTATCTCTATAGCATCAGAGCTTCTCCTATTAATAACAAACAATAATACATCATAATCATATCATAATCAATAATTGTAACACCTTGAGCTTGATAGACTTTCCTTATTTGGTTTATTTTCAATTTGAGCTAGTGCACTGTCAAGCTGGACCATAAGGTGCTCTGCAATCATACCACCAATCTATGAATAATTAATTAATTGAATATAATAATTGATTGATAGTTCTAATTTACCTGAACACTGTTTGGCCTCAAAGTTGGATCAATAGTCAGACATTTAGTGATGACATCACTGACTTGAGCCGAATATTTATCCAACGGAGCTGTCTCAAATTTGCCTTCAGCAATCTAAATAAAATGATCAATAAATAAATCAATAAGCAAGTTGTTGTCTTGGTTACTTTCTTAGCCAGTGACAATAGATTGGTTGCATAGAAAGGAGGTTGTAGAGCAGCCATCTCATACAAAACACAACCAGCTGCCCAAATGTCCGCCTTTTTATCATACTCCTTGCTCTCAACTATCTCAGGACTGAAGAAATTGATTGTAATAATAAATATTAATTACTTACCACCAGTACACCACAGTTCCCACTATGGACTTCATAACACTAAAGTCTTTCTGATCTTTAGCTAGTCCGAAATCAGCTACAATGAGAACCTAAGTCATGAGAGACACACTTAGCAAAGACTCACTGATAGTTAGTTTATCGTGTTCTCCTAATATCATGTTAGCTGGTTTCAAGTCTCTGTGAGTGATACCTTTATCTTCATGAATGTAGCGCAACGCACGGATCATCTACAAATATAGCGTAACAGGAGGGGATTTGGTATTTACTGCATACTTGAGAGAATATAGTCCATATTCTTTTTTCGCTGAAAAACGTTTTCTTTTCCTTCATAGATGATATGAATTCACTCAATGGAGTCCCTTCAATCAAACTCATCTCAATATACAAATGGTGTGACTCCTAAAAAACAAACAAACAAACAAACAAACAAGTGCATATAGAATTGAAACATAAATTGTGCATATTTACCTCAAAACACTTAAAGTATTGAACTATGTTTGGGTGTCTCAGTTTCTTGTGTATCATAGACACTTCACTCATTATCTTTCCAATGCTTCCATTCCTTTCCTCTAAACTGCTGCAACCTGCCAGTGATGGATGAGTCATTTGGATTTCCTTTAAAGCATAGAAGTTGCTGCCACGAGGAGGTCCTTTACGTACTTTATAGACACTGCCGTAAGCGCCTGTACCTAGCAACTCAAGGACTTCATACTCGCCGATAACTCTTAATGGACAGTTTGTGTGATTTAATGATTTCTGATTGGTCGTTAAAGCTAATTTCTCGTCGTCGGAAAGTTCGGATAATGACTGTGCCAGATCAGAATAAGCAGAAAGATTATGAACATAGTGTCCAATACTGATGAACTTCTCAAATATTGGTAGCGGGAAAAATATCTTTAAAAATCGTCTGTTCCTTTCTAAACTGAAGAGATATCTCATGGCTCTTAAGCAGTACAGTTTCAGCTCATGGTCTCCTTCAATTTGCACCAGATAATGTGAAATGAGATACAAGCCATTGCTCTCAATGATCTGTTTAGCATTCATGTCATTCAATGAAAGACGAGTGAGGAGAGAGAGAGATGCCTTCAATATCCTAGCATCGTCCAAACTCTCCTTGAGACAAAGTGACTGAGGACTGATGAGTATCAGTATAACTGGTATGCCTCCAAGCTCTCTAAACTCGTCTGTCAGTTCTTCATCATCAATAACCCAATCAAGCATCTCCAGGAGTCTGCCCTTTACATAAGAACCTAGTGTTGTGAACTGGAGTAGAGAGAGACATGTTGAAAGGAGGTCCTGCTCTTTTGCTTGCTGTCTCATGGCTCCCTCTTGACTGAGAAGGAGGAGAAGGTCAGAAACGGGGTTTTGAATTTCTTTATTATTGGCGCCATTTGTGTCTAAGATGTGAAGGAGTGAGTCTATTGGATAGCAATCCAAAATGGCCTTCCTTCCTTGTTGCTTCTTTCCCAAGTTAACAAGACTGTTGATGGACGACTGAAGCAAGTGAGTGCTGTGAGCTGAAAGGAGGAAGAGGAGCTGCTTGTGGGACTCCCAGTCAATCAGGGCAGAGTGGGAGGAATGGGTATGACTCAACTTCTGTACAATATCTGCAAGAGAGATAGAATAAGGGGAAATAATAGCAAGTACAATATGTACTAGTTAGTTCAATGATCAGTGAAGAATCCTTATCAGTGCTGGACAAATAGCTGTGAGTTGCACTTTGAAGCTCCTAAAATAGCAATAATAATAGAATAAAAACAGACTCTTCCTTCTTTTACCTGTAATAATACAACTAGGGAAGAGCTGTTGGAGATGAACTTTCCTAAAAGTACACCATCTCTCATTAATAATCTCAAGCAACTGAAGAGAATCAACTTGTCGCCTTCACTTGTAGCAGCCCAGGATGACGAGGAGAGATGAGACATGATATCTAGCAGAAACTGTGAGAGAGTAATTGATAATTTACAGCAATAGAACCTGGTCTGCTTCTTTGATTGTTTTGAAATCTCTCTCTTTTTTAAATTTAAAAGTAAAGTCCTGTAGTGCCTCCATTATTTACCAGAGGGTGGGGCTCAATTGTAGGCGTGGCTCAAGAAGGTGCGAAAGGTGGGGCTCTTCAGTGGGGAAGAGGCGAGTCACAGAAATAAGAGGGCGAGTAGTCACGAGTAGACCAATAGAAAGAGAGAGAGGGCGGACTAGAAAAGACCAGGGACATGTCTTTCAAGCTGCTTCTTCAAATCTTGTTATCTTTATTATTGATAGGCTGTTTAATGGTAAAATCTGAGGAGGTTGAGGGAAGCAATGACTACATGGTGGAACTCACTGATGAGACTTTTGAAGATGCTGTTAAGGAACCAGAATTCATGATAGTAGAATTTTATGCAGACTGGTGAGGAGAGGAGGGAGAGATAAAATTATAATTAATATCTTAATTAGATTGAATTATTATCACCTTTATTAATGATTTTAATTAATTTTTATTGTTAATTATTATTATTATTTTGTAGGTGTGTACATTGTCAAAAGTTGCTGCCTACATTTCAAAGATTAGCAAAGACTCTGAAAGAAGAGCACAACGTCACTTTTGCTAAACTCAATATCGGAACAGAGAAAGAGACTCAAGCGAAGTACCAGATCCCTGTACTGCCTGGTGTGAGGTTTTTCAGACGAGGAGCAATTTTTGACTATGGAGGACCTGCTGGAGAAGAAAGCTACGAAGGTTTGAGTATTCAAATAATTTAGAAAATTATTTTTATTTTTTGTTATTTTTAGGTCTTTTAAAATATTTTTTGAGCGAGAAGGATAAAAGTGATCTCGCTGATAATCCTGTCCTTGAACTGACTGATGCTAATTTTGACGAGATCACTAAAAACACGGAATTAATTTTAGTAGAATTCTTTGTAAAAGAGTAAGATTAACATTCAATTAAAATGACCTCGTTAATTAATTAATTCACAGGTGTATGCCTTGTAAAAGATTAGAGCCTCATTTTGTTGCAGCTGCTAGGCGACTGGCTAAGAACGACCCTCCAGTTCCTCTTGGTACAATTAATGTACCAGACAACATGGACCTCACCAAGAGATTTGGACTACAGCAGTATCCATATTTGGTAATGCTCAGATATGGTGAAGTGTATAACTATACTGGACCACAAGAAGAAGATGGTAATAATAATAATAATAATAATAATAATAATAATAATAATAATAATAATAATCTCCTCTCCTCCCCCTGAGGTGGATGGGTCTATTTCACTTTTTGTTTATTTTGTTCCTTTTTGTTTTGCTTTTTGTTTTGTTTTCAGGTTCTCCCTCTCCTCCTTTCTGTATATTTTCTCCTCTTTTTGTTGCCCTTTTCTCTCTCACTGATATTTTATAATAATAACTAAAATAATTATATGTATGATGTTAACTTTTCCTTAATACTTTTGCTTTTGTGTACATAATTGCAGTGCATGTAAATTTTTATTTGCTGCACTTTGTTAACTCATTAATGAATTTATTTATTCATTTATTTACTAAAGGTATTGTTAGCTACATGGAAAGACAGTCTGGCCCCAGTTCAGTGTTTATGGAAACCCTGGATGAAGTGAAGTCCTTCATTAAATCAGATACTGAGGCTCGCGGTGTTGGGTTCTTCTCACCAGAAACAAGTGCTGATGCTTTAAAGACCTTTCTCAAATCTGGCAACGAAGCACGTTTAGATCTACATCTTGGACACACAACAGATCCAGCCATAGCTCAGAAACTCTCCTTCCCATTGAACAGTGTTGTTATTTTCCAACCGAAGCAGGCGCTTACTAAATACGAATTGGGATACACCATCATTCATGACACAGATGAAGGAGAGACGCCCACCAGTTTAATGAAAGCTTATCAGTCTGGCATTAGGTCGCTAGTCGGACAGATGACAAGGGATAATCACCTCAGGGCTTATAAGTATCGGCCATTACTGGTTGCTTATTATGATGTAAATTGGGACTTTGATTTTAGAAAAGGTAATAATTGTAATCATTTAGTAATGATTGTGCCTTTATTGGCCAAAGACAGTTTTTACTAATCTCTCTCTTTCTTCCTCTTATAGACACCAAGTATTGGCATTCATTAGTGGCTGATGTTGCTGTCAAATATAAAGACTCTGATCTTGCCTTTGCTATAGCGAATGAAGCAGAGTTCCAACCTGACCTAAAAGCACTTGGATTTGCTTCCTGGGGTGAAGATGTAGCCGTAGGTATTTATGCCCCAGGCCCTAAGAAGTACCGCCTCACTGAAGAACTCACTAAGGACTCTTTAACCGAATTCGTTGAAGATTTTTTCTCCGGAGACCTTAAGCCGTATTATAATTCTGAGATTCCCCCTAAAAAGAACACAGGCCCAGTGAAGACAGTCGTAGGGACTACCTTTGATAAAATAGTCTACAATCCCAAGAATTCGGTCATTGTCATGATGTGTATTCCTAGTGTGTCTGATTGCAGAGATGCAGCTGAATGGTTCGACACTGCCGCAAGGAAGTTCTTTAAGAAAGATAAAACCGTTGTCTTTGGTAGCATAAACGTGGAACTCAATGACGTCTCGTTTGACCACTTCAAATTTGATGATCTCCCAACGTTTTTTTACTCCCCAAAAGGATCGAAAGGAGAGACTGATCTGATAAAGATAGACCCTGTTCCTAAAGATGACATAGACCTCTTCGGTTGGCTGAGGTCCAAGGCCAGGATACAACTACCAAGAGATGAACTATAATGGAACAGCATTAATGTCGGCCCATCTCGGCACATTTTTCATTTTAGGATTTTACTAATTTTTCAGCTGTTAGGATTATTAAGTATTAATTATTATTAGTATTATATTACATAAGTAATAATAGTTACAGTAGCAAGAAGCAACAAATAACTACGAGTAGTGTAGAGTAGACACATGGGCAATCCTTTCCAAACTACGCCATTTTGTTGACTTGATAGTTTAGTGACGCACGCGCACGGGCGGCATATGGCCACGCCCATACAAATTTCGCCCATTAACACGTGCTCTTTCGTGTTAGGTGCTATGGGTGGATTTCTTACTAAACCTATTACTGATAAGACAGTAACAAATGGAACTATCGGCGTCTCTGACAAAGAGTGTCAGTACGGGACGGCTACCATGCAAGGATGGAGAGAGAACATGGAAGTAATTTGACCCCCCACACGTGGGCATTACCTTTTATGGTAATGTACTATTAATTAATAATAATAATTTATTAATTAGGATGTGATAACTGTTGTAACTGATTTTGATGATAAATGTTCTTTTCTTGGAGTATTTGATGGACATGGCGGTAAGTATAGTTCATTAATTAAAGTGGGTGCAATATTAATTAATTAATAAATAATTATCAATTTTGTATGGGGCAAGGTATTTGGATCATTTTTTAAAATGGCCGTAACTCGAAAAGTTTAAGTCGGAATCAGTTCAAACTTGCTACACAGCATAAGGACATCAATATGTATCAGAAAATGTAATAAAAATTGGGGGCGATTTTGGAGCCATTTTTTGGAAGAAACCATGGGCTATAGTACAGGGAAATTTTCAGATTTTGGCTCATTTTTTAAAATGGCCGTAACTCGAAAAATTGAAGTCGGAATCAGTTCAAACTTGCTACACAGCATAAGGACATCAATATGTATCAGAAAATGTAATAAAAATTGGGGGTGATTTTGGAGCCATTTTTCGGAAAAACCATGGGCTATAGTACATGGAAATTTTCAGAAATTTGCTCATTTTTAAAAATGGCTGTAACTCGGAAAATTGAAGTCGGAATCAGCTCAAACTTTCTACACAGCACAAGGACATCAATATGCATCAGAAAATGTAACAAAAATTGGGGTGATTTTGGAGCCATTTTTTGGAAAATACCATGGGCTATAGTACAGGGAAATTTTCAGATTTTGGCTCATTTTTTAAAATGGCCATAACTGGAAAAGTTAAAGCCTGAATCACCTCAAACTTTCTACACAGCATGACTTTGTAATGTTTTGGACTATAATTGCAATGTTTCTTTAGATGGTAACGTACATATACATGTCCTTAAGATGTGGTGAGTGTGTTCAATGACTCAAAGAATGTTATGATGAAATAAGCATTGTACAATGATCTTCATGTACATCCATTTTATGTACATGTACATGTACAGTGTAGTTCATGATCATATATGGCACACATCATGTAGGCTGTGTGTGTGTGATCATTTCCTTTTGATTGCTAGAATGTAAAGGATTATTTCATGCTGTGTGTTCGTTTGATGTTATTGTACAGGCAAGGAATGGCCTAAAGGTACAGTGGTAGTCAGACCAATGTCTGACATGAACATGTACCTAGTGACACTGTGTGATGACATCTCTGTTACTCTACTGATTGTGAAATTTATTTTTAATATGTTTCCTTAATTATTATTTATTTATTTATTTTAGGTAAAGAAGTATCTGTCTATTGTTCGAGGCACCTCCCTGGGTTTTTAAAGGCGAGTGTTGGGTATCAAGATGGAGATGTGTCTCGGGGTTTCTGTGAAGCTTACATGAACTGCGACAGGAAACTATTAACCGAAGACGCACTCAAGGAAATGAAACTAATCAATGAAAGTGAAATCAACGAGGGAGAGGAGGAACTTAATGGAGAAGAAAGGTTGATAATAATCATTATTATTACATTTATTTATTTAAATATTATTATTTATACTTGTGGTTACAATCTCTTAGAACTGATGTTACTATAGTGCCTAACCACCCACTTGTAACAGCTTAAACCTAACAACCATAACCTTCTAGTAATCATTCATGTACATATGTACATGTACATGAATGTATATTGTGTACATGTACATGTAATGTACAAATACATATATAATGTGTATGTTCTTAAATGGTATCTTTCCACTAGTACTCATTTGTACGTGTGTACATTTTCCTCATTCCTTCTCACAACGTGTTCCTATTCCCATTACTATGTGTTATTGCTGTGGTCTTAATGCAATATACCTCTCCATTGATAGCAGAGGGTGATCTCATTTACCTTGTCTAGTAGCCCTGACTTAGATCAGTCTTGGTTTGTGGTTAGGTAGTTCGTAGTGTTTCCATGAGTAGTTCTTAGCGTATGAATTAACACCTGCTTATTGTGATGGCAACAACACCTCACCTCTATGGCATGCAATACTATTAACTTTGTAAGGTCTCTTCTTTGCTGGTATAATTGTTCCATGAGTTTATTATTTGGAGTATATTCACTGGGGCTATATATGTCCTTATATGTATGTATGGGCTTTTTAAAATTATAATTATGTTGCATGTGATATTTCCTGTTTATTGCTGTATCCGTGAGTTATTTTATGTCTTTTGTGGTTTCTTCCTTCCTCATTCCTTCCCCTCTTTATCCCCCTCTCTCTCTCCCCTCTCTCCCCCTCTCCCCTCTTTCCCCCTCTCTCTCTCTCCCTCCCTCTCCCCCTCTCTCCCCCCTCTCTCTCCCCCTCCCTCTCTCCCCCCCAGTGGTGATGAGGTGGAGAGACTAACTGAAGAGGCTCATATGCCGCTGGACAAGGTCCTTCAGGCTTGCATTGAGGACAAGAAACTTTTAAAGTACCTCATCAACGTAGCCAATCGAAACAATGGTGGTAATGAAGCTATTATTATAAATTATTATTATTATTATTATTATTATTGTTATTATTATTATTATTATTATCATTCGTGTAGATGGGAGCAACGATGATGAAATCAGTTCTAGTGATGGAGAGGGTATGGCCTCAGAAGAAGGCCTGGGAGGGGCAGATAACATTAAAGAGACCCAAAGATCTCGTGTGTACTCTCAATTTATAAAAGAATTATCAGTTCAATACAAACCAGCTCTGAATGAACTGCAGACCATGATGGGAGAGGATAGCTCAGAAGGAGAGGAGGAGGAGGAGGAGGAGGAGGAGGAGGAAGGACCTGGGGAAGGAGAAACAGAAGAGGAAGGAAAACCAGTCATTGCTAATAATGGTAGCAATATTTACTTATTTGTTTATTTGTTTGTTTGTTTGTTTATTTTCAGTTAGGAAGAGAAAGAGATGTGACGAATCAGATGAAGATTTAAAAGACAGTGAGTCCTGTTACTAAATATAGATACAGAGATGTGCTATTTATAGTAACACATATGAGCCTGCATATTTTCATGTACATGTACATTGGAATGGGGAAATGGGAAATGTGATTATCAATGAAAGGATGGAGGGAGGGGAAGGAACTGGTAATTCAATCTCATTAGGTAAGAGATTGAAAGAAGGAAGACAAGAAATGGGACAGGCCCTAGGAGAAGGGGGAGGAGCCAGAGGAGAAGGGGAAGGGGCTAAGGAAGAAGGAGATGGAGATGAGTATCATGATTCCGAGGGACATGAAAGTGGTTCTACAGCAACAGTTTGTCTAATAAAGACTAATATACTGTATGTAGCTAATGCTGGAGACTCGAGATGTGTATTGTCAAGCAATGGTGAGAGAAATCATCATCATCATCATCGTTATTTATTATTAGGAGAGGCTGTCGACCTCTCACTGGATCACAAACCCATTGATCCTCTTGAGAGGGAAAGGATCGAGAGAGCAGGTGGACATATTGACGAAGATCTAAGAGTCAATGGAGGATTGAACATGTCTAGAGCAATTGGTTAGTAAATCCTTCTTTTTGAAACTGTCCACCTGCTTCCCCTCTCTCCTTAAAAGGCGACCACATGTATAAGACGAATGAGACACTGCCCCTGAAAGATCAAATGATATCTGCTTATCCAGATGTACACACCAGACTCCTCCAGACACAAGATCAGTTCTTGGTACTAGCTTCTGATGGAATATGGTAATGGAAGCCAAACTACTTCATTTACTATTCATAATGATATTAGGATTATAAACTACATGTGCACACACACATACACACACACACGCACACATACACGCACACACACGCACACACACACACGCACACATACAGAGCATTACTACTCCAACTATTACTATCTACTATAACCCATTCCATGTACGTGTACATGTATTGATGGGGGCTGCTTGTTTATAGGAATTGTTTAGACAGTCAACAAGTTGTGGATTTTATTAATGCGAAACTACTGGAGGTCAGGAATTCAAAGAAAGACCTGGTACTATCTCATATTTGTGAAGAGGTACATCGCTTAGAAGTGATCATTGAAATAAATTTTGGGGGACCATCCCAACTAGAAATGGTTGATTTCACTAGACCTAGACTAATAGATCCAATAGTGGCAATGCCTTTAAGAATCTTTCCCTCTGCGAAATACCCATGCCTCTTCTATTGTTCTTATGTCTATTCTGTTTGATATTTCCCACTCCTCTTGTAATGTGACATACAATAAACCAGACTTTACGTGTGTGTGTTTACATTCTTTGGGTGGTACAATGTGTAGCTATAGCAACTGGAATTTATCATTATTATCTATTTATTAGATTAGCAGGTGTCACCGAATGATATTGCGCATTAATTTCAAAATAGTAATGATAATAGTAATAATATTATTAATAATAATGAGAAGAAATGGTTTGAATGTGGGGTGTCATTGTTCCTGTTCTAATGCAACATGTACAGATTCACCTTATATGAGCAATGCTCCATTGAAGGAGATGTACTTGTACCTGTACGTGATGTAGGTACAGTATAAGTTGATTAATCATTTAGAACTGAAACTCAGTTCCATGTGATTCTTACCTTAGTATAGCAATTAGCGTTAGCTAGCCTTTTAGAATTGTTCCTACTCTAACTAACTATTGAAGACTAAACTGACTAAGAATGGGGGACTTAAGAGCACCTTGGCTAAGTATGAGATATTTCAGGAGACTTCTCCTCCTAATGCTCTACAGTGTGTGTAAATGTTGTGTAATAGCTACAGCAATTGAGTGTATACTGTAATTTTCTAGTTATTTGTGTGTAATGTTGAAGGTATTGTGTGTGCCCTGCCCTGCCTTGATATCCTGTACTCCACTGATGATGTGTGTAAGTTACAAGGAATGATTATTACAATGATCATGTAGTCATCTATTACTGTTGTGAGCCAACATCTACTCTGTTTCAAGTTGCATACACACACAAACACAGCTAGCTTTACGGTAATAGCCTCTTTCTCACAGTAAGAACTAACCAGTATTGCATTTACTGGTTCCTAATTTGGTAATGTAATACTTTCAAGCATGGACCATGCTGAGATAAAGGGATTCCAGTGAATGCTGTCTGGCACTGATCATGTAGTCTGTATATAATTGTTATGTATATTTTACTGTCTTAATTTGTGAAATGTCAGTGAAATCACATGCTATATTGTTGATGTCAACATAATGTCAACATTGCTTATTTAATTTACATTTTCTTATAATTTTTAATTAGTAAAGTATGCATGTGATACTAAGGAGAAGAGGGGCTATCCTGGAGAAACAAAGGAAAGATTATTATCACTGTTAGATCTAGCCTGGAGGGAGTTTAGGAGAATTTCTTTAATTTTCCACTTTTGGTTTAGATTTCCTCTTTTTGTAACTTTTGGTCTCATATTTAGCTTAAGTCTACCATTTTAGTTAGATTGGTCTCCAAAATTTATTTCTAGATCTAACAATGATTTGGTATTATTATTATTATTATTATTATTTTTGTAGCTATGCGATGCATGTTTAGCAGAAGATATTGACAATGATGGAACTGGCTGTGACAACATGTCTATCATTATTACACTTTTAAAACCTTTTGACAAACTTTTCAATGAACGAGACTTGCAGCAACAATGATCAATGATGACTGCTTTATATTAGTTTGTATTAATATTTTGTTATTATTATTTTATCATGATGACAGAATCATTTTGTTTTCACACATTGAGACAAGACTGTGCAATGCAACTGTCACATGATCCAATATTGCAAGACATGTGACTAAAATATTGGTCATAATGGCCAAACCATAATCTATACCGAAGTACAAATATTTGACAAGTTTTACGGTTGCTTCTAGCAACACGTTATCTTGAAAGGGGCTTGTCTCCGGCTTGCAACACGAGCCACTATAAGATATGGAAACAACAGACCTTTGCTATGGCAGCAACTGGCCATCTGGCTGAGCATGCATAATTCCCAATTAAGCAATTACAACCAGAGATATAGATTACTGTTGCTAGGGTGGAAATATGCAGATCAGAAAAGGGAGGGGTGACGTCTCTGTGGACTATGAAAGCCGATAAAAGGAGCTGTGGAGAGGAATTCTAACCGTCAAGTAGCTTTTGATCAGAAATACAATCAGCCACAAAAAAAGATAATGACACTTCTAGTTGTGTTGGTAGCTATCTTAGTCCCTTCTCTCGTGCTGTCTTCCCCGACTGCTACAGCCTCAGGAGCAGCTCCGCACTCTCAACTCAAGCACAACTTGAAAGACCTGATAAATAAAGTGGTAAGTCATGACTGACTTGTGTATCTCTAAAATTTACTACCCTGTCTCTGCTAAAAAAGGACGATCAAATTTATAACAAGAGCAATGGTGCTAGCAACATTACTCTCCTGGAAACTACAGTGAGGTTACTAGCTACAGTACAAGACCTGCCAACTGACTCGGGAGATATCAAATCAGATTTAAAGCTCAAGACCATCAAATCAATTCACAATAAATCCACACTAGTAGAGACATGCAAAATGGTAAGATAATGCTTCTTTTCAAATTGCAAGCTTAACTTTCTTTTTGATGTCTACAGTTGAAAATAAAAGACGTTCATGAATGCTCAGAGAAGATCAGTGAACTGGACGTGTTAGTCAAACTTCGAACTGCACTCAATTTTTATGATTCCGCAGTTAGACACCTTGGACAATTTTAATCATTTTTTGATAATAATAACTGACGATAGCTAATAATTTGAACCCCCACTTATATTAAATGAAAATGTTTTAAATTTAATTCAGTATAATTATTGGGATTTTAAAGTTTTTTTATGCTGCAAAACTGAATTACAGGAGAGAGGGAGGTGTGGCTGAAAAGGTGTGAAAATGAGTGCTGACAAGCAAAGCAAGGAGACCATTCCAAGCATCCGTCCATTGTTGGACTCTGATATACGAGCAGTACAAGAGGTTCACATTAACTGTATCAAAGAGGTCTGCTCCTCTTGCTACAGCAAAGAAGACATCACTGCTTGGATAGACAGACAATCCATCACAAGATACCAGTCATTATTTAGAGAAGGGACTGCTATTGTGGCTGAGAATGAGGAAGGAGAAGTCATAGGATTTGGGCACATTGATAAGACCAGTGATGAAGGTTGTGATCACGTGATTAAAGGTCTCTATGTGTCCCCTAAGGTCATTGGGAGAGGGGTTGGTACTTTATTGTTTAACGAGTTAAAAAGGATAGCAGTCCATGATGGGTGTAATAAATTGTTGGTCTTTTCTAGTAAAAATGCTGTTTCTTTTTACGAAAGGATTGGATTTATAGCTGGCAAATGTGCAAAACACTGCCCCAACGAATCAGACAATCTGTTTTGTATTAAAATGATAAAAACATTATAATAAATAAATAATCATTATTGTGTGAAAGAAAATTATTTTTTTATTCAATTGTAATAATTAATCATCATCGTCTGAGACGCATGAGAAAAGCATGCTTTGACAAATGATACTTTTCTGGATAATACTTGTCGTAAAACCCAATGCAAAACTCTTCAATCTTAAACCCAAACCTCTGATAGAGTAACATTGAAGGATTATCAACTGCAACATGGAGCAAGACGTCTTTACCTTGACATGATTGTATGAGATGATAGAGCACGATTCAACCAATACCAGCATATTGGTAGTCTGGATGCACTAATAAGAATGGAATATAAGCTTCGCTGATACTGGCATCAGGGGTCATAAATCCACAGCCTATTATCAGTTTAGATCCATAGGTTACTACAACAGTAAAGTCAGGATGTTGCAAATATTCTGATAAATCTACAGGCCAGAAGAAGTACGATATGAATGCATTCACGGGCTGGAGCTGGTCCTTTTGAAAATAACTAAAGACAATTGGTTTTGCTTCATACGGAGCCTCTGGTGTAACTTTGGAAAGCAATTCTTTAAAGATTTGGATTTTAGGCGGCAAGAATGAGCTGCTTTTGAATATGATATAAGGTAGCAGGTGAGATGTATAAGGACTAATGAATCTACCATTATCACTTTGATTGCTATCATTGCATATTAGGTGAGGGAGCAGGGGGCTTTCCAGCCTTCTCAGTATGGCACGGGCTTTTGAAATAAGAGAGAATGATGGCATATGAACGCTGTGAGTAGATTCACTTTCAACATCTTTAGCTATTAGTGGGTAAGGTGGATTATCACTGGAACTTGAAATGTAACATTGTGTATGGTGTAATGATTCCATCACAAATGCATTCATACTAAACAAAGGCTGACCCAAAGCTCTTTTTGTTTCACGGACTTTTAATGTGCGAAGGATTCGAGCAAAAGAACTATCTTTGCTTGAAACTTTTGAAGACATGAAATCTAACAGGACCCTTTCCTGCTGTAGGGTCAGTGGTGAAACTAAGGCAGAAGACATATCCTCAATTGTATTCTCTTGCTCAGGCATAAGCTCTGGCTCTTCTTCTTTTATCTTCTTTGAAGCTGAGGGTTTCTCTATATCAATACTTCTTTTTCTTGAGTCTGGGGTCACTCCAGCAATGGAGGACAAGCATTTATTTTGCTTGCTTCCTTTCTTTGGGCGATCACCTACTACATTAATATAATAATAGCAACTTTGTGATTAGATAAATGTGTGTATACAGCAGTTATGTAACAGGAAACAATCAATGACTTATTGAGAAGAATGTTATCAGAATAACAACAAAGTTAACTCATGATATACTGATCAGGCAGGCAGGCAGCATCTGCTAATAATGGTGAGTCTTTCATTGGTATATAGGTATGCTTTGATGGTTGGGAAACAAATAAGTTTCTCATAAAATTGTGAAATGCAAGTGCACATGTCCAATGTAACATGACACTCAATATGTCATTGATCATGCACAAATCTCCAGGAGGACATCATGCATGCAGTCTATAATAAACAAGTTCAATATGTACTGTACCTGCTAATGTCTTCATAATGTCACTCAGTTTCGGTGGTCTCATTTCTTGCAATGACCACCAACCGTTCTCACCAAACACAGAAGTACCGGATCTAAACAATGAGGGACAGTTAACGGAGAGAGTTCCTGCTACAGTACACTGCCAGGATGAAGTCTTATGTCTTGAAGGCATCATTTCAAACCAGTGAGACTATATAGTGGTATAAAAACAACTCATTTCAATACAGGATGAATAGAGACACATAATCATCATCATCATCACATCATCATCATCATCATCATCATCATCATCATTATTATTATTATTATTATTGTTATATAGAGCCCAAGGCAGCTATGATCTTAAAAAGAATGCAGTGTTGATACATGAGACAAGCATCATGATTGAGTATTCCACCAAACTTAATAATCCACTGTATGTTAACCGCGTACTGTAGCACAAGTACATGTGTATTACAACAATACCGTAATTGGCTCATTTTTAAAATGGTCCTAACTCAAAAAAAATATATTGGAATCAGCTCAAACTTTCTACGCAGCATAAGAACATCAATATGTATCAGGAAATGTAATAAAAATGGGGGGTGATTTCAGAGCCATTTTTGGAAAAACCATGGACTATTACAGGGGATTTTTCGGAAATTGGCTCATTTAAAACATGGTCATAACTTGAAAAATTAGGCCACAATGTTCATCGTTATCATTGCATAAGAGTCATTTCAATAGAAAGGATACTGAATCCCAGTTACCAAGGCAACTGGATCTTCAGTTTCAATATTGCACAATTCCAGCTCACCTCAATAAATTTACATATTCCTGTATTCCACCTGAAGAACCCCTCCCTCCCTCCTTCAGATAACATTAGGTTGTATAGGGAAAGGTGTATGACATGCACCCTGAGGAACAAAGCATCAATAATCCAATATCAAATTATTTAATTGCAAGTTATTACCAATTTAGACTTAGTCTGGACCAAGTCTCTGTCCTTGTTTCAGAACAAAATGAACAACAAAACTGAAACAACTGGTCTCCCCTCAAAGCCGTGGGCTTCCTCTTACTGCCGAGGCAGTCCAAGTGAAAGTATCTCTCACAGAGGCGGCACAAGAGAGGGAGCCAAGGGCTAGAGTCCTCAAATGGTTGAGTGCAGTACCCACATGACGCCATGTTTATTCCGTATACTCACTGCATTTCATGGCAGTACCCGTAGTTTCCCGGATATTGTGCACTCCAGTATGTTTGGTAGAAAAAGAAAACTAGAGCAAGAAGAAGAAGAAGAAGGAACTGTGAGCCATTACTGATCCTCTCTGTGTGTGTATTAATGTGTCATTCTGTAGGAGTCCATTCGTATAAAGAGAAGGAGGAGCAATGACAATAATCTATCAGGTATTGAATTAATCATCATAGTACTTGGGTACTTAAATTGGGTGTGGCTAACACCTTTTTAATTAACTAATTTATTGATAGATAAGCTTCGCCCATTTGTGTGATTATTATTTATTTTTTATTTCAGTGTTTGATAGAGTGATATCTTCTTTTGGTGGTTGGTTGAGGAGATCATTTGGGAGGAAGACCAGACCAAACACAATGAGTACCGAAGATCAACCCTCTCCTCCTGACTCCTCCCACTCTCCTCCTAGCCCCTCCCACTCTCCTCCTGGCCCCTCCCACTCTCATGAAGTTATTGTAATAAGTGACGATGATAAAGATGAAATTAGAGGACATGATTTGAAAAATAAAGTAATAAATAAATAAATTATTATATTATAAATTAATTATAATTAATAGGGAGGTTACAATGATGGTAGCAGCTGCACTGTCCCACCATTAGAGGCTAGAGGGAGAGATATGCCAAAATCGAGCAACCGTTTCACTTCAAATTATAGACAAAAAACCAGTAATTAATCAATTTATTATTATTGTTGTTATTATTATTATTATTATTATTATTATTATTATTATTATTATTATTATTATTAGGTATATATAAATCGTCTCCTGTTCTGGATTCCTGGAGGAAGAAAGAAGACGAAATTTTATTTAAAAAATTAATGGACAGCAAAATGAGTAATGCACCAGACTACAGCACCAGGTAAATAATAATAATAATAATATTATTATTATTATCATTAATTAGAGATGTGCAGGCCACACCTATTGCCACGCCCTCTTTTCATCCTAAATTATATTCGACTGCTGATACTCCAGTTGCTGGTAATCATCACCATACTGCTTCTAATGGTCCTCTTGTTTCTACTCCGGATTGCTATGGAAACAATCGTCATTTGTTACACAACAGAGCCCATTATGTTAGTCGAGGTGGTGTTTCAAGAGACCCAAGTGTATCGCTAGGACAGTCTCTACCATCAAGGGACACTGTCCCTATTTATAAGCCACGCCCAAAACCCACAGTGCCTGCTCCTGTAATAATTGAAGCTAAAGGAACTAGCAACAGAAAACAGGAAACTAGGGATCAGGCCCCTCCCCTCCCTCTTTCCCCTCCTCCTCTTTTTGCCTCAAGGATTAATGGTGGCTTTGCATCAACTGACAGTAATTCATCGTCAGAGCTGTCTAACTGGATCTATAATATGTAAGAATTATTATTATTAATTATTAATTAATTGATTGATTATTTAGGAAGCAGCAGTTTGATGAAAGGGCAAGTGATCGTCAGGCAAAGTTGGAAGTGGCTATGAAATATTTTAAAATTCATCAAGAGGGGGTAGTTATAATAGTTATTTAATTTTAATGTAACATTCTTTCTCTCTCTCTCTCTCTCTCTCTCTCTCTCTCTATCTCTCTCTCTCTCTCTCTCCTTCTCTTTTTAGAGAATGAAAGCTGAAGAAGTACGGGCAGAAAAAGTAAAAACGTTTATTTATTTATTTATTTATTTGTTTGTTTGTTTGTTTGTTAGTTAAAGGATCGTATGAAGAGGCTGACCCTTCGTTCCTGGTCCCCAGGGATAGAGGAGGAGCCCGAGGCTGAACTGAATCTAATGCTAGACCAAGACACAATTAAACTAGTTAGTAATGGAGGGGTATCAGCCTTTAATGAAATAATGATCATTATCATTATCATTATTATTATTATTATTATTATTATCATTATTATTATTATTATCATTATTATTATTATTATCATTATTATTATTATTATTATTATTATTATTATTATTATTATTATTATTATTATTATTATTATTACTGGGTCTTAGGTACAGGATATTTGGAGTGGTAGGTTGCATTTAAGGGATCAGGTTTTATCGAAAGGTTATAACATTGAGATTAAAAGAATGGACTTACTGACACTCAGAGGACTGGAATGGCTCAATGATGAAGTATTACACACACTCACACGTGCAGCTGTCACCAGTGGTTCTTTAGGTTATTAATTTTTACCTTAATCTTGTTGCTGAGTCAGCTAATAGCGAGGGGGAGAAGAGAGTTCATCTTTTTAATTCTTTCTTTTATCCAAAAATAATGTCAGCTGGTTACTCTGGAGTGAGGAGATGGACAAAAAAGGTAATAGTTTTTGCAAGTGATTTGTTAAATTTGATGGATTATCCTCTAATTTTTAGGTTGATATATTTAATTTTGACCTGATTCTCCTTCCAATTCACTTGGGTATGCACTGGTGTCTAGCAGCCATTGACTTTAACAATAAAACCATTAATTATTATGACTCCTTAAAAGGAAATAATACTAGATGCCTTAATACATTGAAGTGAGTGGGAGGGCTGGTTTTTATTATTGTGTTGTTGTTTGTTGTTGTTGTTGTTGTTGTTATTAGGGATTATTTAGTGTCTGAGGCTAAAGACAAGAAACAGCTGGTATATGATGTTAGTGATTGGACACTGGAATGCATCGAGGTAGTGACACGCCTCCTGTATTGATATTATTATTATTATTATTATTATTATTATTATTATTATTATTATTTTAGGATATTCCAGAGCAGCACAATGGCTCAGATTGTGGTGTCTTCACTTGTATGGTTAGTAATAATTAGTATTTGATTTTATTTCATTATTATTATTATTATTATTATTATTATTAGTATGCAAGACATTTAGCTCGTGGTAAACCTTTTAACTTCTCACAAGTAATGAAGAGAGAGAGAGAGGGAGAGAGAAGTAGCTGTGTTTATTTGTCATTATTATAGGATGACATGCCTGACATTCGTCAATTGATGGTTGCTGAAATTGTCAATAAGAAACTATTATAAGAATTTATATTTATTATTATTATTATTATTATTATTATTATTATTATTATTATTATTATAATCACACATTATTATTATTTTCATTGAGTCAACTTATTAATATTCATAATAGATCCTAATTATTGATGTGGGCGTGGCTATACTCAGAGTTGGCTCAATAGAAGTAAAGTGGGGTGATCGCCTCTTTCTCTCTCTTTCTTTCTCTCTTTATGCTGCCGCCTCGCTGGGAGACAGAGACTACAGATAGCAATGGGGCCAGAGAAGGACAGAGAGGAATGACCTGTGCTTTTATTTCAAGAGGCCTTATACTATTCGCCATTGGTACAGTTATTTTTATCATCTTCATCATCATTATTGGTACAGGTTGCATTATTAGAATGGCGCTGGATTTGTTGCAAGTTGAGGCTAAATTCTCTACACTCTGGCTAGTACCAGTCAGTGGCCTAGCTGCTGCATGCATTGGTAAATGATTATATTTAGTATCTCTGGGCCCAAAATTTTACAAAATAATATCCAGTAAAAAATTCCTTATTTTTGCAATTGCACCTTGGGCTGCCATAGAATTTTAATGGTTGAATTTTCACATTTTATTTAGAATTCACACAATTTAGTTACATGAAATTATTTATTTTTATGAAGGTTTGTTGTATCCTTACGTGACATCAAATTCAATGGATGACAGTGACCCTCCTGATGGTGCAATGATCATCAGGTGTATTGCTGTCTTTGTTGGAGTCTATCAAGCAAGCACTGTATCCTTTATTAGGGGGTGTGGCTAAAAAGAGGGTGTGGCTCCTGAAATATTTGTTACAATTTATAATACATGTTCTTATGTTGTGTAGAAAGTTTGAGCTGATTCCGATCAAATATTAATTTTTTTACAGATTTTTAAAGTTGCTCCAAAATCGAGCCAAAATCCCTGTACTATAGTACATGGTCTCCGTCTAAATTTGCTAAAAATGAAAAGGAGAGTATTCTCTACTTTTGTTACATTTTCTGATCTAATTTCTACCTGCAATCATTTCTACAATGTGTCTTGCCTTTCCTTAACTTTTGCATCACAGAAAATATATTTTTCGAGTTACTTTGAGCTGTTCATGACACTAATAGCTCTGGCAGTTGGGATGTGGTGGCTCTTCGACAGGAGCAAGTCAGGACTCACTTTCTGTCTCCTGTTAGCATTCATTTTAGCATCAGTAACTCAGTTTCTGTACAAATACAAATACACAAGGTTAGTTCAATGCATCATCTACATGTAGGAATAGGAATGACATTTTTATTAACACAAATTTGATTCTTGTATGGAAACAAAAGTAATTATGTTTCTGTTATTATTGGGGCCCATAAACCGTAAAAGAAAACACTTTATGTCTGTCCTTCTCTTTTTTCTAGACATCTTGTTGGCAGCGAGTTCCTTTATCCAAGAGCTTGGGCCATATATTTCACAGTCTGTGTTCTGTTTGGTACCATTGGCCGCTGGGTACAGCAGCTGGAGTATCAATGAACACAGAGTCTCCGCCCTCCATTTAATCAATTTATTATTATTATCACTGGAATGTCATTTTGTAGCTAATAACGTTATTACTAATTATTACTGTATATTATCATTATTATTAATTTTTGTGTTTTTTGAATTTTTATCCAAAAATGAGACAAGTAATTAAAATGATTTTAATATCTGTACAATAATCAGTAAGTCTTTTACAGCAAAGAGTGTCTGGTAAAGTCATTCTTGTTGCTGTAGCTGCTACTGTTGGTGCTGTTGGGTATGAGAGGAGTAATAGGAAAGGAAATGAAACATTCTAAAAGTTGATGGAACGTCTGGACAGTATCGGAGACGTGTGTTAAATACTCATATTGTACCGTTATACTATAAGGTGAGAATATACTAATAGTATACTAACACTAACAATATACTAATAGTATACTGACCCTATTTCAACATTAATCCTGTGTTCCCATTCCTTTCCGGTACATATTGAACTATTAATAAATATAAGGTTAACTAGTTAGTTAATTAATTATTAACTTACAATACTCTACGAGAGTTAGAGTCCTCAAATGTTATATTTTGAATAATGAAAAACTAAAATAGAACATTAAAACTTTTAAAATTCATAAAAAATCCAAATGTAATCAGAATCAGGTCAAACTTGAAATACAACATAAGAACATGTATATGTATCAGGAAAAAATATAAAAATGGAGAACTCTCTACCCTTCATTTTTGGTAAAATTTGACCAAAGTTCTTTGATGGTATCTAAACTTACACTTTTCTTTCCTCTGACGTCAACTGTTGTTGCTTCAGATGGTGAAGACGAATTACCAACTATTCCAGTAAGATACATAAAAGAAATATTAACCTGACTGACGTGTATCGGAAAGAAATTATGATTACGAACAGAGATTTCAGACTACACGAGGAGAAAGAAAGAGTGAGAGGGTTTCGCTGAAACACTTACATCAATAATTAGGGTAACTTCTGTCACATTATCTTTCGCTGGCATTGTCGTAGCATTTGGATGCAATTTAAAATTAACGTAGTCATCAGTTTGATTGTAACTGATAAGTGATATCTCTACTGTCCTTGGAAACATAAATACAGCTAGTATGATACCAACTATCAGCAGGACTGTTAACAATAGACAAGAGATAACAAATATGCCATATATCCACCTATTAGAGAGAGAGAGGAATACAGGCGCTAATAGGACTGGTTACACCCCATTAGGTAGGGCTCTTTTGTACAAGGGAGTCCTTCAGAGTACATTACGTGTACACAACACAACAAAGAATGAATCATACGTTCGTCTTGGCTTGAGTCTTTTATCTGAATATGGTATCAAGGCAACTAGCTGATCATCCTGACCTGTTGAGACACATACACCATTAATACATTACATCATCAAACGCTTTCTTAGTCTACCTTTAGGGATTTTCCCTGTGCCACTGCAGGTCGGACATTTTCTTCCAGAATGAAAGTCAAGGAAACGAGTCCTCCCGCCGCTGCTAATTGAGTTGTTCCTCCCTCCCTGTATGTTTGGAAAGGAATCAGTGATAGGTCTTGATTCTGAGAGGTCATCCATGCTTTCTATCGATCCAAAATCACACATACTAGAGAGACAGTGTCAACTGTAGTATCATTTTAAAATTCACTAAAATAAAATAGAGCAGTAGTAAGTGCACACTGTTGGGGTGGGGCTGGTAGTAAAGTAAACCGATGGGCGTGGCGAACCCATTGTGACGTCACTAGCTCAGTGAATAATTGATAAGCTCATGCTAAAATCATGCATCAAATATAAACACAACATTATCTTTTTAAGACTAAAGTAGTAAGCTACATGTACATGTGCATTAACATGTCGTTTAAATGAATGACTGCCAAAAGTCAGTGATGACTGACTGGCAATAATAGTACAGTTTTTAAAAATCACAAAAAATTAGCCTCAAATGTGTCAGACCATTCTAATCCTTTTGAAAATAAGTGTGTGCTATGGCTAGACAAATCTTGGCAACTTTTTTAAGCTCTTCATCATCATCAATGGAGTGAGTTCGAGCTTGTAAATATTGAGCAACAAGGTGAGGGGGAACATCAGAAATTGCCTCAAGTTTTTTATCATGCGAGGGGGGCTCCGTGGGGGCACTGTCCTGGGTTTCCATTGAGCTATCATCATTAACAATAGCTGGAGGAGTAGCCTGTTCCATGTCTAGAGATTGCAGTGGGCAGATCTCCTCTTCTTTCTCAGTCTCTTCTGCTCTTTCTTCTTCTTCATGTACAACACTGGTTTTATGATCTTCAATAGTAGCAGTAGAAACAGATTCATTAGCTTTTCCTTCTTCTTCTTTATGTAGATAATCAGCTTTATGATCTTCACTGGTAGCAGTAGAAACAGGTTCATTACTAGTGAAGAGTTCCTGTGAAATAGCTTCAGGTATTTCAAAGGTCTCAGAACTAGTGGGTGGGATATTGCCAGAACAAATGGCTGAATTGATATCTGTTGATAAAACATTACCGGAACCAGCGGATGGAATATTATCAGACCCGGTGGATGAAATATTATCAGACCCGGTGAATGGAATATTATCAGACCTGGTGGATGGAATATCATCAGACCCAGTAGATGGAATATTATTAGACCGAGTATATAGAATATCTCCAAACCCGATGGATGAAATATTTTTAGACCCAGTAGATGGAATACTATCAGACCCAGTAGATGGAATACTATCAGACCCAGTGGACAAAATATTATCTGACCCGATGGATGGAATATTATGAGACCCAGCAGATGGAATATCATCAAACTCAGTGGATGCAATATTATCAGATCCAGTGGACAAAATATTATCAGACCCGGTGGATGAAATATTAACAGGCCCAGTAGATGGAATATTACTGGACCCAGTGGATGGGGCCACATCAATATTAAAAACTGGAAATGAAACCGCAGATAGAGGATTAACAAGCAGCTGCTGTGGATTAGAAATGAGAGAGACCAGAGGGATTATCTGAAGAACTCCTCCAGTAACTGGAGGTGTATGTGAATTAGACTTAGGAACAACACAAGGTTCAACTGTAGATGAGTAGCAGTGATCATGAAGCATTACAGCATTCAATCTGTCTGATTCACTGATAGTGCTCATATTAACATCATTCATAGTGATATCAGTAATACTATTGCTGGATTCAGAATCAGCGTTAGAATTAACATTGTTAGCTGCTGATTCGCTGATATCAGAATCAACATTGAAAGGGAACGTTGAAGAAGGCGTACTGTTATCATTATTACTAATTTCTGAAGTTGATTCAAGCTGATCTTCAGATGATTTGAGTTGATCATTATTTATGATCTCTTGACTATTATTTGATTCACTATCAGAAACTGCAGAGAGCAATACGATTGGTTCTTCCTCCATTGACAAAGGTAAGGAATCCTGAGCAATAATATCATCTCTTATCTGATCGGCAGTTGAAACCTCCTCAACCTGATTTACATCTCCAGTATCAGTTGTTAGTATATCTGATACTGGTGTTGCAGTGGTGGGGGACTGAGGGTCGGTTTGCAGTTTTAGTCTCTTCTTAACTGGTCCAATCTCTTTATTTGTTGAATGCTGCTGCTTCCTTTTACTGTTATTGCTGCTACTGCTACTGCTATGATGTGTCTATTATAATGAAAGTGAAACAGTAAGCATGTATATGCACACACTTACCAGATCATTTTCAAAATGTCTAAGAGCTGTCCTCAAAACGGTCACTTTTGGTGAACGAATAGGCAAAGTTGTAACCTTCAATAAAGAAAATGCATCATTATTAAATCATATCATTATTATCATGCATTACTTCTTGCTCAGAGAGGGTGGAGAGGTTACCAATTGTTGCAATATTCCTAGCATGAATGACTTGTGAAAGACCAGCAGTACTGAATGCAGTAATGATAAGACAGGATGAGATAAAGGATACTATACTTTCTTCCAGAAGGTGATAAAGATGGGAGTATTGTTTCAACTGGAGTATCACAATCAACAAGTGATGGAAACACTGGGCCAGTGGCCTGTGGTGGGTCAGCTACCTATTGATATTGAATACACAGCAAGCATGTACAAGAACCTATACCTTGCTGCTTCCTCCATTAGATAGCTGCAGTGTCCTTCTTGAGGAAAATGGTGACTTTCTTCTACTAAAATGGCCTGTATGGTATAATAATAATAATAATAATAATAATAATAATAATAATAATAATAATAATAATGATGATGATGATGATGATGATGATAATGATAACAAGTGGCTCACTTTTCTCTCCCTCAGGTCCTGCCATTGTGGATATTGGTGGCTCTTGTCTCCCCATTATAACTGGGTCAGCAAACTGGACTCGACGATTCTTAAATGAACAAATAAATAAATGCAACACATATCATACTTTAGCTATACATACCTTTAATCCAGAGAGAGGAGTGTCAAACTGGCTGACATGTTTCAATATGCCAATAGGTGTCCCTCCAGTGGTAGGTGAGGGCTGGTGGTGTGTTGGTGTGCTTGGAACAGTCTTACTAATTAAAGAGACCACTTTACCAGCTAGTACTGTCAGTTTAGGTACTGTAACATTCTTAGTCTTAGTAGCATCATTAAGGCTATCAGTATGTGGCTTTAATGATGTATCTGCAACATGTACAGTGGAGACTGATGCACTGATAGAAGGGCCAGTTGTACATGTATGTGTCAAGACAGTTGATGCACTAGATATAGAAGGGCCAGAAGTATGTGTTGATACAGTTGATGTACATGTAGACTGCTGTTGTGTAGAGGTTGAAATAACAATGGGAGGAGGAACAGAAGAAACATCAGTTGGAGATAATGTAGTTATGGTAGGAGTTAGAGATTGAGTAGATGTAGCATTATCAGTTGTACTAACTGGTGGCAATGGACTCTCAGATATACTACTGGAGCTAGTGATACTGGGCATGAGAGATAAATCAGTATTAGTAGTAGATGATGTAATAGAGACAGATGAAGTATTAGTACTAGAGGAATCTTCCTCACTGCCTATCTCCATTGATTCATGTTCATTTGTTTCATTATCAGTGGATGGTGTGGTATCAGTGGGAAGAAGAGGGTCAGCTTGAATCTCAAACAACTTTTGTAATTTATCAACATTAGCAGATAAAGGATCATCTGAACACCCTCCTTTAACACCAAGAGAGGGACCTTCACCTCCTGCTGGAGCAACACTGGGCACTGGAAGAGTGACACAGGTTGATAGTGGTCCTCCATCATTGGAGGAGGTCCTCCTTCCTCCAATAACACTAGTTGACAATGGTAAACTATGGTACGTCGTTAGAGTTGTATTGGTGCCAGTAACTAAAGGAGGAGGTAGTACATTAACTGAAGATACTGGTCTATCTAATGGTAGAGTGGTCAGTGGATTATACATGAAAGCCGGCGGTACAATGGTAGATACAAGTGGTCCAGTGGGAGGTACAATGGTGCCAGTTGACAGAGCAGTGGGTATGATGGATGGAGAGGTGGCAGTGGGTCTAGTGAGAGGTGCAGCAGTTACAGTAGTAGTAAGAGAAGTTGGAGATGAAGTGACAGCAGAACATAAAGAAGCTAACTTATTCATTGGATAGTTGTCATCTTGCAATACCTCCAATGCCATCTCAATTGGACTTTTATTTACAAGAGGAGCAGAAGAGGGAGGAGTCTGAGGAGCAGAGGGAGGGGTTTGAGGAACAGGAGAAGAGAAGGAGAGAGGGGGAGACAAAGGTATGGCTCTCTTGCTTTTAGCTCCTCTTGGTCGACCTCTCTTTCTCTTCACTTCAGTTGGTGGATTATCAGCATCACTAGTTTCACTCTGAGATGATGATACTAGTTTACTTCCTCTACCACGCCCTCTACCACGCCCCCTTCCTCTAACTGAGCTTGATGATACATTATTGATATCAAGAGGCTTTCTTCCTCTGCCCCTCCCCCTGCCCCGCCCTCTTGTTGGTAGACTCTGCGGTCTTTCATTCAATATTGATGCTACTGGTGAATAGAATGGAACAGTATCAGTGGTAACTGGTACACCGGATGAAGGTAGAGTGGTAACTGGTACACCGGATGAAGGTAGAGTGGTAACTGGTGCACCGGATGAAGGTAGAGTGGTACCTGGTACACTGGATGAAGGTAGAGTTGTGGTACCTGGTATACTGGCTAAAGGTAGAGTGGTAACTGGTACACTGGCTGAAGGTAGAGTGGTAACTGGTACACTGGCTGAAAGTAGAGTGGTACCTGGTGAAGGACTCATACGTGTAGTTACAGTGCTTAAAGGAACATTATCAGTCAATGGTATACTGGTCAGTGGTGTACTGGTCAACGATGTAGCAATCAATACTGTACTGGTCGACGGTGTAGTGATTAATGGTGTACTGGTCGATGGAATACTGGTTAGTGGTGTAGCAGTCAATGATTTACTGGTCAATGGTGTAGTGATCAATGGTGCAGTGGTTAGTGGTATACTGGTCGACGGTGTAGTGATCAATGGTGCAATGGTTTGTGGTAATAAGTTTGTAGCTTGAGGAGGAGGAGAATCAGGAATAGACTGAATGAGAGAAGCAGCTTTTGATGGAGAACCTGCAACAGATAAAGACACAACATTAGAAGATACAGCAGAAGTAGCATTAGAAGATACAGCTGCATCATTTGAAGGTACAGCTGTAGATACATTATTGAACTGAATGCTTGACTGAGAGTCCTCATTGCCAGTGTTAGGTTGAGTGTCCATTGAAGGATCAAGTGTAGTATAAGTCACTGGTATGTCAGCTCTTCTTTCCGTCTGTACCTCCTTTTGATGCTCTGTCAACACTCTTCTCTTCTTACTGACCTGAGGCTCTATGACTACAAAGTCCTAAAATAAATAAATAATTATAATAACCACACCTATTTAATTATTCATTTACTTGAGTATCTTCATCTTCTAACATTCTTTTATAGCCACACCTACTAGGAGTGGTAGGGGCGGAGCCTGCAGTGCTTTTTAGAGGGGTGGGGCTTGCAACGCTGGGTGAAGGAGAGGCAATTGAGTGAGCCGTGGTTGACAGGTGAGTGGCGAATGGTACGAAAGGTACAGTGGTGACTGGTTGTAAGAGGAGAGAGGTGGAGTAAGAGGGAGGAGGGTTAGGGGTACATGGTACAAGAGGGACGGTCTGAGACTCATCGGAAAGATCTTCAGTATCAGTAGCAAACCTGTGCTGCTTAAGATAAAGTGGCTCAAAGTTCGGGAGCGTAATATTACTAGCAGCTGCTTCTTGAAGAGAACAGAAATGAGTCAGGGCACCTCTAGCAAGGAAAAGTATTATCATTATTATTATTATTCTTATTATTATTATTATTTACTATTATTATTATCAGTATCATCATTATCACTGTTGTGGGTTACCTCAATTCTAATGTATAAACTAGTTTAGTGTTTGTTTCATTTTTCCCAAAAGTGTTACTCCACAGGCAAATGGCCTCAGACATAATCTGACGTCTTTTCGACAATAAAGTGACCTCCTACAATTAATAACCAACAATTAACATAACCACAATTAATAACCAGCTATTCATAACTAGCTAGTAATTAATATTAATAACTAACCAGTAATGGTGATAATAATGATAGCAAAGTGCTGTTATACTTTCCATCAAATCTCGTCAGGTAGCAAATGCTTATTGAATTCCATAGAGTTGGAACCAGGTCTTTAACAGGTACCCCATTGGAAAGGACACTCTTACAAAGAGGAGAAGAGAGTAACTGTTTCATCAAGAGGGCCAGAGGATGCGAGAGAAGAGAAGTGACAGTGACTATGGAGTCATTGTGAGACAATGAATTGTATAACTTGCAAGTGATGTCAACTGACAGTGGCAGAGACAGAGGCAATGAAGTACTTGATTTGTAGATGTTCTAAATAATAATATAATAATTATTATAAACCAGTAATCCATTTTTATTACATTTTTTGATACATATTGATGTCATTATGCTATGTAGAAAGTTTGAGTTGATTCTGACTTAAACTTTTGAAGCTATGACCATTTTAAAAAATGAGCTAATTTTTGAAAAATACCCAAGGCTATAGCCCATGGTTTTTCCAAAAAATGGCTCCGAAATCACACCCAATTTTTATTACATTTTTTGATACATATTGATGCCCTTATGCTGTGTAGCAAGTTTGAGCTGATTCCGACTTAAATTTTTCAAGTTACGGCCATTTTAAGAAAACGTCAAATTTCTGACAAATACCCAAGGCTATAGCCCATGGTTTTTTCCAAAAAATGGCTCCAAAATCACCCCAAATTTTTATTACATTTTCTGATACATATTGATGTCCTTATGCTGTGTAGCAAGTTTGAGCTGATTCCGACTTCAATTTTTTGAGTTATAGCAACATACATGTATGCATATCGTCATGGTAACATGTAGAAACCTCCTTAGCCACACCCCTCACCTCATTGAGTAGTCTATGGAGTTTAATGTGGACACATTTCAAAATGAATCCAACATTATTAGTGCAGACTCTATAAGGACAAGCCTCCTTAGCTCCTCCCACTCTAATTGAAGCCTTAGAGTGACTAGTGTCTAGTACTTGAATCAAAGCTTCACAAATTGAACTGAGATGAACATCAACCTGATATAACGAGGAACAATATTTCTTATTAATTTTTAATATTATCTTATACTTCTTTCAATCTTTCTTCAGTGTCAAAATTCTCTTTCCATTGAAGCCACTTGTCATCCTAAAATAAATAAATAAAATAAAATAAATAAATAAATTACTAACAAGTGAAACAGCTGCATTGACATCTTCTGATACCATTTTAGCTGCAATGTTAGGATCTGAAACACGAGAATGGAAATACGAGAATAGAAATACGAGAATGAATACCTTTTAAATGCAGTGTCAATTTGACGTGTACCATTTGATACAACTCCTTCCAGACATTGACTACATCCTAAAAATAATCAGCAGTCAATTAATATTTTATAACAAGTAACGACGTACTTTAGTTAAACTAAACAGAAAGGGAAACTGAATCATCTTTCGAACTATTTTAAAATCAGACTCAGTCACACCAAGGCTGTTAAGGTTATCTCTGACCTGCCCAGACTGTAAGACAAACAAACAAACATAAACAACAACAAACAACATTCTTACGTCTTTTAAAAATGACACGAAGTATTTAGTAATTTTAATCCACAGCTGCTGTATGATTTCAGAGCAATGGGTTTCATCTCTATCCGCCAAGTCCTTGTATTTATTATTAATTAATTCAATCAATTTCTTGTAATTAACCAGACATTCTACGTTAGATATGACCATGCCCCCTTGCTGTCTGGGGCTGGTTGCCACGGCGATTAGCGAATTGCAAAGTGCAATGAGATCACTATTAAATAAATTAATTAATTAATTAAATTAAATTAAATTAATTTCTAATTCTTACTTTTCCTCTTTGATCCCACAGAACAAGAAAAGGAGACATTTTTCAAAGAGGACGCTCCAAGCCATGTTACTGTCAGTTTTAATATAATTATTAATGACATTACTCAGTAATAATGACTGGAATTTACTCAACAAACAAAGTAATGCCTAAATTAATTATTAATAACTACTAATAACTATTAATTAACTTACAATCTGTCTCTCTCTAGAAAAAAGCTTGTCTTCAGTCAACAATATAAATATTAACGAGCTAATTAAATGTGGGGGTGTACTACTTGAGGGTGTGGCCACTAACGGTGTGACCACACCCACCAATATGTCATAAACCACATCTTGAACTGTATTCAGAGGAAGAACTGATCTATTGGTCAAGAGTCCTTCAACAAATATTAATAATACGTTACTAATCTCCGAGGATATGGGCGTGGTCTTAATACAAGTAGCAGCTGAATTATAATAATAATAATAATAATAAGAATTAAAGTACCAACATAATATTCGACTTACTTGACAACAATGACTCGTTAATTTTAATATTATTAATCCCTAGCAACAGAAGAGACGCTGCACAGCCGGTGGCAATAAATGAAACAGGTGGATCAAAGAGCTTCTTGGAATTTGAGGGAGTATCAGTGGATGAGGGAGAGGGTATGATGGTGTCGTATTTCTCTTTTAGTGAGAGACCATCATCAGAAATAACATGGAGGAGGGAGAGGGATCTCTTTGGGTCTGTTCCAAGGCAGAACAAGAAAAATGGTGACACAACCTTTTAGGAGAGAGAGAGAGAAAGATCTGAGAATTAACCAAAATACTTTGTCCAATTACAATTAACTAATTAATTAACTAACTAATTAATTAATTAATTACCTCATTAATTATCTTTCTTTTATTGTTGGCATTAATGTGAGGTACTAAACAGGTTATAAAGTACCACCAGGTCGTCAGACGGGTTTCATCCACTGACTGTATTCGGTTCTTAGTAGCGTAGTTCTACAGTAATAATAATAACAATAATAATAATAATAATAATAATAATAATAATAATAATAATAATAATATTAATAAGAACAATAATAACAACAACAACAACAACAACAATAATAATATTAATAAGAACAATAACAACAAAAACAATAATAATAATAATAATAATATTACCACAAAAGGAAAGAGTAGACACTTCATTTTCTTTTCATTAGTTATAACATCTACCAATAAACAAACAAACAAACAAATAAACAAACAATAATCAAACAAATAAACAAATATAATTATTATAATTATTATATACTTGAATCAAGTGAGAAGTCTAGTATGAGTTCTTTCCATGAGACGTAGGTGTTAATTTGAACAGCTGGTGAACTGTTCTTGAATCCCTATAAGGAGAGGATTACAAGTGGGTGGGGTGTGGGTGTGGCTAACTCTTTCAGGAATCTTTAACATTTCGTTAAGTAAAGTACTTGATCTACGAAGAGTCTAAAAATTAAATAAATAAATAAATAAATAAAGAAATAAATAAATAAATACTTTTCCTAATATTCTGACAAAGTGGCACCATATTTTCAATAAAAGTGACCAATCAATAACCTTTGACGCCAGCATCTGATGGATGAGAGTCTAGAGTATAACAACAATTAACACAACAAAGATAACGATTAACATATTTTACATTCTTGACTTCAGTGTGGAGCCATATATTAAGTTCTTTACTATTTTTTATAATTTCTTCCATTTCAATTAATATCTCAATACCTCTTTGCTGAGCCTAACAATAATAATAACAACAACAATAAATTAATAAAACAATAATAACAACAACAATAAATTAATAACAACAATAATAACAACAACAATAAATTAATAAAACAATTAATCATAAGACAGCAATGTACAGTAGATGCTTACTTTAACATTTTTACTGAAATAAACCAGTAGGAGTGGCTCATACCAAATATGAACCAACTCATTGAACTTCTTACTGCACTGCAGCTTTAACCTGAGGGGGAGAGAGAGAGGGATGAGGATCACAATAATAAGTGTGACTGTTATTATTATTATTATTATTATTACTTATTCAAAATCCCGAGTATTTCTGAAGTGACGCTTGATGCCTGGATAAGGTGAGTACCTTTAAGAGCCCGAACGACCCTCAGAACATCAAATATCTATCAGTTAATTAACAACAACGCCCACAAGGTAATAATTAATGTTACATTTTTATTCATAGTGTGTCTGTCAATATTTTGGCTGGAGAGGCACCATAAGGCCCTTGTACAGACGACTTTGGAACAAGACTCGGAACGAATCACATCTAGAATAACTAAAGGGGAGTGGTCACCACACCTCTAACCAAACCCACAAATACCTTTCAATATCCTCTTTACTACGTCGCCATCGAGAGACCTAAAAAATAATAAAATAAAAATTTAATTATAAAATTAATAATTACTTGACAAGGTGCTCATTAAATAGAATATAGCCCAACAGTTGTAAAGATGCTAAAGTGAGAGGTGAGCCTTTCTCGATATAATGGAGACTGGCCTCCAGTAGTTCTAAATGGCGGGAGGATATCTCCTCGGGAACGATCACGTTAGAACTAACAGTCTTAAGAGTGCTGGGAAAGATGGGGAGATGAAGCCATGAAGGTAAAGGTACAATGGGGTCACTGTCTACCTTGACAACAGAGAATAAGCATTCTGCTTATCAGTGACTGAAGACTCCTCGGACAGTATGAGGGACACTGAGGAGGAGAGAGACTCGACTTTGACTTCAGTCATGCTGCTCGGCCTGTCGCCCACTTTGGCGGGAAATTGCCGCCAACATTAACACTAGAGCAAAATGGGTGTGTTTGACCACGCCCATTTAATTTGTTAATTAATTTTGGTAAATTTGGTTATTTTAACAAATAAAACAATAATAATTTTAAATAATAATAACTATTAGCTCTCTCTTCTCCTGTAGAACAATAGATAAGTACTATTGTCTGATATATAATTCTTTGATATTCTTGTGACATTTTCATCATCATAGCGGAGCCAATCTTTAATTGAAAAAATTATAATAAAAATGTAATAAAATTATATACAAGCCTACATGTATCTTCTTTAACACCTCCCTCTTTCCCCACCCCGTACCTCTTTTGTCTCCATTTTGTGAGAGTACGTTAGCCACATAATGGCCAGCAAACACAGCCCCATAATGATTGACGGTGGCATATAAATCATACAGTGCTGGGGTACCATTAGTAGCAGCTGTGTAGCTAGAGGGATCCGTGTGTATGTATGGACTCATGTCTAACCCACTGCAATAGGAGGGAAGGAGAAGGAATTTTACTAGATGTTGCAGCTGCTGCTTACGTCAATGGAAACTCAACGTGTTTGTCTATCTTTGTCCTCCGTGTCAAGTCGCTGAATGAAAACCTCTTGAGATGGATTATAAGAATATGAGGGAGTCTTGAAACGGAGAGCCTCTTGGTGGCTTCTCTGTGTTCCTTGCACCTTGGACAATACCTACAGGATATACACCAGCGTATGAGTATCAGATAGTATGGATTCTCTTCTTTTCACTTTTGGTCTAATTTGGTCCAAGACCATGTACATGTACTATAGTACAGGGACTTTGGCTCGATTTTGGAGCAACTTTAAAAATTCTTTAAAAATTCAAATGTGATCGGAATCAGCTCCAACTTTCTACACATCATAAGAACATGTATATGTATCAGAAAAATTATTAAAATGAAAATTCTCTCTTTATGATTTTTGGTAAAATTTGGCCCCAGACCATGTACTATAGTACAGGGACTTTGTTCTATTTTGAAGCAACTTTAAAAATTCTTAAACAATTACCATGCATTCTCTTTAGGCAATGTTTCTGGTTCAGTAAATAGTTGAAGACAATCCTTTAATCTAATGTGTCTGCCTTCTGTTAAAATTTTAAAAAATAACAATAATAACAACAATAACAACAATAACAATAATAACAACAATAACAATAATAACAGGAAGAATACGTGTACCTCTTTTAATGGCTTCTTTGGCTGAGCTCTGGTAAGCCTATTGAGTGATGAGAGAGAGAGAGAGAGGACATTAAAAAATAAAACAATAATAGTAATAATAATAATAGTAATAATAATAATAATAATACACTCACTGATAAATCTTTATTAATCACGTCCACCCAGCTGCTGTCATTAGGATTATTCCTCCAGTCCATTGACAGTAAACAACGATTTGTTAATGTCAATGTGTCTTTACCTAACAACAAACAAACAAACAAATAAACAAATAAAGATAATGATGTACACGTACCTCTATTCAGTAAAGGGCTTCCAACTGTTGTACAAAGGTCATCGATAGGTACTAAATCAAAGAAAAGGGGCGGGGCAGGTGTGTGTCCATTATTACCAGCTGCTGAATCAGAACCATTTGAATATTTTTTACAATCAACAGACCAACTACAGTACATCATTAATAACAATATTAATAATTAATAATATTAAATACTTGGCATATTTTTCAGCTCTATCTGCAATATTATCAAAAGTCAATTGAGTGATCGGTAAACTGATAACAAAAGGAAGACCAACCACCTCCAAATTATTCCTTAGCTCATTACACCTCTTCCTGTGCCTTGACCAATCATCTTCCTGACACTTTCTAGAGAGAGAGGGAGAGAGGGGGGAGAGGGAGGGAGGGAGAGAGAGATGAAGAATGAGGGGGAAGTGACAACCATTCACCTGCTACAATATTCAACTGATTTACATCTGCTGCATCTCTTAAAGCCACTCCCTTTATCACCACACCCACAACATTTTGAAGGAAGATTACGAAACTTAACCCTCTGAGTTACGTGTAACTCAATGACCTTCTCTTTTGCTTCATGAAACGATAATACCTCGCAACTAAAAATAGACAAAGAATCTAAATTTAGTAACACCAACTTACATCACAATAAAATCATTGTCTTTCATCTCTGACAACTTCTTTTTATGATTGACGGCCATATTAACTAAACGACCATTTTTAATAACTTCAAACACTCGTAACTAAAAATAGTAACAAAATTATGATGTAATTGACCACACCCACTCACATTCTTCATAGTGACACTTGTTTTAGTAGCAACAGAAGCTTTTACCAATTCAAGAGTGGATTCCGAAGAAAGGCTGACCACCACCTGTAAGAAAACACCAGAACCCCAGAATGGAATATTCATAGACACTAAAACCCTAGGCCTGAGAGTACTTAATGGGTGTGGTTAGTTACCTCTTTGGGTGGAGTCAGAGGGTCTTTAGAAATGAATATGACTGATAAGGTCACAGATTTCACCGGAAGAGGAACAGAGAGAGAACTGAAGGGGTCAAAGGTCACAGACTCCTACAATTAATTAAAATAATGACAATTAATGACAGTCACACCCACTTTACTACAGTCCGGACACACTAGCAATGATTTAAATTGACCTCCGAACAAATCAACAATAAAAGAATCATTTCTCTTCTTATAATTAGACCAAGACTCCTCCGATACAACTGAATCAGGTCTACCATCGCTCTCAATCTATAAATAGTAACAATATGACATCATCACATTAATGTTACTAATAATAGCATAAATACATGTTACTAATTATAGCTCCACCTGTGCAGTGACTGGTTTTGATTTTATTCTGTTGAGGTCTTCATGAAGTCCGTCGAGGAAGAAGGTTGTAAACTCGTGAGCGTCTTGCTGTGCGTAACCACTGAACTCATCCCTTCTTGATCCAATCAAGTCCTGGAGGAGAAAGATACATGCAGATAAAATCATCATCATCATCATCATCATGATTGTTGTTACTTTTATTTTTCTTGGTGATATATACGCCATCTTTCCAGACCATAGCTTATCAATCATTGTATAAAAGCACTCAGCGAGTTGCCCCTGACAACCAAGAGGATTATCTTTGTTAATGTCAGTCCTGTACTTCTCTCCCAAGAAGAAGTCCCTCACTTCAACGGTGTTACTGAGGCACTGGAGGATACTGCTCATGAAGCAGGTGTTGCCAAGGTTAGCAATACCAGTCTCACTGGGACCGGCAAACAAGTCTGACGGGAGGCGATGGAATAATGAAGTCGACGGTTGGGGGCTCGCCTCTTGTTGGGGGCGTGGCATGCTGAGACATGCTGACGATGCACTTTCAATAGAATGAGTGGGTGGTGGTGGTGTACTGTTAATTAGAGTGGGTGTGGTCGATGCATTATTAATTAATGTGTCATTATTATCTCCTGTAATAAAAATAATAATTATTATTATTAATACATTAATTACCATTAGTGCTAGGTGTCATCCTAGTAGGTGTGGTCTTTTCCGTTCTGTGCAACATAAAAGGGTTAAATTCAAAATTCATTGCAGTCTTCCCGACCGGTTTATTATTAGCAACACTAAGATCATCAAGGTTATTAACATCATCATCATCATCATCATCATCATCAAGATTATTGAGAGTGGGTGTGTCAGCTCCTCCCTTCTCTTGAGGCTTGCCCCCAACAGGAGTGAGGGCCCTTGGGCTCTTGACTGGTCTCTCAAGGCTCTTCCATCTGACGCTCGGGTCCGACTTATTCAAAACTAACTGAACGTGCCTATCACTGACATTGTAGGATGAGCTGTCAGGTTTTATGACATCACTAAATTGAAGGATGATGTCATGTGATGTCATATGATGTCACTTACTATAGTTTGACTTTCCACATAAACTGGGTTTCACAGCTGGTCCCAGGGTACAATGACAAGAACCTAATGTTCCTGTAATGAAACAAAGAAACGTATTCATTGTGAATTATAATGAACATGTATGTACTTTGTCCTGAATTGTAGTACTGCTGAGGATTTATTAAAAGTAACAAGACAAGAATCACGGACAACTTGTGATACAAATATTTTAACTAAGACACCATCGCCCTATAAAGAGGAAGAACATTAAAGGACAGAGCAGGACATTGTGTGATGCTGTTACCTTTTCTATGACATCATGTGGTAAATGCTTCAAATTAAAGAATTCTTCTACAAATAAAAACAAATTTAAAAAGCAAATAAAAATAAAAAACAAAACAAACCTTTTACTTCATCAAAAGAATTACTCATCTCAGACAGCAACTGGTCACGAGTCACGTGATTAGTGGTTGCGTGATCAGATGAAAGATCATTTAGTGACTCCACCTCCTTAGAGAGTGAAGTGGGAGGGGTTTCACAGTGAGTACGAACAGGTGGAGGGACAGTAGGTACAGGGAGTGAAGTGGGTGGGGCAGTAGGAGGAGCATTGTGAGGTGTGTCATTATGTAAAGGCGAAGCAGGCGGAGTGTGAAATATATCCTCATCAATCTAATTAACATCAGTTAATTAATTAATTAGTTATTAATTCATACTTCTGTGTCGGAATATTCAGTATCCCTAAGCTCTTCCCACCTGTGAGGTGTATCTTTCTTCAGTTTGATTTCAACTCTATTTTTACCAGCAGGTTTGATACGACACTTGTCAGGTGCTACAGGCAAAGACAAATGACAATCCCAAATAGTCTCACCTGAGAAAAAGCAAGACAAGAATCAATATTAGTGTTATTAATCCATTTTAAACTTACCATTGAGGAGCAAGGAGCAGTGCTTGGACTTAAAAAGTGAAGTGGTGTCATCTCTCTTTAGGTTTCGTGGCAATTTCAAAGTAACAGTCACAAACTCACTGCTCTGGTACCAGTCCTCTTCAACACCTGACGCCATGCTATAGACCTCTTCAGGTGAGATCGACGGTGGCCTATGAATATCATTACTGTTTATTACGGTATCCACCTACGGTGATAATTGGCCGCCATTTTGGACGGCAAGATTCAATGGAGGATGAATGAAGAAAAGGCAAAACTGATTCTTTTCGTTGGCATGGAGCATTTTCAAGCTACAAAAGCTGGTTGGAGGAAAGAATGGTCGCTGCTAAGCATCTCCTAAAAGAGATTTGGTGCAATATGAAGCATATTCTTTAATAGAGCTTGCTTTCTGCATTAGCCCATTCATACTCCATAGAAAGTTGCCGTCCACGAAAATTATTTCAGAGTCAGCCAGGCTCAGTCACGCCCCTTACCGTATATCATTCTTTGACGTAATTCATTCTCACCCAAAGAGGTCTATTGCCTATTGGTAGGTGTGGCTTGTAGAGCAATTAACTGACAGGCGGAGCTTCTAAAATATGAATATTTAATTAATAGTGGGAGTGGCTCAGTTGAAAAAATTATTTTAATAATGATCACAATAATAAAATCAATGATAAAAAACAATTAAATATTTACAAGAGGTTTTGCATTCGGTCTATAGATCTGCATTTTCCATTAATATGATAGGCAAGTCCACATGAAGTCTTGGGTGACACAAGGCAACTTCTCCCTATATTGAGCAAAGGAAAGACTATCATTATTACTAAGGTATTACTGTAACCTGTGGTCTTATCCCATTGTGGCTCAATAGTCTCATTGTCCTTCTAATAGGACCTTCTCCAGGTATTACTCGACATTCTTCATAAAAAGAATGAGCTAAATCTCCATCTTCATCAAAATACTGTGAACTGTACAAAAGACACTAATAATTCCGTCACACTCTTTACTGATTGCACCTGGTTCTTTTGAGTACGTATGGATTACACTTAAAGGGAGGCCTCACGACCGCATTCTTCCCTCTCTCTCCCTCTCCTCCACTTTTATCGTCTTCTTTCTTGCCAGACAACAAGCCACCCATGAGTATGACACCTTCAATTTTACTTTGTTTTGCTCTGAGCTCAGCAGATAATTAGATCTAATACGGTAATATTCAGAGATTTTACTCCAAAGGCAGTTATCTATCATAGTAGTCACATGAACAATTGTAAAAACAGTGAAACTTGATGAAAAGAACAGCCCTTTAGTTGCTGCCTTGCAAAGATGGCAACCCCATTCCATGACAAGTAAAAACACAGCAGAATGGTGAGAATGGTGGATATAATGTTTGTTTATACAGTTCAGCACTGGTAGAAGAAGAGCTACCAAGGAAGCAGCTAAGAGTTGCAGCTGTACAAGGAATGCTGCAATCAAACACACAGCACACGTCAACCATTGATATGTCAAGACTTCAATCGTTTAATGAAGCAGTGGAAACAGCAATTGCTGGTACGTCATCGTATCTGTGCCGGCAATATGAGTAGCTGAGTACTTATTGAAGGAGTGAACAATATGACATCATTAATTTTATTTTATTTGTCATTGTTGTTGTACAGATGTCAATACACTGAGAGAGAGGAGCTTGACTTTACTTTATGAAAGATTCTCGTCGCTCGATAAAACAGCAATCATACACAAAGAAGATTTCCAGGGAGATGGAGATCAAATTTGTAAAGTAAAAATAAAAAAATAACAATGATACTATTAATGTATATGCAAGTATAGAAGCTACTATATAGAATGAAAGAGTTTAACAAAAACTACAAAGACAAGAACTTGGATAAGCATCTTCGGTTAGGTCTTAGTAAAGTGAAGAGTCCAACAATAACCATTGGAGTTCTGGGGAGGATAAAATGTGGAAAAAGCACTTTATTAAATGCACTGACATACTCAGAGTAATAATCATCATTATTGTCATTATCCTCTTTGATATTGATAAAGTACTGTACATCTAAAGTGCCTTTACTCTTTATAGGTTTTTCCCTACTGACCAATGCAATCCAGAGACATCAGTTATAGTTAGCATAAGACACAGTAGTTCAATGCACAGTGGACTCTGTGATACTGACCCTCAACATGGGAAAGGATTGGTAATACATAATACTCCAACTGTTCTATCATGTACTGTATATGTAGAATTGTCCTCAACTGCAGAATGAATTGGGAGTAGTCATTGCAACACGTTCCTTTGATATACAAGAGAAACTAGCTGAAATCAACACAAAAGCAAGACACACAAAAGTATACTAATACTTGATAATTTATAAATGGATTATTATCAATATGTACATGCATGCAGGCTGCTCAACAGTATTACACTATAGTGACTAACATCCCAGCATTATCAAATGAGAAATCAGCTATTAATCTGGTACTGCAAGACACTCCTGGTCTTGGAGAGGCAGTTGGCTCTAAAGCTACCAACAATATTGCTGATCTGGCAGAAACAGCTCTCCTGAACTGCTCTGCTTACATCTACATACTGGACTGCAATAAACTAAGAGATCTATTGGATGTAGAGGCACTTGAACTATTACAGAATAAAGACACTGGTGAGATTATGAGCATTTTATACTTATGATGATTATCTCATTCAGAGGTATATAAGGATGGACGACTCATTACTGTTGCTAATCTTCTTGATCGTGCTATAGAGCGAGCTCCGGGTAGCAGATCAGGCCGAAAGATAACCAGCCTGACACAAATACAAAACAACGTGAGGCACATGATGAAGAACGATATCAAGATAGTCATACCAGAGAGTCTCGTCATACCAGCTGTAGCTCTGTGGGCATCTTGCTCTAGATTGATACCTCTTGATGATCTTGATGGAATGGAGGACCTTCACTCGTGGAGGAAGAAATTTGAAAGAACATTGGACATTAGAAGAGACAGAAAAGTGAATTCAAAAGATTTCATTGAAAAGGCTAGTGGGATACAAACAATTGAGGAATGGTTAGTGAATTATTAACTGGTGATTTGTGTAATGTGTCTATAGGCTAAGAATGGTAGCTCAGTTCAGTGAGCCAGTACTGCAGAAGAGCAAATATTCAGATGCACTTCACTGCTCTAAAGTATGCATCAACACCTCTGATCTCTATCAACAAGAGCTGAAAAGAAAAGCTGATGGTATAGTGCTACATGTTGATACAACTAGTACCATTGTCAGTTAAATAGAACTGGTATGTGAAATGGAAGTACAGCAGGCAATGTGGAATGAAGCAGTGAAACTGTTTAATGACATTGAAACACAGTTGCTATTATTCAGATCAATATTGGAGGCAGCCTATGATCAAGACACAAAAGTAAAGGAGTTACAATATGTTAACAGTACAATATATTTCAGACATTCCTTTGTTGCAGGAGCCAAAGCAGCGTATGCTAGGAATTGCTAATGAGCTACTAGATACGTTTCAAAGCACGTGCCTTCAGAAATGCTCAGCACCTCAATATGGAGAGAAAGAAGAAGGTAGTGAACCATTACTAGTAGGAGATGAAAGTGAAGAGAGAGCAAGAGAAAGTGAAAGAGAAGTAGAGGGAGGAGAAGTTGAAGACGGTGAAGATGATGATGATACTACTCTTGATGATACTCATAAAGATCTACCAAACACAGTGATGTCTAAAGTGTATCGTGTACTTGAATTCAAACTAAGTAAGAATTCAAACTGATTGAGTTAATGATGGAATGATGCTATTTAGATCTGCAGAGTTTCATAGTTGAATTAGAAAGCAGAATAAATGATTATCTAGAGACAGTTCGTTTTGTGTGTGTACCGGCAGCAATTCCACTGGAAGAATTTGGAGAAAATAAGAAACAATTGTATCAATACGCCCTCAACTTTTTTAACACGAAAATGCTTCACAGACAACAAAATGAAGGTAAAATATTTCAATATTATTGTTTCATTATAATTGTTATTATTATGACACACAGCACATGTTTACAAAGCACCAAGACCAGATGAGATTCAAGACATTTTAACACATCATGAAGTGACTCTGAATCAACTTAGAGAGAAAGCTGAAATCAAGTAATTAGAGACATGCACATGCACTGCATGAAAAAAAGGATTAGTAGAATTATTGCATACAATAGGAAACTGAAGCTAGGCTGGCTAGGAAGAATGGTGGTTTGGATTAAAGCAAAATTTGGTCAAGAAGATGCAAAAGAAACCCACACAATGAGGTAAATGCTGGACCAGGTCTGACATTTACATTATTTCACACTAAAAGGAGGGGAGATGTAGTCTCAGCTATACAGTATCTGCGAAATAAAAAATGCATTGACGAGTGCATTAGATACTTGGAAGTTACTTTAAAGAAAGAAATAGTGGAGGTATTTTTGAAAATAATTATTCTCAATTATTCTTTACACACACCACAGTGCTATTACAATACATACTCACAGCATGTGAAGGCAGTGCTACAAGAATATGAAGAGAATTGTCTGACGCTAATGGCTGAACTGAGCTCCAAGGTATGTACTAGCAGCAGAGTGACTGCTCTACAGTATGTCTTGTTTGATGTAGAAAGAGACAGAAATTCAGGAAGTGTTGAGAAAGTTGCAGCAGACGTGCAAAGAACTCAATTATTTAATTAATTGTAATTACACCATGCAACAGCTGAAAAATGAAGTCAACCTTGAGCTAGTCAAAGCTTTTGGGAAAGAAGAGGAAACCGAATTGGACGCCTCAGATTTAAATTTAAGCCAATACTCTGTTTAAATATCAAAATTTTTTGTAGTTTTTGTGTGAAGTTTTTAAATATAATTTGCCTCTCAAAGCACTGTTGTAACAGCGGAATAATTGAAATAATAAAAAGTAATAATAATAATAATAATAATAATATTAATAATAATAATAATAATAATGATAATACTCAAGCAATATAATGATACGTGTCTCTTGACTCTGCGTCTCTTTCAATATACTGCTTGTCAATAAGAGCCTCAATACATTTCTATTAATAGTAACATGATGTAATGTATACATTTCTATTAATAGTAACAAAACCTTTATTAAAGAAATATTTGGATAAAATCTGTGTTTTATTAATAATATAACCTATGAAGGAGAGACTAATAAAAATTATAATAATTAATTAATTACTTCCTCAATTAATTGATTGTGTTTTAAAATCTTTCTGTGCTTCATTACTCTTACTAAGGCCGCCTGTAATTATTATTAACAATTAATTAATATTAATGAATATTACCTGTATAAACATCTTCCTGTCCTCCAGTACCATTTGATGTGTTTGCTCAATGTCTTGGGTAGTCTCTCGTTGCAGCTGGCCTGATATTTTGAACTTTGTTCTCTTGTTCGAATAATTAAAATTTAGCAACAGCTCCTGTCCAGTGCTCTAAAGACAATCAAAAATAAATAAAATAAAATAAAATTAATATTAATAACTACTATTAATATTTTCGCATCAACTAGTGATTGGACAGTAGGTTTTAACTCTTTTTCTTCAATCTGAGTCCAGCTGCTCATAGTCCTTGAGGGTGGGTGGGAGAGTGCAAAGGGTTAATAATGGCTAGTGGCCTACTGTAAGTCTAGGCTCTCTTTAGTCTCAAACAATAAGAGGATTATTATTTGATAGGTTGTCATGGTAACGAAGTAGGATCTCTTGAGATATTGTAACTTCAATTCACCTAAAAAGAACAATCATTCATGAGTATTCCTGTACAGATTAGTCTGATGCCACTACATCAATATCTGCTCTATCTAAACACATGTGCTGCTAGCCTGGCCTGTTACCTGTTGCTAGGTGATGTAACCATGACAGGTGCCTTCCACAGTGCCTTGAGGAGTAAAATCCTTCAAACTATAAAATAAATAAATAAATAAATAAATATAATAAATATATAAATAAATAAATAATACTTTAATTAATGACGTTAGAAGTTCTTGAGGTAACACAATGGAGGGACATGGAGATTGTGACAGCTGCCAAGCGCCTGACTACAACAATAATAACAAATAAATAAATAAATAAATAAATAAATAATAATAATAATAATAATAATAATATGTTGCATAGAGAGTTTGAGCTAATTCTGTTCATAGTCATACCAAAGGCCTAATATGGTCTTTGACTAAATTTCACCAAAATGAAAAGGAGTGAATTCTTCATTTTTATATTTTTTCTGATACATATACATGTTCAAATGTTGTGTAGAAATTTTAAGCTAATTTTGATCAAGTTTAGATTTTTATGATTTTTTAAAGTTGCTCCGAAATCGGACAAAAGTCCCTGTACTATAGTACAGGAATTTTTGTCAATTTTTGTCAAAAATGACAAGTGAAGAATTCTTCATTTTTATATTTTTTCTGATACATATACATGTTCAAATGTTGTGTAGAAATTTTAAGCTAATTTTGATCAAGTTTAGATTTTTATGATTTTTTAAAGTTGCTCCGAAATCGGACAAAAGTCCCTGTACTATAGTACAGGAATTTTTGTCAATTTTTGTCAAAAATGACAAGTGAAGAATTCCTCAATTTTATTACATTTTCTGATGCATATACATGTACTTATGTTGTGTAGAAAGTTTGAGCAGATTCCGATCAAGTTTAGATTTTTTATGATTTTTTAAAGTTGCTCCGAAATCGGACAAAAGTCCCTGTACTATATAGTACAGGGATTTTTGTCAATTTTTGCCAAAAATGACAAGTGAAGAATTCCTCAATTTTATTACATTTTCTGATGCATATACATGTACTTATGTTGTGTAGAAAGTTTGAGCTGATTCCAATCAAGTTTGGATTTTTTATGATTTTTTAAAGTTGCTCCGAAATCGGACAAAAGTCCCTGTACAGGGATTTTTGTCAATTTTTGTCAAAAATGACAAGTGAAGAATTCCTCAATTTTATTACATTTTCTGATGCATATACATGTACTTATGTTGTGTAGAAAGTTTGAGCTGATTCCGATCAAGTTTAGATTTTTTATGATTTTTTAAAGTTGCTCCGAAATCGGACAAAAGTCCCTGTACTATAGTACAGGGGTTTTTGTCAATTTTTGCCAAAAATGACAAGTGAAGAATTCCTCAATTTTATTACATTTTCTGATGCATATACATGTACTTATGTTGTGTAGAAAGTTTGAGCTGATTCCGATCAAGTTTAGATTTTTTATGATTTTTTAAAGTCGCTCTGAAATCGGACAAAAGTCCCTGTACTATAGTACAGGGATTTTTGTCAATTTTTGCCAAAAATGACAAGTGAAGAATTCCTCAATTTTATTACATTTTCTGATGCATATACATGTACTTATGTTGTGTAGAAAGTTTGAGCTGATTCCGATCAAGTTTTAGATTTTTATGATTTTTTAAAGTTGCTCCAAAATCGGACAAAAGTCCCTGTACTATAGTACAGGGATTTTTGTCAATTTTTGCCAAAAATGACAAGTGAAGAATTCCTCAATTTTATTACATTTTCTGATGCATATACATGTACTTATGTTGTGTAGAAAGTTTGAGCTGATTCCGATCAAGTTTTAGATTTTTATGATTTTTTAAAGTTGCTCCAAAATCGGACAAAAGTCCCTGTACTATATAGTACAGGGATTTTTGTCAATTTTTGTCAAAAATGACAAGTGAAGAATTCCTCAATTTTATTACATTTTCTGATGCATATACATGTACTTATGTTGTGTAGAAAGTTTGAGCTGATTCCGATCAAGTTTAGATTTTTTATGATTTTTTAAAGTTGCTCCGAAATCGGACAAAAGTCCCTGTACTATAGTACAGGGATTTTTGTCAATTTTTGCCAAAAATGACAAGTGAAGAATTCCTCAATTTTATTACATTTTCTGATGCATATACATGTACTTATGTTGTGTAGAAAGTTTGAGCTGATTCCGATCAAGTTTAGATTTTTTAATGATTTTTTAAAGTTGCTCCAAAATCAGACAAAAGTCCCTATACAAGGATTTTGACTAAATTTCATCAAAAATGAGAAGGAGAGACTTTTCCATTTTTACAACATTTTCTGATACATTAATTGATACTATATATTTAATTATTTCATACCTGAAGTACTAAAGTTGAAAAACTGATTGTCTCCTTTTCCTTGTCACTCTTTAATTTCTCGTGAAACTCAGTCACAAGGTTTTGACTAAGTGTTATATCCATAAGCATCCTCTGGAGTCTGGCTGTGTACTCATATCCACAGACATGCTGTGAAATGAATAAAAACACAATCTCTCTCTCCCTCTCTCTTTCTTACCTTCAATTTTTGTACCATGTTTTCTTCAGCTTCCATTGATACATAGAAACCGTACACGAGTCGTCTTGACAACATTCTCGAATAAAACTTTTGAAAAGTATCCTTGTCCTCAATAAAATTGAAGACGGTAATCTTTAAACAACAAAAACAAAAAATAAACACAAACAATACAATATCTTACAGTATCATCAAGCTTTTCTTCAAGTTCAGTGTCAGTGATTCCTTTGGTACCTTTCTTTAATAGCTGGTCAGTGTAGCGAGCTAACTATTAATAATACTTAATTAACTAACCATTAATTAATTAACTACCAGTCTTGGTGATTGACAGTGTTGCTGATGTCCTTCAGAATAGTTAACAAAACCACGGCAACCCTCGTTCAGTGCATTTAGAAATGACTTGTTTCCACCAAAAACGTCAAAGACAATATCTTTATATTTAGAATAGACGTTTAGAATGATGGTCATGAACTCCAGGGCCTCAACAGATTGCTATCAAACAAACAAATTAATAAACAAACTAACAAACAAATTAATTAATAAATACATACTTTTGATGACATGAATGCTTTAATGCAAACCAAGCCTATTAATTAATTAATTAATTAATTAAAGGTCATGAATATTAATTACCATCATTGGTAACTTTTTCCTTAAATTCTTTAATTAGAGTTTCAAGTGTTTTTGGTATTCTACTCAGTAGAATAAACAGGTTTGACAGGTTCTCAAACTGCTCAGACCTCATCATTTGAGGAACGTATGACAATAAATACTGGAGCTGGTCAGTAACCAGTTTCATTTCACATTCACGTACAAACTACAAAATAAATAAATTAATTAATAAATTAATAAAATTACTTTAATTATTGATGATTGGTGTAAAAATTTCTCTCCTCTAATCTTTGCAATTTGCAATAGACTCACAGCCTAAAAGCAAACCACACCCATTTAAAACCACACCCACTAATTACTGACCTCTTTGATGTACTGTGGATAGGAGAGGTCAGTTACCAGCTGTGAGGCTAGTTTACGATATATTGAACTTATCTCTGACAGAAACACGTCTTCAAATACTCTTTGATAATACTAATAAACAACAACAAGTCAACAACAACAACAACAACAATTTACCTCATAAGGTCTCTCTTTATCATATTCCGTAACTTCAACTTTAGCAACAAATAAATAAATAAATAAATAAATAAATAATATTTGAACTAACTGAAAGATTGTAAGACATCATGGGCCATCCCTAAATCACTTTGATTGCCTTCTTTAACACTGCATGTGTGTGTGGGATAAATATTAATCAATTAATTAATAATATTAATTAGTTGATGTCATTACACTTCATTAATTACAGCTGATATTAATTTTTCCTCAATGACGTCAATCATTCTTGTGCGCCAAACTTTTAATGACATCTAAATAAATAAAATAAATAAATAAAATAAACGATAATTATCATTACATTTCTAATTTCTACTGGTGCGTTTGGATCAACTGGTGAAGTTGGCGGTAAAATAATTCCAGGAACATTGTAATCTAAAGAATCCTGAGGTCTATACTTATTGAGATGAACCTAAGAGAAACAATTTAATTAATATTTATTATTATTATTATTATTATTTACTCTGTTAAAATATGAAAATAAACTGTCCAAATAATGAGCTCCCTGGCGGTAAAGGGACCAGCTGTAATGATATCGACAAAATAACGATCTTGAATCCAACACTATAATCTCCTATAATGTGATGATTAGCCACACCTACCCAGGCAGCCCCTCCCACCCACAGTACCTCGGCTAGTGCAGTGACCGAGTCCTCTAGAAGTGAACGAGTTGATTCGTAAAGTTTCTCTGCAAAAGACTTAGGGAGTGCAGCGCACAAAGCATATATATCACTAGTCATAAGATAAGGAATCAACAAATACTAGTATACTGTCGGTATATTATTAGGATACGATATGTTATTATTCCAGGTTAGTCTTTTTACTGGCCTCAGTTCCACCACGGCACTTATTGTGGCACTCAAGTCTTTCCATTTCTCGTCAAAATCCACCACACCAGGTCTAAGAGACATCTTAACAGGCAACCACACCCCCAATTAATAACTTTTAACAATATTAACTTGTAATTATCACTATTGTGTTATTAACTTATTGTTGGTAAAAAGAATTCATCATTATTGAGACATTGTTAATTATTATTATTATACAATTATTGAAAGAAGCATGGGCTGCTGTATTGTGGCACAGGGAGAGCAGGTGGAATTTGAGGAGGAGAAGGAAGATATTGTGGAACCGAAGGAGAAAATTGTGGAGGATGAGGGAGTACCACAGCGCTATACAGCATCTATTGAACAATTACTAACAATGATTAAACTGAGTCACTTACTATCCCAGTTTGGTGCAATTCATTGTTTAACGGCTCTAAAATACCATTGTTATAATAGAAGTTTCTACCTTGATAGTTAATTATGGATACAGGATTAGATTCAGCTTGAATATACTCTATTAACACAATACTTTATGATGAATGATATTATATAATATAAATACATTTTATACAATAAAGTGTATAGTCCAATAATACCTGCATTACTTCCATTATATTTATATTGACCTGTGTTCTATAATCATTAATTAAAGTTTGGCATGTTGAGAGATTCATTGTTACCTTTTTACGAATGGCTCTACAAATATTAAGTGTCTTGTGATTAAACTCTACCTTTGCCTAAAAGAGATTAACTAATCAATGAAACAATGAATAATGAAGAAGCCATAGTAATGGAGCTAATTGCCGCCAGTTGTCTTTGAGGGAACCACACACCCTCCCTCCTCAACCTCAACTAAAACAACAGAGGTTAGTGCCATACCTGAGCTTGCAATGTGCAAATGCAAGCACTAGCAATTAGCACATTGATAGTGACTTTATGAAGTTCAGTTAGTGTCAACTTACCATCTGTAGGACCTTCTTTGCTATGACTTCATCTTTAAAAGTAACAAATCCATACCTTTAGATGAATAAAACATGCATATAAACAGATCACTGTAGACTATGAATGAATGGAAAGCATTAATAATGGAGTACAGTTAGAAGAATGACTCATCATTGGATATGTTAATAACACATTAGCACCTAAATGACAGTCACATTGTCATGGTATATATATATACATGCTGTATGAGTCAGGCAGGCTCTGCTTGGCTAGTATTATATTGATGTGCATTACATGTCATACCCTTTTGAAATTCCCTTACGGTCTGTTACAATGTTGCAATCTTTGATTGTACCATACTGAGAAAAGAAATCTTTTAACTCGGTTTCATTAGTCTACCAATAACAAACACATGAAGACAGAATATTGTTTATGATACACGACTGGTTACAAATTAGTATAGTCTATTAAACATGCAGGGAATAACAGGCACTTACATTGTAGGGAATATTTCCTATAAATACTCTGGTGGTAATTTCCACACCATGTTCAATGATGTAATGAGACATTGTAATCTACAAAATGAATGTAAAAGGGCTGGCCTAAGAGAACCATTCTTACATAACTTTAGCACTCTCTACTGCACTCAGTAGTAGTCTGCTCTGCTTACTTTAGCCGTTGGCGTTTAGAGCTTGCTTTGGGCTTGCACAGCCTGGCAAATTTTACACTCGCTTAGTTTTATAATCATCATCAATAATAATAATAATAATAATAATTAATTATGTTTATGGTCTAGGTGGAGCTTTTGGATGATAAGTGAGAAGGTTCTGGAGGTAAAATAGGAGAATACGGAGCAAAGAAATCATAAGCAAATCCATACACATCATCAGGTTTGTGTATCAGAAGAGACTGTAAGAAGTCAGCTAGAATAGCACCAAGTTCTGGGTGTGTTTCAACAAATTGAGAGTGTTCTTCAATCAGTGCATCCTATTAATAGATACAGTCCAATCCCATTGATTTATAACAGATGTACCTTCCTATCTAAAAACTCTGATATCATTTGAAGGTCCTCAGGCCAGGGCAAGTATCCAGTTATAGTCTCACTAGCTTCTTCTGTAGTTTCAGCCATTGTTTCTGTAGTCATGGTAACAAGGGTGTGGCTCACACGTGCAGCTAGCTAGCTAGCTCATAGCTGCATGCAGCAGCTTACAGCATAAACTGTAATGGTCAGCATAGCAAGTCAGCACAGCCAGTCAGCAAAGGTCAACCTTACCATAATGAAGAGCTATTGTATTTGCGTTTTGTTCTTGTCCTCTTTCTTCTTTCTTGGTACAGTAGAGGGAGGTCCCTTACATGCTTCCTGTCAACTCAAATGGTAAGTGTAATATATAATAGCTAATGACATTAATTCTTGTTAATATGCAGGACATGGAGCACAAACTGTACTACTGTGAGTACTGCAATTCTTGCTCAAATTGCAAAATGGACCAGTAACACGTGTCCTCCTAATACTGAACTCTGTGGATACAAGGTACCTATATATATATATATACTTTTAATGCATTAATACTGACTCTACATGTCACTGCAGCTAAAAAGCAACACTACAAAGGAAATTACAGCAACCCATACTACCCCAGTTCATCATTATGTAGACGATCTTAAAATGGACTTCACTGATGATGGAGGAATGTGTACAGTTGATGTAAGTTATGATTATTAAATGTCGTTAGTGATGTGTTCATTGCATATGCAGGGGTATTCCAAGTCTGAGGTCTGGTATGCTGTACTAGATGATGGTACTAATTATTGTAATCTCCACAATCTTGTAACTGGGGCTGGACTTGACAAGATGTACAGTTTCAACGAAGCTACTTCTGATGACAACTGTACCCAGTACTCATCAGCTAACTGTGACAAATACTGATGCTTTAATTAACTGCTTGAGTGTGTTAATCTTGCTGTTTTAAAAACTTTTCCCTTTTTGATAAAAATAATTCTTAATTTTTAAAACAGTGCACGGAGAAGTATACTAGTTTCCGTTTATTTTAAACATGTGCTTACTCGTGTACTAATTATTATAATACACAAAAAATGAAATTTAACATCAAGTGCTACCAAGAGCAGCAAGAATAGAAAATGTCCACAAAGTTAAATGAAATTGAGTGATAGGAGGAAGAGAAAGAAAGAATGAAACAACTTTATTCCAAATGATGAGCAGTGGAAAGTCTCCAGGACTAATCTCTACCTTCTTCTTCAATTCTAGGTCACTGCTGTTGCCACTGGATACAACAATATCCCTTTCATTAATGATCTCTTTTGTAATGACACGTGTTTCAATGGGAGACAAAGACTTGAGGTATCCAAAAGCAAGAGGAACAGGTAGAAAGAAATGATAGGCTCTTAGCGAAGTAATATGAGTTACTAATGATTTAGGATTGGGTTTATTATTAGTGACTAAGCCACCTTGAAGACCAGAGCACTTGTCACACTGAGGATAAAACCGCTGGACTCCTCCGCCATGAGGCAGAGTACTAGTGGGTGGCTGATGATCACAAACAAACTTAGTCACAGACTGTCTTTTACCACAAGTGTGGCAGCCATACTTCTTGCCTATCTCTTGTATAAGGACCTTCTCTGAAGAAGTAGCGTATTTATTTGAATAAGCCGGTATCCACTGGCGAGCAAAAGCACCAGGATTAGCCAAATGGCTTGGAACAACAGAACAAAATTTACCGCCTAGTGACCTAAACAAAGCTACACTGACAAGAGAAGACGTCAATAATTCAGGGACATTGAGTCTCATGTGGTTTGAAGTGTCTCTTGTTAAAGGTGCCACAAATGGTCCCGCTAATGAATAGGCGGTAACTACAGCACATGAAGCCGAGATTGCAGCTGATGTAATTGATATACCACCTATTGTAGCCACCACTAGAGCTGGTAGGTGAGTAGCTAAACGTAATGGCTTTAATACCAGTAGCTGATTGATCCCTAGTACTACAGGAAAGGTCACGGCTCCAGCTGCAGCTCCTACTAATGATTGAGGGACACTCAATTCAGCAGACATTTTCCCGGCCACTTGATAATTAGCCACGCCTCAAACCACACCAACAATAATTAAATTTTAAAAAATAAAATAAAATTCTGAAATGAGATGCAATTAATAATAATGGTATAGCTCTGTAAAAGGATAAAGTAATACAATAATTCATGAATAGAGTACTTCTTTTATTGGCTTGTTTTTATGTTTATTTACAGACAGAGGAGGAGTTGAAGTGCTTGTACTACTAACAGGATCAAGTGTCCTACTTGTAACCTGTTGTTGCTCTTCTGCTCCTGAATCATATTGATGATGAGATACTTCTCTCTCTTTCTCTTCTTCCTGAGTTGATATAACTTTACCAACTTTACCAAGGAAACTAGATATAAAAAATATAATTACATTAAAATCATTTTTCATAATATACCGTATGCCCCATGTCTTCCAGCTCCAATAAGTCTAAAATGAAAATAAAAAAATAAACAAATATTAATAATTGTTTGTCACTAACAGAGACAAGATCTACTGTATTACCAGCTGCAGCTAAACCATCATCACTGACACGACCAGCCTGATCACCATATCTGAGGGGAAGAGAAGTGAAGATGAGCTGTATGCCTCCATTATAATGACCACTCTCTCTTACTTGTGTCCAACTGTTTTACTAGTCTCTGTTCCAGCTCCTTTGATGATTGCTTTGGCTCCTTGCTCAAGATCTGTGAACACTTTACCAGCTCCTAACAAATACAATTCATTAAATTAAAGGAGGGATTACTCCAGCTGCTGTCACCTTTAGCAGTTGATTTGGTTACTTTCCAAGCTTCCTTAGCATGAGGATTGATCTCTCTACCCTTCACCATCTTTACAATGGATACATATGTAACCATAGCAACCAATAATAATTAACATACATCAGAATCAGCAACAGCGGATCCAATCTTCTTCCCCACAGCAACAGTTCCTTTGGCCAGTGTAACCATCAAGAAATCACTCACCCCAACAACAGCACCTGTACAATAATCATTAATAAAATAATAATAATTATTATTAATGATGTACATTACCAGTTGCTCTTCTAGCATAGTATGCTCCTTTTTCAACTGATTGAGGTATTTCCACAGGCTGCTCCCTCGGCTCAATATTATCCCTCAGTTTGTCCCCACCCTTTGTTTAATAAACAAGTAAAACAACAAACAACAAAAAACAACAACAAACCTTGTTTAGTAGTTCACCAGCTTTATTTGTGCCAGTGCTAATGACACCAGATACCCAACTAACACCAGATTCTATTTTCTACAACAATAATTATTATTATCATTAATAATAATTATTATTATCATTAATTATTATTATCATTAATAATTTATTGTGATTAATGTACTTCTGATATTGATCCACCCCAAGTGGGCGTGTCTTCTAGTTCAGGTTTTGAGTCCCCAGCAGCTGCTCCTGATGATTCAGAAACTTTAAAGTCACTCAACACTTTCAAAGTCTAAAATAATAAAAATTATCTAACACATGATCTTATGTTAGATTTGAATTTTAAGACAATTCCAATCTCATTTAAATTTTTTACAAATTTTCAAAGTTGCTTCTCACCTGATTCAGTTCCCTTATCTCATTCTTGGTCAATCCTCCGCTGAACACAATACCAACAGTGTGTCCGTTATTCTCAATGTCAGGGAAGACATAAGCAAACTGGCTGCTCCTAAGTACAGGTGATTGACCGGGCACCAGTGGGTATACAAAGTCACCACATTGGATAAACGCTGGAGGCTGACCTAGAGCTGGTATAATAACTATTAATAACTAGCTCCACCCACCTGGTATATGCTCTTTATATCGAAAGATGTGCATAGCTTCTGAAGGCGTACAGTTTAAGACACACCCACTTTCATTAACACGGATAACCTTACAACCTGGTAACTATTAATAAATAGTTAATTAACTATTAGTTAATTAACCTGAACTGGACGAGAATACAATTTCAGCCTCAGCTCCGCCCAAAGTATCTTTATTATTCCTTCCTCCTCCTGACACTGATTTCATTCCCATACTGCTTGAAACTGAGTCTGTAGGTCTGGAAGTATGAGTTTGAGTCTTTGGTAAGGATCTTGACAATTGTTTCTCTTCTTCCTTCTCAAGCAATGACTCCATTCTACTTTTAACCTGACCCTTTAACCTAAAAAGAATTATAAAATAAATAAATAAAATAAATAAATAAATACCCGCACAATTGTACATTTACAATGACAACAATTACTTTTCCAATTTCTTCTTTATTTCTTTCATGGCTGATGTTACCTCACGGCTCTCTTGTATAATGACCAGTCCAGACTGAGCTGACTTCAATGCTTTATTGTATAATTCAAGAGCTGGCAGTCTTTCTCCTTTTTCATCAGACTCCAAGGCTTTACCTACAAACCTAAAGGACCCAACATGACCAGGAGGAGTAAGGGATCCAAACAAATTACTTCTTTGCTTCGTCAAAGTAATCCTGGATCAAACCAATTTTATTTTTGTGATGAAGTGACGACATGTCACTCATAACTGAGCTGGTGGTGCTAGCACTGGCCACAGAGGAGACTAGGGGAGGTGAGGAAGGAACTTCTCTTTGCTCTTGCAGCATTTTGAAATAAATGAAATGAAATAATAGCTAGGAGAGAGAGAGAATGATGAAGTAGATTTGTGACTATCATGTGAAGAAGGCGTGGTCAAAACAAATAGGTGCGGTCATGACGTCATTATTTAAAGGTGTGGCTACTTTAAATGATACCACAAAAAGTTGATCAAAGAAAAGTCCAGTTCATGCCTTGTTGCTGAATGTGCTCTAGTTACTCTTATTGAATTAAGGACGAGTTGCTGCCGGATAGTGTTCTTTATCAACTGCCGCTCTCCTCAAAAGAGCCATACATAGTCTAGTGCCTGTGGGGTTGGATTGGAAAGGAGAGAGAGAGAAGTGAAGGAGCTCAATTCAAGGATAGATCAAGGGTCCTCGAGGCGGTATTATGGGTATAGTATGGGCTAAGCTATGGAACCTCTTTGGAAAGGAAGGTAGGAAAGGTTTATTCTTAATAATGTAATTGATATCTTTTATGAAATAGAATATAAGATAATAATAGTGGGGCTTGATAATGCTGGGAAGACCACCATATTGTATCAATTGTAAGTCTAAAACTATCAAGAATATATCATTGTATCTTTAAATCATTATTAATTAATTGATTATGATAGTAACACATTATTATGGGTTATATATAATTTGATTATGAGGTGTGGTATCATTATTGTCAAACATTATGCACTGATAACCTGTTCCCTCTAGTTTAATGAATGAAGTTGTGCACACATCTCCTACCATTGGGAGCAATGTGGAGGAAGTAAGATCACAATTACCACCCACACACACACACCAGCATCAAACACTGGCACTGATTTACATGTACAATACATGTTTATATTCTCAGGTAAGATGGCGTAATCTTCATTTTGTGATGTGGGATATTGGCGGGCAGGAGTCCTTGAGACAAGCCTGGAGTACCTATTACTCTTCGACTCACTTCCTGATACTAGTTGTTGATAGCACTGATAGGGAGAGACTGCAAGTCACCAAAGGAGAGCTTCACCAAATGTTAGAACATGAAGTATGTGAAAGGATGAATGCATGTACATGTACAGGGAGAGAGAGGGTTGGTGATACATAATGTGAACGTTTGGAATGAGAGAGTATTGTCCTACAGCTGGTTGTAATTTTGAAGAGGAAATTTAGGCAAATTTAGACATTTTAATAGTCATTGTTAAGTCATTATGCACATGGCCACTAATCCACCAAATGAAAACCCATCAATCACAGACAAGCAATTTGCTCAAATTTCATGATATCTAGCTGTAAGGTATTTTGTGATTAGGACCTAAAGAAGGCAGGTGTATTGATATACGCCAACAAACAGGACGTGAAGGGATCAATGGGTGCAACAGAGATCACTCAACACCTCAATCTGACATCAATAAAAGAACATGGCTGGCACATACAACCTTGCTGTGCCCTCACTGGAGAAGGGTAAGCCACACCCACTGGTAACCATGGTTACTTGTCTATAGGTTATATCAAGGATTAGAATGGATCTCGTCTCAAATCAACAGATGATAATTTATATTAATGACTCTTTAAATATTAATTTAAATAAAATAATGAATAAAATATTGACACATCATGTTATTATTTATTATTATTGTTTTGTGACAGCAATCTTACCTAAAAACAAAAAAATAAAACAAATAATTCTAAATCAGTGATAATTAAAGTGCAGGATCATCATCATAATACAAGCACCATCAGTCGTCCGGACATGGACAATTATGATGTCATCAATGAATATCAGAACAGGTCTGTGGTCAATTTTCATCATCTAGTGCTTTACAACTATCACATGTATTGGTATGTCATACCTGTTAGGAAGAATGAGTCAGGTATGTAAGGTCCAGGCCTAACTATAGAAGAGTCCAGGTACAGGTACAGGTACAGGTGGTAGTTGACTGAAACCTCCAAAGAGCACTGCAGAACCAGCTGCTGTATATATTTACATGCAACACTCAGAAAATCACAAAAATGTTTCTCAGGTCATATTAATTTCAGAGCGACCCAAAACGTGTCATCATTGTGTTTGTCATGATATCTTCACTTGAATGGAATATTCTAAATAAAGAGATAGAGAGAGGTGTACAGATTAAAATACCCTCAAACCAAAAGTATACTATTACAACACTCCAAGTCGTGATATTCAGAACAAATAATGACATCATTGGTTGGTCAGATATATGCTTGTCATTAAATCATCATTAACCACTAATAACTAGCCACACCTACTTACCTAGTTAATTAACACTACATTGGTTGAAAGACTTCTTACACTCCTAAAAATAAAGATGTCCAATACATAAAAACAATAAGTTAACGCAATAAATGGAGGACTCAGACAATGTAGGTAAGAATTGGCTACATCATTAACAGAATATTTCAATCATTACATCATAATTATGTCATCACAGTGCCACCATGAGTAATACTAACATCAACAATAATAAACAAACTAACTCAAAAAACGAAGCAGCATCCTCAGCAAATTAAGAATTCAACCTGAAAAAACAAATAATTATAATCTTCTCAATAATACTTTTACCATTCCATTACTGTAAGAGCTAAACTTGTTCTAAGCCTGTTAACAATGATAGATAAACACCAGTTTGTAACCATAGACTGACCATAGACAATCAATCCTGACAAGATGCAACAAGATCTCCCTCTGCCTTCTCTCTTGCTGTCCCTGGCCTTGCTCCCACAATGCTGTCTTGCTACAGACTGAGCATGCGCAATAGTTTAAGGAGGGGTTTGGCGGTAAAATTAATTTTAATTATTATAAAAATAATTTCTATGGTATAATATAATCTAAAATATTTAAAAAGTACACTGTGACTGGGTATAGAAAACTTAAATATATTGATAGATCTTAAAGTCTAATGGTGAGCAGCTGGTGGGAGGTTTGGGTGTGCTTTAAAAAGTGCAGCTGGAAACTGTTCACCATTGGGACCACGCAATAGCCTCTTGCTAGCTAAGTCAAACAATAACGGATTATAATGATACAATTCATCTAATGAACCCTTCTCCTCATCTGTAATCAAACCAAACCTGGTAGCAATAAATTAATAATAATTAACAATAATATTAATCAATAATAACTTATTACCTGACTAGTCTCGAGGTGTGTACCACTACATTGATGGCCGGTACTGGATAATCTGAGCCATACACTAATCTATCATGAATATCCTATTAAAGAGAGACAGTCAAAGACTCATTCTCATAATTCCATGTCTCATACTGTTTCTTGTATCAAGCGATGCAGGTACCTAACTCTCAACACTGCACATATTGCTGATATATCACCATACAGTAGACCTTTATATCTAGGAGGACATATACCCACTTGTAGTAATGCCACACCCACTTGTAGTAATGCCCCACTCACCTGTCCTCCCTCATCAGTCTTAGCCAGAGGTCAAAGCACGTCTCATAGCTACCATCACCTCTGTCAATATCAACGCCCCTGCCCTATTAATAACGGGTTGCCATGGTAACATTATTAACGAGGTCTGTATTACCTCAGAAGCACAGTGAGCAGTGATTATCTTCACTCCACAATTCAAAGGCCTTTAATTAATTAATTAATTAGATAATTAATAGTATGATTATTATTTGAAATACCTCCTCAATAGAAGTGGGTTTCCGTATTCATTATTGATGTAGGCAGCGTTCACAGAATGCTCTTCACCACAGTGTACCAGTAATATCTGAAACCATTGAGAGTTATATTTAGTAACAATGTTACTATATTTAGTAACATTACCATATTAAGTTCTTTCATTTTGTTGTAAAATGGTTCAATTCTTTCGTCAGACGGATCAATACCCATAGAATTAGGCTAACAATAAAATAAAGAATAATAGCAAATATTAATAATCTCTTACTAGCCATTTTATGACATTGACTCCCAGCTCAGAGAGATGTTGAAGTCGCTGTATAGCATCAGAACGGTAAGGATTTACTGAACCAAACGCAATGAACAAGTCAGGATATTCTCTGGAAAGCATTAATGAATATTCATTAGGGACAGACTGAGAGAGAGAGAGAGAGAGAGAGAGAGAGAGAGAGAGAGGAAATTATTTTCTAAAACATTAAAGTAAACTAACGAAGGTGGTTCTTTGTTCATCTTCTTCTCCGGTCAGTGGATCAACAAATTTATCAAAAGGTAAGAGACAAAGTTTACCATGAACAAACCTCTCATCACTACTACCAGCTGAAACCACACCTACTGCTCCACCCACAACAAGATCACTGCCATTAATATTAGTACAGGAGATTGGTACAAAATGTCTCGCCAATCTCAGCAGGCGACTTATAAACTGTATATCACCACTAGAGAGGAAAGAAGAGAGAAAGAAGGTCAATTTATAGTCTCATATCATACCCCTCCATTGATGTAACTTGAGCTGCTCCCATGAAAATGGCCGACTTTATTCTACGTAGCGGATTCCACCAAGACTTTAACTGCAGGCATACATGTATTAATTAATTAGCATTAATTAATTATTAATTAATTAGCATTAATTAATTATATATATTCACCGAATGATGCATGTAGCACTGAGAGCCAGAGTCTCCGTGTCCGACTAAATGACAATGATAATCAACAACTTCACGAGGATCCTAACAATGGAAGAATTTGATTTGGAGCAACTTTCAAAATTTATTTTTAAAACCAATTTTCATCAGAATCAGCTCAAACTTTCTGCACAACATAAGTACATGTATATGCATTAGAAAATGTAATAAAATTGAGGAATTCTTCACTTGTCAATTTTGGCAAAATTTGACAAAAATCCCTGTACTATAGTACAGGGACTTTTGTCCGATTTCGGAGCAACTTAAAAAAATCATTAAAAATCCAAACTTGATTGGAATCAGCTCAAACTTTCTACACAACATAAGTACATGTATATGTATCAGAAAATGTAATAAAATTGAGGAATTCTTCACTTGTCAATTTTTGTAAAATTTGGCCAAAATCCCTGTACTATAGTACAGGGACTTTTGCCAGATTTCGGAGCAACTTTAAAAAATCATAAAAAATCCAAACTTGATTGGAATTAGTTCAAACTTTCTACACAACATAAGTACATGTATATGTATCAGAAAATGTAATAAAATTGAGGAATTCTTCACTTGTCAATTTTCGTAAAATTTGGCCAAAATCCCTGTACTATAGTACAGGGACTTTTGCCAGATTTCGGAGCAACTTTAAAAAATCATAAAAAATCCAAACTTGATTGGAATTAGTTCAAACTTTCTACACAACATAAGTACATGTATATGTATCAGAAAATGTAATAAAATTGAGGAATTCTTCACTTGTCAATTTTTGTAAAATTTGGCCAAAATCCCTGTACTATAGTACAGGGACTTTTGCCAGATTTCGGAGCAACTTTAAAAAATCATAAAAAATCCAAACTTGATCGGAATCAGCTCAAACTTTCTGCACAACATAAGTACATGTACATGTATCAGAAAATGTAATAAAATTGAGGAATTCTTCACTTGTCAATTTTCGTAAAATTTGGCCAAAATCCCTGTACTATAGTACAGGGACTTTTGCCAGATTTCGGAGCAACTTTAAAAAAATCATAAAAAATCCAAACTTGATCGGAATCAGCTCAAACTTTCTACACAACATAAGTACATGTATATGTATCAGAAAATGTAGTAAAATTGAGGAATTCTTCACTTGTCAATTTTCGTAAAATTTGGCCAAAATCCCTGTACTATAGTACAGGGACTTTTGCCAGATTTCGGAGCAACTTTAAAAAATCATAAAAAATCCAAACTTGATCGGAATCAGCTCAAACTTTCTGCACAACATAAGTACATGTATATGTATCAGAAAATGTAGTAAAATTGAGGAATTCTTCACTTGTCAATTCTCGTAAAATTTGGCCAAAATCCCTATACTATGGAACTTTTGCCCGATTTTTGAATAACTTTAGAAATTTGTAAAAAAAATCCAATTTTGATCAAAATCAGCTCAAAATTGATACATGACACAAGAGCCTGTATATGCATCAGGTGTTACAGTACAAGTATCATCAGTTCTTACTAAATCATTAAAGACCCTTTGCCGAAGGAGTTCTTGTGTTGATGGAGTAAGAGCACATCCTTCATCAGTAAACATGTCCTCAGGCTCGTATGAAAAATTCCCACCTAACTATTGAGAGGAAAAGATATCAGCTGGATGATTTAATGCTGCCCTGCCTTCTGTGCTAGGTATCCCAGGAAAGACCATCTTGAGAAAGGAGGGGGCGGACCTGAGAGACACTTGTCCTTCACACTGAAGCTGTACTGAACCGAGGAGACACTGGAGCTAAAGACGGGTCCACTGGGCTCTCTCTCCTCCTCTCTCAGCTCAACCAGCTCGCTAGACAAGGGAAAGAATGAATCTGCTAGTTATTATTAATCTAACTTGAAATCCGCCATCTTGTTTGCTAGCCACGCCCACTTATATTAACTGATTAATAACTATTAATAACTAGTCAATGATTGAATTCGAGTTGGGAAATACTGTTCAGTTTAAATATTCAAAAGTTGACGACAGATCTGATACTAAAAATTATATAAATAACTAATAACTATTAATAACTAGCCACACCTCTTTCCTTGATGCATGACATCAAATGCTTTGTTGATTTCAGTGAGGTCAAATGTGTGAGTCACAAACTTGTCAACTTTCATGGCACCCGACAAATACTTCTCAACTAACTGAGGGACACCATCCCTGCTCTTCCAACCACCAAACGCTGTACCTTTCCAAACACGACCTGTTACCAGCTGGAATGGACGAGTTGAAATTTCTAAATAATAAAAATAATAATAATAACAAATACATCATAATTATAATAATATCAAGTTACCTTTTCCAGATGCAGCAACACCAATAATAGTAGATACACCCCATCCTTTGTGACACGCCTCCAAAGCAGCTCTCTAAACCACACCCACTAATCAGTTAATAATAATATAGTTAACATACCATTGTCATTACGTTACCAATACACTCAAAAGTGTAGTCACACCCACCATCAGTTAGATCCACGAGGACCTGCTGAGTTGGCTTATCATGTTCTTTAGGGTTGAGAAATTCAGTGGCACCAAATGACTGAGCTATAAATAAATAAATAAATGATAATAATAATAATCTTTTCCTCTTACCAATTTGCCGTTTGTCAGGATTAATATCAACAGCAATGATACGCTTAGCCCCAGCCTCCTTGCACCCCATAATGACAGCAAGGCCAACGGCTCCACAACCAAATACGGCAACAGTAGAACCAGGCTCAACTCCAGCTGTATAATAATATAGTTACTATTAATATTATGGTTAATAAAACCCCTCAGTACCAGTATTAATAGCAGCTCCATACCCAGTGGGTATGCCACATCCCAGCAGACAGATTTTATCCAAAGGAGCAGCTGGATTCACCTAACAACACTTGCCATAAGTCTGTCTCTCTTTCTCTCTCTTACTTTAGCGACAGATATTTCCGGCAGTACAGTATATTCAGAAAAGGTACTTGTTCCCATAAAATGATAGAGAGTTTTCCCATTACAAGAAAACCGTGAGGTCCCATCAGGCATAAGTCCTTTCCCCTGGGTAGCTCTGATTTTGGAGCACAAATTGGTCTTTGGGCTTAGACAAAACTTACAATTTCTAAAATAAAAAAAAACATTTCAAAATATTACATCATTACTAAACCCATGCCTGCACTGTGGAATGTAGAGTGGTATCACATGGTCACCAGGCTGCACAGTGGTCACGCCTTCTCCGATACTCTCGACCACGCCCCCTCCTTCATGACCAAGGACACAAGGGAAGAGTCCCTCAGGATCATGACCGTTAAGAGTATAAGAATCAGTGTGACAGACACCAGTGGAGCGAATCTATTTAGAGACACAATCTATTTATAAATTAATTATAATTTAATTATAATGGGCGGAGTGAGTCAATTACATTGAATTGATCAAATGTTAAAATCATTCATTCAGTTATTATTATTATTATAATCTCCTCTTATTATATTACCTGAATCCTTACTTCACCAGCTCTAGGTGGCTGCACTTCTACCTCCTCAATGACGAGAGGCTTACATGCCTTCCACGCAACAGCGGCTTTACACTTTATAACCTGAAGGAAGGAAAGGAAGAAATGGAGAAATAATAATAACAATAGTTATACCTTCCCAACTGTATCTGACATTGTTGTGTAGAAAGTATCTCTTTTCTCTCCAAAAACAAGTTATTGCCAGAAAATTAAAATACTAGACCAAAATAGTAGGAGCTAGTTATTAAAAATTCTGCTAGTCTAGTTATAAAAATGTTGTAGGCGTGGTCAGTTTGTATGTTAACGGGTTAAAAATATAAGTCATAATCATGTCATTTGTATCAGCCAGTGATCTTGAGGCTCAGAGACAGAAAAGGAAAGAAGAAAAGAGACAGTCGAGACAGAAGATACTCCATGAAGCTAAGGAGAAGTTCCTTGAGGAGAGAAAGAGACAAGAGCTGAAGAGAGAGAGGGGGGACGATGTGTGGGTAGCCCCAGGCGTCAGTAAAAGACTCAACCTTACGACAAAGAAACACAAAAAAGACAAAAAGAAAAAGAAAAAGCAAGAAAAACGAGAGAAGGCAGACGTCAAATCAGAGGAATCAGGAGAGGAAGAAGAATGGATTGAAAAGGAAGGGGAGGACGTGGGAATGGAAACTGAACCTGTTGATGCCACACCCACTCCTACTCCAGACATAGCTCTTCAAAGGGACGAATGGATGACACTAGCACTTGGACCTTCTCTATCATCTCAAAGGAGGCTAGAGGAACTGCGGAAGAGAACAGAAGAAGAAGAGGAGAAGAAGAAGGAGCCATTGATAGACCAAGCAGGACAGCACCCTTTGGAGTTGAACCCATATTGGAGGAAAGGAGGGACTGGGTTACCGGAACAATCTGACGTGAAAGAAGACAAGAAATCAACTCAAATTGGTGATGGTGGTCGTAGCTGGTTACTCCGATCATACAAGAGGGCATTGGAGAGGGCGGAGCAGGAGGGGAGGAGCATTGAAGAGATTGCAGCTGTACAGTGGGGCTCTGTTGATAAACTCCATGAGATGTTGAGGGAGGCTGGTATTGATCCTAATAATCCTGACGGACATTATAAAGGAAAGAGAGAGCTTTACTCAAGAATGGAGAGACACAGGGAGGTACCTTATGGTAGGTATGAGAGGGACTCCTCTCGTTATAGTCCGAGGGAAGATAAGAGAGAGAGAAGAAGGGACAGGTTTATAAAACCATCTTTTGAAGAAGGCAAAAGTACTGTATCACTGACGAATGATGAGTCATCAAACAGCTGGAGAAAGAAAACAATTCAACTTCCTACCTCTCTCTCTCCTCCTCCTCCTCCTACTGTACCTTCTGTACCTGATAAACCTTCATCTCTTCTCCCCTCTCCTTCCTTCCCCCCTCCTCCTCCTCCTCCTCCTCCTCCTCCTCTGGTCACCAGCACTCAATTGAATTCATTAGCTGCTAAAATAATGAAAGCTGAAATGTTTGGTGACTCTTCAAAAGTTGAGCGATTAAAGAATGAATTGAAACAGCTGCAGGAGCTAAAATCAAAACAAGACCTTGTTCAGCCAAAGGACAAAGACAGAACTACCCACCAGACACAAAGAGGGGGAGAAGAGAGAGGGGAGAAAGGAGAGGAAGTTGTTTTACTCACTAAGACTGATCGTCATGGCAATGTACGCCCCCTCAGTCGTCCTTCAAGATCTGGTTATGAGGGACCATTGTCCACTCACACTGGCAAAGGAAAGAGAACGAAATACTTTAAAGATGATGACACTCACTCATTGAAGTCTCTTTTAGAAGCCGAGAGGCTCTCAAGCTCGGACGACACTCAGGCTGCTATTCTTAAAATGGCCAGCAAGTTTGTTCCATCTTCATCGGACAGAGGAGATGAAACTGTTGATGATGTACTTGACACAGCAGCTCTTCACGGGAAGAGAAAGAAACAGCTGAAAGAGGAGGAGAGAGAGATGAGGAGAGCCATCAACGAGAACAAGAGAATGATGGACAAGTTGGACAGTTGTAGATTATGTTTTGATAGTTCTCAGTTTGAGAAGCACCTCCTAATAGCAGTTGGTATCAACGTGTATCTATCACTACCTTCAGTCCAATCACTAACTGATGGACACTGTCTACTAGTGCCTATGGAACACACTCAGTCTTCATTGCTCACTGATGAGAACGTGTGGAGTGAGTTCAACCTCTTTCGGAAAGGTCTCACTCGTATGTTTGCCGATAGGGACATGGACGTTGTCTTTATGGAAACATACACTTCATCTAAATCCCACTCACACATGATCATGGAGTGTGTGCCTTTGCCAAAAGAGGTTGGTGAGCTGGCTCCTATGTATTACAAGAAAGCACTGCAGGAGAGTGACCAGGAGTGGAGTGACAATAAGAAGGTTATAGATACCAGTAAGAAAGGTGTGCGTGGGTCATTGCCTGTGGGTCTGCCGTTCTTTTATGTTGAGTTTGGTACTGATGGGGGCTATGGTCACATTATTGAGGATAATTCTAAGTTTCCGCATTATTTCGGGAAAGAAGTGGCTGGTGGTATGTTGGACGTTGAACCAAGGCTCTGGCTGAAGCCTCACAGGGAAAGCTTTGAGAGACAAAAGGAGAAGGTTCTTCGTTTCTGTGAGTGGTGGAGTCCTTACGACTGGACTCAGAAACTAAGAGAAGAAGACAAGAGCAACGAAACTGATTAATGAATTATTTATATTCATTTATTGTGTTTGTAATACAAAAATAATTGCAAATGTTTAAAAATTAAGAGTTTGAAAGTGTTTCTATTTCTTCCTCAATCTCATGTCGTCTCTTAATCTTTTTGATCTGGTCTGGGTCCAACTTGGCCCCGCTCTTTCTCTTCTCCTCTAGCTCATCGATCTGCTTTAACTTCTTCCTCAATGCTTTCAGTTGCTTGGCAAGATTGGGTGTGGTCGTATCCTGTCCTGTGGGCGTGGTTAACTCTATGGGCATGGCACTGGGAGAATCCCCCGTATGGACACTGTCCAGTCCTTCAATAATCTCTTCTATTTCAAACTCTAACTCTGGCTCTTTCTCTTTCTTTTTTTGTCGTTTCCTGGCATGTTTCTTTTGATTCTTAGTAAGGGTGGGGGCGGAAGGAGGGTGGTCACCAGTCAGACCTAACATAAGGGACTCATCTGCATAATCCAAACCTTTAGAATAATAAATAAATATACATATTACACGTATAATGGCTGTCTTTACCAGCTGGTCTAGTAGGGACACTAGCTGCTTCTCTCTTAGCTCTTGTTTGGTAGGCTGGTACCTCATCTGGTGGTATGTATCCTTCCTTTACTCTTATTGCCTTACGCCACGTCCCATCTGGTCTCTGTGTCCCTGGTATGTAAGGCTGACCTGAGGAATCATACACTATGTTCTCACGCTGGAGCTTACCAGAGGTAGCCATTTTATTAGAGCCACACCTAAAATTTACGGATCCGTATACTTGCAAAATGGAAAAGCTTCTTTCACATGGAAGTGATGGAACACTGCTGTTCTTTCTCGTTAATGCCTCATTTTTCTAAAGGTGGACATCCACTATGCAACATTGCCTGTGGATGTACTGACCTGTTTATGCTACCTTTGCACTAGCCATAGCACTAGCTCTAGCTCTATGCACAGTAACCACGCCTACCTTTATTAGCTAGGGGTGTGGTTAAGGCCCTTATTATGGGGTGTGGTCATAGTTCAGCTAAATAGAGGTGTGGCTATAAATTCACTAGCTCCACCTACTTATACATCCTAATTATATTTTTTGTTTTTTTTTCTTTTTTTATTCAAATTTTTAAACATTGGCTCATTTTACCACTATTCACCCCATTACATGTAATAACGGAAAACATGCAATCAATCCTTACCAGGGTCCAGTCCAGAACAGTCAGACCTACTAGAGGGGGTGGGGGGTGGGGTGGAAGAACATGTGTGGATTATATTGTACATGCATAAAATACATTATAAACATGCATAATTATACAATATTAACTCTCATTCTACCTCACACTCAACCAACTTTAAACTTGATCCTGAGTCCAGTCCAGAACAGTTGGTAGGCCTACTAGAGGTTGGGGGGGGGGTAAGAGGAACATAAGTGGATTATATTGTACATGCATAAAATACATTATAAACATGCATAATTATACATTATTAACTCTCATTCTACCTCACACTCAACCAACTTTAAACTTGATCCTGAGTCCAGTCCAGAACAGTCAGAGGCCTACTAGAGGTTGGGGGGGGGTAGGAGGAACATGTGTGGATTATATTGTACATGCATAAAATACATTATAAACATGCATAATTATACATTATTAACTCTCATTCTACCTCACACTCAACCAACTTTAGGCTTGATCCGAGCCCCTCCAGAGAACATCGTCCTGTGAAGAAATAAAATAGAAAAATGTTTAAAAAATAGAATAAGTAAAGGTCAATGGGACAGTGCTTTACTATTACATGTAATGGGGTGAATAGTGGTAAAATGAGCCATTTATTATTAGCACTGTAATCAAGGTAATAGCATGCAGAAGATACATTGTTACCATACGCTGAAGACTTGGCCTTGATGCTGAAGAAGACTTGTTGCCTTAAATCTATGTAACAATCTTAATTTGTAAAAGGAAAATAGAATATAAATAATGATGCATATATGTACATGATAGTGTGCGGATATCATGAACCAATACTGAGAGAACTGCCTTTGATTTATCGATACAAGTAATGAACATTAACCTAAAAATATGATGTGAATCATTTCACAGATAATGTCATGATGATAATAATAATAATAGCATAAAGAATGACCCCATAATAATAATAATAAATAACATGTAAATGTGTAAAAGAATAAGGTGAGAATGTTATCAAAATGCCAGTGGAAAGGCAAAGAGCAAAACCACTCGTTTTCTCCATTACATGTATTTCTCACTCTTGCTTTGCTCATTGTCTTTACCAACTGACACTTAGATAAACTATTCCCTCTATTATTCATCACACACTCATATACACGAGCACTGTGTGTGTATATTAGCTTATCTCATTAATTATCCTGTACTCCAGACAGTATACAAGTGATGGCTCCTCCTATACAAACAAGATTTAACTGATCCTATCTGTCTCTTCCAACAGTTATACACTCGAGGTAACCTAGTAAGAGAAAGAAATAAGTTTTTAAAAAGCAAAAACTGACAAAAAGAGAGAGAGAGAGAGGAGACAATGGCTGCCTCTTGTGCTTCTTTCTCTTCTTCTTCTTGTGTCACCGCCTGACGTCAGAGTGTTGCTATGCAACCAGGACTTTGATTGCGCCACACCACGTGATAGTAACCGCCAGATATGCCGGGAAAACTAGTCACTCGAGCTAGCTGGCCAGCTGCCGGATCCACAGCTCCACCCACTTGATTTGATTTTGCAAAAATGCCAAATGGCAAAGGTCAAAGCATAGATAGGGGAAAGTGACCAAAAAGGATAATAATATAAATAATAAATTAAACTATACACTAGCCAAACAGCTGCTTCTTTGTATCTATTATTATTATTATCATTTAATTATTAGTTCCAGCCGCTGTTTTCTGATAGTGTCCTACTAGTATTTCCCATGCCTTTGGAGCCATGAAGCCATCAGGAGGAGACTGCCCTGTCCTAGCTAATCCTCTCATTTTAGTACCTGAAGCGTAAAACAATAAATGAAAATATCTACTTATCATTAATTATACCGGAAATAAATTCATAGTCTTCCTTATTGCTTGGATCGTAATATTCCATTTTTGATGTTTTCTTGTTGTAGGCAGCAACTCTAAATGGAACAACTTCCAACTCAGTCAGACCAGGAGCCATTTGTAACACCTGGAGAGAGGATGACCTCACAATCAACAATAATCAATAATTGCCTGTTTCCCATGGTTTGGATCATAAAGGTCAGTTTTAGTAGCTGGGTGTGGTATACCAGCTGGATCCCGACCAACGATGTAGAAATTAGCACCAGCAGCAACACGAGCCTTACAATGCCACTGGACCTCAGTAGGACCTAACAACAACGATAAACAATAACATTAAATAACAATAAACAACAACAAGGAGACCATACATACCTGCATACATCATAGGTGATGGGAATATAGCCAGGACAGTGTTCTCGGGTGCAAGGACTCCTTCCTCAAGAACAGCTAAATGTTGCTTGATTCTAACTTCTAAAGGAACATCATCAGACTTAGTCCAACCCCCCAGAGGGTGGAGGAGGAGGACAGGGTTCCTGTAACCTCTCTCAAGGAGCATGGCTCGTGTATCCTATCACAATACTGTAACCATGGTAACTCGGACCTAATCTTACTCTCATTAAGAGGGCGTGGCCATTATGTATTGGGTTCCTCAGTTGAAAGGCAAACACAGCGTCAGAGCCACGTCTCTTGAACTCAGTCCTCAACTCAATGGGGGTCAGCCTGTACTTATCTAAACCATCATTCCAACGTATCCGCTCTAAACACTCCAAGTCTCCGCCCACCAGCCAATCACCAGACTCATTAATCATCTATTAATTAATTAATTAATAGTAGGCTATGAATATTAATAGCTATACTTACGTTAATGTAAGGATGGTCAGGGTGTGTGGTACCAAACTGTCTGCAGCACCTCTCCTCTTTCCTGTGAGGGTAGAACTCGTTGTTCTTCATTACAGCAACAATAAGACCTTCGTACACCAGTGAGAACCCATTGCTCCCTTCAAGCCTCTTCTTATCCTCCTCAGTTACAGGAAGTACTATTGGTACTGACTGACTGAAGACACCTCCGTCTAACAATGTTGCAAAATGAAGACATTGTAGATACTCTTTCTCTCTCATGAATCCTTTTAAGGGAGAGGCCCATCCTTCACTTAAAACCTGAGGAGAGAGAGGTAGTGTATTATTAGTAGCAGTGCTATTAATGAAAGACAATAGAGTGAGTATATAGTGGTGAGTTTGGCAGGTAAAAGGTAACCTCAGTGAGTTATCATTGCAATCAAAACTATTGGATGTGGTGTGAAAAAAGGTGAGATACTATCACCAGATAAACATAACATGGGAAGGGAGAGGGAGAGAGAGGAAGAGAGGGAGGGTATTACCTGGACCCACTGTAGGTCCAGTTTCCCAATGTTAAGAACTGGGAGGGTCTCAGCCTCTTTTCTAACATCATCAATTACACTTGGAGGAACAAACAATTCCTTCACTTCCTCTTTTAGGTCAGGAGGGATGATTTTCTAGTAATGATTAAATAAAATAAAGTGTTGATTATCGTACATTATGATTCTTACATGGTTTCTAAGCATCTTGATGACCTCATCAACACATTGGTCAATACTCCATTCTGCTGACTTTAATACCAGATCAGGTTTCAATGGAGGCTCGTACTTGGAATCAATACCAGTAAAACCTGTATAGATAACAGGTATCACAATAGCAGTATGACAATAATGCAATCAGAAATACCTTTAATTATCCCAGCCCTTGCTTTCTTGTACAGTCCTTTGCAGTCTCTCTCCTCACAGACTGAGAGGGGAGTGTCAACAAAAACTTCAAAAAAAGAGAGGCCGGCTTTCTCGTGCAGTTCACGAGCTTGAACCCTGTCCTAGTATCGGAGGAGCTGAAGGGATACACTGGTCATTAATGTACTTTAGCATAAGGGGAAATGAAACTAGTCAAAACTATAATTCCAGCATCTGCAAATAATTTAGCAACTTCTGAGATTCGACGAATATTCTCTTCTCTCTCGGATGGGCTGAACCCAAGGTCTTTATTCAATCCTGTTGCAATGGAAATAAAATGTACATGTACAGTACATGTGCAGCAAGCACAGTTTAGATTGTATGTAAAGGTTATGCTAACACTAACAGGTTTGACCTGTTCCATTACCTGTCCTTATATTGTCTCCGTCCAAACTATAAGAGGCATATCCCTTGGAGCAGAGAAAGTCTTCAGTTCCAAAGCTCACTGATGTTTTACCAGCTCCAGAGAGACCAGTAAACCAGACACAGCAGCCATGAAAGCTTCCCTCGGGGCCTCCCCCAACTATCTCTCCTCTCTTCTTCCTTGTGATGTGGCTCGGCTGTTGGAACACGTTTGTAGAGCGAATCTTCACCTGAATTTGTAATGTTTTTAATTTGTTGTTGTTTATTATTTTGTTTATTTACCATTCCGTTTGTGTTTGGAGCTGGGACGCTGACAGATCTATCAAAACTACTAGTGCTTGCCATTGTTCCAAGAATTGGAGAAGAAATGAAGATACTTTTGTAGCAACTCGTTAGTGAATAGAGTGAAGGAATGAATAAAAAGGTCAATGAGAATGGAATGGGTGTGTCTACTTTGCTAATAACGTGCAGTGCATGTGCATATAAATGATATTCACTGGATCTGTATGATTACTTTTATCAAGAGTTATTATTGCTTTTATGTAATTGGTTTGTAATGGAACAAAGAAATGCAATGAAATACAATACTAACAATGTAATAACAATGATAATAGTAACAACTCAACATTGAATAATAAAATAATAAATAATGAAATGAGATGGTTAATTGTCGTCTTGTCTAATTGAAGGAGCAATTGGAATACCAGCCACACCCCTCACTAGCTCCTCCCCCTCCTCAGCCACACCTTTTTCTCTCTTGATTCGTCTTGATCTGTTCGGTTTATCTTGTCTGTACTGAATCATTTTAGCAAAGTCCACGACATAAGGGAATCCTGATACATATATTACAAATTGACCATCATCTTGATTGTCTTCATTGTTGATCTGCAGTGATTGATAATGGATCTCTAATTCTTGTCTCACTCTTTCTTCATATTCCCACCATCCTCCACTCTTAGCTTCGTAATACCAACACGTCTTCCTTCCCTCCTCCTCCTCTCTCTCCCCTGTCCCTGGTGGTGATACTATACAGTGTTGAGGGATTGCCTGCCGACAGAGGGCACAGACCTTTTGTCTTGCATAAACTCCTTTGATGCATAAGTAGCAGAAAGTGTGGCCACAGGGAAGTGTTAGTGGGTGACGACTCTTATCCTGACAGATTGGACACTTCATATCAAACGGTACAATATCTAACATTATAAATAACATCTTGTAAATGTATTCTATTTAGGCCTACCTTCTTTAATTTTCAATTTGCTCAAGTCTTTTTCTACTTGAACAACTCTATCTCCCTCTTTGTCCAGGGATTCACTTTTCCTCTTCTTTTCTTTCTCTTCTAAGCTTTTAGAGTCGCCATATTGTCCTTTTTTAGAGTTCTCACTGTCGGCCATATTAGAATACTGATATTCGGTATGATGGAAGTAATTCTATTTAACCGAGTAGGTGTGGTCACCTTAGTAATTTTGGATAAGTATCACCGTATTGGATCTATTTTAATTTAGCAAATGGGCGGAGCTTATTGTGTAATATTGAAGTGGCAGTGAACCCACAAAGACAACTCTTCTCTTGTTTCAAAACGGACACTCTCTTTCTCTCCCTCCCTCCTCTCTCTCCTTTCCTCAGAGACGAAGATGAGCAGCTTCTTTTTAAATATGTAAGTATCAGGATTCGTAAAAATGAAGGAGCCCGCTTTTATGGGAGTATTAATTAATTAATTAATAATTATATATGGTGTTGTTCATTGTATTACAGGCGTAATGTCTCTAAGACAGTTAAACAGAAGCGTCTCCCTGACGGATCTGCCGGTCATGACTTGCTAAAGCATGCAGCACAGACTTTAGGATCAGGTAACATCAAAGAAGCTGTCAAACTCCCTGATGGAGAGGACCTCAATGAATGGATAGCTGTGAACAGTGAGTATTATCTTATTTTAATTTATATATCTTGTGCTCTCTCTTTAGCTGTGGATTTCTTTAATCAGATTAACATGTTATACGGTACCATTACTGAGAAGTGTACTTCTGAGTCTTGTCCTGTAATGTCGGCCGGACCAAAGTAATCAAGAGAGGGCGGAGTTTAAATCAATAATATTAATGAAATTTGTGATCACTTTTTGTTGTGTCTAGAATTGGGAAAGAGAGTAGAGAGAGATAATGTAGTGGGGACTGGGGATATTCCTGTGGTGTTCTTTAGTTGTATATCTTGAGGGAGTTGTAATTACATATAATTGAGATTGTATTGACATGTAACAGGCCATGTTAATATACACGTATATTCACTGATACATGTAATCACTACCTCTTCTGGTTCTGTTGTCCATTGGAATGAAACAGTTTACATTATACTTGCTATACTTCTTGTACTACTAACTGTCTCTTTGAATTTTTTACTTTAATTGGTCATTTCATGTTCATGTACTACTCCCCCCTCTCTCTCTCTCCTTTCAGGTTTGAGTACCATTGGGCTGATGGTACTAATGTTAAGAAGCCAATAAAGTGCTCAGCTCCAAAGTACATTGACTACTTGATGACGTGGGTCCAGGAGCAGCTGGATGATGAAGCTATATTCCCCTCCAGAACTGGTAAGAGATATTTCCTTTTCATTATTTATTAGATTGTGTAATTATCGTTATTAGTTTAGTGTCTAATGTAATCAACACTATTGTTTATATTTTACTTTTGTGGTGTCTTTGATTTTGTTTTGTCAAATTGTAAAATGGTAGCATCCCACTTGTCTTTTTGATGTTCACACACACAACTGATCCGTGATAGTTATTAACTAATAGTTATTAATGTTTTGTAGGTGTTGATTTTCCTCGTAATTTCATCACGGTTGCCAAGACGATACTTAAACGTTTGTTTAGAGTTTATGCTCACGTATATCACGCCCACTTTGAGGACATACTCTCACTGAAAGAAGAAGTAAGAACAACAGCTGGATTAACTGGCTGACTCTTTTATTCTCCCCCCTCTCTCTCATAGGCTCATCTTAATACATCTTTTAAACATTTAATGTATTTCGTCCACGAGTTTAATCTCATTGATAAGAGAGAGCTGACCCCAATGCAGGACCTCATCGACAAAATGTTAAAATAAAGCAAATATTATTATTATCATTATTATTATTATTATTATTATTATTATTATTATTATTATTAGATATTATTTCTTGCATATCACTCTCTCTTTTATACACAAGCAGCACACATGTCGTGTGTCGTTATTATGAACGTTTGTCTGTTTATGCAAAATTATAAGAAATAACAATAATAATTGATCTGTCTCAGTTTCAGTGTCGTGTTACATTGTATGTGGTGATTAGTTTTATCATGTTTTGTCAATGATACAGATTTTTGCTCTGTACTATACTCAGTTATACTACACATTATTATTGTTTTTGTTGTTGTTGTCATTATTATTATTATTATTATTCTTTTGACGACACCAGGCCATAATGTTTTATGTTTCTCTTCCTCTTTCTCTTCTTGTAATTGGCCATTTTTAATGATTTATTATTATTATTTTTGTTAGTGACATAAGTGATGTAATATGACATAGCATTAATATAATAACTAACTCCACCCACTTTTATAATTTTTGGGCGTGGCTGAGTAATCAATATGGCCACTGATAGTACTTGTATTCATTGCCTGCCTTGTTCTGCCTCCCTCCTGGCAGCTCAGCGACAAACAACAAAGAAGACGACATTCACGAGTGTCTCCTTGGGGACACAAACCATTTTTAAGACAAACAGGGGCGTAGCTCTATCATTTTGCCTCCTTCCCTTTGTACTGTAGCTAGTCACGGGATTATTGATACAATTTGCTGATATTTCGCAGTTTCTTTCTTCCTTCTATCTCCTTCTGTCTCCTGCTCTAATGGCGACACAGGTTGCCAGGGGTAAGCTAGTTTTTGCTGCAGCTCTGCTCTGCTTGCTGCTGCAGACCAGCCCCGCCCATGGACAGAGTGAGTCCATTTGTAAATATTATTATTATTATTATTATTATTATTACTTTATTTTCTTCATAAGATAACAATTTACGTCCTTATTTCATTGAAACTGACATATCTTACACTGTTCTGGAAGACTTCAACACCAGTAAGGAAGGAATGGTCCCATTTAATATACATGTACATGTATATATATACAGTGTTAGATCTAAAAAATAAAATTTGTGAGATCAATCTAACTAATATCAGTAGACTCAAGGGCACCTAGGTTAAATACAAGAAAATAAGAGATTTCAGGAGATAATTATATAGACCAAATGGCACCTAAACTCCCTCTAGATCTAACAGTGGCTATAAACCAGTATATTCATATTATAAATCAGTATATTATCAGTATATTCATTCATTATTCCTCTCTTCCCTTCTTAATAGCGTTTCCTATTAATTCTGATAATCCACTGGAAGCCATTGACCAAGAGAATGATAATATCACGTATTACATACCTGATGGCATCAATGGGTATCTTGACTTTGAAATACTCACCTCAGGCGGACTAGGATACCTTTACTTCCAGGACTCTGTTTCTTTAGATAGAGAAGTATGTTAACAATAGAGATGAACAATAATGGGGACATTAACACAGCAACTATCAGTACAATAAACATCATGAGCATTCTAATAATTCTTCTAGTACCTAGGCTATTAAACATAATTTTAATATCCCTCCCTCTCTCTCTCTCTCTCTAGTCTCGTGCTACTTACAATGTTCGTGTGTTTGCAAGTGATGGTCAGTATCATGGGAGTGCAACTGATCATCATGTGGACATCATTGTCAGACTGAGGGATGTCAATGACAATACACCAGTAATAACTAACCTGGAACACACCATAGTTGTATCAGAGGTGAGTTGGCTTGATTATTTACATGTGCTTATATTCTTTATTATTATTATTATCATTATTATTATTATTATTATTATTATTATTATTGCTACAGGCCACTACAGCCAATACCCCATTGTTCACTGTTACAGCAACTGATGCTGATACTATACAAAATGCTATTGTTGCATTTCGAATATTTGCAGTAAGTTATTATGAGTTATATTAATTATACTATTATTAATTATTAATTATTATTAATTACTGTTGACTTCTCTCCCCCCAAGGTGTCCCCTTCTTCAGGTAGCAACAAGTTCTCTTTGGTTTCTTCCAGTGGTGAGCTCTCTCTAGCACAAACTCTGGACTATGAACAAGTTAAACAATACTTGATCACAATTGAAGCATACGTGAGTCAAATCAATTTAAACTTTTGACACTGACATTGATACTGATACTGATATTGATATTGATATTAATATTGCTCAACACATAGGATCTTGGTGACCCTCCAAGGGACAGTACAAAGGTGCTGACGGTAAATGTCACTGATGTTAATGATAACCCACCATCCTTTGGTCAATCAACTTATGCAGTGTCAATATATGAAAATACCACTAAGGTATGGCAGAAACACTGTGTCTAGTAATGATATATTTATATTATTTTAGGATACTTTTGTATTAAGTGTTTCAGCTATGGACATTGACACTATGATTAATGATAAGATTGTCTATAGTTTTAATCCAAGTAATAATAATAATAATAATAATAATAATAATAATAATTATAATAATAATAATAATAATAATAATAATAATAATGACAATACATTACTATATCACAGGTCCTCCTTTAATAAATGGTGTACCATCATTTGTGATTAATGATTCGACTGGTGATATATTTGTCAATGCTCCATTGGACTTTGAAGGGAACTCAACAGTATATTCCCTCACTGTCCAGGTTAGTTAGTAATGCATGTACATGAATGAATGAATAAATAAATAAATAAATAATTCTCTCCTTTTTCTAAAGGCCAGTGAACTCAATGATCCTAATATGAAGACGACAGTTCCAGTTGTTATTACTATTTTAGATATTAATGATAGCCCTCCAAAGTTTCAACAACAGCAATATAATAACACGATATCAGAACTGACAGGAATTGGAGCCGACGTATTGACTGTGACAGCCTCTGATGCTGACTCCGTAAGAAAGAGGGCAGAGTCTGAAAGGGGTGGAGTCAGAGAGAGGGGTATGGTAGAGGATGATTTATTATGTTCTTTTAGGGAGTGAATGGACAGTTTAATTTTGAGTTATTCAACTTGTTATCAACACCACTTCCATTTAATATAACATCCACTTCTGATGGAGCTGGCACTATTCAAGTTAACGGCTTACTTGACTATGAAGCATATCAGTTCTACCGATTTCAAGTATATTTTATCATTTATTTATTTATTTATTTATTTATTTATTTATTTATTTATTTTATTTCTTAGGTATTAGCTGTAGAGGTTGTCAATACAATGAGAAAGACAGGGACCACGACAGTCTCCATCAGTATCAGTAATGCTAATGACAATGACCCAATCTTCACTAAAGAGGTCTATACTGCTAGTGTTCCTGAAAATGCTGACGATGAATTCGTAACTCAGGTGAGTAATTGTCGTCATGGTAACGTTGCCTTGGCAATGCCATTACTATAGCAACCATTGCTCCAAATTATGTACATCCCATTGTTGTAGGTGATGGCCGTTGATAATGATTTGGGTAGTTTTGGTGTCGTCCATTATTCTTTGGTTGATGATTATGATGTGTTTGAGATAGCAAATGACACTGGAAGAATAACCACAACAGATTCCATTGATTATGAAAATGTTCAGAGCTACTCACTCACTGTAGTGGCCAATGATTCAGCAGCTCCTGTTTCAGCACAAAGGTTTGCATTTTAACATTATTATTAATAATAATAACATTATTGATATTATTATTATTATTAATAATAATAACATTATTGATATTATTAGGTCCCAGAAGGTTTCAGTGATAGTTAGTGTGTTGGATCAGAATGACAATGGTCCAGTTATTCGTGTTAATAACAGCGACACTGTCACTCACGTCACTGCTAATGTATCTGAAGGACTCCAGCCGGGCCAACTCGTGTTTGTAGTTGATGTAAGTTGTGCATTTATTATTTATTTATTTATTTATTTATTATTTTTACAGGCTACAGATGCTGATGCCTATCCTCATAATGTCCTAAGTTATTATTTATTATTATTAAAACCAGTTAATGACACGACTGAACCATTTGAATACTCAACTAGCGCAAGGTAAACAAATAGTAACTGATTATTATTGTTGTTATTATTATTGTTGTTATTGTTGTTTTTAGTAATCAGTTAGTGACTAATATTGTATTTGACTATGAAGAAGTCCAGCAGTACACTGTCCGTCTTTACGTCACTGATTACGGTCACCTTCTTGTTGATGATGATAATGACACTCTTGGCTCAGGAACATTCACTTACTCGTCCATTACTGACATACCCAGTGGCCACAGTGACTCCATTGTTGTCACTGTTAATGTTGTTGATGTGAATGATGAGGATCCTGTTTTTGAATATCCAGAATATAATTTTAATGTCACAGAAGAGCTACCTAATGGATCTTATGTTGGAACTGTTAAGGTTTGTCTTTATTCTCTTTATTTATTTTATTTATTTATTTAATTCATAGGCTAATGACCCTGATAGTGGACTGTTTGGTAAAGTTGGTTATTCATTGTCTGGCATTGACCATCAAAAGTAATTTAAATTTAATAGCATCAATGATTCATTGTATAATGAATTATACATATACATGTTCTTATGTTAAGTAGAAAGTTTGAACTAATTCTGATCAAGTTTGGAATTTTTATGAATTTTTAAAGTTGCTCTGAAATTAGACAAAAGTCCCTGTACTATAGCACATGGTCACAGGCCAAATTTTGCCAAAAATAAAAAGTGGAGAATTCTCCATTTTAATAATTTTTCCTGATACGTATAGATGTTTTTATGTTGTGTAGAAAGTTTGAGCTAGTTCCGATCAAGTTTGAATTTTTTATGAATTTTTAAAGTCGCTCCAAAATTGGACAAAAGTCCCTGTACTATAGTACAGGGATTTTGGTCAAATTTTGCCAAAAATTAAAAGTGAAGAATTCTTCATTTTTATAATGTTTCCTGATACGTATAGATGTTCTTATGTTATGTAGAAAATTTGAACTAATTCCAATCAATTTTGAATTTTTTATGGATTTTTAAAGTTGCTTCAAAATTGGACAAAAGTCCCTGTACAGGGATTTTGGTCAAATTTTGCCAAAAATGAAAAGTGAAGAATTCTCCATTTTTATAACATTTCCTGATACGTATACATGTTCTTAGCTGTGTAGAAAGTTTGAGCTAATTCCAATCACATTTGGATATTTAAAGTGTATCTATTTCTTTCTTTTTGTTAGTTTTTCTATTAATTCTTCTTCTGGAGTCATCAGTACAGCTGGTCCTATTGACCGAGAGACTAAAGACAGGTAATGGAGTCATTGATTAATCTTATTATTTATTTTATTGTTTGTTTGTTTGTTTATTTATTTATTTATTTATTTATTAAAACAGGTTTGACTTGATAGTGACTGCGTACGACAATGACCAGCTGGATCAGCACCGATCAACCACTGCCTCACTGACGATACTGATCAACGACGTTAATGACAATAACCCGATATTTGATCAGCCGATATATTATATCAACGACATCTTTGAAGATGTGACCTCAGTCAGTATTCCAGTTAGGGCCACAGATAGAGACACAGGCACTAATAAAGACATTCATTATGTGATATATGAGGGGAATGAAGATGATACTTTCACCATTAGTAAGTAATAATGATAATAATAATAATGATGATGATCATTATTATTATTATTATTTAGATTCTAATACTGGTGTTATTGGTTTGAATCCTGCAAAGGAACTTGACAGAGAGAGAATTCCTCAGTTTCATTTGACAGTACAAGCTATTGACGGAGCCCCGCCCCCTTACAACAGGACTGGTAATGCCACTGTTGTCATTGTACTTCAGGTAAATACATACACTGTACCTTTTTATCATATAATTAACCCCACCTACTCTTCATTAGGATGTTGATGATAATGATCCTACATTTTCAATGGCCACATACAATGTTAATCTGCCTGAAGATACTCCCACTAATAGTTTTGTTACCGTGGTGACTGCCAATGATACTGATTTTGGTGTTAACGGTTTGGTCAGATATGAACTAGTTCCGCTGACTAATCCAAACTTTGAAATACACGAGGGCACTGGGGTGATAACCAGCAAGAGAATGTTTGATTATGAATTGGAACAAAGGACGTACACACTCACAGTAAGAGGACCAGCTGTCACTAATATGCTCCTTTATTATCCTTTTATTCAGATAAGGGCACAGGATCACAATCCCTCTGTGGGGTCTCCAGGATATGCCAATGTTGTTATTAGGATACTTGACGTCAATGATAATTCACCATTATTCTCACCAAGTACTACACACTGTACTATGTATAGTCTATTATCTCCTCCCTCCCTCCCTCTCCCTCCCTCTCCCTCCCTCCCTCTCCCTCCCTCTCTCCCTCCCTTCCCCTCCCTCCTCAGGTTCCTATCAGGCCAGTATGCCTGAGGATGCTTCATCAGATGATTTGATTGTTAAAGTTAGAGCGACTGATGCTGATTCAACTAGTAATTCCGATATATCATTTGAAATTACTGACGTACAAACTGTTGGCTCTGTCACACCCACTGACGCTCAGGTAATTAATTATATTATAATTATATTATAATAATTATTATTATGAATTATATTTTAGGCTGATAATTTAACTGATTTATTCAGTGTTGATCCAACTACTGGTGATCTGTATCTTTCTACTGATCGTTCATTTGATTATGAAAGTGTTCAGATATACAATGTCTACATTGCTGCTGTGGATGATGGGAGCCCACAGATGAACAGGTTAGCTATATGATGTACAGTACTATAGCACATCAGTGTGGTGTGTGTGTGTGTGTGTGTGTGTGTTTAATACCTATCATTTCTAATAGTTCTACTGTGGTTACAGTCACCATTACTGACATCAATGACAATCCTCCATTGTTGTCTCATGAAGTGTACAATCTAACACTATCAGAATCAACAGAGACTGGGACACTACATAATTTATACATAACATACAGCGATATTGATACCGGTAATAATGCAGCTGTAGACTATGAGATTGAAGGAACAAGTAAGTACATGTATACATTATGATAATTGTACACGATCAATTCTTATCCATCTCTTCTAATTGTTATTATTATTATTATTATTATTATTATTATTATTATTATTATTATTATTATTATTATTATTATTCTTATTATTATTATTGTTATTATTATTATTATTATTATTATTATTATTATTATTATTATTGTTATAGGTTCATTTACCATCAGTCCTTCCACTGGTGTATTGACTCTTGAGTCTTCACTTGATTTTGAAGATGAACAGTCCTTAAATTTCTCTCTCATTATAACTAATAAAGCGACGCCCCTTTTGAGCGATAGTGCCACAGTGCTAGTGTATGTTACTGATGCTAATGATAATGATCCTGTCTTCATTAATGGAGTGGGTGGAACTCTAACCTTATCCATACCTGAAGGAAACTATACTCATAAACAGCTCTTTGATGTAAGATTTATTTATTAATATTTATTTATTAATATTTTTCACTATAGTTTGATGCTACAGATGCTGACAGTGGTTCCTATGGTAACGTCAGTATATTGATAACCAGTTCCAGTGCTCCTGGCACCTTCAGTATTCCTGATCCTTCTAACGGAGTGTTGTATGTGACAGGACTTCTTGACAGGGAGGAAGAAGATACTTACACACTAACTGTCACTGCTAGGGATGGAGGTATGATTCAATGCTAATGAGTCTATTAAAATCCTAACCTATCCCTCAATATAAACCAATCCACAATGCAGTGTAGTCATTAATGAAACTGTTAATGTACATGTACATTTATTCAAAGAGTGTCAATAATGTCACGTATTGTATTCTAACAGGGTCCCCTCCTCGGACTGATGCTGTAGCCATTACTGTTGATATTCTTGATATCAATGAGCTCCCTCCATTGTTCTCTGTTGGCTCTTATTCATACAACATTAACGAGAACCTGTCCCCAATGACTCTGCTGACAGTATCAGCTAATGATGATGATGAAGGACCCAATGGGACGGTGAGGTACTCTCTCAGTAATGACACTTATCTCAGGTAAGAGCACCTACTATCATTATTATTAGCATTATTATTGTTGTTATTATTATTATTATTATTATCATTATTATTATTATCATTATTATTATTATTATTATTATTATTATTATTATTATTATTGGTGTAGTATCAATGAAGTCACTGGTGTAATATCAAGCACTGGTCCTTATGATTACGAGTTAGTTACTAATTTCACTGTTAATGTCACTGCTCGTGATCTTGGTAATCTGTCATCATACGTACCTCTGACTGTTACAATTAATGACATCAATGATAATTACCCATCATTCAATGAGCCATCATATGGTCCGTATGAACTATCAGAAGATGCTTCCACTGGTCACATTCTAGTGAGAGTTGATGCCAATGATCCTGATTCCGGTCCTAATGGTGATATCAGCTATGTACTGGAGAATGGAGGAGGTCGTTTTAGCATTGATACTTCAACTGGTGATATCTCACTTATATCTAGTCTTGACAGAGAATTTGATGATTTTTATGCTCTAACTGTCAAGGCTTATGATCACGGATTGATTCGACTAACATCAACCGTATCTCTTAATGTGTCAGTACTTGACATTAACGATAATTCTCCTGAATTCCTAGACACTGACATTGCAATTCAAAATGTTAACGAAACAGCTCCTAACGGTACACTGATCATAACGCTAAGATCAACTGATCGTGATCTTGATTCAAACGGTACGGTGTCATACAGCATTACCTCTGGTAACAGTCTTGGTCTGTTTGGTATCGACACTGTGGACAGCGGTAGTTCGTACGAGGGACGGCTGAGGGTCACTGGTACACTGGACTATGAGACTCTGCCGCTGCTATACAACCTAAAGGTAACTGCTAGTGATAACGGACCCGCAGGGTATCAAAGATCAACCAGTACCAATGTTGTTGTTAGTATTATCAACATCAATGACAACAAGCCTAACTTCACTCAACCTTCTTATGTCTTCTCTGTATCTGAGGTATCTGGCCCTTCTACTTCAGTTGGTATAGTGCAGGCTAATGATGGGGACAGTGGGGTATTTGGAATAATTGCTTCATATTCATTTTCTTCTGATACACCAGCTGACATCACTAGTAATTTCACACTATCCAGTTCTTCTGGTCTAATCACAGTAGCTACTGGTGCTTCTCTTGATTATGAAAGACGCCAGGATTATAACTTTACTATTATTGCTACTGATAATGGTGGCCTGTCATCAGACCCAGTGAATGTATCTATTCTTATTATTAATTATAATGACAACGAGCCAGTCTTTAATCCATCATCTTACTCTGAGTCTATTTATGAGAATATCACCAATGGAACTAATGTCCTCACAGTAAGTACATGGACCCTATTGTATGATAATGGCTGACTCTCTCCTTTAGGTTTATGCTACTGATCCAGAGGGAACTGATGGCATATCATACAGTATAGTTGATGGATCATTCAATAAGTTCACCATTAATCCTAATACTGGGGTTATATCCACCATCAGCACACTGGACAGAGAGGAGACATCAGCCTACGTACTGAGAGTACAGGCCACTGACACTGGAGGCAGTCCACTCTCCGGATTCACCCAAGTATGTGTACCAGTAGTCCATTGTACCAGTAGTCCATTGTACCAGTAGTCCATTATTACCACTGTATTTCTCCATTAATAGGTTAGCATTACTCTATTGGACGTCAATGACAATCATCCATTGTTTGATTCTTATAATTTGGAGTATTCTTTACTGGAGACATCAGAACTTGGCACTACACTCTCCAATCCTGTTGCTACAGCAACTGACACTGATACTGGTGATAATGGACTCATTAGTTATTTCCTTGCTGGTGAGGGTATCCCCTCGGTCTTTAACATTAACATGACTACTGGAGTGATATCCCTGCAATCATCATTGGATCATGAATTGAAGGAGAACTACACCTTTACCCTGTACGCTAGGGACAATGGCTCACCGATGAGTCTCTATTCTGATAACGTAACCGTCATTGTGAAGGTATTGGATTACAATGACCACTCCCCCCAGCTGGAGTACACTATTTATAACAGAACAGCACCTGAGGTAAGCCGACACTAATGCATGTACTCCAGCTGGTATTACGGAGTGTGTGATGTACATGTACATGTATAGGATTTCTCTATTGGTGATCTGATCCTAAATGTCACTGCTACTGACGCTGATGAAGCTGGTCCCAATTCTAACATCACGTTTTATATATCTGAAGGTAACCATGACAACCTGACCCCACCCCTTACCCCTCCTCCTCCTCTATAGTTGAAGGTGTAGCTTCCTCCGACTCTCCCTTTGCTATGAACCCTTTCTCAGGGGAAATAACCACAACAGCTGCTCTTGATTATGAGTCACGCACTGAATATACCATCATCATAAGAGTACAGGATAGTGGAGTACCAATTGGAATAGTAAGAATAATAATAATAATAATAATGATGATGATGATGATGTTAATCTTCCATAGACTACAGGGACAGTGCTACTAACCATTACTGATGTTAATGATAACTACCCTTCATTCACAATGTCTTCTTATACTCACTCACTGCCTGAGGCCAATGCGTCCAGCACAATGAAGATATCAATACTCACTGTATCTGCCACTGATGCTGATGGTACTAGCCCCAACAACTTTGTAACATACAATATCACAGCTGGTAATAGTGACGACACTTTTGAGATTAACGATACCACGGTGAGGTCACATGACTGTCACATGATGTACATGTACTTGTTATTAATTAGGGTGAGGTATATGCCGTTAAGAGTCTGGATTATGAAACCACTCAGTCGTACACCCTCACTATAATGGCAAAGGATAATCCTCTACTGGCCAACCAGACCAATGTCAATGAGACTACAGTAAGTGTTAGTGTTATATCACATGATAGTCACATGATCCTATAGGTTACTATTAATGTTAATGATGTCAATGACAATGCTCCTGTGTGGCAGTACACGGAGAATAGGGTGGGGTCTTCTGACCTGTACTCGGGTGTGGTCTCTGAGAATCGATCCATTGGCTATCAAGTACTGAGAGTTTACGCTGTTGATCTTGATGAGTCAGCATTATATGGGACAGTACGATATACCATACTAACATATACTGGTTAGCAATGATACTGATGCTGATATTGATATTGATATTGATATTGATACTGATATTGATACTGATATTTGTTCCCTGTTTTTAGATGATTTTGAGATTAACGTTACAACCGGGTACGTGTACACTGCTCAAATGCTGGACTTTGACACTTTTGACATGTACAACCTCACAGTGGAGGCAGCTGATGGGGGCACACCCCCTAGAACTATAACAGTAATTAATAAATAATTATTAATCATTAATTAATAATCCTCCTCTAATTAGGCTGATATATACATTCAAGTAACTGATGAGAATGACATCGTTCCGTATTTTCTATCAAATTTCTACACTGAAACCATTTCTGAAGGTAAAGGATGCAATCAAAGTTTCAACTAACTAGAAAATGGAAATTTTGCAAATAGGCAGTAAAATTTCTTGGCTTGTCATTTAATCTGTAATATTGTTATTTTTACATTTCAGGCACTTCTATTGGCGAGCCTGTCATTACCCTACTAGCCACTGACTCTGACTCACCTGAGCTGTTCTATACCATTACTGATGGAAATGAACTGGACTTCTTTAGAATAAACTACACGACAGGAGTTGTGTATGTGAAGAACAAACTAGACAGAGAGACAGCAGAGAATATAGACATGATCATTAATGTCACTGATGGATTCTTTAGTGTAAGCCTATTTCTTGATATTTGATTTGATCAACAATTGTCTACTGCATGTATGTTGTTGTTATTTATCATTATTATCATTATTATTATCATTATTATTATTATTATTATCATCATCATCATCATTAGGATACAACAATGCTTCGTATTGTCCTAACTGATGTTAATGACAACCCTCCAATGTTCCAGAAGTCTCACTATTACACTGACATTAGAGAGAACAGTAAATCTGGATCAATACAACTGGTAACTAATACACACGTACACACATACAATAACCAGTCTCCTTCTCTCATGCAGTATGATTCTGATCGTAACAGCACCGTAATTGTAGCCATTGATCCAGATCAAGAAGACACTGCCAACTCGATAGTGATATTCAGTACTGCTGGGCCTTATAAAGACTACCTGGCTATTGATACACAATATGGGGACATTGGTAAGGAGGTTTCATGTACATGTACAATAGCCTCTCTTAATGGACACTCTCTTACAATAACTTTATTCTTTCATTTAGCGTCACTCTCAGTTGCTGGTGGAGCTAATTTTGATTATGAATCAGAGAAAACAGTTGATATAACACTCGTGGCATCAGACAGTGTCAACCCACCTCACAGGATGTCCAGCAATGTGACCATTACTGTTAATGTCCTTGATGATAATGATATTATACCATCATTCAAGCTATCCTCATACTCAGTCTCAATATTTGAGGATATACCAGTGGATAGTGTACTCACTGGAGTTGATATTGAAGCTGAGGATGAAGACACAGGCTTGGGAGGAGTGATAACATACTCTATTGTATCTTCAGATCCTATTCTCTCACAACGAGACTTCAGAATCAACTCGACCAATGGTAATTGTACATGTAAAGTATTTGATTTGGTACAAGATGTAAAAGTACATCACATTGTGCAGTCTAAGAATATGAATTAATTTGTGAATGCAATATCTTTTAGTATTAGAAATTGTTATACATCTTAAAGTATTCATCATCATCATCATTATAATTATTATTATTTATTCTTCTTCAGGTGATGTTACAGTGATTGGTCCGTTAGATCGTGAATCGACTCCAACCATTTCACTGACCATTAGAGCCAGGGACAGCATCACTCCTTTTCATTATTCTGATGTCATATTTCAAGTGTCACTGGACGATGTTAATGATAACATTCCAACGTTCAACCAATCAGTGTATCATGTATCAGTTAATGAAGACGATGGATCAGGAATCAGTGTTCACATCATATCACTGAATGCAAGTGATATTGACGTCGCTAATAATGCTCACATGAATTTCACAATTTTAACTCATACTGATCAGTTCAAAGTGAACCAGGATGGTAATGTATCGACCATTAAACCATTAGACCATGAGACTGATCCGATGATAGAGTTTGTAGTTCAAGTGTGTGACCATGGTATACCCATTAGGCTCTGCTCCAATGCCACAGTATCACTGACGGTACTGGATATTAATGATGGGGTACCTACCTTTGATTACACTCTATACAACACCAGTATATGCAATGACACTCTGTCTGATAGTGTGGTGCTTCATGTTTTTGCTATTGATACTGATTCTGGGTCCAATGGTCAAGTCCAATATTCACTGATCCCCGGGTCCCTTCCCTCTTATTTAACATTTTACAATACAACTGGTCAGTTTATCCTGGTCTCTGAGATACCTCCAAGTGAAGTTGGATCTGTTTATCATTTTGATATCTATGCTATGGACGAGGGACAGCCCCCTCTCTTCAGTAGTACAGCTGTTAGCATCACCATATGCGACAGGGAGAGTGAGGTACTTCATTTCAACCAGTCATATTATTATGGGGACCTGCTCGAGAATAAGGAACCTCTCCCCGTTGCCATGGTGATGGCATTAAGTCCCTTTGGTCCTGTTAGTTATGAGATTGCCCCTCCCACTAATATCACACTCCCTTTTAACATATCTGATGATGTAAGTTGTTGTTGTTGTTACTATTATTATTATTATTATTATTATTACTATTATTATTATTATTATTATTATTATTATTATTATTATTATTATTATTATTGACAGGGTGTAGTCAGTTCTACAGGGTCATTGGATAAAGAGGGAAGGGATCAGTATACGTTGATTATATTAGCTACTGATGCAGCTAGTCCACCAAACACAGCCTTTACTACACTCACTGTCATCGTTAGAGATGAGAACGACCACCCCCCCATGTTCCTACTGGCTCCATACTTCTTTGAAATAACTGAAGAAGAAACTGGAGTTGTGGTGAGACTTTAATGCAGTGTAGTATTATTTGATAGTTGATAATTAAACCACTTATTGTATCCAAAATCAAAAAATTAAAAATAGGAAAATAACAAACTTTAATAGAAAAATTAGCAAAGAGCTTAGCATGCAATAAACTGTCAGCAATATTAATAATATTAATGATCTCTCTCTCTCTCTCTAACAGGAGATTGGTAAGGCATTGGCTATAGACCCAGATCAGCCGCTAGCTGAGAGTGGAGTGAGGTACTCACTGGACCCGACCAGTAACCCAATGAATACGTTCACTATTGATGCAACCAATGGATCAATATTTACTGTGAAACCTCTGGACAGGGAAACCATTGACTCCATTGAATTAAGAATAATGGTAATTATAACTGACAGTTTAATGTTGAGTCTTATCTTATTTTCTTTTATATTAATGATAATATTGTCCCTTCTCTTCCAGGCAAGGGACCTAGACCTACAGGATCAAAGGGTTGAAACAGCTATTGCTTATATAACTGTACTGGACATCAACGACAACAGACCAAGGTTTGAATCAAGCAGTTATAATGTCTCAGTACCTGAAGACACACCCACTGGTATTGTGGTAAGAGCTCTCAGTATTGTGCATACTGTAATGCTATTCTTTATCATCAGATAAGTCGAGTTAGAGCTAATGACAGTGACGCTGGTGAATTCAGTAGAATCACTTACTCCATTGACTCTGGAGCAGAAGGGAAATTCACCATTGATCGTATGATTATCAAATAATGTTTAAATATAATTATTTTTTTCTTTTTCTCCTTCAGCTAATTTTGGAAGAGTGATAGTTGCTAGTGGTCTTGACTATGAAGAGGAAAAGTTTTACAATTTAACAGTTCGAGCAACTGATGGAGGTGGCCTGTCTTCAACGGCATATCTTGAAGTCCATATAACTGACATTAATGACTGCACTCCACAGTTTGATCGGAATATTTATTCAATTAATGATATTTTAGAAAGTGCTTCACCAGGTACTGCATGTTTCTAATAATAATAATTTTATTTTATTTATTTATTTTAGGGTTGGTTATTGTTGATATCAATACAACTGATTGTGATGATGGGGCCAACAAAATTGTAACATATTCTATTACTGGAGGTAATAGTTTTATTTTCTACTTATTTATTATTATTATTATTATTATTATTATTATTATTATTATTATTATTATTATTATTATTATTATTATTATTATTAACAGGTGACTCATCTGTCTTCCACCTCAACTCCAGCACCGGCGTTATAACGCTGACCGGATCTCTTGACTATGAGAAGAAGGACAGTTATCAGTTTGAGGTTAAAGCAATGGACAGTGGGTCACCCGAACCACTAGCTAATTTTACACAAGTAATAACCATTAATAACCATTAATAACTACTTATAATCATTAATAACTACTAGGTGTTCATCAGTATAAGTGATGTCAATGATGAATCTCCAGTTTTTTCAGGAGACCCCTATCAAGAAATTGTATCTGAAGTACGAATAATAATTTTATTATTATTATTATTATTATTATTATTATTATTATTATTATTATTATTATTATTATTATTATTATTATTATTATTATTATTATTATTATTATTATTATTATTATTATTATTATTATTATTATTATTATTATTATTATTATTATTATTATTATTATTATTATTATTATTATTATTATTATTATTATTATTTAGGACATTTCAACTGGTTTTATTATACTTACTGCAATGGCAGAAGATGCTGACAGATCAACGGATAACAACAGGATCACTTATGAGACAGTCACAGGCAATGAGGATGGTATGTAGCTAATGTTCTATAATGTACTGTGTGTCTATCAATGATCCTTTCAACAGGTAAATTTCTGTTAAACGCTGACTCTGGAGAATTATCAGTATTAAATTCTCTAGACAGAGAAGATGAAGACAGGTTATTAATAATTATTATTAATTATTATTAATTATTATTAAATATTATTAATTATTATTGACTCCTCCCCCAGATACGACATATTGATAAGAGCCTTTGACAATGGCTCACCTACTAGAACTGATTATGCTAACATCACAATCATAGTCACTGATGTTAACGATAATAAACCAGAGTTTATTGGATTGGACACATCAATAAGCATAAGAGAAGTAATAATAATTATCAGCTAATAATTGCCATCTATTTTAACCATGGACTGTAGTACAGGGCATTTCACTAAAAATTAAAAGGAGAGAATTTTCTATTTTTATATTTTTCCTAATACATATACATGTTCTTATGCTGTGTAGAAAGTTAGAGCTAATTCCGATCAAGTTTGGATTTTTTATGATTTTTAAAGTTGTTCCGAAATCGGACAAAAGTCCCTGTACTATAGTACAGGTATTTTTGTCAAATTTTGCCAAAATTGACAAGTAGAAAATTCCTCAATTTTATTACATTTCCTAATACATATACATGTACTTATGTTGTGTAGAAAGTTTGAGCTGATTCCGATGAAGTTTGGATTTTTTATGATTTTTTAAAGTTGCTCTAAAATCGGACAAAAGTCCCTGTACTATATAGTACAGAGATTTTTGTCAAATTTTGCCAAAATTGACAAGTAAAAAATTCCTCAATTTTATTACATTTCCTGATGCATATACATGTACTTATGTTGTGTAGAAAGTTTGAGCTGATTCCGATCAAGTTTAAATTTTTTATGATTTTTTAAAAGTTGCTCCAAAATTGGACAAAAGTCCCTGTACTATAGGGATTTTTGTCAAATTTTGCCAAAATTGACAAGTAGAAAATTCCTCAATTTTATTACATTTCCTGATGCATATACATGTACTTATGCAGTGTAGAAAGTTTGAGCTGATTCCGATGAAGTTTGGATTTTTTATGATTTTTTAAAGTTGCTCCGAAATCGGACAAAAGTCCCTGTACTATAGTACAGGGATTATGGCCAAATTTTACCAAAAATGAAAAAGAGTGAATTCTTCATTTTTATCATTTTTCCTGATACATATACATGTTCATATGATGCGTAAAAAGTTTGAACTGATTCTAATCAAGTTTGGATTATTTATTCTAAAAAGTTGCTCAAAAATTTTACTAAAATTGAAAATGGGAGAATCCTCCGATCATTATGTGGTACATTTCCTGCTCACATTAGAACTCCAGTAACACGACTGATATCATTTATGAAGTGTATGCTGAGGATCCTGATACTGTTGGGAGATTGATGTACTCTCTGTCCACTTTCACTAACATATTCTTCATTGGAGCTACCACTGGTGTCATCACCAGGTCTGGTATCATCGACTATGAACTGGTCAAGAGTTTTGAAGTAAGGACGAGTGTATTAGTATTTAGTAATGGGTTTTACCTGTCATGGATTAATTATTATTGTTATTATTATTATTATTGTTATTATTGTTATTATTGTTGTTATTATTATTATTGTTATTATTGTTATTATTGATATTATTGTTATTATTGATATTATTATTATTGTTATTATTGTTATTATTATTGATATTATTATTTATGACTAGTTACCAATACAAGTTACTGATGGGATCCACACTATTCAGGAGACACTGTTGATTAATATTCAAGATATTAATGACAATTATCCTTTATTCACACAAGTAACAATAATTATTAATGATATTATTATTTATTATAAATTCCCTAATAATAGTCTGAGTATTTTGCTGATCATCCTGAGGCCAGTCCTTCTGGTACCTCCATACTTCAGGTCACTGCATTTGATGATGATGACTCTTATAGCAACAAAGCCATCACCTACTATATAACCAGTAATTATTGTATAACAATAATGATGTTATTATTTTGTAACAGATTGTACCAACTGTGCCTTTGAAATAAATTCAACTACTGGAGAAATCACCAACAACCGACCACTGGTATGTAAATTTGTTTATTTATTTGTTTGTTTGTTTATTTATTTATTTATTTATTAATAGGACAGAGAACAAGGCTCCTATTATTACATAACTGTTCTTGCAGTCAATGATGATTCAAACTTACCACTAAGCACTAGCGCTGGTGTTAATATCAATATCATTGATATTAATGATCACGCTCCTCAGTTCAACGAATCAAGATATGAATCAAGTATCAGTGAACTGATTCCTGATGGCAGCTACTTATTGACTGTATCAGCTACTGATGATGATCAGCCTGATGTGAGTAGCATGGATCATTCTCTCATGAATCTTCTTTATATTTCATTTTACTAATAATATTTCTTTAGACTCCTAACTCTGAGATACGATACACCATTGCCAGTACAATATCCAACAATCCTTTCAGTTTGAATGAAGAGACTGGAGTACTGCTGGTTGCTGGTAGCTTTGACAGAGAAACAATATCTCACTATAATGTAAGGAAAAACCGTCATTATTATTATTGTTGTTGTTGTTGTTGTTGTTGTTGTTATTGTTTGTTTGTTTTTAGTTTACAGTTGAAGCTGCTGATAGAGGTAGTCCTGTGTCATTGTCCAGTTCAGCTGCCGTCATTATAAACCTCATTGATGAAAATGATCAGCCTCCACAATTCACTGAAAGGACTAACACGTAACTACCAGTTCCATTGTTCTTACAATATGCTCAATACCTTCCACTAGTGTTAGTGTAAGAGAAGACGTCAGCAGTTTCCCATACAACCTCTGGCAGTTGAGATACACTGACAGTGACAGTGATACCATCAACAGAGACTCCACCTACCACCTGATATCATTGATGAATGGATCCACTCCTATTGGTATTCCATACCTTCATTTATAATGATCATATGAGGTTGTGTTTCTAGATTATCCGCTAATACAGGTTAATGCTAGCAGTGGTATGGTCATGTTGATGGGGCCTCTCGACTATGAAGTCACTAAAACTATAACAGCAGTTCTATCAATTAATAATACTAAAGAAGGGGTGGGGTCACCCTGTGGCAGTGACGGAATTAATAGCAGTGAGTAGTTGTTTGTTTGTTTTTATTGTTGTTTGTTGTTTGTTGTTTAGTTTGTCCATTATCTGATACTGCTGTCCTTACTCTTAACGTTAACGATTATAACGATAATCCACCTGTCCTTAGACAATCCAGCTACTCAAGCCGTAAGAGATAAACACATTAATAATAATAATTAATATTATTGATTATTATAATTATCAGAGGTCAGTACTACAGCTAGAACAGGTACACAGATTGTACAGATAATAGCTACTGATGCTGACACTCAAAATGACTACGGGACAGTAAGATCTATTGCTAGCAATGGAACAGTCCAGTATTCATTATCCTGTAGGTAAAGTACAGTCTCCTAGCTGGAAGCAGCCTCAAGTTTCAGATTAATGAAGTTACTGGTTGGATAACAACACGTGGTACTTTCACTAACAATGATGGGGAAACCTTTAACATTTTTGTAAGAATTTATATTCTATTACTGGTCAATCTTCAATCTTTTTTTGTAGGTAAGAGCATATGATAATTCTGGGAGAGATCCTTCCTTCAGTGTCACTGCTACTGTGAGGGTGTTGGCCATCAGTGACTTTAAGAGAGTTTTATTATTATTGAATATACCAGCTGACACTGTCACTATAGACAAAGAACAGTTCATAGCAAAGTAATAATAATTAATAATAATTAATAATAATGATGATGATGACAATTCTCTATCTCTCTCAGTACCCTGGCTAATCTCACCGGTTACAATATAGTAGTTGAGGAAGTTCGTGGACATATTTTAGGAGATTCTGGAGAAATAGATTCTTCAAAGTATCTTAACAACATTCCCTCTATCACCTTTTATCATCATCGTCTCTCTCTAGAACTGATTTCATATTCCATGCTGTTGATCGCTCAACTGGTGAAATTGTTGACTTTGACGTGTTCATAGCAAACCTTAATGTTGATGAATTCTTTAGACTCATAGAGGCCTGTGAACCTGTATCTATAACTGTAATAAATAAATAAATAGATACCGTATATTATTGTTTGTTCCTCAGTCCCTGCAGGTTCAAACTGATAATGAGCCAGTGGAGACCATAATGATATTCCTAATGGTCCTCTGCTTCATACTCATCATTGGAGCATTGGTGACACTAGTGCTGGCCTGTCAACAAAGATATATGTAAGATTTATTGTATTTTATTAATTAATTTATTTATTTATTTTATTCAGAGCTTTACGTGCATTAATGAAGAATCAGGTACTTGATGCCTTTTATGGTAATCCTGACCCCTCCCTTTTGGAGGGCGGGGTCATGCCACGAGACTTCTCTGGAGAATCCTTTGAAATGAAAGGGTAATAATAATAATAATAATAATAACAATATTAATATTAATTAATTAATTATTATTATTAATAGGAGGATCACTAAGAATACCCTCTACACTGATCCTTACTTTCAAATGAACCCACTGGAGACAAGCGGAGCCGCTTCTTCAGTGTAAGCTATTAATAACTATTAATAAACTAACCTTTACTATTAATAACTATTAATAACTAGTGGTGATGCGTCCAGTATGGCACAGGACAATCCCTTATATGGTGAATATGCTGATGAAGAATTAAGAGTTGATTTATTCCAACCTCCTTCCGATGATGAAACTGAAGGTACAGACACTAATATTAGTTATTAACTATACACTATTAATAAATATTAATTATTAACTATACACTATCAATCATTAATTATACACTCCGTCCCTCCCCCTCCCTCAGGTGATATTGATGAGGGTCGGTTGCTTCATGCTGCCATTCATGAGGAGGAAGATGATGATGATGATGATTCCGCCACTCTTATTTAATTAACTTGTTATCACATGACTGTCACATGTAGACATGCATTATTAGTTTATATGAACACACACATTAATAGTATTATATAATCTTTTGTCTTATTTTTATTTTTGTCCTTATTGTTATTATTAGTTATTTGCTATCCTTTAAATTAATCTATAATGTATAATACTTTTCTTCCTTTTCAATTTTGGTATACTATAGTACAGGGACTTTCGTCCGATTTTGGAGCAACTTTAAAAATTTATAAAAAATCCAAATGTGATTGAAATCAGCTCAATCTTTCTATTCAACATAAGAACAAGTGTATCAGCTTGTAAAAGTGGTCCTTTTAAAACAAATCAAATAATAAATAAATACAATAACTAGCTCATAGTAAAACTCAAGGAGGTTCAAGAGTTATTTGTCGATGAGTTCCCTAATCTCACAGTTTCCATACATCCTGTTGGAGGCCCTGAACTCGTTAGGAGGTAAACCAATAAAGAAGGAATGGATACATTGACATGGATCTCCATGTGAGACTAGCACAATCACTAGATCCTCATACTCTGTATCATAGTCTTTAATGACTCGTGTTAATCTTAAGGTCATTGAAGACACACTCTCCACTCCATTAATGGCTGAAGTTGGATCTAATTCATCACTCTTCCACATGTCATGAACGTTACTAACTGGAGTCAACTCTAGAGAACCAAGACCCCTCTCACGGATTCTAGGCTCAAATTTGATTGGACGCTTAAGTTGCAGCTCTGAGTGGAGTATCTCAGCTGTCTGACGTGTACGTAGAAAATCAGAAGAAACTAATTGAATTTTATTAATTTCTTTATCACTGAGGAGTGACCTGAACTGAACAGCAGCCTGGGGGTACAGGAGGGAGTAAGTGGTAGATTATAAGTCATTCAATACTTGTTTAGCTTGTTCTTTCCCTTCATCAGTGAGTCCATATCCATCCACTCCATTGGCTGGATCAGATACCAGTACACCTTTAACGTTACTCTCAGCCTGTGGGAGGAGTGAATCAGAGGAGGTATTCCATTCATTATTATCATTACCAGTCCGTGTCTTATGATGAAGAACCTGTTGCGTAGACCAGAAGAAACTGCTCCAGTACTGTTAGAGGCCATGTTGCACTTGCAAAATCAGTTGATGGGTGGGGCTGATTAGAGTTGATGGGTGTGGTTATTGATGATGTTCACAAGAAGGTTTTATAGATCTAACCTGTAAGATTACATCAATATTATTATGATAGTATATAATTATTTTTATAGTTCTAGAAGCATTTATTATTTATTAAGAGGTCATTCATCTTCACCAGCTGTACCATGTGTGACATCAGCCAAAGCTCCACCCACAGGCACGCCCACAATAGCTCCAATTGCAATGATATCCTTATTAGGTAATCATGATTTAACAAATCTTGTACTGTGGGCATTAAATAGGAATATTTAAGCGGGAGGAAGAAGAGGAGGAGGAGGAAGAGGGTGCGGTTCCGTTATCATTCAAAATATTGTATTTTAAAGCTAAAGTAATTATATTAATTAATCAATTAATTAATTGATTAAATATAGTCGTGTATATCTGAGGGTGATTATAATTCTGCTGAGTCAGCACTACATAACGGACTTCACATACTTCAATTATCAACTTATTCAAACACACGCCCATTTATGGAAGCAATGGCTGCTACCACTTATGAAGTGAGAGAGAGGGAGAGGGATAGAGAGAGAGAGAGAGAGAGGGAGAGGGATAGAGAGAGAGAGAGAGAGAGAGAGGGAAACAGAAAAGGGAGAGAGGGAAACAGGTTCATCTATCATGAAAGTTATTATAACCACATGTGCATGTACAGTATAATAATCTCATTAGCATTGTTGTGTGTATGTTTATTAGTTGGGAGAACTGTATGTGATTAGAAGAGATTGGGAAAAGGTACAGTGTTTATTTTATGAATATACACATGTTCCATATTAATATATCATTAATGTAACCTCTGAAGGCTGTCAATAGCTATACAGAGACGATAAGGTTGATGACTCTGTGTGATATTTCACTGGAAAATCCTCAAGTTATTGAACTATCTTTAAAAGTGGGAAAAACACTTTGTAATAAGAATGAGTTGAGTTTATTCTGAAAGTGCACATGATGAATTGAACCGTTTATCTTTTGCAGTTACAGAGAAGCTGAGAAGACATTTAACTTTACCCTCTCCTCTGCTTTGAAACTCGTTGATGTAGATCCAAGTGATAATAAGTAATAATTAATAATTGATGATAATAATAATAATTTTAAATTTATTTTTAAAGTGTTGCTCTACTTGGCATGTGCTATCAAGCTATTGGACAGTTCTATCTAATGTCCAATGACTTCACCAAAGCTATGGGATATTTTAAGAAATCGCTAGAAAAGGCAAAAGAGGTCTATGGCGAGCGAGACAGTCAAGTGGCCGTACTGATGAGTGACACTGCAGCTGCTCTACAAGGAGGAGGCCATTTTGAAGAAGCAGAGAAGATGTGTCAGGAAGCAGTAGACATGTTACTTGATGTAGGCCCACCACACGATAATGAACACCTAGCAATACTCCTCATGAACTTAGCTGCTCTTAAAAATGACAATGGTACTAGTATAGTACATGTATAAAGTGTCATCATATTATCCCTGTGTTTGTGTGTGTATACATAGGGAAGAAGGAGGAATCAATGGCTGTGTATAAGAAAGCCTTGAGCTATTCAAGATCATTGCCTGATCAATCGATTAGTAAAGAAATAAGAAGAAGACTGACTTTACTCAGAAATGAGACACAACAGAAGTAGAATACAATCAACATGTAACTGCATGTGTACATTTTATTTTCATTAAACATTATTTGAACATTTAAAGTCATTATTTTGTAAAAAAGAGCTCTTATACAATTCATTGTGTAATAATGTCAGTAATAATGTATAGGAAATGAGATATGCCAAATGGATTTGGCTACTAATTAACTTTATCTTGGCTTTTGGTAAGGACATGGAATGGAGGAAGACTGATGAGGAATTCATGACAACACACACACACACACACACACACACACACACACTTTGAGCTAATGTACAGTGACCAGTGTCTGTGTGTGTCAGTAATGTAATACCTGAGTCTCTTGATATCTGCCCTTAAAACCATAGACTTATAATGAATGAAGATTTGCTAATAATAACAATAATAATGCTGGACCAGTATATGATGTATGAATAGTGTGGCCGAGGGAATGTTGGCTTATGGACTGGTTTCTGTTTATCATAGTCCTCCTATCAGTTATTATATACATGCTTTACTGTTGATGATATCTTAGAGCTACTGTTTACTTTCATTATGACCACATTATCATTGCAGTTTCATTTCTAAAGACAAAACTAACCCAATGTTGACCAAATGCTTTACAGTTATACTATCATGAGACCTCCATTCATTACAGTAGCTGACATCATGAAATCACAATGAATGGCTGGTTGAATGTACTCTAGTAACTGTTCATCATTTTAATTAAAATAATAACATTATTACTGATATGCTAAGAGTGCTTGGTGATCAGTTTATTGTAGAGCAGCTAATGTGTCCTAATGGTAAACTGAAGGCAGAGCATGTATACACTGAGAAGAATAAACAATAGCAAAGGATGGAAGGAAAGGCTGAGGGCGGGGAGGGAGTTTTTGGAGTCTAATATATTGTAATGTGTACTGTAGGCCATATTGAATGTTGTATGTGAATGTGGTTAGTTATGAGAAACACTGAAATAGAATACAATGAGATAGTTTAACAATCAGTGAATTCTCCATAAGAAATAACATGCATCAATTTCAATATGTAACACAAGCAAAGGATATAAAGAGAGTGAGCAGCTCTACAGGGTACAGCAAGGGTCTTGAGGTGATTCAAGAGGCACTGTAGATTGGGCTTGGTCGGCAGATGAATAAAAGAGATTAAGTTTTTGTCCTTTTTCAAAAGAAGACACTAGCTTGATGCAACTCTTAAATCTGCTGTCCAGTCTTAATCTACAGGGCAGACAGTCCTCAGCAGTTCCATTAGTTGATGAAACACCATTAGAAGTAAGTACACAATAGCAGTTTGACTCTATTGTCTGATGTATACAAGTACAAAATGAATGGACATTGGAGCCACCAGTACCAGTATCATAATGTACTGGAGGATCATGTACAGTGGGAGGATAATTAGTGGGTGCTAAGCAAACATTTGAAGCATTAGTCAAATGTGTATATACAGTGAAACACAAACAAGCTAAAACAACAAAAACTGATGCTTTAAGAACTAATACACTTTATCTTGCACCCACAAAAACATAAACATGACAGTGTATTCTTTTAAATTGAAACTTATTTCATATTCTACATGTTATGCCTATACTGTCATAAGTTGATGTGCTTGCCATATATATTGAACTTTTTCCTGTTGCAGCAACTGCCAATATAAATAGAAGCAATCCTGACTTCCTGAAGAGAGAGAAAGGCAGTATACTCAATTACTAGAGATAGGCTAGTTTACTACAGGCAGCCATTTAGCAGCTACACACTATCACTCACACTGCCTGAGCAGTGAGTCAGTAGTGTATTCCAAGAATGACCTGATGAAACAAAGATTGAGTAGTTGTATATCCTTAAAGGTTGACAAGAAAGGAACCAGCTAAAGTTGATGTACTATATACTGACATCTTTCCATATAACAGTGAGGAGGAGGCATGAGGTGAGAGTTGAGTATAGCAATAAGCTGCTGCATGCTTTCAACTTGGCTGTCTTTTGTTATAATATTCTTTTGTTGTATACAGGAAAGGATCAGCTAACTGTTACACAAGTTAGTCAGTGCTGTCTGTCAGTTAGTGGTATTAACAGTTAGTGAGATGAAACAAGGCTAGCTCCAGCTTACAAAGGAATCTACTCTTAGTCCAAGAAAGAAGACAAAAGTAAGATATTATGTCTAAACTATATGATTTATAGAAGAAGCTACTGACAACTGGTGAAAGGTTACTGGTGAAAGGCTACTGGTCAACTGGTCCAAGGTTCCTGGTAGCCTATAGAGTGTCCATGGGTTGTAGATTGGGCTTGGTCGGCAGATGAGCTATTACATACCATACTGATACTATACTGGCCTACAGTGTACAGTATCAGTCAGTGGTGAATCATCTGCTGGTTGAGTCCAGTCTACAAACCAGTCACTCTACACTCAAGGTCTTCTCTTTGTGATGTGACATGATGTCCTTCTTTCTTGAGATAGTGGATTTCCTGTAAGTTATTGTTGACATTTTACAAAATAAAGAAGTTCATATTTAAGGAAAATAAAGTGACTTAATGCTTTGGATCAAAAGATAAAAGAGATTTCAGTTCTTCTTTGTTGGATACACAATGTACATGATGTGTATAGTACCATTAACCTCTCCCTCTCCCTCTCAGTGGTGCTGAGAGTGAGAAGGAGTAATCACTTGATTTGATTTAGATCCTTTAATCATTCTTTCTAGTGAAGTATCTTTCATTATTCTTTGTGCTGATATTTGTATTGTGATGTAGAATGGGGACAAGTGCCGGCCAAGAAAAGGTGGATCAGTCACTTCATTAACAACCAACACATAAACACCTAATAATAATAATAATAATAATAATAATCAATAATAATAATAATAATAATCAATAATTTAATGAATTAATAATAATAATAATGAATATTAATTAATCAAATAAAATAAATTAAAATTAATTATATTAACCTGCTGGGCAGAAGGTGTCTCGTTTTGTATATTGCAGTTTTTCTTTTTCAGTCATTTTAGTTACATGTAGTTTAGGCCCTGATGTTGCTCCTCCACTCTTCTTAGCTCCTCCTCCTCCTGCCACACCTCCTCCTGTTTTTCTTTTATCAGGTGAAGTAGAAGACCTTCTCTTTCCAGAACTATCAAGAGCTGCTATTCCTTTACCCTGCCCAGTAGCTCCTCCCCCTGCCCCGCCCCCTCCGGTATTAGAGGGTACTTTTGGTACACTCTTTTGCTTCCCTTGCTCCTCACTGGGAATGGAGGCTGGAGGGGGCGGAGGAATGAAGAGTTCTTTAAACAGTATTTTCCCTTCGACACTTTTAGATGTAGAAGGAGTAGCGAGAGAGAAGAGGAACTGCTCCTCAGGCGTCATTGAGGAATCGGTTCCACTTATCTTCTTGTTAATTACAAATAATGATTTAGTACCTGGTCCGCTAAAAGAACCACTAGCGCCTGTTTGAAGGAGTTGTGGTGTCATTGAACTGGTCTGGAGTCCACCTAAAGCTCCTCCCACTTCCTGTCCGGGTTTGTCCTCACTAGGGGTAGGGGGGACTATGTTAACGTGTTCCGATGGATCCTCCTCCATTACTGACACTTGATCAGGTATATCCTCTTCACTGGCCGAGAGGTACTGAGGTACTTGTAACAAATCATAAGGAATGCATTTGCCACTGGAAGAGAAGAGAGGGAGAGAGAAAGAGAGAGAGAGAGTGAGTGAAAAACAAAGCTAAGTTGCTCTAAAATCAGACCAAAGTCCCTGTATTATAGTACAGGGACTTTGGTACTTATGTAGAAAGTTTGACAGGTGCTAATGATACAGAATAATGACAATTCTCTCTTACACTGGTGTTGCAATATGTGACGTGTTCTTGAGGAGTTGAGCTACAGAAACTGATGAAGACTTTGCCTTCTTCATACTACTGAAGTCAGCCAGGGCTGTAATGGAGAATGTCCTCCCACTGTCTATACATAAGAGATACATCAGCCATTATTAACTGGTGGTATAGTGTTCTTACCAATGGTGATGTGTTGTCCGGAATCATCAATACACTTTAAGCTAACGTCAAAGGTCTTTCCCTGCTCGTGGTGCAGGTGAGTTGGGTTCTTACCCTCCAGTATCAGTCGTGTTGTCTCAACTAAACAAGAACAAACAATAACAATAAACAACAACAATAAACAACAACAACAACAATAAACAATAACAATAAACAACAACAACAAGTTACATACTTTCAGGGTACCCATCAATCCAGAGTCCCTCGTAGAGGATACCTGAAGCATGAACCAGTGACCCATCACCATGATACCTGTTCCCTCTCCATTGTCCCTATACCATACAACCAGTGACCATTCTACCAGTATACCAGTATACCTCATATACGCTCCCGTCAGTATAGCTCATTCGACCGTGACCATGTCTTGTGTCATAGACCCAGCCTCCTTCATACCGATCCCCGTTACTAAGGAAACGGTTGTCAAGGTAACGAGGGGGAGGTGTCCTTACCTGTAGGTGAGAGTCCCTTCTCCATGTTTCTTGTGATTATGAAACTCACCCTCATAGACTGACCCATCCCTCTCTATCAATACACCATGACCTAATTAATAATAATTAATATAGGCTCCACCCACTACATTAATTACCGTTCCTCTTATTGTCCTCCCATTCTCCCTCATAGCTCATTCCATCACTTGATCTGTACAATCCTTCTCCATTAAACTCACCACGCCTGAACTCACCTATCATCAGCTGATGGGATCAGTTACATTACATGGTAAAGCTATACCAGTGTAAGTGGATCCATTAGCAAATACTCTGTATCCATGTCCTTCTATCTCTCCAAGGACGAATGATCCTTTATAATAGCTACCATCAGCCATACTGAGGGTCCCGTGACCTACAGGGAGGGGGAACAATGATTTAATGGTCCTAGCTCCATTAGTCTTACCATGCTTGACTCCATTCTCCCAGTCCCCGCTGTAATGAAAGAACTTGTTAGTATAACTGTATTCTCCTTTACCTGAAGAGGTATGGTTTGAAGGTGATTAGTAACAGAAGGACTCACCATGACGGAGCTGATCCTTCTTATCCCCTATGTACCTGTGGGTAGCCATTTTATTTATCAGATTATGAAATTACAGTTACCATGACTACACGAATAATTAGAAACTGATTTCTATTTCACATTAAAAGTAGATTGATCGCATTAATAAAATAAAACAATGACGATACAGAATAGTAATTAATGCTTTAGGCATTACTGACAATAAAAGCTGAGACTAAAATCCATTAATGATAAATAAATAAATAAATAAATAAATAAGTTAATTCAGGACATGACCTTCTTCTTCAGCTCTTCTTTATAAGACTGTATATCACCCGCCCACTTATGGATACCTTTACTCTCACACACCCATATCTCTTTAGCAACCTAACACAGAAACAACACAATCAATAGTATCAGTACCAGTCTCTGTTAGATGTAGAAATAAATTTTGGGAGACCAAAAGTCTCCAAGATCTACCAGTGATTATTATTATTAATAATGATTACCTGACTGATTAGTCTGAAGTCATGGCTGACCAGTACCATTCCTCCTTCAAACTCATTGACAGCATCAGCTAAAGCATCAATGGTTTCAATATCAAGATGGTTGGTTGGTTCATCCAGTAACAGTATGTGTGGGCGTCTGAATGCAAGCCAAGCAAATATAACCCGACACCTTTGACCATCCGAAAGATTACGCAATGGACACACCTACAGGAGTGTTGATAAGCCACTCCTATAAGCCATACCAACCTGTTGCTTTCCTGTCAGTCCGTAGCGGCCAAGAGCTTTCCTCATTTGCTCCTCCTCCTTCTCCTCAGGATAACACTTTAGCATGTAGGTCAGGGCAGACTCGTCCATATCCAAATGATCCTAATTAAAGAGGTGTGGTCAGTAGGTGTGGCCTAGTATCATTACCTTAAGATGCTGATGATATCGCCCGACCTTAAGATGGGCGTGTCTCCTTATGATGCCATCAGTTGGTACCAGTTCCCCATCAATCAGTTTGAGGAGGGTAGACTTACCAGCCCCATTAGGACCAACCAGAGCTACCCTCGTCTCCAGGTCCATCCCAAAATCAATATTGTCATAAATGAGGGCCTGAGGGGACCGGAGATTATAAATACACCCTCAAGGGTTCTGATACATACTTTATCGGGTCCGTATCTAAAGCTGACCCCCTGTACCATTATTACAGGAGGGGGGAGTGACCCACAGTCAGGGAATGAGAATGAGACCACCTTATCAATAGAAACCTTTTCCGTTAGACCTCCGGCCACCATTTTACTGAGAACCTTCTCTTTACTTTGAGCCTGTTTAGCATTACTACCTCGACCAAACCGAGCAATGTAATCCTGAGAGAAAATAATAACAAAATTAATAATCAGCATCTTTACTTTCATGTGCTGCATTTGCTGTTTCTCCCACTGATATCTCTTCATCTGATGCTCCTCCAATTCAAACCTTGTCTTCACATAAGCATCATAATTACCCTAAACAACAACAATAAACAATAAACAACAACAATCAACAACAACAATAAACAATAACAGTCTCACCCCATAATAGTAGAGTCTTTGTTTGAAGAGGTGGATTATGTTGGTACAGACTCCGTTGAGGAAATCCTGCGAGTGAGAGACTAGGACTAGTATCCTCTTGTATCTAATTAATATTCATTGATAATAAACCACACCCACTGACACGCCTACCTCTTTAACTCCTCCTCTAGCCACACACAAGCCTCAAGGTCCAGGTGGTTAGTGGGTTCATCTAAAAGGAGGAGGTGTGGTTTCACAAAGAGTGCTCTGGCCAGAGACACTCTCATTCTCCATCCTCCGGAGAAATCCGAACACTTCCTGTGCTGCATCTCATGGGAGAAACCTATAGTGGGGTGTGTCAGTAGGTGGAGTCATTAGTTATTTAAATACCTAATCCATGTAGTATCCTCGAGGCTTTAGTCTCAGCAGTGGATGCGTCCAGTTCATCCAGTCTCTCGTATATATCCATCAGCCTCTCACTGTAAGTGTCACTGTCTCTCTTAGAGAGTTCATCTGCTTCTTCTTCAAGACGTATCCTAAGTCACCATGACAACAGTTACTATAGCAACCGCCCCTTACCTCTCCTCGTCGACCTCCATCACACACTGGAGTGGAGTCTTGTCACTGGAGGGCATCTCCTCCGACAGGTGGTATATATCAACATGAGGAGGAATGTCTACCTCACGTAGACCAAGAGACGCTAGGAGAGAGGACTTACCTTTTTAGGAAAGAGAACAGTACAATAATAATAATAATAGTGTCTAACATGTACATATACACGTTTTTATGATCTATAGAAAGTTTGAGTTGATTCCAATCACATTTGGATTTTTTATGAATTTTTAAAGTTGCTCCAAAATCGGACAAAAGTCCCTGTACTATAGTACAGGGATTTTGGTCAAATTTTGCCAAAAATGAAAGGAGAGAATTCTCCATTTTTCCCCCTGATGCATATACATGTTCATATGTTGTATAGAAAGTTTGAGCTAATTCTGATAACATTTGGATTTCTTATGAATTTTTAAAGTTGCTCCAAAATCGGACAAAAGTCCCTGTACAGGGCCCTACTTTGGCCAAACTTCATGAACATTAAAAATGAGAGAATTCCTCAATTTTATTACACTTTTCTAATATGTATACAAGTTCTTGTGTCGGTAGACACTGAGAGTTAATTCGCAATACATTTATGACTAAATCTTTTAAAAATAACTTATTCCAATTAATGCCCACTAAACTCACCACTTCCATTCAACCCCACCAGTCCGTATCTCCGCCCACAATTCAATTCTAATTTAGCGTCGGACAATAACTCGGCTCCATGAAAGGTCAGTGATAGACTCTCAATGTGTAGATCACGTGACAGTGGGTGTGACGTCAGTACACTGGTAGTTGATCGATGTGATGCTGAACCGGCTCCTGCTGGGTCTAATGAGGCCCCACCCACTGATCCTTTACTCTTCCCCCCTCCTTTGGCTGCTAGCTTCTTGGCCTTTTGCTGCTGGCGCTTTTTAGCAGCATCTGAAGGCATTTCCTCCTTTATGGTTTAAAAGTACACGTGGGTAGGTCAATGGGTGTAGACTATTATCAATAACTATTAATAACTACCTTGCTGGTTGCTGCAGACTGCACGTGCTGTGTTCATTCAGGGTCTTTTGTTAGGTTCTTTCAACTAATTCTACAACAGACACCAATAGTGATGGGGTTTGGTGATTTAAAGTCTTCTGCTGGTCTTCAGTCTCTTAATGAATATTTATCTGATAAAAGTTACATTGAAGGGTAACTCTACCATACATTAATTTATCATGTCCTCCCTCTCTCTCCTTGTCTCTTCTAGCTATGTTCCTTCCCAAGGTGATGTAGCTGTGTTCAATGGTGTTGGATCAGCTCCTGGTTCACAATATGTTAATGTGTTGCGTTGGTACAGGCACATTGCTTCTTATACTAACGATGAAAGATTGGCGTAAGTAATATTGTACATGTACTGATAATTAGAATATACTCTTTCCAGGTTTCCTGGTGTTCAGAAGCCGTTAGATCAGTATGGTGGGGCCAGCACTTCAGCTCCTCCAGCTGATGATGATGACTTTGATCTGTTTGGGGACGACGATGAAGAGGAGGTGTGGCTTATAATTAATTATTTAATGACTGGCTCCACCCATTACAGGAAGCCGAGGCTGAGAGGATCAAGCAGGAGCGTATTGCAGCATATAATGCAAAGAAAAGCAAAAGTAATGATTATACTGTGACCACACCCACTTAGCCACGCCCCCTAGAACCTGCCTTGGTTGCAAAGTCCAATATAATCCTTGATGTGAAACCCTGGGACGATGAGACCGACATGAAGGAGGTTGAGGCTAAAGTCCGCACTATTGAGGCTGACGGGCTCTTATGGGGAGCATGTGAGTATTAATAACTATTAATAACTATTGATAACTATTAATAACAGCTAAGTTTGTTCCACTGGCTTATGGTATCAAGAAACTTCAGATTTCCTGTGTTGTAGAAGATGATAAAGTAACAATTAGAGAGAGAGAGAGAGAGAGAGGAAGAGAGTATTAAATGTTATGTCTCTCTCCCCTTTCTCTCTCCTTGGTACATGTAGATTGGTACTGACTTCCTAGAAGAAGCCATAACAGCGTTTGAGGATCTGGTACAATCTGTTGATGTAGCCGCTTTCAATAAAGTTTAAAAAAAAAGAACTTGTTTAAAAATATTAAATAGTTTTGGAATGCGTAGTTCTCTTCATAAGTGTAACACATTGTGAGTGCACACAATACAATTCAATACATATAGATTTGTTATTAATAGTTTACGAGTCAGCAGCTTGCACAGGATACACCTCATTGTCTGTCAGTAGACTGCTTAGTCTGTGTGCATGTCCATCTGTATTCTTAATGGGCTTCATTTGATAGGCCAATGCTATGTTTGCTTCATCAGGTTTATTTGCTGATGAAATACATGTAGTATACCTATGATGCAAATTAATACTTATGAAAACTCATCGTGCCAAATCATGAATACTGTATATTTATTAGTATAGTATTACAACAAAATTGCTATACATTATAGTGATAAATTTAGAGCTGATCTGATAATAGTAGTTATTTAACGTGGATTTACAATTATGATTATACTAGACCAGCATACTGTCAATTTTTAATCAAAAGCATGCTTGGGAAATTTGATCAACCACTTAAGAAAAGAAACAATACTTACGAGTGTGACGTTAATCCAATTATCTGACCATTCACTACAGAAGTCAAGGTTATTCCATCCTCAAAAACACAAAACCGTCCATGAACTGCTGCTTCTGCTGGGTGAGCACTTTCAACCTGCACCCCAAAAGAATAGCCAAGGCTCAGCTGCATAGACTCACTAGGAAAGAGTCCACTATCATTATGTATATCCCTATTTAAAGAGTTATGATGATAACCTCCTGATGCTGAAATGTGTGGTTGATATAAGTATTAAGCCAACATCCACTATGGCAACTTTGTGGTTACTTTGATGTATGTCAACTTTGTTGCCTGAAATAGAACAGTGTTCTACTTTAGGCAACAAAATTTCTGTTGATTTCAACAAAGTTGCCTAGTGGATGTTGGGCTTTAGATATAGTGTATGCAATGAACATACCAGTACACATACTAATATGCACATTACAATAATAATTCTAACGTTTCTCCAGATTTTTGTGACAGGAACAGACCAGTCACCACAGGATACATACGAGGCTCAAGAACACGGATCCGTTCAGAAATTGTTGAAGTAGCTTGGACACCTTCAACAGCATAGCTGAACGGTGCGGGACTCTCTCTAGGGAAGTGTCCGCCAGGATAAACGGCAATTGCGTTCTCCCTGTGTAAGATAAGCCTCCAAGCGTAACTACTACGAGCAAAACCAAGCATAGCAAACATCGAGTTTGACCTGTGGGTTTATAATATAGGTAATGACAATAGAGAAAACTTACTGCCGCTGCAATGCAACTGCTACCCGTTTTCAGAACACAAAAAGCAGTTATCTGTAAGAGCACCAAGCATTGGTAGTTCCCAAACGGGTCAGACGCAGCGACTGAGAAAAATGGGATTTTTCCAACTCCTTTATACAAGTAATCATCGTAAATCATGTGATAATATTCCGAGTAGATCTAGTGCTATGCTATAGCAGTAAGGCGCGCCCAGTAACGCCCTGAAAGTGAAAAATTTGCACATGTGGCATGTGCATTTTCGCCATTTTGTTTATAACACAAATTCACACAATAGAGAGTCCCCTAAACTAAAGAAGAGTTACTAGATAATGGAGGGTTCTCTTCTTCCTTTAGGTAATTACTAGTACCATTGAATTACCCCCTCTCCTTCCCCTAGAGCTGGTAGATAAGTGTATAGGGAGTAGGATACACATTATAATGAAATCCTCAGATAAAGAGATCGTGGGGACACTCCTGGGGTTTGATGACTTTGTTAATGTGGTACTGGAGGATGTGACGGAATTGTAAGTTAATAACTAACCACACCTACTAACCATACCCACTCACAGTGAGATGACACCAGAGGGACGAAGAATCACTAAATTAGACGAAATATTATTAAACGGTAAATTAATTAATAGATGTAATTAATTAATGAATTAATAATAGGTAATAATATTGCAATGCTGATACCGGGCGGCGAGTAAGTCATTAATTAATAATCAATCATGTACATTCACATACTCCTATCATTAATTACCTTATATGATGTATAGGGGACCTGAAGTATAGACCACATCCTGGTATAGTGTCAGTAATGGGAGGGATCAACACGGAAATACACTTTTAAAATAATGTACTTAAAAATAATAATTAATAATCAATCTTTTGTTGTAACTATTGGTTCAAATAGTCTTTCATTCTTACAATACTTGTGTTCAATACAGGCACTGATCCAGTCACTGGTTATAAAGTGACTTTTCTTTGCATGTGACTTCTGCTTCAACCTTAAACTGGACAGTCTCTGCAGGTCACTGGAAGGAGAGGGGCATTGAAGTGAAATAACACGGTCATGGGATATATACATTGACACTTATTGTTGTTGGGAAGGTGTTGTCATTGACAACATACACATGTACATAAAGTACTAATTTACCTTTTATCAAACACGACGTGAGTCACTGATTCATTGAAGTCATCAGTTACTGTACCACCACACAGTCTTGCATCTAATTCTGGCAGTGACAATGATGAGTTTATTATTACCTATAGAAACACATGTAGGGATAGGTTTAAAGGTGCCATATATACAACTGACAGATGTATGTCGGCTAATCAGTGCATTAGTAAAGAGGTGTACGTGTACATATTCACTTACTGTTGAAGGATCATTAATGACTTCATATTTATCAAAATAGAACCTACAGACAATCAGGCGACACAGAATAAACCACAATAATATGGAGTACATGTGTACTCTATTATTCTATAAGAGTACAAGTACAGGGACTATACAGTAAAGTCGAACCACAATGAGTATATATACAGCAGCTACTGATGCAAATGTACACAGCTGCTATACTTAACCTTGTGAAAGTTTATGTAACACACCTTCCCAGGCCTCTATCCCTCCCCCTCTCTCCCTCCCTCCCTCCTAGTCTTAGGTTCCTTTCTTACTTAAAATGTCTGAAGAGTCCTTTGGCTGATTCATTTGGAAAATACTCAAACTCCATTTTAGCAATTTCATCAGCAGAACAACTCCTCTAAAAAGAGAGAGAGAGAGGGATGGGGAGAGAAAGCAGAATTATTATAAAATTACATATACACTGTACATGTACACATTACTTTGTCTTTCATTTTATCGAATATTTCCCTCAAAGTTGTCTCGCTAGTATCATGAATATAACTATCACCATACTGTAAACAACACAACAATAAACAACAACAATAAATACAAAATACTGTTATACCTTATCATATATTTCAGAGAACTTGCTAGCAGTCTCAGAGGATGTGCTATACATCAGTGAGGGCTTCAATGGCAGACACCTCCCGGTCTCCTGTAGAGAGAGAGGACATGAACAACATTAAGCACAAATGTACATATAATTAGTTTTAATGTTGCTACTACTACTATAGAATGCTGTTATGAGTGTTTTCATTTTCTAACACAAAGGACTTCCTGCTCTCATACAACAACTAACCAATTATTATGTTTATTAGCAGAGTTGCTTAAACAGCGCCAATAGTAATTATGCATACAGACACATGTATGTACTACACACTATGTACATGTAATGCATACACATACATGTACATGTACATGTAACTGCATGTAAACCTAATCATCTCTTATTGCTCACCAGACAGTCCAGGAGCCATTGGATCATGACCACATTATAAATACCTTTACTGAATAGAGAGAGAGGGGGAGGGGTCAGGCATAATGACAAACAAGAAGAAAAAAACAATCTTAAAAATATGTGACACATAAAGCTGCTACACTTAAATGAAGTGATAACAGTGTGACACAACACATACTGTACATAAACAAACAAACAAATAAATACCTGATAATATTATTAGCCTTAACGACCAGTTTATGAACCAGCACACAATAAGTATCTGTAGTTGGATTCTGTACAAAAGTACCTCCGTGCTATAGAGAGGGGCGGGGCAGGGGAAGTGGCTAATAGAGTATTAATATATGCTTACCTCAGCAATCTTAGTCTCAATATATTGTTTACTGAAAGACGGAGTTCCATTAATAACACAGAACTGCTTACCAGCAAACATTGAAGATACCTTGAATGACACACATAAATCAAAGTAACATGATAAAGATAAAGAACCACCTCCTCCACACTGGATACATCAGTATGTCTGAACTGTGAGGCAACACCAGCTGGTCTATCTATCCTAGTCACTCTCCTTCTCTTTTTGGACGTGGTGAGTTCCTCCCCCTCCCCCTCCTCATAATGACGATGAGCTAAATGACCTGAGGCTACCTATCAATAGAATGTGTTACTAATTATAGACTCAGTTCTAAAAATAGCCTAACTCTTTTAAGGTCCTCCAGTTCATCTAGTGACATACAATCAAACCATTCTTTATCCTCTCTCACTCTCTCTAACCTTGGAAACCTTAAGGTACAACCTGTCCTGTACCTGGAGGAGAGAGAGGGGGAGAGAGAGGGGGAAGCTCTTAGACACACAGCAGAAGCTGCATACAGTATACACACATATCATAGTCACATATACATACACATGTACATGTACCATTCCATTAATATGATTATTTCTACTATCATACCAACTGACACTATGTTATCAATAAAATCATGAACATCTAAATACCCAAATAAGGTAAAAAAGAGAGATTCAAGCTACATCATAGCCAGGCAAGCATACATGTATACTACACTCAGCACTGACTCTCCTCCTCTACTTCTAAACACATCATACTGGTGGTGGTTACTGAATGCTACCTATAGTTTACATAGCACAGATTATGGTTGGTGTACAAACTCATCCAATAACACAAGCCTCAAGCAAATTTGTGTTTTAATTCAAATTATAATAAATGTAGTTATTGTTACTGTAATATATCCACACGTATACTCACTTGTCAGATACAATGATCTCAGCTGCTCTGATTTGAACAATCTTAGCATCCTTTGGTTCAATCCAAAGATCAGGTTTCTCCTATAGTACCATTAGTCTAAGCCCCACCCCCTCCCACCCTCACTTTAAAACCAGGTGCTAGTATAACTGATTCCGGTGGTCTCTTGGTATCAAACTTCCTCCAGTGTGGCTTCAACTTGTGACCCAGCTCTCTCAACTCATTCATAGTGTAGCCAGAGCCAACCTAAGGACAGGAGCTGTATCATTATTAATAACTATTAATAACTATTAATAACTATTAATAACTATTAATAACTATTAATGGATGTACTTTACAAAATGAATGAAACACTGTTGGTTTGTCTCCCTTGATGGCAGGAGGTACAGCTACTCCACACATGAAATGGGATATCATTCCGGCCCTACGCTGGAGTAAAGGGTTAATAATAAAGTGGGTGGGGCTAAAAGACTCACTCCAACCCCAAAATATCCTCCGATGATCAGTAGATCAAGATCATCACTGAGTGAATCAACATAATCAGGTTTGATCTTCAACCAACCACTACCTGTCATGAAATACAATAGGCATGAGGTGAATATCTTAAAAATGAATTATTGTCAGTAGCAGCTGTGGGTGGGAAGGTACGGCTGGTACTGATAGTAATGAAGAGGTACTTTACCTTTTCTTTTGTCTGGTTTGTACAATGAAGAAGGTTGTTTAATGACTAGTCCTTCCTCTCTTCTGTCAATGGCTTCATTCAGTGACAGGATCACATCCTCCCTAGAGGAGGAGGAGGAGGGAGGGAGGTGAGAGCAATACAATAGAGTATCTCCTTTACTTTGTTGATCTTTCAATTCTTTCTGCTTTATGTAAGCAACCAGGAACCACTTCAAATACCCTAATGTTCATTAGTGGTAATAATGAATATATACATTAATACCCTAATGTTCATTAGTAGTAATAAAGAATATACATACATCAATGGATACATTAATAGATACTAGCTGATAAAGGACATGTTCATGCATTTACTTGTTAAGATGCTCTACTCTTTCCCTCAGTGGGCAGTTAGCAAGGTTAGTCTCATTGATCATTAATGCATCGAACACAACAAAACACGGCTGCACACCTATATGTATATGTATTCACTACAGTAACACTATCTATTACAATAATGACCTGGTACATGTACATGTATGCACTAATAAATATTGTGAACTGTTGTGGACAGTTTAGGCCTCATTTACAAACAATGCAGCTGCTGCTGCTGTTGGATTAATTAAAAATTTTGCTGATTCAGTGAAGTGGATTAGGGGGGGGGGTTAACATGTGACTGAGGGTACAAATTATTCATTTATTATTAAACATAATTATTTATTTAGTTGAGAGAGGATGATCTCATTGTATTATCAAAACAAAGATACAGCTCTTACCATTCTCTCCTCCTCCTCCTCCTTCACTAACAGGGGCTAGTGTCTTTACATCAACATTCTCTCCTTTTGGACTAAAATAAACAAATTAACAACATCTTGACAACATGAACATGTGCTGTACATGTGCTGAGCATGAAATGAACACATGAAACAATTAAATAAACTGATTACATGTACTAGCCGTGTATACATGTATACATGTCCCTCCTTACAGGTAAGACTCAGTCTCCTTGTCCCACCCAACCATCTCTCCATCCAGTATACAGGAGTGAACCTTGCTACCATGGAAACAAGTTGTCATAGCAACCAATAAGACCACACCCACCTGTTAAAAGCCTTGTGTATGTTAGGAGTGAAGGATCCTTCTCTTTCCGTCCCACCAAAGGTGGAGGTGTACTCACGAGAACTAGGAGGGAAAATTAGGAGGTGTGGTCAGTAGGTGTGGTCATACCTCCTGGAGTAATACCGATACTGTCCGTGTTGCTTGTGTAACTGAATCCTCTCACCATCAAACTTATTCTCAATAAAGAAAGGCTGGTGATCCATTAGCTTAACGACCTGAGGGGGAGGGGCCAGGATAATCCATTAATTAATCAATATAATTATTATTAATCACCTGGTCTATGGTGGCTCTCTGTCCAAGCATTGGTCTGAATGGAGTGAAGTAGCTAATGGCTGCCTCATTCAATCTAACAGTAGGAGAGTGTAGATCAACACATACCTAATGAGGAGAGTATTGACTCATTGTATAAGAATGACTGATTGTTAGTATACAGTGTATATCTATTTTTTATTGTGTATTGGATATCATTGTATATTATTGTATATTATTGGATATTATTGGATATTATTGGGTATTATTGGATACCTTCTCGAGGTTGCTAGTGACACTGAACAGGTCCTGTCCGTCAGGATGAAACACTGTAAGGATTGAGTTCTCACTCAGTCCTATCTTTAGCTCCTAAGGAAATATTAATAATATCATACAAAACTATAGAATAAGTAAATGCAGATACATAATGTAGTCATGGTGAATACAGTGGCTCCTGGTTGATACTACTGCCGTCTACTGGAGGTCAAGGCTAACTAAAATCATAGCCAGAACCTGACCAAGTGCATGAGAGTAGGGGTAATGAATAATGTTATAGTAACAACTACTCTTGGTTAAGTGATGTAATGGCAACTATAACAGTGTCTGATCAACAAACAATGAGACTGCTATTGAGCAATGGGCTAGCTATCATTGAACAGTCCAGATTTTTTATAAATTTTTAAAGTTACTTTAAAGACAGTACATTTCCTGATACATGTTACATACCTTCATTATTATTCTTATGAGCCACTTCTGCTCCTGTGCTGAGGTGTTTCTTAATAAATGTTGAAGAGATTTCTTCACTCCTCCTCTGTCCTTAGTGACATTAGATAGGGCCAGCTCATCCAAGCATTGATTAACCTGTTCCATTGATAGACTATTGAAGAGGAAGAAGATTCAATGAAACAATGTTCAGTTAACCACACCTTCCCTTCTCAGGGCAACGGTTCCTTAGGACAAAGTAAGCTACTCCAGCAAAATCAGTTGCATCCTATTAATAATAATAATAATAATAATAATAATAACAATAATAATAATAATAATAATAATAATGTTATTAATCTCTTACGTGTTTAGCAGCATGAGGTGTTCTATAGTTTAACAGTTTCTTAGCATCAGGGCTGTCTTTAGCTATCTTCAATATGTCTATGTACTGCTTAGCTAGTGATACCTCCTTCAGTCCGTAGGCGGGTCTCTGTCTGTCCAAATATGGTAGTAACAGACGCATGGCTGGATAGAAACTATCGGACTATTAATTAATTAATAAGATAAACCACACCCAATTGACTAATCATCTTACATGGATGGTACCAGGTAGGTGGAGCTTGTTGTGTGTGTCCCTCCATTGTTTAATGAACCGGTCCAGACTGGTCTTCTTTCGCTCAGTTCCACTTAACGACTGGATCCTCTCTAACAGTCTAAGGGGTGGGGCTCAATGGACAGTAACCAATGGGTGTGGACTTACCCACAGAAATCTTGAAATGGAACCTGAGAAGCAACAGATTTACTCTCTCCTCCTCCTCCTCCTGTCCCTGTATCATGATCAGAGCTCTCCATTTTCTCTGCCATTTCTGCTGCTTATTTTCAGTTACTTACCCGCCATTTTTATTAAAATTAACAAACCGGCAGATATTAAAGTTAAATAACTACACAATGCATTGGGTGGAGTAGCCCCTCCCCCGACTCTTAGGCTTGGTTTAATTTTAAACATGTCTACCTGCAGTAGAGAGGTGGCCTGTCTGCAGGAGGAGCTGGAGAGATGCAAGGTATTAGACCATGGAACCACCCGCCCATAGACTCTATTGCTATTATACTGTAGGCTGATAAAGACTTCGTTTGGTCTTTATGGAAGCAGCTCCAGAAACAATCTCCAGACATCTCAGAGGCCATCAGTCTTGTAGTGACTAGGTATGCTGTGGAGAGACTGAGAGAGTGTCTATCTCTTTCATTTTATAGAGAAAAAGCAAAGAGGGACCTAGAGCTACAGCAACTGGTTTATATCAAGCAAGAAGAGATTAACCTTCTTCAGAAAGTATGTGAACTGCAACTGCAGCATGTATCATTAATGCTTGCACTCTAGGAGGTAGACAAACAGTTAGAGAAGATTAAAGTTTTAGAAAGTCAAATATTGAATGACAAGGAGCAGGCGGAAAGTATTGAGAGACAAGAGAGTGTTCTAATTAAAGAGCAGTCGGCAAAACTACAAGAAGTTAGTGCACTATTGAATATTCTAGTAATCTATAGCCACTCCCCTCAGGCACTGGAAGAGATTAATAGACTTAACTTGAAAATTAAAGAAATTGAAAAACAAAATAAACGTTAGTTAATTAATTATAATTAATTATAATTAATGATTATTAATTAATTAGAGGTGACGTCAGACAAGGAAGTAATTAGAAAATTAAAAAAGAATAATGAAGAATTAATTAATGAAAGAAAAGAACTATTATTAAAAATAAAGGTACAAATTATTATTATTATTATTATTATTAATGGATATTATTTATTGTTAGTGTCTTGATGAAACTGTGAAATGTTTGGAGGACAGACTAAAGCAATTTAAAAAACAAGTAATAATAATAATAATAATAAATTTTATTTTATTTTAATTGCCAGGAGAGGGAAGTTAGTGCTAAAATGTCCTCGTTACAAGTTGAATTTGACGAAGAGGTTAAGACACTGAAATCAAATGTTGACATTGCAGTAGCTGAAAAGAATAATTATCGACAGATAGCATCAGATGTAACTAAACAACTGAAATCAACACAAAGGTGAGGGGAAGAGAGAGGTAAAGAGTTTATCTTTTTGTATCTGTGTAGAGAACTTGAAGATACTAAACACTTACTGTCAATGACAGAGTCTCATTTCCATGACAACCAAGTACACCTTTATTAATACATTATTAATTAATTAATATTGCTAGGTGAATGGTTCCTTCTCCACAGTGTCTCCTGATGTATTGGACCAGCTCCTAAACTACCAGAAACTGCTAGAAAGAACCGAGAGAGAACTGTTTGAAGCAAGAACTGAACTGAACACAAAAGTATCATTTATTTATTATACATGTACTTGTATCCATTATTAATGTATTTTATTAATTAACAGAAGGAGGAGCTTGTGGTGTTGAGGGACTCTCACGACAAGAGGCTGACGAGGATGAAGTCGTTGAATGAATCTCACGGTCTCTTACTTCAACAAATTAAAACTTATGAGTCAAGGTACCTCACATGCTATCCTAATTAAAGCCCATCCTTTTTTGTAGTCAGTCAGAACTGACGAATCAAGAGCCGATATTATTGAATAAGGGGCGGAGCCCAGTTAAAGAAAGCCGCACCCTCCAGCACGAGAATACGACTGAGCTATGGTCCCAGTTGGTGACCTATCGGAGCAGGTGTGAGGAACTGGAACGAATTAAACTGGACCAGGAGGAAGAGATAGACTGTCTCAAGGCAACCTGCTCAAGAAATAAGACAATCATTAATGAACTGAAGTTATTCCTTGAAGAAAAGCAATACAGTATGTTGGGATTAATGTCCATGTATTTAATTAATTAATGTACATGTACATGCATTTAATTAATTAATATCCATTTGTGTGTGTAGTTATAAGTCAAAGAGATACTGCATTGCATCAGTTGAGGAGAGTGGCCTCCTGCAGCTCACTGGAGAGAGAGAAGGAAGAGGAAATTAGAAACAAATTAAGAAATGAAATCATATTGCTGAAAGAAGAAAACAGGTTAGGCATAAATTCTATATGTACATTTATTTATTTTATTATTATTATTATTATTATTATTATTATTATTATTATTATTATTAATTAGGTTGCTTAGGAATGATTGTTATAAAAATGAGGAAATGATTCATTCGCTTCAACTGACTATTAATGATCTCCGAGCCACGCCTCCACCCCCTCCCACTCACACCCTAAACAAATCAACCAACACTGAGCAGATATCAGTTACTAATTCCTGTGTTCAAGTCAACCTCATCCCCAGGAACCATGACCAGGAAACACCAAGACTAGCCTATCGCCGCTCATTCTCAGCCCACGCACTAATAGACCAACAAACTCATTCCCATACTGCCCTGTCTCATTCTCATACCGCCCAGTCTCCTTCCCATACTGCTCACAGGCGGAGATATTCAGAAGGTGATATATTGGCCAGTTATCACTTACTGTCACGAGCTATTGATAAGCTATCTCAGTCTATACATGCCCCGTCCATTCCAGCCCCACCTACTGCCCCACCCCCTATTGTCCGTCAGTCTGTACCCAATCAATCAACTCACATGCTCTCGGCCGATAAAAAGCATTCAAAGACAAACTGTTCCAGTTCCTGCTCCTCCAACTCAAGCTCCACCCACAAGTGTAAGTGGCACCATCAACTGAAGGTTGCACATCAAAGGATCAAGAGCCTAACCCAACAGGTGACCATGCCCACTTATTATAGCATAAGGACATCAATATATATCAGAAAATGTAATAAAAATTTGCCATGATTTAGGAGCCATTTTTTGAAAAAACCATGGGCTATATAGCCTTGGGTATTTTTCAGAAATTTGATGTTTTCTTAAAATGGCTGTAACTTGAAAAATTGTAGTCAGAATCAGCTCAAACTTTCAACACAGCATAAGGGCATCAATATGTATCAGAAAATGTAATAAAATTTTAGAATGATTTCGGAGCCATTTTTTGAAAAAACCATGGGCTATAGCCTTGGGTATTTTTCAGAATTTTGGTATTTTTTAAAAATGGCTGTAACTTGAAAAATTGAAGTCGGAATCAGCTCAAACTTTCTACACAGTATAAGGGCATCACTATGTATCAGAAAATGTAATAAAATTTTGGGATGATTTTGGAGCCATTTTTTGGAAAAAACTATGGACTATAGCCTTGGGTATTTTTCAGAAATTTGGCATTTTCTTAAAATGGCCGTAACTTGAAAAACTGAAGTCGGAATAACCTCAAACTTGCTACACAGCATAAGGGCATCAATATGTATCAGAAATTGTAATAAAAGTTTGGGATGAATTCGGAGCCATTTTTTGGAAAAAACCATGGGCTATAGCCTTGGGTATTTTTCAGAAATTTGGCATTTTCTTAAAATGCCTGTAACTTGAAAAATTGAAGTCGGAATCAGCTCAAACTTTCTAAATAGCTTTGTATTGTTATTGTTAGGTTGCTGTTCTTACTGATGTGAGAGCAGCTGCTGTCAAATCACTTGAAGAGGCAGAGACTGAGAGAGAAAGGTGCGAGTGTCAAATAAAACCATTACAAGACAAAGTCGCATCACAAAAAGGAATTATACAAGTACATTGACAGCTGGAGGGATTGGGACTTTATTTAATGTACATGTACATGTATAGTCGTTAAAAGAAGACATGAAGCTATTAGAGAACTCATACCATGAGCTCCAGGGACGCTGCAGTGGCCTAGAGACTGTTGTTAGTGTGGGAGATAAGAGAGGAACAACAGAAGAAGATATTAAACAATTTAGAACTGAAAAGAAAGTAATAGTAATTGTGTTGTTGTTTATTGTTGTTTATTGTTGTTTATTGTGTTGTAGTTATTAAACGAGAGGTGCAGTACACTCAGTGATCAGTTAAAGGTCCTTCAAACTGAACTATCATTAATTGAGAAGGAAAGAGAGAGTCTTCAGGAAAGGTCATTATACCTGTACTTACTGGGTGTACATGTACATGTACTGTATGTGTACATGTACATGTACTGTATGTACATGTACAGGTACTTACAACTTACTGTATGTACATGTACATGTACGTGTACTGTATGTGTTTTGTGTTTCAGGTGTTGTTATATGGAGAGAGACCTTAAGAACAAGAGGCAGTACATGAACGAACTAAAGAAGAAGATATCTTACCTTGAGAGTAAGAGCAGCACTGATGATGAGAAAATAGTAAGATAATTGTAGCGATGTATTGATTAATTAATTTATTAATTAGAGTCATCTCTCGGATCATGTGATTACTCTCCAGCAATCAGTGGAGCAGTATAAGCACAGGGTGGGTGTGGCTATCAATTAATTAATAATTATCAATTGTTGTTCAGATAACGTCAATGAAGACACAGTCAGAATTCAATTTAAAAGAAAAAGAAAAATTAAAAGATTCATTGACTCAAGCTAAAGAAGAGCTGAAAGCTTCTGTGAGTTGAGAGGGGGAGGGGTTTAGTTGAGGGGGAGGGGTTTGAGGAATTTATTAATATTTGTATAGAAGCTACAGTTGAGGGCACTGCAAGAAGAGTCTCAGCGGAAATTGTCCATTTATAAAGAAAATGAGGAGAAGAAAGACAGACACAGGAAGACAGAATATGAACTGATTATCAATGAACTGGAGGAAACTATAAAAGAATCAAGAACCATTATTAATCATTATCAACAGTTCATTAAAGTAATTTATAATTATTATAATTAATTATTGTCATTGTTTGTTGTAGGATCTTGCTAAAGAAGTGTCTGAATTGCACAGACAAGAGAAGTTGTTTCAAGAAAGAGGAGGAGGGGGAGGGAGTAAGAGTGATGACAAGGTGTCGGAGAGAGCAAGAAAGATTGCTAAAGATGCATTTAATCTCTCTGAAACTGAAGTTGATCAATTCATGAGCAGCCAAGGGGTCTGCCCTCTCTTTATTGTAAATACATTAATTATTGTTTTTAGGATGAAGGAGCTGATTTAACCCTGATAAAAAGTGTTACTAAATTCATAGATCAGAAAGGAGTAAGATAATAATTATTAATAATAATTGATAATTTAACGTCACTCCCTGTCCCCCTCAGGCCAATATGTCCAGTCAGCAGTTACTGACTGATTTCATGAGCAGTATATCACTTCTCAACTCTCGTCAGAATCAAGAACAATGACACTCTCCTCTTAATAATTAATTTTAACATTAATTTTTTAGTCCAATAATAATTATTAGTATAATACCACCAGCAATGAATAATTAATTAGTTCTCTATACATTCTGTGTATTAGCTGGAGCTGATGATAATATTGAGCTCAAATTTAAAATGATGCAAAACACCAGCAAAAATTAATAATTTGAATTTTAAGCACTTCCGGTTTCATACAACTTCCGGTTTCATTTGTTGCCATAGCAATTAAATATTTGCTTAGCAACTAACTGGCAGTAACTGCAGACCAACAGCAAAGCAAGCCAGAGAGTGCTCAGGAGGGACTGGTCATGCCTGGTAAGGTCTACTACTTATTATTTGCTCTTGCACTGAACGGTACCTCTTTATTTTAGTAAAGAAGTCCAAGACGGACAGTAAGAGAAAGAGTGTAGCCATTAGATAGGCCCTTTACTATTCTTCTCATGTTATGTTAGTATCAGGAGCTGATGATCAATATGGAGTGTTTATATTCCCAAACGGAGAGAAATACGGTAGAGAGAGACTCTTGATAATGAAATGACTAATGGTATCTTGTAGAAGGAGAGTTTAAAACTAACCAGACGACAGGAGGAGGAGGAGGAGGGATAGAGAGAGAAGGACAGGGGTCACACCACTTATCAAATGGAGTGGTATACTCTGGACAATGGAGGCAAGATAAGATGAATGGGAAAGGAAAAATGAGTCACCCAAACGGATCAACATACGAAGTAATATCCTTGATTGAAATGAGCTCAAACTGACTCCATTGGTAATAGGGAGATTTCGTTGACAATGAGTATCATGGTAATGGGGTCTACACGTGGGAGGATGGATCTAAATATATCGGACAATTTCAAAAGAACAAGTACAACTAGCAGCTGCTGCTGTTGTTGTTATTATTATTTTACAGATTAACAGGACGTGGTAAGTTTATTGATGACAATGGGAAGGAATGGAGTGGAAACTTTGATGGGAAGAAAGCATCTCAACTCAAACTGAAAATACAATAAAATATAAATAATAATGTCCTCTTTCTCTTTGTTCAATGTAAATAAATATTAAAAAATAATATTAAAAATGGCAGCAAACAGCAAGTTCACAATTCCTTGTATAGACTATAAAACCTTCCTAATGTCCACAAGGGGAACACGTTCTTGTAGGAGGTGTAGGTAATGGCGCAGGTTTTATTAAAGACACCTTTGATGCCTTCCTGCTTCCACTCACCACTGTCCAACTGTCTGGACACTATCAACTAGAAGGGAGAGAGAGAGGGAGAGGTAGCAGTGCCGCTTGTAGCTATCATCATGATCATCATTTACTTTTATTCCATTTTTAATGACATCAGTGTGAGGATACCTAACGGCCATTAGTCCAAGAAGTGCCCAGCAAGTATTGACCACTTGAGATTCTTCCGACTGAACATAAACTCTCTTCTCACATGACTGTCACATGACATAATTATTTCGTTATTATTAATATTGATTATTACTTCAAAATCTTCTCCCCACCCTCCGTCACTCATCTGATGGTCAACAAGAAACTGACACGCCCTTTTCACTTCGCTACCAGCAGTGCTGTGATGTAATGTGATGCAACGTGATGATGTCATATGATGTCATACCCATAATCATATCTTCTGTTCATGGAGGCCAATGCCTCTAGCCCAAACCAGGTACCGTAAGTGAAGCACACGCCCCAGCTCCTAGTTATTAATAGTTATTAATAATAGTTATTAGTGATTACCCTTCCCAGGAACCATCGGGTCTCTGAATATTTAATATATACTCCAGACCCCTTGAAAGACACTCCCTATTGAAGTTATCAATAGTTATCAATAGTTATTAATAGTTATTAATAGTTATTACTCACTGTATTTCCTTTGGTCTATGTTGTGGATATCTTTTATTAAAATGGTTGATTGCTTGAAGAGAAGCAGAAGTGCATTCAACATAAGTATAATCAACCATAATGTCACCTAATTAATTATTATTATTAATAACAATAATAATAATAACTTGATCACTATAAATTACCAAAAACTTCCGAAGGATTAAGTAGTTCAAGAATAGCTCCGCCCCTGTTGGTTTCGTAAGATGAAAACCCACCATTAGAATTCTGCATGTTTAATAACTAAATAATAACAACCATTAACACCACTACTAATAACTATTACTAACTACTACTAACCACATTTATGGTATCCTCCATTTTACTGACAGTGACTCCGTTTGATATAAAACTAAAGGAGACACATTCACGTGTGACACTCACTCAACCTTTAATACCATTACCTCCTGCATTCTTCTTCTAGTAACATTAAAGACTTTAAACCTTCAGCAGTGCAGTCCGATACAATCCAGCCACACTCCAGGGTACTGAAAGGGAACCCACCCTAGAGGAGGAGGAGGGGACATGATAGCAGCTGTACTATACATGCATACCATACCTTGCTCATTTGTCTGTAGTACTTCTTATAGTCTGGAGGATTATCAGGTACCTTGAATTGAAATAGAGCAATTAAAAGGATCAGTCACTGTAGTGTACCTGTGTGCTTAATAGGAAGCTATGGGCCATTGACAAAGAATGACTGTGTTTATTAGTGTCAAATGATGAAGCCTAATATTAATAACTGATTAATAATTAATAAATAAAATACTTCAAGTATTGCTTGTACAGCAAATGCAGTATCCCACAGTTGAGATCCATTGGTACCCTAAGGGGGAGGGGCAATGGGTGGAGACTATGTATAAAGTATACTAATACTAATAATAATAATAATAATAATAATAATAATAATAATAATAATAATAATAATAATAATAATAATACTAATAATAATAATAATAATACCTGCATCTTGATTCCATCTCTACCCATCCTGTTGAATAGTTAATTAACATCAATTAATAACAGACCACTGACCAGAGGTAGTCGGGTACTCTTGATAGGTGCTCTTTAAATGAAGTTGAATCAGGTCCATCAACAAACCATCTTACCAACATTTGGATCACTTTGGATATCTAAACCACACCCACTATTAATAACTATTAATTAATAACTAACGGGTCCTATACTGATGCAGTTAGTGAATGAATCATCTGCTTTGATCTGTCGAAGAATCTCCTCATCCGCCCACGCACGCAAACGAGATATGTGATGAGATTCATAAGCATCAAGGAGTACTGATATGACATCATATTACATCACACGACATCATCACTTACAGTAGCTCCAGTCCAGTGCCAGCGAGTGTGGAGTATAGAGGTCGGTAGAAGAGACGTTGTTCCTTTGGGAGGGCCAGTCTATTGACTCATAACTTTGTACATATATCTCCTAATCAATAATAAACAACAATAACAATAATAAACAACAATAACAATAAGTAATAATAATAAACAATAATAATAATAAACTGGTTATTCCTCTCATTAAATTACTTGTCTTAGTTCTAGTATTATTTTTGTTGGTTTAGCTTTAATTCTTTTTGAATAAACGAATCCCATTGGCAGATAGACCTGGCGACAATGGCACCACATCTTGGAAGGATGAACAGGAACACACTGGGGCAATATCCTGATAATTAACCATTATTGATAGTTAATTAACTATCATTAATAACCATAGTTCCGGTAGCAAGGTATGAACTCCTGACCAGTCATAGACATTCAATACTGATAACCAGAACTTACCCCACGAAGGAATGCAAACCGCCCCACCTATCAACAATTAATTAATATTAATTAATTAATATTAATTATTATTACCCATTTGATGCAGTAATTCTCTTGCTTTAATTAGCTCGTTATCATCAGGCCCCACCCCCAACAGGCGGAGACTCACATAATTGAGAGCAGTTCCAAAGACAGTGCTCTTGCCAGCAATGTGCCTATCAATATTAATTAATGAGTGGGAGGGAAGAGGTACTTACAGACCCCACCCACCATCAGGATTCTGTACATTCCTCAAATAACGAATCATCTCTAATCTTTGATGATCCTCAAACTGGAGACCAGTCACATGATATACAATAATTAAACCTAATAATAATAACAATTTAATTAATATATACATAATAATAATATAACCGATGCATTATCGTACCAGGTAAGAGGAACAACGGTCCCCCATAGTCCCCTGACCAGTGTCCATCGTCCGACTGCAGTCGAGTGTAGTAGTCCAGTCCCAGTTCAATGGCCTCCAGTACACTAACAGGATAGGCTCTCTCTCTACCAATCTACACAAGGTAACCTGTTGCTATGGTAACAGTGTAATGGCTACCTCAGCTAGTCCAAGAGCAGTTTCCTCAAGAAAGGATTGTCCTCTCTCCTCCTCCTCCCCCTCTTCACAGTAGCTCCAGGTCTGTCGGCCATTAGTAGAGGCTAGTCTCCATCTCTTTAGCTCAGTGGCTGGAGGGACGGACATTTCCACTAGATAACAATGGGGTGATGGGCTGATGGAGACTACACGTGAGTGCAGCAATCTGATTGGTCGGATGACTCACCATACAGTCTGGGTCGATCTCCTGCAGAGTCTTATAAGTCTTTGCTCAGTTTGCTGCAGGAATACAGCTGAAGGAAGGATGGAGTCCTCTTTCTCTAACATAGTGTCATCAGTAGGGCCAGTTGCAGTTCTTATACTGACAGTTCTATTGGTCCATTACTGGTGGAGGAGGGCTGGCAATAAGGTGCAGTGACAGTAATGGTTGCATTATGAGCTGTTTCTGTAGGTGAAAGGTAACCCTCCCCCTCCATTAATTCCTTCCTCCCTCCCTTTCATTGGAGCTGCAGTTTCCTTTGGAAAAGATCCCATTAATTACCTGCTGGCTGCACATTCCAAATATGGTAATGTGTTCAGTTTCAATATGGTGGGCAGTACCTTCACTTATCTCATTGGCTCTGACTCCACCTCCTTGTTCTTTAACTCACGTAACGAGTCCTTGAATGCTGAAGAAGTTTATTCTCGACTAGTGACACCAGTGTTTGGAAAAGGCGTGGCTTATGATGTACCCCATGACGTAAGCATATATGCTGTATTAATAGTACTGTACTTACCAAATTAAATCAACTTTTAAAATTCGTAAAAAAATCCAAACTTGATTGGAATCAGCTCAAACTTTCTACACAACATAAGAACATGTATATGCATTAAATAAATTTTTTTAAACGGAGAATTCTCTCCTTTTCATTTTTGCCAAAATTTGGCCCGAGACCATGTACTATAGTACAGGGACTTTGGCCCAATTTTGGAGCAATTTTTAAAAATTCAATTTTGATTTAAATCAGCATCCATGCATACGTGTATCTTGAATCAATAGTAATTATTTATTTTATGTCTTTTCAGTTATTTGTGGAGCAGAAGAAGATGCTCAAGTATGGACTGAGCGTCTCTCACTTCAGACGGTATGTTCCACTTATTGAAACTGAAACTACCAAATACTTTGAGAGGTGGGGCGACAAAGGAGAAAGAGGTTCATCTCTCAATTACCATAGCAACAGTTACCATAGCAATACTCCCTAGATATATTCAAAGCTCTATCTGAGCTGATCATTCTGACAGCCAGTCGCTGCTTGCATGGTAAGCCCCACCCATAACCACACCCATAACTCCTTCCCCTAGGGCCAGAGATAAGGAGTGTATTGAATGAAGAAGTGGCTCAGCTTTACACTGACCTGGACGGGGGATTCACTCATGCTGCATGGCTCTTACCTTCATGGCTGCCGCTACCCTCCTTTAAGTAAGGGAGACCACACCCATAACCCCACCCACATCCATATTAGGAAGAGAGATAAAGCGAGAGAGAGAATGGCTGAAATATTTACATCAGTTATAAAGAAGAGAAGAGAAATGCCAAATAACCAAGAAGATGACATACTCAGCTACTTAATAACAACAACTTATAAGTAATGGCTATCATTATTATTATTATTATTATTATTATTATTATTATTATTATTATTATTATTGTTATTATTGTTATTGTTATTATTATTATTGTTATTATTAATTAGAGATGGTCGGTCACTAACAGATTCAGAGATCACTGGTTTGCTAATAGGATTATTAATGGCTGGTCAACACACTTCATCTTCCACTAGCTCATGGTTGGGATTCTTCCTCGCTAGACACTCCGACTATCAAGTGAGTGAACGACCTTATGCTGTTAATAACTGTACCTTATGCTGTTAATAACTGAACCTCATGTAGACAAGAGCTTATGAAGAGCAGCTGGAGGTGTGTGGCAGCAACTGTCCACCATTGGACTATGATCAGGTAAGTGCATGTACAATCACATAATGTACATAACAATAATTAAACAATAATAATAATAATAATATTATTATTGTTATTATTATTATTGTTATGAATTTGTTCTTTAGTTGAAGGATCTAACGTTTCTTGATTGCTGTCTGAAGGAGACTCTGAGGCTCCGCCCACCAATAATGACAATGATGAGAATGGCAAAAACTGAACAAGTACTGTTACCATTAATAAACCATTACATGTTACTATTAATAAACTCGGTTACTATTAATAGGATGTTGGTGGTTATACAATCCCAGCTGGTCACCAGGTCTGTGTGTCTCCTACCGTCAATCATCAATTGAATGAGAACTGGACCGACCCACAGACCTTCAATCCTGACAGGTTTGTTGACGAAGAACTCTCAAATAGTGAAAAGTTTTCTTATGTACCATTTGGTGCAGGTCAGTAAAACATTGCATACTTTAGTATAACTTAGTATATTATAGGACGTCATCGTTGCATTGGTGAAAGTTTTGCTTACGTTCAAATAAAAACAATATGGTCGGTTCTGCTTCGGAAGTACCAGTTTGAGCTTGTGGGTGGAGTCTTTCCTCCTGTCAATTACCAGACAATGATCCACACACCCACCCAACCAGTGATTGCTTACAAACTCAGACAATAATTAATTTATTATTATTATTGTTATTAATGGAGAGTGTAGTTTTTATTGGCTGCTCTATAGCACTTTATTTATTTTTATAGTTAGTCTATTAGAAATGAAATTAGTACGTGAGTTTGAGGTGAATTTTGACTAGACTACACAAAATGAAATTAAAAATCAAAAAATTGCATGTTAATATAATAATAATAATAATAATAATAAATTAGGTCAGCTAAACAGCAAAAATTAACATCATTACACTAAAGAAGAATAGCAATAATAATAATAATAATAATAATAATAATAATAATAATAATAATAAAGAAAGAACGAGAGAGGTAGTTACTGAAAATAGTACAGGTTATTATGTCGTTGTTGTATAATTATAAGAAATATTAAACTGACATTGTTCACACTCCATATTACTTTACTGTAGGTGTAGGTAGGTATGTGCGGCTATCACTGAAGACGCTTATAAGTCCCAGTAGTGTCGTCGTTAAGGCCTCAAGTCAGCACGCCCCGGGGGAGGGGAAAGAGCAAAAGAAAAGGCAAACATGGTAAGACGGTTGCATTATAATAATAACACACATACACTGCACTATTGAATATAATCATACATGTACATGTACATTAAGTTAAAGTGTACATTACTATTGGCAACACACATTCACAATCACCAGCTAGTACTACACTAGACTCATGTGACATTATTTAATGTACACAACATGCTCTTGCCAGTAGACTATCAGTTACTGATAATTAACAACCAATAGTAAATGCCATGTTAAATTAGTCATGCAAACAAGATTAGCATAACTAATGTGACAGAAAAAGAGAGAGAGGGAGGGAGGCAGAGAGAGAGAGAGAGGAAGGTCAGGGTATAATCTCACCATATTTCTTGCGGATTTCATCATTCTTGGCTTTACGCTCAGCACGACTGCAAATGAAAGACATTATTAAATAATGAAGAACATTGTCTTGTGCTGTACTCACCGCTCACTGCTCTTCTGACGAATGTGGTCTCTCTCCTGCATGTAGTTCTCATCTTCTAGTTCTCTCTGTCTGCAGGGGGAGAGAGGGAGGGGGGAGAGAGAGAGGGAGAGAGGGAGGGGGGGGGGAGAGAGAGAGGGAGAGAGGGAGGGGGGGAGAGAGAGAGGGAGATTAGATAATGTATACAAAATGAGTTTAGGATAAGCAAATGAAACATTATTGCCATGTGTATATAATCAGAAAATAAACTAACATTAACATACAAATACACAGCAATAAAAGGAAGTGGTATATAAATATAAGTATAAACATGTGACTAGCATGAGACCTCCTTATATGGTCTATAGCAACTATGTCATCTTAAACTATGAATAAATAATTAACTGTCGACATGACTACCACTTTAATTAATCAATATTTATACTCACCTCTGTCTCCTCCTGTGACACCAGCAGCAGCAACAGCAGCAGATGATGCAGCAACCAGCAAAGAAGAGAACCACAAAAACACAAATAAGAATAATGTATACCAGAGCGGTTACTAGGGGAGAGAGAGAGAGAGAGAGAGAGTGGTTTAATTAAAGACATGCACTAATTGTCACTCCCCAACAAACAATACCAACTAATTAATAAAGTTATGCACACAAACACTCACTCATTAATCTTTAATTAAAACACACACACACCATTGCCACTGATACACACACATACCATTATTAATACCATTATTACCACTAACACACATACCATTACATGTATTGTGTATGGTCACTCACTGGTGCAGTTGTCAATGTTGAAGTTGAGTCCAGGGCATTCAGAAGAGGAAGCAATTGGTAGATTAAACCCATAGGGTAGACAGACATTCTCTTTGCCTTTGTCCGTCTTCTTACAAAAGTAGCACCTGCCTCCTTGAGACAAGTCAGGCTAAAGAATACACATGTGCAATATAAATCATTAACAATAACCAGGACTTACATTTGATGCTCCTACACATTCACCACAATCTGTAATATTAGCACAAAATTGTCTATGTTCATCATCATTCTGGGCAGCTAGTAGAGAGAGAGGTACATGTATCTCAACAGTTTAACTTACAAACTGACAGAACGAGAGCCCCCAGTAGGATACAGGCCAGTGCCACTAGTTTGTACATATCTATTGATCCTTTCCTTCAATTACTAATCACTAAAGACTCAAGAAAGACTCGCTCTATCTCTTTCCTTCTTCCCCACAACAATGTAATTTGCGTATGACGTCACAAAGTAGATCTAATCACGTGATTCACCACTGACCTAGCTAGGCCTAGATATCTAATGAGTAGGTGTGTCTTAAATTGGGTGGAGCTTTACCCACGTGTATGTACTGGGAGTAGCCTAGTAGGTGGAATTACAAGTAAATTCTCTTAAATATTATTTATTATTATTTTATTGTATATATATTAGGTATAAATGGCTGTGAATGTTCCCAAAGAAGCTCCTGAGGTTAGTATTGAGTACATGTACATGTAATGGGCGTGGTTTATAGGTAACGAGTCTTAAGAAAGATGTACTGGATAAAGTAATCAATTGAATAGATGTAATTGATTGTTGGATACATGTATTGCAGGCTGAGAACAGTATAATTAATGTATTTCCAAAGAAAATACAAGAACTTGGTGAAGTATTGCAAGTAAATGATACTAGAAATTGATGATTGACTTTATTGTTGTTTGTTTATTGTTGTTGTTTACAGGGATCAATGTTTTCATTGTCTGATCCATCTCAGATTCATTGTGAGCTCAATATTCCTTCCCAGTTGACCACACCCACTAATAACTGCAACGGAGATCCCAGCAATGAAGTAATTATAATAATAATTGATCAAGTTTTATTTATTATTAGTTGGGTAGTAAGAAGCGTAAATTAGATACTGACCGTACTGTAGCTGATGTGTACGGTAACTTGATACAGCAACCTGACGGTAAGAATGGGCGGAGCCTATTAATTGATTAATTATTATTCATTAGGTCAGAAAGTGGTTCCATCATTTAATGAGGTCATTGGTTGTAATCCGGTTAGTAATTAAGTGTGTGGGCGGTACTAATTATTATTACATTAAGAAACTGGAGACAATAGTTGATTATCTTAAGCCACAGATAATAACAGTTATTAAACACTGCAGCAATGTAAGGAACAAGACTTGTCATCATTCATTGGACTGTTCTTCCCTCTCCCCCTCCCTCTCTCTCTCTCGTTAGATAAAGCTGTGGATTCAATTAATGATTCCAAAGATTGAAGATGGAAATAACTTTGGAGTATCCATTCAAGTAAACACAATTCTTCTTCTTCTTATTATTATTGTTATTGTTGTTGTTATTATTATTATTATTGTTATTGTTGTTGTTATTATTATTATTATTGTTATTTTGTAGGAGGATATTCTTTCTGAAGTGACTAAAGCTGAATCTGATGCCAGTTCATATTTGGATCAGACCACACGGTATGTGTAATTAAAGTAGGTGTGGTTTTCATCACTAACTCCACCCACTACAGGTATTTCAGCTGTCGTGCTCAAATGCTAAAGAAACTCATAAAATATCCTCACCTGGTTAGTGAAAACTGTTACCATGGTTACCTGACTCCACCCACTTAGACTGATTTTCGCCGAGCTATCAATGAATACGATGAGAAAGTGTTTTTTAGTTTTCAACTGATTTTAACGGAATTACGCAATATATATGTGAGTTGTTCTATTGTAACGACTCGTTAAGTGGGTGTGGTTTCAGGTTGTATTGTATGATGTAATCATAAAGAATTATTTGAAATTAAAGACACCTCGTTCCACCAACAGCAGCTCCCTCTACTAACAGCAGAAGAATAATCTTCACTTATTTTACCTAACAATAATAATTATTAGTAATAAAAATTAATTAATGTAGTTTCAGTTATTTATTATTAATAAGTTAATAGTGCAACACTGGGTGTGGCTTCAGTCCATTCTTGCTTTCAATGTTCTTGTGGTAACTTTATCCTTTTCACTAGAACAGAATAAAGTGGGAGTGGTCAATTAATAAAATGGGTGTGGTTTACGTACATTACATGTACAATGGCTCCCCATCCGCTGAGGGCGTCACGGTCCACTGCATTCATCAGAGCTTGAGATATGGTCTCAAACAAGTCCTCTGGTTCCTAGGGAGAATATCGAAACTGACCACACCTACTAATGTCATTTCTCACCAGGTCTGGTTTCCATAGCGACTCGCACATTCCATAGAGCTGTTCGCTGCATGTTCCTACCACCACAAAGTCTTTAGTTTCCATTGGACAACCAATCAGATCCATCGTTGCTATGTAAGGATCCTTAGTTACAGGATCCAGGCCAGCAATAACTGGCTCAACAAAATAATAACCAAACCTATTAATAACTCAATATTAATAACTTGATATCATTAATAATTATTATTAATGTGAATGGACCTTTTTGAGTAGAGAAGGTTTGATGTCATGTGCATGAATGCTTTAGGTTTAATTTGACGATTCTCCCTCAGCTGGTATAAATTGAGTTGATACTTCAGTCTACTTGAACTAAAAATAACAATAATAATTATTATAAACCTATCATTACATTACGTGTGCATCATACGTACACAGTAAGAGCATCAGTAGCTAGTCCATAGAACCCGATGTAGAGGCTCTCATTCATGGGGTATATCTTATCAAACGTTGTTGCTATGGTTTGTCCTTGAATACCCAGTCTCCTGTCAGCTGCTATAGCCACACACCCACTGCCAATCATACCCACCACAGCAGACCCGTTATACTCGAATGGATTAGCCTAAGAGTATTAGGACAGAGGGGGAGAAATTAAGAATTATAATTAATAATGATTGCCACTACTCACCATTTTATTTCAATTTTTCTTTTACATGCAGCAGTAGCAGCACATGTACCAGAATAATAAGAAATTTATGGCAATTAGTAAAACTCCGTATACTGACAGTTCGTATATTAGTAGGTTTGTGGGTGTGGTTTAATCTCGGCCCCTCAGAAATTCCTCTCCATTTCTCTCTCTGTCTCTCTTTCTCCCCCTCTCTCCTGGTAGCCCCTACCCCACTCATTTTGTTTGTATATATTTCCTCGTAGAATAAGCTCCTATTGCTCCCCACGGCTCTAAGAGGAGGGAACAGGCAGTACTGTATCCCTCAGTTTTATTATATTTGGCAGAGTCAGTGTCTGTCTGATTATTTGTACCAGTCAATAGAAGAAAACAAAGTAACGGAGAGACACAATAGATAAGCATCAATAACACTGACTCTCTACAATAATCAATTGTACAGGTTAATTATAATTATACACTACTACCTACTACTAAAAATAATAATAATTACATTTCTTTCTTTCTCCTCCAGTGATGTCAGCTGAAACCTCTACAATTGTTGCTCAGTTCAAGTACGAGTACCAGTATGAAGGAAAGACCATATCCTTTAAGAAAGGAGACACATTCCAGCTCCTGAATACCTCAAACACTGACTGGTGGCAGGTGAGACGATGGCTAGACAATGGAACATGCGAGACGCTCTATGTTCCTGCAAACTACATGAAGAAGGTTGAGAAAGAGGTGGACCCTTCTTCGTCACACGTTTATCAGAACATGTCCGACCTTCAAGCAGAGTATAAAAGAGCCAAATCACAAATGAATACCGAGACTAGTAAGAGTGAGAGTATGCCACGCCCATCAGGGAGGGGAGGGGCTGGGAAGAAGTCACCTCCAAAGACCAGCCCAAAACTAGTCCGTACCAAGTCAACAGGTAACGCCATAGATCCACCCACTGGAGGGGAACCTGCTAACGGAATCAACAAGCCACATTCACTGGTCAATAATGAGCCGGAGTATGCAATACCTGTGTCACCGGGGCTGGCTAGGAAAGGGTTAAAGAAAGAAGAGGGTGGAGTGATAGCTGGTCCTATTTCAAAGGAGAGGATCCAGGGGTATGCCCTACCAGTGAAGAAAAGAACACAATCAGTTGATCTATTGGAAGATGAGGGCGGGGCTGGAGGTGGGGCTGGGAGCGGACCCCCCAGGAAATCAGTTCCCACAATATTAGAGAGTGACAACGTGAGACAACAGCTGGAATCATCTTTTACAAAACAATTAGCTAGTGCTATATCAGGAGGCAATCACCCAATACTTGGAGGAGGTGGAGCTGCCCCACCCACTGCTGGTGGGAATAAACTAGTCCCTGCTCCCAAACCAAAACCACGATCGTCCTCTCGGCCCAAGTCATACTGCATAGACAGTGAGGAGAGACCTGCGGAGGTCAGCACTTTTAAAGCTACCAACACGTTTGGAGTTCCTGTCACTGAAGAACAAGAGCTGGCCACACCTCTAGCCACACCTTTTTTATCCACGAGTAGAGAAGCTCCTCCGACTGCTAGGAAGTCTTACAAGCGACAGGCTCCCCCTGCCCCTGTACCAGCCCAACCACAACACGAGTATGACCTACCACAAGTTAAGAATAAGGTACAAGATGCTGTTTATTATTATTAATAATTAATGAGTTGTAATTGCTGTAAAAGCAATAATACTGCTATGACAATAATAATAATAATGAATCCATGGACTATCAAGTATCAATAGTTGTAAATATGATATAAGAATTGATACACATCCACTATTGTATTACTTCATGTACACAATTGTATAGTGTCTACATGATGGAGTGTGGATAGAATATGATAGCAATGTATGTCCGACTGTGTGAGGTATGGCCAGTGTGTATACATTTGGACTCAAGTTGTTGTTCATTCTACACTGTTATGAATATCACTGGCAGTTTCACTATGTACCCTCTCTCTTTCAAAATACATGTACACATACAGCATGTACATGTACATACATGATATACGGTATGCATATTTTGTGTTGGCACTGAAAGCAACTACAACCTGCTGCTATTTTTGAAAATTGGCTAACTTCCATTTTTATTCCACTTTCTGATACATGTACATGTACATATTGATGTCCTTATGCTGTGAAGCAAGTTGGAGCTGATTCCGACTAAAACTATTAAGTTATGCGAATTTTAAAAATAAGCCAGCTTGTTTGGGAAAAGGATTTTTAGCCAAAATTTGTAAATAATTAAAATATTGTTCATAACAAGCAGCTCCACAATATTGTTCCTTTTCTCTCTCTCTCTCCCTCCAGCCCACAGAGTCTCCTGCTGGGTTGATCCCTAAGTCATTTCAGATCCCCAACCCTCTTAGCCTATCACAGGGACCTCCCCTCATAGCCACCTCCTCCCCCACCCCCTCCCCTGTGTCCCCCCTCCCTGACGGCTGGACAGAGCACAAGACCACTGATGGGCGGGTCTATTACCATAACTCACTAACCAATGAATCTACGTGGACTGTACCAGCAGTGACCACACCCACCACTACAGCCCCGCCCCCTCAGTCTGGAACCAATGAACCAAGAGATGTAAGTTACATTATAACCACACCCCTTTAACCCCCGCCTTTATAGAGGGTGGCCCCCAGGGGGTGGACGAAGGAGATTAATTCATTCACTCAGGTTCCTGTGTATACCAACTGCAGGACAGGAGAGAAGGTACGCCCACACTTTTAATTAATGTTATATCTCGTTAATACAGTGGGGGCTGGGTAAAGATGATCAAGGTTATTATTATTATAACACAAGTGACTCTAGCATACGATTAAAGGACCTGCCAGTAGTTGATCATTACCCACCTGCTGTGAGTATTACTGGCTCTGTACTGTTAATGAACCAATCCCTCCTTTAGTCCACAGTGGAGCCATCAAGATCTCAATCGGACATTGTCTATGACCACCTCCTTCCTTCAGCAACCTCTTCACTTGACCATCACGTACGTCTACATGTACATGTAATGTCCTTTTGGTGATTTAGGAGGAGGACACAAATTCACTAAATTAAACCCTCTCCTCCAAAATTACGACCTATTACTGACTTACTGTACATGTACATGCTGCATGCCTAATGTCTGTAAAAGTAATGTATACGTGTATAATAATGAATATGTACATGTATGTGTATGTATACATGTACATGTATGTATGGTTTACATGTATAATGTATAATGTATAGAAGAGAGTGAGGACAGTGTCTGAGGATGACGGTATTGGGGGTGTGTCAGGGGGTGTGGCCGCTCCTTTGGCTAATATCAGAGAACATGCTAAGTTGGACTCACGGAGTTCCCTCCCAGTGGGGGGAGTGTCCAGTCAGGATGTGGATATACTCTCATCAAGATTAACGTCACATGTACGTCACATGTATGTCACATGACCTTCACATGTTCCTTTTATTGTAGAAGAAGCAAGGGTACCTCCATAAGAAGAGACTGGTAGAAGCTGGTGGAAAGAAGTAATTAATAATTATTTACTAAATAATTATTAATATTTCTTTCCTCCATTTTAGAATCAAGAATGATAAATGGTTGAAGCAGTGCGCTGTTCTTGATGGAAACACTTTAACTTTTTACGCCGACCACAGAACAAAGGACAACGTAATTTTATGTTATTATACACTGTACATGTATTGTTAATCTCTTCCTGTAGCCTGGTGTTAAACCTTATGGTGTGTTTCAGCTGGTCCAATCAGTGCTGAGTGCAGCAACTCCTAAAGATAAAAGAAAAAATGTTATTTTAGTAAGTAATAATAATATTAATTAATTAATGACTAATGCCCCTCCCCCAAAAGGTAACATCAACTGTATCCAGTGAACAGTTTTACTTACAAGCTGATTCAGCTCCAATGTTTAATGACTGGTATGCATCAATACAGGCAGCGATTGACCTCACCGTATGTTCAATTATTCATTCATTTATTTATTTTTTCCTTTGTTCACAGAATGACGACTGTAAGAAGAACCCCAGTAAATACAGTGCTTTCCTTAAAGAGGCGTCTGACGGGTCCCCGCCCACTCAATTAAAGTTTCCTAATAGAAAGGAAAGTTTACCTAGAGGTATAAGAATATTTAATTAATTAAATATGTACATACTGGCCACACCTCCTTTAATAGGCATTGATGAAGATGACGTGTTGGATGATTATGAATCTTACACTGGAGCTGAGAAAACAGGTATAATGATAATAATAATGATGATGATGATAATGATAATGACACTCCTTCCTTTCTCAGTTCGTATCAAAGGTAGACTAAAGAACCTCATAGCTCGAAGGCCTCAAGTGGAACTGCTCAAGAAAACAGGAATAATGCAAGGTATATGTTTATTTACTTGTTTCTTTATTTGTTTATTTATTTATTTGTTTATTTATTTTAGAGAGCGTTTTTGGTTGTGAGTTGACAAGTCTTGTTGAGAGGGAGAGAGGGACAGTCCCCAAGTTTATGATACACTTCATCCAACACATTGAGAGGAAGGGACTGGAAACTGTTGGACTCTATCGACTCTCAGGGAATGCTGCCCAAGTACAGAAACTGAGATACCTAGTGGAGGAAAGTATGTTACTAAAAATAGAACAAGTTAATGCATGATTGAATGAATGAAGTTACTAAAAATAGACCAATGACAATGCTTCCTTATATAGAACCAGATGTTGACCTTAGTTCCCCCGAATGGGCTGATGTCAATATAATAACAGGATGTCTTAAACTCTACCTCAGGGAACTACCTGATCCTATTATTCCTTTCCGCCAGTTTCGGTCTCTCATCGATGCAGCAAGTAAGGATTGTTGTGGGTGTGGTCACACTTATTGTTGCCATAGGAACACAGCCGGCAGAGAAGAGGTTACTGGCAATTAGAAGTGAATTGGATAAACTACCAGAGGCTCACTACCAGACACTGAAGACACTTGTCATTCACTTAAGGAAGTACGTTTGGTATTGATACTCATTTATCTGAGAATAACAATTTGAAGTTACTCAATTAAGAATTGAGTCTTTGGCCAAATTTCACCAAATTGAAAAGGAGAGAATTCTCCAATTTTATTACATTTTCTGATACATATACATGTTCTTATGTTGTGCAGAAAGTTTAAACTAGTTCCGATCAAGTTTAAATTTTTTATGAATTTTTAAAGTTGCTCCGAAATCGGACAAAAGTCCCTGTACTATAGTACAGGAATTTTGGTCAAATTTTGCCAAAAATGAAAAGTGAAGAATTCTCCATTTTTATAATTTTTCCTGATACGTATAGATGTTCTTATGTTGTGTAGAAAGTTTGAGCTAATTCCAATCAAGTTTGGATTTTATGATTTTTTAAAGTTGCTCCGAAATCGGACAAAAGTCCCTGTACTATAGTACAGGGATTTTTGTCAAATTTTGCCAAAATTGACAAGTAGAAAATTCCTCAGTTTTATTACATTCCCTGATACATATACATGTACTTATGTTGTGTAGAAAGTTTAAAGTAATTCCAATGAAGTTTGGATTTTTTATGGATTTTAAAAGTTGCTCCAAAATCAGGTCCAAGTCCCTGTACTATAGTACAGGGATTTTTGTCAAATTTTGCCAAAATTGACAAGTAGAAAATTCCTCAGTTTAATTACATTCCCTGATACATATACATGTACTTATGTTGTGTAGAAAATTTAAACTAATTCCAATGAAGTTTGATTTTTTTATGGATTTTAAAAGTTGCTCCAAAATCAGGTCTAAGTCCCTGTACTATAGTACAGTGGTTTTGGCCAAATTTTGCCAAAATTGAAAAAGAGAGAGTTCTCTCTCTTTCTTACATTTCCTGATGCATTATCACTTGCTTTAGGGTTGTTGAGCATGGTCATGTGAACAAGATGCTATCAACTAATGTATCCATTGTCTTTGGTCCTACTCTCATGAGAGCTGAGGTTGACTCAATAGAGATGGCTACTCTAATGCCAGTACAAAATAACATTGTGGACACTTTTCTGACTGAGACTAGCAAAGTCTTTAGTAAATGAGGTTTCGTATTTACCAGGCAATTATTATTATTATTATTATTTTATTATTATTATTGTTGTTATAAAGAGCAATGTGTTATTATCTCACAATTATTATTATTATTATTATTATTAATTATTACTTATTTTGTATCATTTTTCGTGTAATTTTTGAAGAGTTTTTTTCTAATTTTTTGTTTCAAAAAATTGGCAACTGTTGGAAAATACATGTAATACTAGTGAACTAATATAATATTTAATGATAAATTAAGTTAATAATTTAATAATCATTGTGTTCTATTTTATTGTAAGGATTGAATGGAGAGACTAGTGTTATCATTTTAGATAGAGGACTGGTTCGAACAAATGGAGAACATTTATAATCTGGAGCAGGCACTGACCTACGGAGAATCCAAGAGTAAGTGTCATCAATTATTAGTAATGGTATCACTATTAGGTCTATTGCAGTATAGACCAGTTTCCAGTGATTAGCATGCAGTCATGAAATGAAAGCAAATATTGGATGACAAGGATAAGGTTTATGCTCCTGCATACACAGGTAAGTACCTTTTAGTGAAGTCAATGGTGTATTGGTTTGGTTGAGGTAATCTACTCAGTGCTTCTCTATCATTAGACCAATGAGAGCAACCTGTATATCCAGGAATATTGGGCTTCCTAGCAATAATAATGATAATAATGATAGTTATAAATTACTACTAATTACTGGTGATGATTGTGTTAAATTCTCACTTTGATGTGCTGGTTGGATGAGGTGTCTTCCTCTGTATAGCTACAGCTGCAAAGTCTCCATTAATCCTGTCAGGCTCGCCAAACGTGTGTCCCCTGGTGGTGGGTGTGGTTACATTTACATGAATATTAATGAACTTACGAGTATCCTGGTACATGTAGTGTATTTTTGAATGGTGAGAAACTGCAATGATAATTAATAATTTATATAATAATAATAATACCATACAATGAATTGTTAAGTGAAGTAAAACCATTTCTACTCTGCACTCCATCCCAAGCACTACCCAATGACTATTAAAAGAAAAGATATTAACAGAAAAGGTTGGATTAAAGGAAAGGAGGTTGTGTCCAGTCCTGTATATATCACCATTATCATCCTCACCTGCCATTGGCTGGGATAGAGCTCATTCCTTTTGTTGGTGAACCTCAGAGAGACTGGATCAGGGAGGGAGAGTATTGATGTGTTTGATGGACTGTGCAGTGTTCCTGGAGGTAACTTGTTATCCCATGGCACCTCATTGTAGCCTCTATAATGATTATATTCATACCAAGTATATTATTCATACTAAGTATACTATTCATAGTAAATAATGATTCATATTGATAATGTTAGTGTTGTGCAATGGGATGCATATACCACTTACCTTTTAGTTGAACTATCCCAACGATAAGAATGCAACAACTTATCAACATCAACCACCTATTAATTATTATTAATGATGCTGCTTATTTTCACTTATTTCCACTTACTGCGCTTTCATTGCTTCCAGGCATTTTCCAGGGAGGCCCATACTCTTCACTCCTCTCATACTCTTCTTCCTTTGCTTCATCTCTTGTGTCTCCTCCAATACATCTTGCTGTCTGTGGTCTGGCTGTATCATGATAGCCACTAGGTTTAACCATCACTCTTGCTGTTACTGCAGATCTTGCACCCGACTTCAGCCTCCTTGCTTCACGTGATGTTAAATTAGTGACTGGAGGAGGAATAATGCAAACTAGAGAGAGAGAAGGAGGGGAAGGGTTGATATTTACTGCAATAGACATCTTCCTGTCATACCATTTTTATGATCAGTTACAGTTTGCGGATAGTCTACTAGCTCTTTATTTTGATCCGCTCCTTCCTCAGTTAGTTCCTTCTCTTCATTAGTGCTGCTGGTTTGGATTCCTTTATCTTCAGTCTTGTTCCCTCTAGTCAGTACTCTAGAACAATCTTTAGGAGGGAGGCTCCATTTATAGCCAGGGACTCTTGAACGAGACTGCTTCTCCTGAAGTAAACTCACTCTTTGTGAGCGGAGGAGTCTCTTGTATTCATGAAAGGAGAGCCCGTCTCCTCCAGCGTTGGCATCGCTGAGGAGGAAAGTAGAGAAATGAGGTCTGGGCCGTACAGCAGTTTCAACCATTGCTGTTCTCTCCCGGGTAATCGCGGGAAACTGTTGCTAAGGGGTGGGGCTGGAATGTAACACCCACGCATAATTAATGTCGCAGTTTGTCTATCAAAAATGAAAGTAGAGAATTCCTGAATTACCTGATACATATACACGTTTTTATGCTGCGTAGAAAGTTTGAGCTGATTCTGGTAACATTTGGAACTTTTATGAATTTTTGAAGTTGCTTAAGAATTGCAAGTCAGAGACATGACATTCTGAATCAAGTGCTGTTAGTGTTTCTTATAAATGGATAAAAATATTCTGAAGAGAAAGACAATGATTGCAGCAAAATAAACAGCTGTTAATAGATGCATGTATATATAATAATAATTATAATAATATGATGGTTGCTGTTAGTCATTGGGCTCAAGGTTGAATGCTCCATCAGTACAAACTTTAATAAAAAATGGACCCTCTTGCCCCTCTGGATAAGTTGCCACGGTAACAATGTAGTCTCCAGCTAGCACAGTACCCAATTGAAGCACATTAAAGCCACGCCTACAAGTTATTAATAATTATTAATAGTTATTAATAGTTATTACCTAGCTACTCCTGTATCTTTGTGATAGGATTGAGTAGTAGAATGGACACCGATCCAAACACCATATTTTCTAATAATAATAATAATAATAATAATAATAATAATAATAATAATAATAATAATAATAATAATAATAATAATAATAATAATAATAATAATAATAATAATAATAATAATAATAATAATAATAATAATAATAATAATAATAATAATAATAATAATAATAATAATAATAATAATAATAATAATAATAATAAATATTATTTCGTGATACCTTGGTCCCTTGATCTGTACCATTGCAGCAGCAGTATTTGATATTATTGTTAGTTTGAAACTGGGTCTGGGATTATTGACCTTCCACTGACCCCTCAGCTATAATAGTACATGGTTACTAATAATGATGTCATCATTATCTGATACTAGCTCACTTCTTTGGATTGATTGTACACAGCTGGTACTTGACGGAACACAAACTTACAAGTTGAATATACCTATATACATTTAAATTTTAAAAAAGAGACTCCTCCCCAAGCCCCTCCCCCTCATTACCTTTATAGTGTAGTATATCTGACTGAGGCTCTCAAGCTGTGAGACTATCACTGTGTAGCTATGGGATCCTTGGGACAGTCCGTTCAATTTAACAAGATAATGTGGGGTGTTAATTTTAACCCCCATGTGAACGTATTTATCTGTTGATTAGTGAGGAGTTATTAATTAATGTCATCAATTAATTAATTGTTTACCAGGTGGGAGGTATTGGCGATGTCCATTAGAAGACACAACATGAAGTGTAATGAACTTTTCATTTTTGGCAAAGTCACTCTAAGCAAGAATAAATAAAATAAATAATTAAATAATGTACTTTGGTTGTGATGTGTCTGGACAGCAGTATCCAGGTTGTCCCTCCATTCTCTGGTGCATTAACAGTCAGTGAATATTGAGGGTTATTACCTGAGGGGGCGGGTTAGAGGTGTGGCTATACACAAACATTAATACATACTTATATTATACAGATCCTTCTCCACTTCACCTGGGGCCCAACAGCTAATGATGGATAAAGTTACTGCTGGCAGGTTTGATGTATAGCATAACTCACTCGTGTATCGTGTACTTATGGTGGAACATTTCTGGGTCCCAGTTCATGTACAAGGTATCATAAAACCGACAGACTGCCGTCCAGTCTATCCAGAACACACCTGTAATGGGTGTGGTCAATTATTGTAGGTGTGGCTTTGTTTAATTACCGTTATCAACCTGAAGTGCAAGTGATTGGTCATAATTGAGAGCTCTCTTAAGCTCCGGAGTCCAGTTAGTTGCATCTCTTTCAGAGAAACTGCCCTAATGAATCAATTAATTAATTAATTAATTAATTATTAATAATTACTTTCCATCTCTTCTCGCTCCATGGGTTCTTCAGTTGTAGGAGTCTCACTCCGCAGGTTTCAGTAACTCTCAGTACAGCATAAGCATGAGTTGGGACTAGGCCAGTTCGCTCAGACTCTTCCTTAGTCAAGGGACCCGTTCCCATGGTAACAAGGGCACTACCTATGAATATTAATGAGCCTCAATGAATATTAATGAGGTTTGGTTCACCTGCTTTCAGTTTAGCTTCAAGCATTTTAAAGGTTTTGTCTTTATTTGATTCTTTGATGTCAATTCTTTCCGGAATCCAACCAGTTAAAGCATGTAAATCATTATTCTTTGGTAATTAATAATAATAATAATAATAATAATAATAATAATAATAATAATAATAATAATAATAATAATGATGATGAGTACTTACTGAGCTTGATCCTGGAAAGTCGTACCCACCCATAACCTGTTGTAATGGAGTAAGCCCCTCCTACCAGCCCCGCCCCTTACCTTCATGTATGCTTTCTCTAATAAACTGACCCAGAACTCGTCCCGACTGTTAGAGTAAGATCCAAGGATATTAGAGTATCCATCCACAGGGAGGAGGTCGTCAATCACCACCTGTATGTATATACATGTACATGTATGTGTCACATGAAAGTCACATGACTATTACCTTTCTCCGGCAACCGTTCAAGAATAGTTTAATGAGATACTTTCCGTTTGGGTTTATTATTGGCTCCTTGTGACGATTCTGAGGGAAAATACAACTAGAAATAAGAATAAAGTGAACAGTAAAGACTGCACTATCTTGCCAATAATGAAAAGTAAGGAATTCTCCATTTTATGATAATTTCTAATAGATATCCTGTCTGGTTACATGTACAGGTACCTCGTAATTAATTTTCTTTTAAATCTTCTCTCATAGTCCGCACACACACCAAGTGAAGCAACAAATGAACAATCACCAATCATTGTCTAGAGAAGGACAATGACGTTATTATTATTATTATTATTATTATTATTATTATTATTATTATTATTATTATTATTATTATTATTATTATTATTATTATTATTATTATTATTATTATTATTATTATTATTATTATTATTATTATTATTATTATTACTTGTTTTATTGATAGACTAGATATTAAGTGACACATTTTTGGGTTATCACAGATCTCTCCTGGGCGTTGCCATCCTGCTAGTCTTGCTTTTTGTTTCTCTGCTAGTTTAGGGAGTCCATCAGGATCAACGTAATCCATTGGTAGAGCTGACACTGTTCTCAACTCTGACAAATCAGAATCATTCCAAGGTAGATAAACAACTCCATTTATTTTAGAATTAATCCTTTGATTGTTATAATGATAATAATAATAATAATAAATCAACTAACTTTAATATTTTCATTTCTTTTTCTGACAGTCTGTCTTTATTTCTTCCTGGAGGTGATTGTCCACTAGCTCCTCCTGGCTTGGCCCCGCCCCCTCCAGTTGATGAGAGAGATGAAGATGGTGAACTATAAGCATCAAACTTGTGAACTTTATCAGCGTCCAAGAAACTGACCAATGGCATTTTAGGAAGAGTAGACTGAGAGGATGGTTATATAGTATGAGTTAGAATCAGTTACTTGATGCTGTTTGACTGGTTTAGCCGGTCGTTTATCCTCTTCCTCCTCCTCTTCGTCTGATGATAGAGGGGAACCTTTAGGGGGGTCCGGTATGTCACTCAATTTTGATCCTTTACCGGACCCAGTGGCTACCTTTAGTTTCTGAATCTCTTCCAATCTACGTATGACATAACTAGTAACCATGGCAACAAGGGGTGTTACCTCTCCACTGCTTGTTGGGTTAGTTTAGTTACTTTTCTTTTCTCAGAATCACTCAAGAGTAGCTCTTGCTAGAGAGAGAGAGGGAGAGAGAGAGAGAGAGGGAGTGGCTGATGGTTCAATGTCTATCATCATGTACTACACTACCAGTTGTATTGCCATTTGTACTGAACTGGTGTACGTCTTCTCAGCTTCATTGTATCTCTTCTCCTCGTCCAGACCAAGAGCCACTTCAATGAGATACTCCAGCTGTCTCATTGCACCCTGTGGGGGGAGGGAGGGTCCATATTACAAGTACTCTGTGCTTATCCTGTTAACGTACACTCTCTTTGCTTGATGATCTCTTCAAAGAGCCTAATGATTGAGCCATTGTCTATTACATTAATATCAGTAGGTATACTCACGTTCAGTGTCTCCTTTAGTTTCTAGGTATTCTCTAATCTGGTGAGCTCTCCTCATGTATTCCTGTACCCTCGGCAGTACATGAGTATAACTTGGCTCAAGGTCGCAGGATTGGTTCAAAGCTTCAGCTGCTTCACAGTAAAAGGTGAGGGCTGGCCTGTAGTCTTTCTGCTGGTCGTAGAGTGTGGCTCTACGGGCACACTCCAACCCATCCTTGTACCTTCCCTCAGCATAGCTAGGAGGATCCATTTTAAGATGAGTTGTTTATGGGCAGGGCTAGTTATTACATAAGTGGGCGATAGTAGGAGTGGCTTGTAGTGTTAAAATTAATAAATAATGTACAAAATAAACGTATTTTAAATTATTTTAGAGATTCTTTTATTTGCTTCAGCTTTTTATGATCAGAAGTATCACCATATCGCTGATTAACATGATTTCTTTCCCGATTTTGATCCAAATTGATTGGATTTTGAAGTATGTCATCATGTGAAATCACTGGTTGATCATTAACTTGATTTTGTTGACCGTTAACTTGATTTCGTCCACCATTGACTCCATCATTAACTTCATTTTCCTGATTTTGTTTACCATCCCCTTGATTGTGTTGACCATTAACTCGATTATTAGCTTGATTTTGTTGATCATTTCCTTCTTTTTGTAGATCATTAACTTGATTTCCTTGATCAGTGCTCCTATTCTGTCCAGTATTATTTGTGTGGTTGCTTGCACTCATTAATGTATTAATCTGTATCTTCAGTGATGGATTCTGATCAAGTATTTTCTCAAAAGCTTCCAATTTTAACTTCATTTTCTTTAATTCTTCTTCAGTTTTAGCAAGATCCTATAGTAATAGCAACTAATTACCACTTCCCTTCCCTTCCCTTCCCTCCCCCTCTCTTCCTCTAGCTCTCTCTCCCTCTAATCCTTACCACATGACAAGATGAGACACTGTAACCTAATAAACAATAATTAATTAATAATTAATCAATTAATTATTAATTACCTGGATTATTTTTTGCAGTATTACCATAACTGGCTGCTACAGGCATATGTTCATTGCTAATATACTCTTCATCTTTACTGAAATTATAATAGAGTCCAGCTGATAAGAGGAGCTCTCTTCTCTTCTTCATAAGTCCTTGCTTTGTGATCAGGTCTGAATGAAACTCATGGTTTATCTCATCCCATTCATTGATCTGTTTTGGTGTGAATACTCTGTACACTATGAGGAGAGAGAGAGTATCTCTCTCTAGTGTGTCATTATAGTGTGACTCATACCTTGCATGGCTCCTTTGAAACAGGCCAGTGGAGTCCATAGCCATATAGTATACTTACAAGTGCTTGGTTCAGTGATGTTTGTCAGTTTAGTTATAATGCTACACTTGAACAATATCTACATAAAGATTAAGGAGAGGAGGACATAATTCTTGTACAACACTAATTCTCAACTCTTTACTTTTGCTTCTCTGTCAGTTCTACCACACTTCTCTCCAAGGGCAAACCTCATTCCAACAAACCTGTCACCTTCAATGACCCATTCCCTCCACACACTAAATTAATAATAATAATAATAATAATAATAATAATAATAATAATAATAATAATAATAATAATAATAAACAAGGCCATATCAAAAATGGCCATACCCTAATACTCCATGGAAGCGGTTCCACATTCCTGTTTCTTCCTTCTGTGTCACATTAAAAAATGGGCACACGTCATAAGCATAACTATAAGAGGGTAGTTATATTATTCAATGTTTATATAAGATACTTCTTATATCTTGTTTGATAGCACTCCCCAGCTAATGCTTTAAGATGAGGTGGTCCTGAGATAGGAGCTGGGGGACCTCTCAACATTAGCTTCCTAGTACTGACAGTATAATGTTCAAAAGGTGATATATCATACATATTGAATGGGCACTGTACCTAGTGGGGGATGAATAGTGTCTGTTATGATGAGGAGCATCAACTATCTTGATCCTAACTGGTTCTAAACTGGCTCCGATCACTAAACAGGACACTATAAGTACAGTAACTGATAAACAAAACTGGAAACCTTTGCCTTACAAAACAAAAGAGTTACTGCCATCTTTTTTTAAGGTAAAGGGTTAAATTAGCAAACTCCACCTACACCGTAAACTCTGAATCTCTGTATTTCTTCTGTACAGATCTAACCAATCCGTATTTCTTAGTTTCCTGCTTTTTGTATACTTTGGAGTGCTCTTTAATTAGAATAAGCTTAGCCCGGGTGTTCGCGGGAAAGAGAGTCCCTCCTATGGCGGATTCCTCTTACTGTATAAAGGTGGTGTGTAGAGTGAGGCCACTCAATGGGAAGGAGAAGGCAGCTGGTAATTCATTTGTGGTTGGTTTCCCAACAACTAATGTAGTCACAGTTGGAGTAAGTTATTAATTAATTAATATTTATTATCATCATTATTATTATTATTATTATTATTATTATTATTATTATTATTATTATTATTATTGTTAGAATAAGACGTTTCAGTATGATAGTGTTTTACGGCACGACTCAACTCAAGAACAAGTTTATACAGCGACTGCCCAACCACTGGTGAAAGGTAACACTACAGTGCATCAGTAATTGACTATACTGACCACTCCCTCCTACCCCTCCCCCTCCAGATGTACTGTCAGGTTACAATGCTACCATATTTGCTTACGGACAAACTTCAAGTGGAAAGACTCACACAATGGAGGTATGGGATCTGTGTTAACACTGATATGATGTAACACTGATTTGTGTTAACACTGATATAACACTGATCTGTGCTAGGGTGATCTTGATGATGTTAACACGAGAGGGATCATTCCAAGAATCATTTATGATTTATTTGATCAGATTTATGAGATGGATTCAAATCTTGAGTTTCATATAAAGGTAACGAGAGATTGTCTTTATGCTGAAGCTCCGCCCACTTTAGGTGTCTTACTTTGAGTTGTACATGGAGAAGGTACGGGACCTTCTTGACAGTAAGTGGGTGTGGTCAATAACTCCGGTCAGTATTTAACCCTTTAGTAACTAAGGTCAATCTACCGATACACGAGAACAAGCAGAAGGTTCCTTATGTCAAGGTATTATTAATTAATTAAAGGTTATTGAGTTATTGTATTGACACAGGGTGTGACCGAGAGGTTTGTTACCATACCTGAAGAAGTACTGGCTACAATTGAGGAAGGAAAGTCCAATAGACATGTATCAGTAACTAGTCAGTCACATGACTGTCATATGATCAGATCATGTTTTACGAGTAGATATGAATGCTCATAGCTCACGAAGTCATGCCATCTTTCTTATTTCGATAAAACAAGTTCACAAAGAAACACAAAAAACTTTAACTGGTAAACTGTTTCTAGTTGATCTGGCTGGATCAGAAAAGGTAGTTTTCACATCCTGTTTAATTCTTGTTACCTCTCCCTCCCTCCCTTCCTCCCCCTCCCTCCCTCCCTCCCTCCCTTCCTCCCTTCCTCCCTCTCCCCCTCCCTCCCTCCCTCCCTCCCTCCCTCCCTCCCTCCCTCCCTCCCTCCCTCCCCCCTCCCCTGCAGGTTGAGAAGACTAATGCTCAAGGGCTAACTTTGGACGAAGCTAAGACGATCAATAAATCTTTACTAGCTCTGAGCAATGTTATATCAAAACTATCAGAAGGATCAGTACGTTAACTAAGTAATAAATTAAATAAATTGTTATTATTAATGATAGAAGTCCCACATACCTTATCGTGACAGTAAGCTCACGAGGGTCCTTCAAGAGTCTTTAGGAGGTAATGCTCGTACAACACTAATCATCTGCTGCTCACCCTCTGGGTCTAACGAGTCTGAAACTAAAGGGACTCTACTGTTTGGAGAAAGGTATTGTTGTTTATTGTTATTGTTTATTGTTGTTTAATGTTGTTTATTGTTGTTTATTGTTGCTTATTGTTGGTATTTTCCAGGGCCAAAATGATTAAAAATAAAGTGGAGGTTAATATAGAACTAACAGCAGGTACATTGTTTAATTAATTGATAATATTAATTAATGGATTGATAGAGGAATGGCGTAAGAGATACGAGAGGCAAAAGGAAGAATGTGATAAACTGAAGGCATTGATACAAGTATATACTAAAGAACTGACAAGATGGAGAGCAGGTAATAACTATTAATAACTATTAATAACTAATTGATAATTAATCAGTATCATTAGTAACATTAATAACTATTAATAACTAGGTGATGCAGTACCCATTGATGAACAGTTTCCAATTAAAGCCCCATCATCACTCCCTGTTGACTCTGCCTCCTTAACCACAGCCACACCCACCCAGCCTCTAGAGCAAGGGGGAGGGGCCAGTAGTATTAGTGCATTGTCAGCAAAAGAGTTTGAGGCTGAAAGATCTAAACTGTATCAGCAACTGGACGATAAGGTGGGTTTGGTCTGGAGGTGTGGCTTATAACGATACCTAATAGGATGAGGAAATACATCAACAAACTCAAAAAGTAGAAGCACTTTCACTTTCACTGAAAGAAATGAACCTACTACTGGAAACATCACAAGAAGAAACAATGAAACTACAGGAACAAGTAATGGAGAAGGAGGGAGGGAGGGAGGGGAAGGGAGAGGGAGGGAGGGAGAGAGAAGGGTGGGGGAGGGATAGAGAAGAAGGGAGGAAGGGAGAGAGGTGGGGGAGGGAGGGAGAGGGAGGGAGGAAGGGAGGGAGGGAGGGAGGGAGAGGAAGGGAGAGGAAGGGAGAGAGGGAGGGAGGGAGGGAGAGAGGTGGGAGAGGGAGTAGGTAGGATGGAAATACATGTATGTTATCTTTTTGTCCTTCAAATTATTATTGTATTGTCTATCTTTTTAAAATTATTTTGACTTTAAGTGTGAAAAACAGTTTCACCTGTACATGTACATGTATTTATATTGTCCTTATTACATATACGTTATACGTACATGTACATGTATAGATGTCCAGCGTTGAGAGAGAGCTGGTTCACTCACAGGAGGAGGTCCAGGAGGTGATGCAAGCTCTAGAAGAACTAGCAACGTCTTACGATAGCAAAGACACTCAAATAAAGGAACTGACCAATGAGAATGAAGCAATGATAACTGAGAATAATGTATTGAAGGTGAGGGTGTGGCTTTATTAATTAACATGGGTGGAGCTTAGTAATTAATTAATGTGGGTCTGGTTTACAGGCTAGTATAGATGCCAAGGATCGGGAAATTAATGAACTAATGGAGGGACTCAAGTCAGATGATAAGAGGCGGAGACTGTTGCTAGGCAACCTCTGTAGGGACATGGGAGAGATGGGAGACATACTTGGAACGAAACAAGAAGAAAAATTAATAGTAAAATAACAATAATAATAATAATAATAATAATAATAATAATAATAATAATAATAATAATAATAATAATAATAATAATAATAATAATAATAATAATAATACATCCTTTTGCTATGTAGAAAGTTGGAAGTGTCCTTTTTTAACAAATATAATTATATTATTTTTATAATTTTGTAGTCACTGAATAATTCTGATGATCTTTCTGAAGGAGATTATTCAAACTTGAGGAGTTATTTTTCTAATATTCGAATTGAGGCTCGTTCACTAGTGGAGCAGAGGAACATCCTGGAGGAGTCCGAGAGAGAAGCCAGACAACATGCTGACACATCACTCAAGGAACTGAACTCTTGTAGACTGAAGTACTCTGATCTGAAGACCCAGTCTGACCTGCTCAAGGTCAGTGTGGAGGAGGTGAGGGAGGAGAAGGAGGAGCTGGAAAAGGCTCTGATTGAGTTGAACGAGCAGCTACTCGGACTGAGGGGGAAGGAGAGGGAGAGTTTGACTGCTGCCCAACACGACCGTAAGACGGAACTGGAACAAGAGATCTTGAAGGAAGAGCTACAGAAGAAACAGCTGATGTATCAGGAGGAAGTTTTGGCACTGAGAGATGAAATTAAGAATAAAGAATTATTAATAATACAGTTACAAGAGTAAGTACATGTACTGCAGTGTAACTGATGGTTCATCTTTTGGCCACACCCCTAGACAACAGGTGCATCAAGAACTAGCCCAGCAGTCCCTGCAGGACGAGTTGATCCAGTTACAACTTCAAAGAGAAGAATACGCCAGCTTGAGGTACATGCACTTAAATGTACATGCATAGCTGGAAACTCTTGAGGAAAATTTTTTAAACAAGTAATTTTTTAAATCAAAGGCTATAGCCCATGGTTTTTTCCAAAAAATGGCTTCAAAATTACGGCAAATTTTTATTACATTTTCTGATACATATTGATGCCCTTATGATGTGTAGCAAGTTTGAGATGATTCCAACTTGAATTTTTCAAGTTACAGCCTATTTAAGAAAACGTCAAAAATCTGAAAAATACCCAAGGCTATAGCCCATGGTTTTTTTCCAAAAAATGGCCGAAAAATCATTCCAAATTTTTATTACATTTTCTGATACATATTGATGTCCTTATGCCGTGTAGAAAGTTTGAGCTGATTCTGACTTCAATTTTTCAAGCTATGGCCATTTTAAGAAAACGTCAAAAATCTGAAAATACCCAAGGCTATAGCCCATGGTTTTTTCCAAAAAATGGCCGAAAAATCATTCCAAATTTTTATTACATTTTCTGATACATATTGATGCCCTTATGCTGTGTAGCAAGTTTGAGATGATTCCGACTTGAATTTTTCAAGTTACAGCCTATTTAAGAAAACGTCAAAAATCTGAAAAATACCCAAGGCTATAGCCCATGGTTTTTTCCAAAAAATGGCCGAAAAATCATTCCAAATTTTTATTACATTTTCTGATACATATTGATGTCCTTATGCCGTGTAGAAAGTTTGAGCTGATTCTGACTTCAATTTTTCAAGCTATGGCCATTTTAAGAA